ACATCTGATTGAAAATGATGCAAATGTTTGCTGTAGGTTATGTGCATCACAGTCAGGGTAGGTGTGGCTAGGTCTGCATAAACAGAAGCAAAGAAGAAAATTTTAGTTTCATACTTACCGTAATTTTCTTTGCTTTGCTATTCTGTATGGCAACATCGCATATTAGTAAGCGCTTACCCAGCTGTCCGGACAGGACTGATTAAATTACAATTAAAAAGAGTTCATGAAAGCCCCCCTCCCTCTGTAATCCCCAGTCTTTTGAAAAGCTACCTGAAGAACCCAGAAGAGAGGAAGCGTGATGCTGCCATATAGAATAGCCAGGAAAATAACATTACGTTGAGTACAAATTACATTTTCTTCTTTCCTGGCTAAACATGGCTTGGATAATATAAATACACCGCATAGATGCTCGAAACAAATGAAGATTATTAATATCTCCGTGCAACTAAAACAAGGACACTATTCCCGAAATAATCGTTAGATGAAGACAAATCCAGTTTGTAATGTTTCATAAACCTTAGAGGAGAGGACCAAGTAGGTGCCTTACAAATGTCTTTTTTTTTTTTTTTTTTTTATAAATTTCTTTATTAGAGGAATGTTGATTGAGGCAGTGTTACATTAGTTTTTCATAGTACAACAGGATCATGTAATATGCATAACATTCAATATCCAAAAACAATATTCAAACAAGTCAAGTTTTTTGTTTTGTTTTTTTCCCCGTCCTTCCATCTTATTTCCCCCTTTTCCCTTCATACATTTCCTATACCCTAGTTCCCTATCTGAAAGAATGTTTTTGGTAGTCGTGAAGATGTAAATAATATGGCTATTATGGTAAAATAAGAACAGTAACAGCGTATTATTACAGTAAGCCTCCGGGTACCAAGCACAGGTGGGAGCTTGATTCGACATAAAGTATAAGTTAAGTGTTTGGAGACTAGAATGTCCCCAGGACCATTACCTATGGCAAAGCTCGTGCGTTGTTCGGGCATCTCCATATCCCAACCATGTTGCCTAAAGCCTTGTCGCTAACTAGCGTGTGGTAAGTGTCGAGATTCTGAGTGGTATGTGTGGTAACACCCGTGTACGAAGATGTGAGGTGTGAGGCTATCGGACGTTTATCATCACTAACTATCCGCCTAAGCGCCGGACCACCAGGCCACAGGGTGTCCCGGGGTACCGCGTCCAGGCTTACCGTGCAACGTGCATGGTCCGTGATCATCTACGAATGTACATCTTTCTTCCCTGTCGTTCAATAGTACCATTGCGTTATCTGCTTGTCTACAGTTAGCACATTCGGCCCCGAGTCCGGCCCCAGCGTGCAGGTAGACGGGGGAAAGAAGGGGTAGAGGTAAGGGATAGTGGTTAATCAAGTTACAGGGGGGTGTTGGTCCCTCCAGCAAGGTCTGCACCGGCCCGCTCCCCAGCCGAGGGCCCCGGCGCGTCTCTGTCCCCACGGCAGCGGGAGATGTATAAGAACCATGGCATCCACATCTCTGCGTGCCTAGTTCCTCGTCCCGTCAAAGCAGCATGTGCTTCTTCTGCTCCTTGAATGTCCTCCACTCTGCTGATCCACTCTTTTTTGGTGGGAATTTCGCTCCGTTTCCAGTGGGCTGGGATGTTGGCCTTGGCAGCATTGAGCAGGTGTCGTAGTATCGATTTCTTATATGATGAAATGGATTGGGTCGAGATATGTAGTAGTGCCAGTTCCGCGGACCATTCTGGCTGTTCTCCCAGGATGAGTTCAACTGTTTCCCTAATCATTTCCCAGTATGGGGTAATAGCTCTGCACTCCCACCAGATATGTAGGTGCCTTACAAATGTCCACATCCACCGCAGAAGCCCATGAAGTTTCAAAACTTCTGGTTGAACGCGATTTGATGTTAATAGGAGCCGGGTTGCCTTGAGAGAGATAAGCTTTCAAAATTGCAATGGAGATCCATCTTTCTTAATGTTGCAGTAGAGGCTGCTTCACCAATCCTTATTCCTGATAGAAGGATGAATAGTCTTTGTTTTTCTGAAGTCACTGGACAGCTGGAGAGTGGAGATATATTTGGAGGCATCTCATCACATCCAATCTACTCTAACACATTTCTTTCTAAGTGTATTGGGTAGGGAGGATGGAAGCACAATTTCCTGTTAAATATGAAAAAGATACGTTCTTGCCACTTTAGCCTGTAAAGACTTTTTTTTTCTGGTTTCACCCATTTGGAAAGAATCAATTATTTTATGGTTGAATGAAGCAGGAATGTAGGTCTGTAAGATCTTAAATCTTAAAAATAGCAGTCTACAAATCCCAGAAGAAATGTCTGAAATTACTGCTTCAAAGTGTTTCTTACCAATGCTATTAATGTATCCACCTTCCTGGAGTCTAAGGATTTATTCCAGGATCCTGTTCCTGTAATTTTTGGTGTATCAGAGATGACTGCGAAGAGACCGAAGCTGCTCTGTCTGTTAATTCCCCACTTTTGATACCGGTGGATATCCAAAGCCATAGCAAACGGTTTTCAATTAATTTTTTTTTTTTTTAAATCCAGTTGGGGTAAGTTTCTATTTGACTGTTTCTCTGCAACATCTTTCAAGCATTGAAAACAAGTTCTTCCCCTCAGAGGCTTTAGAACCACAGCACATGCAACAATTAGTTTTTTGTTTCTCCTACTGTTGGGAGGATAGGAGATTCTAGGGCCAATGATAAAACGTGTAGGCTGTCACTGCACTCTTTTATTCCCCCTAAAACTGGACTCTTTTTCTTCTAGATTCACTTCTATTGGGGGTGTGAGAAAACACCATCCTAAATGTAGAACAGAAATTATATTAATTTAAAATGTGTGTATACACCTTTTATATGAACCTATATATTATAAATAATATTCATATTATAAATATAAAGAACCTAACCTGACATGTCAAACTATTCTTAGGCAAAGCTACAACTTGACCCCTGAAACCATTGTAATGCTTAAAAGTTGGAATTTCCTGATAAAATTCTGCTTTAGTGTATTTATAACAGCAGGGGACTCTGTACATGCTTCTGAACCTCTTCTATGCAATTGGCATACTGCGCATGCATAAAAGTGTCTAGGGGAGAAAATGCCATTCGAGCAGTATCCCGGGCACACAATACCAGAACAGAATATAAACAAAGAGGCTTCTATTTACAAAATCTAGGAGAGGTGGAAGCCTTCTGCAACGGCAATCAACATGGACGGCTTCCCACATTACCCCTAGCATTGGGGATTCGAGTGGTTCTTGGCCCATGCTGCATGAAGTAAATGCATATTTTTCCCCAACAAAGTTTCTTATACTAGTTAGAAACTAAAACCAATTAGTACTGTCAGCGCAGTCTGATTACTGGTTTCTTCATGTGGAGCCACCTCCTCAGTTTGCCAGTTTCAGTCAGCAGTTGCACTTTGCATAGATAACCTCGAAGAGTGCAGATACTATCTACTTAAAAATTCACCCCCAATTTCCCTCTTCAATTATGTTAAATAGGATATATACCATAGATGATGTTTCTGCAGGCACTGTTGTTAAAGTGCATAAACCACAATTATCACTTTATATCCCTAATTGTTGCATTTTAGTTACACTTTTGTGGTACCATGTCATTTTTCTGGCAATAAACCACTCTGTTCTGTGCAAGACACTGCTCAGAGTAAATATTAGTTTGGGTGACAATATCCCCTAAAATATTCTCATAGTAACAGCTGCAAGTAGTCCAGTGGGCTATGACTGGGCATGTCAGGTGAATAATCACTGTCATCTGAGTTGGCTGCAAACATTGATCAAACAACAGAGAACGTGTTGGTTTCTGGCAAATCGGAATAAAGATTTTTTTTTTTTTTTTTAAATAGTGCGTTCATGAGAATGCAGTATAACTCTGCGATCCATAGAATGAGGTGGATCAGATATTCTTGCACCACTATGACTTGCTGTCACAGCGATCATGTGTGCTGGAACATCACAATTTGCTGTTCTGTCTCAACAGCCGTATTAAAGGACAGCACCCAGACCACTTCAGCTCAATGAAGTGGTCTGGGTGCCAGGTCACTCTAGTTTTAACCCTGCAGCTGAAAACATAGTTTCAGAGAAACTGCTATATTTCACTGAGGGTTAATCCAGCCTCTAGTGGCTGTCTCACTGACAGCCGCTAGAAGCGCTTCCGCGATTCTCACTGAAAATCACAGTGAGAAGATGCTGGACGTCCATAGGAAAGCATTGCTGCACATGCGCATTTGGATCTGACGTTGGCCAGGGGTGGAGAGTTCCTCAGCACAGAGGGAGCCCTGCACTGGAGAAAGGCAAGTGGCTGAAGAGGTTTTAACCCCTTCAGTGCAGCAGGAGATGGGTACCTAATGACCCTTTAGTGCCAGGAAAACAACCTTGTTTTCCTGGCACTATAGTGGTCCTTTAAGCCAGCAATCACCGGTGCTAAAGATGTTGGCACATGCTGGAACATTTTCTATAAGGGAAGGTCAACCATAACAGAATAATTTCTTTATTATTTATATAGTGCCAACAAATTAATTTGTGTCTTTGATTTGTGTTTAGCAGGGTGAATTAAAAGATTTTAATGAGATCCTTTTTGAAGGACATATGAAAAAAAAAATCTATGTAAAGAGTTTCTATTTAAGATACATATATGCTAAAGATCATTCAGCAATAAATGCAGCTTAATTATGTAGCATGAGGCTGTATAGTCATACAATGTGTAAATTTCTAATAAATGATCTGAAGAGAAAATGTGCACTTTTGCACAGCAAAAATTTTATAAAAACATACAAAGTTCAGAAATAGACTTAAACCCATAAAACCCATAGTTATTCTGCAAATCTGTGTGCACAAGATGAACACCTTCAAGTTGTTTGAACATGTGTGATTACCTATTAAACTGGAGATAGAAATAAATAGAGTCAGCAGTGGTTTGTATATATAGTTCCAATCACTGTTCCCTTTAAGGCATGTGCATGCACTGGCTTGGCCTGTGCTCCTTTATGCGCACTGTGAATTTCACACTCCATCAATATGTCAATGTGTCTCACGGTACACAGCCAAGAATCACAGGGCCACGTGTAAAGGAGGTCATCATTCTTTACCAGAGTCGTACAGCGTCAATCAGGTGTGTGGCCAAGATTCTCAGCATGGTGCACCTGGGAACCAATATAAGCAGTACTAGCAGCCACTGCCAGCCAGTCTTCCCATCAGTGACAGAGGCTGAGAGTCATCACTGCAGTGTCTGGGTAATGCAGGTCAAATAAATGTGGCATGGATCATGAAGACTAACAAATGTGTAGACAATGTGGTGTGGATGTGGGCAAACAAAATGTATGCAATGTGACATACTGAAATATGAGTAGGTAATGTGGCATGGATTGGCAATACAGTTTTATTAGCTATGAGAGCGGTTGTGACAAAATTTATGTTGAAACACTTTCGGTTTACATTTGCACAAGAAAATAAATTTTAAAAAAAACATACATTTCAGCGCATATTAACTAAAAAAAACAACAACAAAAAAACAGATGGAACAAGGGCCTCAATGTTTAATATTTAAAAAACAATCTTAATTTCAGTTGAAATGCAAATGCATTACATTACGTGTTTTTATTTCTTAGAATATTCTGTTTTTTATTGACAAGACAAAAGCCACAGATAAGGACATATCTTCTTACCAAAGTAATCCTGCAGGACATCAATAACAGAACTCTACAAAGCAACACTATTCGTCAATGTATAAAATTAGTGATTTATTTCTAAGTAACATCTGCAGTTTGCTAGGAAACCACAAATGGCATGCAGGCAACTCTGGATTGATGATTATTTATTGAACACACCAAAAAGGCAAATGGTATACGGTAGCTTTGATAAGTTATACCTAAAATATAAGATGGAAGATCCACTGCATGTGCATTTTTTTGTTGCAAATTCATCAATAATTCCTGGCACCAGATGGCCACAGCTCTACATAATTTAAGATGTTCGCAATTACATCACATTCACTTGCCTGTGAAACATTTTCACTTAAGTTGTCAGGGCTGCTTAGAATGGGCCAAAAGGTTACTAATAACATGAAAGTAGATCCTTGAGAAGTGATTTGGTGATGTACATGTTGGGGAATGAGTTAACGTTATTTAGTGTAAGAAGCAAAAGGTTGACCGATTTGGAGAAATATGAGCTTTGTTCCACTTCACAGGTCGTTTCTCCCAAGCTGGAAACATTTCTTCTTTAGCATTTGTTACCCCCAACTGTGAAAGGCCATGCTTTATCAGACAAAGCCCATCCTCCTCAATTTTTAATATAAAAGGCTTGCTATAAAGGCTGGACCGGCTAGTCTCTTCTAGAATTTGATGGAGTTTCCAGTGCAAGTACGGAAGTTGGCTTAGCCTTTGTCCACTTAAGATGAGAGCATGTTAAGACATACCATTTTGAATAGAATCCTACTCTTCAAAATTAACTTCTTTAAGCATATCTCTTGGTATTTATCAACAGCTCCCGTTGTAGTCCAGCATCCTTGGATGTACTCACTTTCCCAGCTGGTGTGTCTGTGATCAGTGTCAGTTTGTTGAACACTCCTCGTCCAAAGTAATCTGCTATCACACTGAATCCATCACTGGAGCATTTCATCTGAAAAGACAAAATTACCACAATGTAGAGTTCTGAAGGATCTTACATAAAAAGGCAATGAGCTTGGACAAGATTTTTTTATAGAAAGCCATCTGTTTAGGGAAGAGGAGTTCCACCCAGGGTCTACATACTATAAATCTTTGCAATGGTTACAATATGCCAAGTTCCTAGCTATTGCCAATTAGATAGCTGTGCAAATACAGAATTTTTTTTTTGTTTTTTTATTGCTTCCAGAGGACTCTAACTGCCATATTAAGTAATTTAGTGTGCTTTACACAACTCTTTTCTGAAATGAATTACAGTGTAAGTGAATAGACAAAGAACCTTCTGACTGGTGAAACGTTCTTGTATAAGTTTTTGTTTCCAAATCATCTCATGAAGCAAAGGCCAGTTTCTATCTATATCTATATCTCATCTTATAGCACAATATTTGCTGACCACTTGATTTAGAGATAGTATGTACCGCCTCTTTCTGTGTCTTCATTTTGGTACTGGCTCGGTGCTCTTGCCAGGTAGCAACTGATGTTATACAGGAAATGATGCATAAGTGTTATGGGTTACTCCCAAAGTATAGTCACTGCGTGTTCATTCTAGTCTCTAGATCAGGGATAGGCAACCTTTGGCACTCCAGATGTTTTGGACTGCATCCCCCATAATGCTTTGACACCCCTAGTGCTGGCAAAGCATCATGGAAGGTGTAGTCCAAAACATCTGGAGTACCAAAGGTTGCCTATGCCTACTCTAGATTGTGGAAATCGCCCTAATTAAGCCATAGCCATTACTAGACTTCATGATATAAAACAAAACATAGTAACACATTGAGAATTGTTAAAAACTTTGTTAACCTAATGTCTCCCACTTAGGTCTTTAAACATTTTATTTTTAGTTGACTTGTGTGAAGGAGGGAACCTATGTCATTTGAATTTTAATATAAACCCAGGCATACGGCACTTTGAAATGTAAATACCAGGTTGATCCCATCCACGCTAGAGATCGAGTAAGCTTCTTGGAGTTTATCAGTGAAGTGTAACATATCCGTTTTGACACAGCAAACGTAGAATCTTACATCTTTACTTTCATGCTTGAATTTATTCATTAAAATGTGAATTAAAGTGAACTGAATATAGAATCAGAAAATATAAAACCAAAAAGTTATAAAATTCACCTAACTGTAGCTGCCCTGTGGCTATTTGAGACTGAAGTTGGTTTTCAATTCATTGTTTAGTTAACAAATCAAATGGTCAGCCATTCAAGAATGAGCCGTTGCTAATTATATAAAATCGATAAACATGGCTAAAAGAAGACTACAGCCAGCAGTCCAAATTGGTACTGAAGGGCATATGCACAATTCAGAGCACTATATAATAAATTAGTAGCAATACGTGGCAAAACTGACAAGCATGCAATGGTTTTAAAAATACAGAGCTATGGTCATTATATTAATACTAGATACAATAGATATCAAACGTAAAAATAAGAATCAAGATTCATCATTGGCACCTGGAGATGGTGTATAATTAATTATACCTGGTGTTGGAAATGTTCATACAGATCCCTTTTCTCCTCTTGGGCCTGGATCATATCCAGAACCTTGTGGTTTTCAGGCGAGCAGGTTGGGCATTCGGAGTCACTTTCGGCATAACTCTCAAAGCAGTGCTGGTGGAAGGAATGGCCACACAAAAAGTGCACAGACGGCAGCTCCAGCCCACTGCTACAGATACTGCACTTAGTCTTCTGAAAGATCTTCGGGCTTAGAAGAAAAACAAAATTGTGTCGCATTTCTGCCATCTTTTCTCCGCAAACTGTACAAATTGCAGGAGGGGTAATTCAAGGGAAATCTTACTTGACTACAAATCTTATGAACCTCTATCAACTTCAAAAAAGGCAACAAGTAGTTGATGTGGTCTATGGTAAATTGAGGGTTAAACCATATTAATGTATGATGTACTTCCTTAAAAACCTATGCAAAAGTGGGAATATCCATTTTAACAGCTTTTTGAGAAAGACTATATGCCTCACAGCATACGGTCAGTTTCCACAGCCTGGCTCACCTAGTTCGGAGTTCTTGGATCTCCTTGCGGATGCGGGCAGTATCTTCTCTGTACTGACGCACGGTTTTTTCATCCTCCTCTGTCTTCTGACTCAGCTTCTGCATCTTGTTGATCAAGTAGTCCCGGATCACAGACAGGGTGGCAGTAGAGTTATGGGCCAGAGTTTGGACCACTATAAGAGAAGAATTATACTAGTAACAGCATGTCTAATGTTTGTGATTTGATTTTTTTTGGGGGGGGGATAAACCTAGTTTAGGTCAAAATGTATTTTACAATCACTAACATTATATAATAATGACTTAGCCATTGTATGTAATACACCTCCACTCCCATCCAGTATCTGAAAAGATTTTCATTTGGGCAGAAGAACACTTCTTTACTTAAGGCCATAGCAATATCTTGCTTTTTCTGCATATATTCTGAATGACTCACCAAGCAGGGGTGGCATGAGATTCCGACTTTCAATATGTCCTAGTACTGTGGCTATGTGCTCCTTGCAATCTTCCTCCTTGCGTGCAAAGTAGCTGAGAGCTTGTTCCCACAGGCAGCTCTCCTGTTCCCCATAGCGCTCGCAAGCTTGGATCACCTCCTGGTATTGATCATTCTGCATGTGATAATGCATTATCTGTTGGAAACTGGACAATGCATGCACAAAAAGGTATTAGGAAAATGGATTTAGTCAAACAGTGAGTCTGAAACCTCAATATGCACATAAAAAAAAAAATTAAGTTACAGAAGTCAAATCTTCATTTGAACCCAGAGATCTGCCTACTATATTTGTTTATTTTAAAATATTTATAAAAGTTATAGAAAGTGCATACATACACCATACACATGAAAAGGTATAAAGCTGTACAAATATGCACAGTCCTTTAATTTGCTGCAGGTATAGTGGCTGTGCTTAGATACATCAAATGCACTCACAGCTTGCCTTGCTCGTACAGGTAAAGCACTCCATTTTGAAAGTTGTGCATCTGACACAGAACAAGAGCTTTATCAAACACATTCTTGAAGCGTCCACTCTTTAGAAGAGATATGGCATCATCATGTAGCTGTTTCTTCACCTGTGTAGAAAGGTGCTAGGGTCAATTTAGATTTTATACTAACCATGATAACTCAATGCGCTTTTTATTTTTATTACATTACACTACTGATCTAAACCCCCTGACTGACTTTCTACAACAATTAAAACTGACAGATCGAGAGAGTAAACAAAGTAAAGGAGGAGACTATATTTAAAAGAAAAACCTCCCACAACAAGAGGAAAGTTTTAAATTAGAGGGGCAAAGGTTTAAAAATATCATCAGGAAATATTACTTTACTGAGAGGGTAGTGGATGCATGGAATAGCCTTCCAGCTGAAGTGGTAGAGGTTAACACAGTGAGGGAGTTTAAATGGACACTATAGTCACCGGAACATCTACAGCTTATTGTATTTGTTCTGGTGAGTATAATCATTTCCTTACAGCTTTTTGCAGTAAACACTGTATTTTCAGTAAAAGTGCAGTGTTTGCATTACAACCTAGGGATAACTCCACTGGCCATGTCTCAGATGGCAACTAGAGGTGCTTCCTGGGGCAGTGCTGCACATATATGGACTCCACCCATTGCAGGGAGACCTTATATGTGCACAGAACTTTCCGCATAGAGATGCATTGATTCAATGTATATATGAGGAGATGCTGATCGGCCTCGGCTGTGTTTGGCTTGTGCTAGCTCTACCCCAATCTGCCTCCTTGAAAAGCTCAGCCAAGCCAATGCTTTCTTGTGGGAAAGCATTGTGATTGGCTCTGTTCATCACTTCTGATGAGGTCAGCCAAGAAGGCAGATCGGGGCAGAACCAGCAACAGCAGACTATAATAAAGTAAGATTTTACTATATTTACAGGTGTAAGGGTGAGGCAGGGGAGCTAGATAGTGTTTTAACACTGTAGGGTCAGAAATACATGTTTGTGTTCCTGACCCTATAGTGTTCCTTAAAGCATGCATGTGATAGGCATAAGGCTATCTTAGATATAAGATAAGGCCAGGGACTGATAACAGTATTTAGAAAATTGGGCAGACTAGATGGGCCGAATGGTTCTTACCTGCTGTTACATCCTAATGTTTCTGTGTGTGAATTATTTAAATCCCCTTTGCAAACAAACAATTCTGATTGGCTGTTTTAAAGGTTGTAGTTACCTGAGGGTCTCTTTCATGTGCCCAGTTCTGTAGTCGTAACTCAAGCAATGTATCATAAACACCTTGTGGCGAGTCGTTTTGTACCCGTGTCATGTGTTCTAGAAATATCTTCAACTCGCAGGGATTATTGGCAAAGATTGGGATAAATTCTTCTGGATTGCACTTCAACGAGAAGAGACGATTATTCAAAACAAAAGCAAAGGAACTTTGGGGAGTTCTTTTACACTAGAGAGCACGGCAAACTCACCTTGTTTCCTTCTGTTGGCTGAGGAAAGTCAGTACACAAACTGTTTAGCAGCTGAGTTGTCTCATTGGGAACATGGTGCATGAGTGTTTTCCCATAGCATTTTATGTTGCTCTCAGCTTGAGCAAATGGAAGGCGCCCAATGTATCGCAGAGCTTCATTGAAATTCTGGGAGAAAAGGAAACCAATATCAGAAAAAAAATTAAAAAAAATATTTTAATTAGAGAGCACTGGCCACTTACAACTACATCGCAGATATTAACCGTGAGATTGGTCTCTAATCTTAAATGACAAAACATGAAAGTTGCTTCAAGACTGTGTGGTGGACATGTCATCTAGCCCTCCCAAGCACAGTGAAACAAGACATTATTTCCTATATCGAATCTCTTAGATTGTATCATATGAATAATAACCTTAATGTCCTCTAGTTGGATCTTCAGATACCATTCATGATGGGCATGCTTCTCTGCCAAGTAGAGCGCATGTGAGTGGTACCCAGCCTGCCGAAGAACCTTAATTGCTATTTCCACATCAAAATGAACTTCTCCTTCACTTGCCTGGTGTAGAAAAGAATGAAAAAACAATAGCAAGGTATAAGGTATTATATAAACAGATCATCTTTCTACACAGGTATTAGAAACAAGGTTGTTTAGAATATTGCACAAACAGAATAAAATAGAAGTTAACTGGACAGAACTTAAGGTATTTAAAGCCTTATGATCTATTGGGTGGCACAGAAAGACAGAGGCACTAACAGTCGCCACTCATTTGTAATATTTAAAGATCCATTACTCATGCCTTTTTTATTTTTTAGGCTGTCAAACAAATGGCCAAAATTTTGATTAATTACTGTAAATTAATGCAGCTCACCTTGACAAATTCCTCGAGACGGGCACTGTCCTTTAGCTTTGTGTAACAGTTCAGAAGCAGCGTTGTGTGATCAGCGTTAGCCAAAGACTGGTGGTGCAAAGCCTGAAGATAAGCTGTCAAATTATGTATCCTCTGGGCATCTAGAAATTTTCTGATGACATATGAAGGCTCCAATTTTCCTATTGTTCTGGAAGCAAGAACGGAAAAAGCAATAAATGGAAAAGTGTATTTAGACAGATGGACAAACATGGAGAGAAGGACATAAACAAAAGAAAAAAAGGGGGGTGAGGAAACAGAAGGAGGTGGACTGTGGAACTTTACACAGCGCTACATTCTTTTCTAAGAAGAATGTTCAAACAAAATAGTAAATAAAAAAAAATAAAAAAATCAAATTGCAAAATGTCATCTAAAATATCCAATATGGAAAGTCAGTTATAGTCACAATTTGGTATTTCAATTCACACAATTTAAAGTTTAGCGCCCCCAAAAAAGCTGTGTTTTAAAAATCGAACCCAGAAGGTTTTATAAGAGGTCAGCTTCTCTTTTTTTAAGCAGTGAGCCTTAAAGGACTACTATAGGCACCCAGACCACTTCAGCTCAATGAAGTGGTCTGGGTGCCAGGTCCATCTAGGGTTAACCCTGCCTGCTGTAAACATAGCAGCTTCAGTTAATCCAGCCTCTAGTGGCTGTCTCATTGACAGCCACTAGAGACGCTTCCGTGCTTCTCACTGATTTTCTCAGTGAGAAGACGCCAGCGTCCATAGGAAAGCATTGCGAATGGTTTCCTATGGACTGACTGCGCGCGCGGCTCATTCGCATTGCGCATTAAGCTGGTGCTGTCCGAAGGAGGAGGAGAGTCCCCAGCGCAGAGGGAACCCGGCTCTGGAGAAAGGTAAGATTTTAACCCCTTCAGCCCAGCGGGAGGGACCTATTAATACTATAGTGCCAGGAAAACTAGTTTGTTTTCCTGGCACTATAGTGGACCTTTAAGCGAATGTCAGTTTGCAAGATCAGTTCCCAATTGGTAAATTTAATGGCAGCGTTACTCAGAGAACATTCCTAAGGGAGTCTGCAGGAAACCAGTATGCAACCTCAAACATGATGCCTGTCTTTGCTCATTTGAATGTCAAGTTGGTAACTCTGCCTTATGATTTACAGTTGCAAGAAAAAGTATGTGAACCCTTTGGAATGATATGGATTTCTGCACAAATTGGTCATAAAATGTGATCTGATCATCATCTAAGTCACAACAATAGACAATCACAGTCTGCTTAAACTAATAACACACAAAGAATGAAATGTTGCCATGTTTTTATTGAACACACCATGTAAACATTTACAGTGCAGGTGGAAAAAGTATGTGAACCCTTGGATTTAATAACTGGTTGAACCTCCTTTGGCAGCAATAACTTCAACCAAACGTTTCCTGTAGTTGCAGATCAGACGTGCACAACGGTCAGGAGTAATTCTTGACCATTCCTCTTTACAGAACTGTTTCAGTTCAGCAATATTCTTGGGATGTCTGGTGTGAATCACTTTCTTGAGGTCATGCCACAGCATCTCAATCGGGTTGAGGTCAGGACTCTGACTGGGCCACTTCAGAAAGCGTATTTTCTTCTGTTTAAGCCATTCTGTTGTTGATTTACTTCTATGCTTTGGGTCATTGTCTGTAGAGCTTCAGCTGGTAGACAGATGGCCTCCTGCAAAATGTCTTGATAAACTTGGGAATTCATTTTTCCTTCGATGATAGCAATCCGTCCAGGCCCCGACGCAGCAAAGCAGCCCCAAACCATGATGCCCCCACCACCATACTTCACAGTTGGGATGAGGTTTTGATGTTGGTGTGCTGTGCCTTTTTTTCACCACACAGTGTTGTGTGTTTCTTCCAAACACAGCTGCCCTGCCCTTAATCTTTGGTTTCATCTGTCCACAGAATATTTTGCCAGAACTGCTGTGGAACATCCAGGTGCTCTTGTGCAAACTGTAAGAGTCAGCAATGTTTTGTTTGGACAGCAGTGGCTTCCTCTGTGATATCCTCCCATGAAATCCATTCTTGTTTAGTGTTTTACGTATTGCAGATTCACTAACAGGGATGTTAGCATTTGCCAGTGACTTTTGTAAGTTTTTAGCTGACACTCTAGGATTCTTCTGCACCTCATTGAGCAGTCTGGGCTGTGCTCTTGCAGTCATCTTTACAGGACAGCCACTCCTAGGGAGAGTAGCAGCAGTGCTGAACTTTCTCCATTTATAGACAATTTGTCTTACCGTGGACTGATGAACAGCAAGGCTTTTGGAGATACTTTTATAACCCTTTCTAGCTTTATGCAAGTCAACGATTCTTAATCGTAGGTCTTCTGAGAGCTCTTTTGTGCGAGGCATCATTCACATCAGGCAAGGCTTCTTGTGAAAAGCAAACCCAGAACTGGTGTGTGTTTTTTCTAGGGCAGGGCAGCTGTAACCAACACCTCCAATCTCATCTCATTGATTGGACTCCAGTTGGCTGACATCTCACTCCAATTAGCTACTGGAGATGTCATTAGTCTAGGGGTTCACATACTTTTCCCACATGCACTGTGAATGTGTACATGGGGTGTTCAATAAAAACATGGCAACATTTCATTCTTTGTGTGTTATTAGTTTAAGCAGACTGTGATTGTCTATTGTTGTGACTTAGATGATGATCAGATCACATTTTATGACCAATTTGTGCAGAAATCCATATCATTCCAAAGGGTTCACATACTTTTTCTTGCAACTGTAGTTGTGGAAACATGATTTGTCGGGTGTATATGCACAAGAAAGGGATAGTTGAGGAAATGTGATTTGTCAGGTTTATATGCCCAAGAAAGGCCCCTCATAGTCAAACTTGAGAAATGCAGGTGATGCATAACTTTTTTTGTATCATGTTTGGCCTCACCATATTTTTTTATATCAAGAATAAATTCCAAATACTTAAGAATTTATATGGTAGTCGAACAGCAATATCCTTGCTGATAAGAGAATATTTCTATAAAGATACCAGAAAGATGTGCATTACTTATGACAGAATGTAGATATACTGTAGAGTAATCGAGCAGTAGATAAAATAAAAATAAGCTGTTCTTTAACGGAGGAGGCAAATGTCCAAGTCCTGATCCAAAACAAAACCTGGAATTTGCACTATATGCCTGTTCAACCATAATTTACCTCTTTCATATTTAGAGCACCCACACTTATTATATATCATATTACATCACATTTATATATAAAAACATAACATGAATAAAAACTGTGAGAAATTTAGTTCTGCATGGGATTTTAACAGATTGTCAGAATACTGTTGGCTTTTACTGCAATAAAACACAAATAATTGTGTTCACCAATGTCTCAAAAGTAGAACAGTACCCCCCATATACACGCGCACAGACGTTAGGACATGTCATTACGCCCTTACGTTGTAGAAGCCCCCGCTGTTTAGTGCGTTATGACACGTCCTAACAGCGACAATGGGTTACAGCTTTTCCAGTTTAATTTAAACCAATAAAATCTACTTTATCCTTGTACTCCACATATATGCTTAAAATTTAATTAATTTCAATATCTCTTCTATTATCCTGACATCTCCCTAGAGTAAAACGCAGGGCTGGCTAAATATTTCCACACTAAATTCCTATCATGAGAAATATATTTGACCTTTTCAAGTAGTGTGTCATCATGTCAGGTGTCAAGAACACTTGGATAAACCAAATATGGGGAACACATAGGGCAGCATTATACAAATGTTAATCCCTACCGAATATATTGTTGGATTGCTCCATCGTGGTCTCCTTTGCTGTATAGGTGGTCTCCGTACTGGCGGGAGATTTCGGAGAGACCATCGCTGTCCAGGTGCTGACTTTTGGCCAGAGAAATAGCCAAAACAAACAGATTCTTCTTAAACAGCATCTGAAAAGACACACAACATAACAGAAAATACAATTAAAGGCTTAATAAATAAAAATAAATAAATAAAAAAAAGTCTCAAGTCCATGTCAATCAAAAACTCAAAACCTATTTGAAGCAATTGCCAATTATATCACAAAAGAGGAATATAAAATAAAATGGCACTCATTTCTCCATGGATCAATAGCCTATATCAATTTATATCCTGGAATAATCTTATTTTTCAGAAAATTATCCATACTTTTACTTTTTTTCTCTAAATAGATCTAAAGAATGTGAGAAGACAACCCTTGGGTAGAGAATCCCACCATCTTTATAGTTCTTACACTACAAGAATGCTTTTCTTTTCTGTAAGTGAAAACGCCTTACTTCCAGTTTCAATGCGTGACCTCTTGTCTGTTGTATATTCTTGCTAATGAAAATGTTAGTACCTAGAAGATTGAGTGTATGCACTTTAAGTTGAAGCTCTGTAAAGGACTTTGTGTTGGTTTCCAAGGAGACCTCCACCACTTTCAGGTGACCAACCAGGCCTGTGAGGTCGGTGCGGAGAATGGCCACATCCACCTGAATGGTCTTCCGGAGATCACCCAGCATTTTCCCGAGCATCTCTGCTTTCATAGGTACCTAGTCCCCAGCCTTATGAGTCATCTTTGGCTGCAGACTGGGCAAAAGCCCTGTAGTACTCTCTTCTAGGGCCAGTTTTTCTTGTTGCTAGTAAGGTGATATAGCTTGTGGAACCCATCGACAGAGTGTCTGTTCGGATCAACCGCCAAACTTTGCCCCTCCCACATACACTTCTTGAATACACAAAGTCTAATAATGTAGTTTCATTGCACCACACAGACTCTGGTGAATAAAACTCACACAAAGAAACCTAAGAAGTTAAAAAGTATTGGAGGCACTCCGACCGTGCAAATTAAATCTAAGAGGACACTCCTGGCATCAAAACAACTTTATGCATTTGATAGATTTTAGCCTCATTAATATGCAATATTCTAACTATTTATTTAAACATTATCAAATCTTTTAAAAAAAACAAAAACTTTGCACAATGATACACTATAAGCTGGCCTCCTCATTCTCATAATAGGTGTGTGCCAGGCTCAGCCACTGACAGCACTGATTGTTTTGGAGTACAAAGCAACCTGCATCAGAAGGAGAGGACGTTTTAAGAGAAATATAGTAAGGCTATCACTATGTAGCGTTACTTACCTTAACCGGGGGCCGGTCGCGGTCCTCTCTTCAAGCCGCGCGCGGTCCTGCGGCTGCACGAGCCGCACGCGGCTCATCCGACTGCTTTAGATGGAGGGCGGGCAGTGACCGCGTGAAGCGGTCACGTGTCCCGCCTGAAACTAAGAGCGCGCCGCGAGTCTCGGGCGCGCTCTTAAAGAGACAGTGGGAGCCTAATTGCCAAAAGGCTCCCATTGGCTCCTGTCATACCACACTCCCTATACAATTACCTTTTGGGGGTGTGGAAGTGACAGGAGCCAATCACTTTCGTTTAAAAGCTATTTAAACTTACCTTTTTCCCTTAGCTCGTTGCCCTATCGTGGTTTCTGTTTCAGTTCCCTTTAGCGCTTGTGGTGTTCAGTTGTGTTTTCTCGTATTGACTTTGGCTTCGTATTCTGACTTCGTTTTCGCTTTATCCTTATCTGTACTGTTTGCCGGCTTGCTGTTTTCCGTGTACCAGACCCCGGCTTGTCCTAGTTTACGCTGTCTCTCTGTGCCCTTGACCTCGGTTTGTTCCTGGCTCTGTCTCCTCTCATATACGTCGAGTCCGGCCATTCTAAGGTCCGGTAGACGTATCTCTCCTCTGTATTGGCTTCTGTTTAGCTGGATCCTGCGTGTAGGGGTATATTCTCGTTACATTACGATAGGGCCATGGACCCCGCAGATTTAGCTCAACAGATGGCGTCCCATGAGGCAAGATTTGTAGAGCAGGATCACCGTATGGATCAGATAGCTCAGGCTCTCCAGACGCTCCTAGCTAGAACCGTTCCAGCAACCACACCTAACCCTCCTACGCCCCTTCTCCCTGAAGTATCTACTTTGCCTAATACTTCGGCCCATTTAACACCTCCTCCTAGGTATGGAGGGGACTCTAAGACTTGCAGAGGGTTTATTAATCAGATTGAATTTCACTTCGAAATGTATCCACGTTCATTTCCCACAGAGAGGTCTAAGGTTGGGTTCTTTATGCACCAACTTACCGATAAGGCACTTGAGTGGGCAAATCCTATTTGGGAAGCTAATGGACCTATGGTACATGATTTCAACAGTTTTCTTACGGCTTTTCGTAGAACTTTTGACACAATGAAAAGGTCAAAGAATGCCGCGAGAGCATTAATGAGAATTAAACAGGGTTCTAGGTCTGTGGCTGATTATGCTATTCAGTTTCGCACTCTTGCTTCGCAGGTAGATTGGACCAACAATGGGTTAACTACTGCCTTCATGGAAGGTTTGTCAGATACGATATTGGATGAGGTAGCAGCTAAGGAGCTTCCTATTGCCTTAGAGGACCTTATTGATTACCTCATTGATATAGATAATAGAATTCGTGACAGGCTCTATACCAAGAACAGGAATAGACGTTTTGTTACACCCATTAACCCCAGAGTTAATATACCAGAGAATGTTAAAGTGTCTGAGGAGGAACCTATGCAATTAGGGGTTGCCAAAGAAATTACATAGGAGAAGGGAGGGACTCTGCCTATACTGTGGTAGGAGAGACCATATGGTAAAGGAATGTCCTTTACTCCCGGAAAACTCTCGCACCTAAGACCTTATAGGGGACTGGCCTTGGGTGTGATATCTAAGTCTCCTAAATTGCCTCCTAACCGCTTGCTTCTCCCGGTTTCTTTATATATGGGAGAGATTTGTATAGTTGACAACATATATGCTCTGGTTGACTCTGGGGCAGCTGAAAATTTTATAGACTCTGGCTTTATAAAGAGAAACAACATTCCCATCAGAGAGAAGGAGATACCCTTGGCCGTTGAGGCCATAGATGGTAGACCATTAAGTTCTCCAGTTGTTACTCATGAGACTGTACCATTACACATGTACACAGGGGTTTTACACTATGAAACCATTCGATTCCAGGTCATCACCTCTCCCTCTTCACAGTTAGTATTAGGGTATCCATGGTTACGTGCTCACAATCCCATTTTTGACTGGGAGACAGGGCAAATAAAATCATGGAGTGAGGCCTGCCACGAGTCTTGTACGTTTGAAGTCACACCTTTGAATTCTATTAAGGTACCTACCAGTCCTCCTTTGTCTACGGCTATACCCCCTCAGTATTTATCTCTAAAGACTGTTTTCGATAAAAGGGAGGCTGAGAAATTACCGCCTCACAGACCCTATGATTGTGCTATTGACTTGTTGCCTGGCACTATACCTCCAAAGGGCAGGGTGTACCCCTTATCGGTTCAAGAAAACCGTGTCATGGAGGAGTATATTAAGGAATCACTAGAAAAGGGGTTTATTAGGAGATCCTCTTCTCCAGCTGGAGCAGGGTTCTTCTTTGTATCGAAGAAAGAAGGTGATTTAAGACCGTGTATAGATTATAGAGGTCTAAACAAAATCACTATTAAAAATGCATACCCTATACCTTTAACCCCTTAAGGACACATGACGGAAATATTCCATCATGATTCCCTTTTATTCTAGAAGTTGTGTCCTTAAGGGGTTAATTACAGAATTATTTGACAGGCTGAAACATGCCACTGTGTTCACTAAATTAGACCTTAGGAGTGCATACAATTTGATACGTATAAAGGAAAATCACGAATGGAAGACTGCATTCAACACTAGATCCGGTCATTACGAATATACTGTTATGCCATTTGGGCTTTGCAATGCCCCAGCAGTATTCCAAGAATTTATTAATGATGTCTTAAGAGATTTTATTCACACATTTGTTATCGTATACTTGGACGACATTTTAATATATTCTACAGACATACACACTCATCACAGACATGTTACGACAGTTTTGAAGACCCTTCTTGCTAATGGTCTTTATTGCAAGCTAGAAAAATGTCTGTTTGACCAAACCGAAGTCCAGTTCTTGGGGTATTTGATTTCCGCTAAAGGTTTTCGTATGGATCCCCAGAAGCTTGCTGCTGTAATAGAATGGCCTCTACCGCAAGGTCTGAAAGCTATTCAGCGTTTTCTTGGGTTCTCCAATTATTATAGACGTTTTATCAAAGGTTTCTCGTCCATTGTAGCACCTATTACCCGTATGACTAAAAAGGATGGCAATACTCGTGTTTGGTCTACCGAGGCACTTCAGGCTTTTGAATTTCTTAAAACTACGTTCGCCTCTGCACCTATTTTACAGCATCCTGTCCCCTCACTGCCCTATATTCTTGAAGTTGATGCTTCGGATATTGGGGTAGGTGCTGTCTTATCCCAAAGAGAGTCGCCTGAAAAGCCATTGCATCCATGCGGCTTCTTTTCTAAACAAATGTCCAAAGCAGAGAAAAATTATGATGTGGGTAATCGCGAACTCCTTGCTATTATTTTAGCACTTAAAGAGTGGAGACATTTGTTAGAAGGAACTAAGGATCCTATCCTCATTTTTACGGATCACAAGAACCTATCCTACCTTAGCGAAGCCAAAAGATTGTCTTCCAGGCAGGCTAGGTGGTCACTATTTTTGTCCCGTTTCAATTTTATTATCACCTATAGGCCAGGTGATCGCAACACTAAAGCAGACGCTCTGTCCAGACAGTTCGAAACTACTGACAAACAGGAGATTGATGTTACTCCTGTCATTCCCCCAGACAGGATAATAGCTACTACTATTTTGTCTATTTCCTCGTCCCTCTTGCAGGCCATACAAGCGAAACAAAGCATGGCACCTAGCGAGAGGCCTAATGATAAACTGTTCGTTGATGTTCCTGAGAGACGGGATATTATGTCATTATATCATGATACTAAGACTGCTGGACATCCTGGTATTTCCAAAACGGTGTCAGCTGTTTCTCGGTATTTTTGGTGGGATTCCTTACGAAAGGATGTCACTGACTATATAAGTGCTTGTACTACTTGTGCCTGTATGAAATCCTCCCGTAGAGTTCCTTGTGGGCTGTTGCATCCGTTACCCGTTCCCGAGAGACCTTGGTCTAACCTGTCCATGGATTTTATTGTTGAATTACCCCCTTCAAATGGTAACACAGTAATCCTGATGATAGTGGATCGGTTTTCCAAGATGGCTCACTTCGTGTCTCTTCACAAGTTGCCCACATCCAAGGAACTGGCTCATATCTTCGCTAGAGAAGTATTTCGATTACATGGTATTCCCGTATCTATTGTATCCGATAGGGGTAGCCAATTTATTTCCAGGTTCTGGAGGGCCTTTTGTTCAGAAATGGGTATTTCTCTCTCATTTTCTTCCGCTTATCATCCCCAGTCTAATGGGGCTGCTGAACGTGCCAACCAGTCTCTGGAGCAATACCTCCGTTGTTTTGTGTCTCACCATCAGGACAATTGGTCTGACCTGCTTCCTTGGGCTGAATTTGCTCGGAATAACGCCACTCATGATTCTTCCGGCAAGACCCCTTTTTACGTTGTCTATGGCCAGCATCCCGTTGTTCTTCCGGCTGCATTCTCCTCACAGGGCATGCCAGTTCTGGATGAGCATTTGGCTGGTTTGCGTAATACTTGGGAGCAGGTTCAGCGTTCTTTGGTGGACTCTGCTACTCGCCAGAAGGCTCAGGCTGACAAGCATCGCAGAGCAGCTCCGTCCTATGTTGTGGGGGACAGGGTTTTGCTTTCCACGCGGAATATTCGTCTCCGGGTGCCTTCTATGAAATTGGCTCCCCGCTTCATTGGACCTTATCGTATTATACATAAGGTTAATCCTGTTTCTTATGCCTTAGGCCTGCCTAAGAATCTACGTATTCCTAATGTCTTTCACACCTCATTGTTGAAACCTTACGTACGCAACCGCTATACCCGGCATACTCCTCCTCCCCCTCCTATCTCAGTGGAGGGTCATGAGGAGTTCGAAGTGTCTGCTGTTCTTGACTCTCGTTTCCTTAGGGGTCGACTTCAGTACTTGGTACATTGGAAGGGTTATGGGCCTGAGGAGCACAGTTGGATTTCGGCTGATGCTGTTCATGCTCCCCGTCTTGTGCGCTCTTTCCATTCTCGTTTTCCTTCCAGGCCTGGTCCTACCCGCCCGGAGGGCGTGTCCTCAGGGGGGGGTACTGTAGCGTTACTTACCTTAACCGGGGGCCGGTCGCGGTCCTCTCTTCAAGCCGCGCGCGGTCCTGCGGCTGCACGAGCCGCGCGCGGCTCATCCGACTGCTTTAGATGGAAGGCGGGCAGTGACCGCGTGAAGCGGTCACGTGTCCCGCCTGAAACTAAGAGCGCGCCGCGAGTCTCGGGCGCGCTCTTAAAGAGACAGTGGGAGCCTAATTGCCAAAAGGCTCCCATTGGCTCCTGTCATACCACACTCCCTATACAATTACCTTTTGGGGGTGTGGAAGTGACAGGAGCCAATCACTTTCGTTTAAAAGCTATTTAAACTTACCTTTTTCCCTTAGCTCGTTGCCCTATCGTGGTTTCTGTTTCAGTTCCCTTTAGCGCTTGTGGTGTTCAGTTGTGTTTTCTCGTATTGACTTTGGCTTCGTATTCTGACTTCGTTTTCGCTTTATCCTTATCTGTACTGTTTGCCGGCTTGCTGTTTTCCGTGTACCAGACCCCGGCTTGTCCTAGTTTACGCTGTCTCTCTGTGCCCTTGACCTCGGTTTGTTCCTGGCTCTGTCTCCTCTCATATACGTCGAGTCCGGCCATTCTAAGGTCCGGTAGACGTATCTCTCCTCTGTATTGGCTTCTGTTTAGCTGGATCCTGCGTGTAGGGGTATATTCTCGTTACACACTACCTGTTTGGCTGTAGTGCCTCTCACTATCTTCAGCAAAACTGAATAAAAGCAGCTCACTCTGCGCTGTAATGGACTGAGCTTTGTGCATACACTAATAAAGAAGTATTTCTGGCATGAGGGATGTGTCTAAGGAGATAAGATGCCTGGTGCAGCATCCTGGAAAACTGTGTAGAAACTATTATTTTATCATTATTACATACTATAAATGATTTGAACACATTCAAATAAAAGTAGTAATAATAATAATAAAAAACGCACATACAAAACCACAGCATATTAATAAGGCCATAACCCCACTGCATTGGTGCCTGGAGTGTTTTATCATGTCCTATCATGCTGCAAAACTTTGAGGTGTAATACCTAAATACAACATTAAAAATATATAATCTAGCTTTCCAAGAATCATAGAAAGTCTAAATGTTAAAGGGAAGGTTCTGGTGTAGAGTCATATTGAGATGTACAGTAAAATATGGAGGAAATTATATATCTATCTATCTACACACACACACTGTACAGTCAAATATGTTAAAATAAAAATATGTATTATATAGATATCTTCTGATTAGACTCGAGTGATAGAAGTTAGCAATCCATAAAATGGTATTTCTTTGAGAATACAAATACATTAACGCTTACATGAAGGTTATACATGCTAGATGAGGGAGCTCTATAAATTTTAAATATGGAACGTCAATATATTTCTTAGATAAACACAGACTTCCCACATCAAAATAGATTTAAAAAACAAACAAAAAAGTGAGATAGAAATCGTTTAGCACCTCCAATTTGGTTTGCGTGTCCTTCTCATGTAATGCATGCAAAAATCCATCTCGTGTCAGGACATACAAGGATCCCCACTCTGTCAGTACATCCACCACGTCTGCCAGGATACAGCTGAAGGCAATCAACTTGTTGCCTAGATCGTATAAGGTAAGAGTCTGTCTTTCTGGCATGCTGTCATTGCCTGCTCGAACAGCAAATTCTGACCTGTGTGAGCAGAGAAACATTTGAAACGTTTAGAAGTGCTAAAGGTAATACAACAGAGATAGAGGGCAGGAACAGCAGAAATTCTGCTAGACTGTAAGCTCACAATGGCAAATTGCTCAATATGCGTGCTTGTTTACAGTAAAGTGGGAGTCTGAGCACAAGAATTATTTATGGGTATTTCTATTTGCTTTCGTATCACAGCTATGTTACAATGCTGCCTCCCAGCCCATGTGTTCCCTATTAAGAGTTAATAAGTATGTAGGGATTTAGAAAAATACCCCTCTCTGTCTCATAGATTTTTTGGCTGAAGCTGAAAGAAGCAATGTCCATTGTTAGTATAGGACCCAAGCGGGGGAGGTTTGCCTTGACGTGACATGTGGGCTTACATGTAATGGCCATTAGAGTGGAACGAAAAACCTCCAGTTATTTAAATATGCATATGGATTTGGGCTAGTGTCCAGGTAACCCTTTTCTTTGTTTTGTTTTTTACAGTAAATCATACAGCTCTATCATACTCTTTGAAGTCACATAATAAGTATTGCTATCTAATCTTGTATGTCTAATAGTTAATTGAAACCTATGTACACGTCACAACTTCTAACACCAAAAGAATGTCAAAATCTAAATACTTAACACAAGAAAAGATTTGCTACTCACAGGATTCCCCACTCATGACATCAAATAAATAAATATACACACACATATAGATAGATGAAATCACAAATTTGCAGTGATACTACTGCAAAGGATTCTGGGTGGGCATATGCAAATTAGAGATATAGATAGATTATATATATATATATATATATATATATATATATATATATATATATATATATATATATATACACACACACACACACACACACACACAGAGATACAGCCAACCTATTAAAAAAAAAAAAAAAACAAACAAACAACAAAACTACATAGTTTAGCACTGCTATGTGCCATTAAACCATGCAAGATGGACACATTAAAGGAACACTATGGTCACCTAAATTACTTTAGTGTATAGATCATTCCCCTGCTATTTCACTGCCATTTAGGAGTTAATTCACTTTGTTTCTGTTTATGCAGCCCTAGCCACACCTGCCCTGGCTATGATTGACAGAGCCTGCATGAAAAAAAAACTGGTTTCACTTTCAAACAGATGTAATTTACCTTAAATAATTGTATCTCAATCTCTAAATTGAACTTTAATCACATACAGGAGGTTATTGCAGGGTCTAGCAAGCTATTAACATAGCAGGGGATAAGAAAATCTTAATTAAACAGAACTTGCAATAAAGAAAGCCTAAATAGGTCTCTCGTTACGGGAAGTGTTTATGGAAGGCTGTGCGAGTCACATGCAGTGAGGTGGGACTAGGGTTCATAAACAAAGGGATTTAACTCCTAAATGGCAGAGGATTGAGCAGTGAGGCTGCAGGGGCATGTTCTATACACCAAAACTGCTTCATTAAGCTAAAGTTGTTCAGCTGACTATAGAGTCCCTTTAAGAATCAAATGCCAAGTTTTACTATTTTCAGTCTGGCCACAAAAGGCATGGAATAAGTGTATTTAGCATTGGCAGCTCTCCAAAGCAGAGGTGCCCAAAAGCTAGATCCCCAGATAATATAGAACTACATCTGCCATGATGCCTTGCTAGCCTTCAGAGTAACAAAGTGTCAGAGACGTTTTATTTTTTAAGAATCTGAACCCAAAAAAAACCATGTGCCGTCTGTTTATAATGCCCTATTCCTTAGGTCCCACTCACCTAAATTTTGAAGGGAAAAAAAATAAATATAGATATTTTTTTTAACTTACCTGGAATGCTGGTTCGAGTAAACCTTTAGGAGGTTCAAGAGCTGTACAAATCATTTGACTAATTAAAACAGTCATGTCTACATGATACCAACATTTTTCTGAATAAACCTTTAAAAAACAGTCAAGGTTTACCTACCAAGCTTGTGGCTAGGGCACTCAAAACCCACAGTATATTTTTCTACCTGTTAAATTGTTGTTTGTTTTGATGCATCCAGTGTTGCTGAATGTTTGTTGGATATAACTGTGTTTTAATATGTCAAGTTTTAACCATGCGGAGAATTCTAGAACCCGTTTTCACTTTATAATAAATAGGAAACACAAATATATATATATATATATATATATATAAAAATACAAGAACCCTTGCACTCCAACTTATGAAAGACAGTACCTGGTGCTCTGGTCAGCTCGAATGTAAATAAAAAGGGATACCGGCACTCAAGGAATTTCAAAAGTTTACTTCTTAGTTGCATCTGAAATCGACGTTTCAGCTCCTCTCAGGGAGCTTTCATCAGGACAAAGACATTCTTAACAATGAAATAAACATACTTATATAGGAGATGTTATAATAGCATACTCACATTCAGCTGTTGATCGCCAGCTGCTCTGCATCGCCATCAACCACCGGGAACGTCATGCCCCTTACTGTGTTGTACTATTACTTCCTGGTTTAGTCATCTGATTACAGAAGCTGTTCTGATAGGACGAGCCCCACGTCGGCTAGGAAACCGAAAACGCTCGCATCCCATTGGAGGGAGATGCGATATTATCAATGCCAGTGTCAGGCAGGAATAATCTATCAGCCGGCAGCACAGGAATAGAAGCAAAAACTAGTTCCCTATGTAACCCCGATGGTTGATTGGAGATGCCCAGCATGATAAGCAATATACTTATTAAACCACAAATGATAAGAAGCCCCCGATTAAATATATATAATATCCCATGTAGAAGATAATACATATAACACCCTCATTATATTCTTCAGAAAATCATACATAATTAGACACATGGCAATAAATATCAATATATAATAATTCTATGCAAAAGTGAACCAACATTACATAAATTCATATTGAATCAGGTATATCATCCTAAATAAAGGGATTTAATATACATATATATCTGGAAAATTAATTCAAAATATGTATAATTAATATAATACTGTGATAAAAATAATCTAAGTACTTACTCTTAATGTGTTGAGTAAAAAATCTACTCCTTATGAATATCTGTGAAAACAACCTCTTGAATTTAATCAAGGGGAGTGTAAACTTACAAATGTGGTTATAATTCATGCTCATTCTGGTTCGCAAACAAACACGATATGATCTTGCATAATCCTAAAAAACAAGTTATTAAACTTAAAAGAACTTCAAAAAATGTATAAAACATACTAAATATATTAAAATAAAAATAGTTACCGGTATTGTCCACAGTTAAACTAGTGCTAGCTTTGAGTATCTCACTTAACGTTAATCATCCCCCACAAACTAATTCTGTCTAAGGGTCAATCCATATTATTTAATTGAAAAGTAATTTTAATCAATCTTAAAGATCTTATAAGAATGCCGCAAAGGAGCATTTCTCATTCAAGCCTTTAGGGGAGAGGGTTTGCAACTGACATATCCAGTACACTTCCCTCTGCAGCAAAATTTTAGCTCTATCTCCTCCCCGAGGAGATACAGGAACATGCTCAATTGCAACACATCTGAGAGAAGTCAACTGGTGACGTTGTTCCAAAAAATGTCTGGCCACTGGTTTGTCCGACTTGCCATCCCGATAGGCTAGCCGGATACTAGACCTGTGGCCACGAATTCTCTCACAGAGAGCTGTCTCTGTTTTACCAATGTAATTAAGTCCACAAGGACATGTCAATTTATAAATTACATGGTCGGTCCAGCAATGAATCCGTTGTTGGATTTTGTATATTTTACCTGTGTATGGATGTGTGAAAGTTTTTGAAGGGATGAGGTGACCACAGGTCACACATCCTAAACATCTCACACATCCTACATTGGTATTGTCCTTCCTTATCTTATTGTAGCAATGTCGTGGGTCCGTCATGACCAATAAATCCTTCAGATTCTTATTCCGTCTATAGCAGATCATAGGGGTCTCTTGGAAAATCTCCGGAAGTGAAGGATCCAATTCCAGTGCATGCCATCGCTTCTTGATCATAGAGTTTAGTTCAAAACTTGCTGTATTCAACTGCATGGAGAACCTACATCGTGTTTCAAGCTTTTTGGTTTCCTTCTGTAAATGGGAAGCAAACTTAAGTCTCGCTTTAGATAGTGCCCCATCAAGGACCAGTCGGGGATATCCTCTTGTTTGAAACTTCTCATACATCTGTACCAGTTGTTGTTCTCTTTGTTCTCCCAGTGAGTTGTTTCGAAACACTCTTAAAAACTGGGAGTAAGGCAACGATTGCTTCAGATGTTGTGGATGGAAACTGTTGAAGTGTAATAATGTATTACGATCCGTAGGTTTTGTAAAAAGGGTATACTCCAAATGTTGATTGACAATCATTATTTCTATGTCCAGAAATTGAATACTGGACTCACTGACCTTCGAAGTTAATCTGATTGGTGTAGGTAGATCATTAAGTTCTTGTACAAATTGGATAGCTTCTGCCTTAGAGCCTCCCCATAAGATCAAGATGTCATCGATAAATCTGAAATATCGGGTAATTTGATGTGCATATACCTGAAGGATGTTTTTAGTTTCATAGTCATACATGAATGTGTTAGCGTACATTGGAGCCATGGCGGCCCCCATCGAAGTGCCCGCTATTTGTAGGAACCAGTCATTTTCAAAACGAAAGTAATTATTTTGTAAGGTAATATTCAAAAGTTCCAAGATAAATTCTATTGCTGGACCTTGATACTGTGGTGAGTGAGAGAGCAAATTACGCATGGCCTGAACCCCTGTCTCATGGGGAATAACAGTATACAGACTAGCTACATCCATTGTCATTAGGATACCATTGAAAGTACCTACATCATGTAATCGCTGGAGAAGGTCAGGAGTGTCTTTGATGCAGGTTTCAAGAGAGGTCACTGGATTCTTAAATAGATGGTCTAAATATCTAGCTATAGGTTCTAAGATTCCTTGTACAGCTGATACTATAGGACGACCAGGAGGATTCGTAAGATTTTTATGTATTTTCGGTAGTGTATACAATATTGGTACACGAGGATGTTTATTTTGAAGAAATTGGAATAATTCCAGATCTATGTGCCCAGCATGTAATCCAAAGGTGAGTACATCTTCAATTTTTTTGGCAATTAAATGGGTTGGATCCTGTTCTAACCGTAGATAGGTCTTAGGATCATTTAGTTGTTGTCTAATTTCTGAAGCATAAGACTCATAATCCAAGACCACTATCCCCCCTCCTTTGTCTGCAGGACGAATGACTATTGTTGGATCTGTTGACAGACTTTTTATTAAGTTACGTTCCATTTTTGAGAGATTGAAGTGTTTAGGACGGTGGTGCTGAAGAATACTCTCAGATTCCCACTTCATCGTAGACAAGAAGGTCTTAATAGTGGCTTGTGTAACAGGAGGATCAAACGTGCTGGGTGATTTAGATCGAAATAAACTTCGTACAGAAGTCGTCGCTATAGTTGGAATAACTGGGTTTTTAAAAAAATCTTTCAATCTCAAAGATCGACCAAATTTATAGAGATCAATCTCCCACTGGAATGAATTAGGGGAAGTGGTAGGGATAAAGGAGAGGCCCTTACTCAAAAGATGGATCTCTGGGGTTGTCAATTCCCACTTAGACAAATTAGACACACTGGCATTGATAATATCGCATCTCCCTCCAATGGGATGCGAGCGTTTTCGGTTTCCTAGCCGACGTGGGGCTCGTCCTATCAGAACAGCTTCTGTAATCAGATGACTAAACCAGGAAGTAATAGTACAACACAGTAAGGGGCATGACGTTCCCGGTGGTTGATGGCGATGCAGAGCAGCTGGCGATCAACAGCTGAATGTGAGTATGCTATTATAACATCTCCTATATAAGTATGTTTATTTCATTGTTAAGAATGTCTTTGTCCTGATGAAAGCTCCCTGAGAGGAGCTGAAACGTCGATTTCAGATGCAACTAAGAAGTAAACTTTTGAAATTCCTTGAGTGCCGGTATCCCTTTTTATTTATATATATATATATATATATATATATATATATATATATATATATATATATATATATATATATATATATATATATATATATATACACACACACACACACACACACACACACATATATATATATACACATACATATATACATACACACACACACAGATACACACACAGATATCAAGTGGAAATGTAAACAACTTCATCACACCTGTCTCTTGACACGATAATTAGATAGCCACGATACCAGTGCACAATCAGTTTCTGTCCTTCAAAGGCAAAGCAGGGTCCCCTCTCATCTGGCTGATATAGATACACACAGTCATTACGAGCCACCACAAACTGGAGGTCCTGAGATGGATCAGAGAGAGTAGAACATCGAAGACCACAACCATGGGTATCTAAATCGGTGTATGGATAATCCTTCTGGGTCAGGTCATAAGACTAAAAGAGAGAGAAAGAAAATCCTAAATCAGTACAGGGCTACACATCTAGTCACAGGAAAAAGCCAAGAGGTGAGTGAGAGAGATTTCAGGTATATATACACACACACACACACACACTAAAGTGAGAAGAATTAGGATAAATGTTTAGGGCATAATTATTACAATCAATATTTAACAGCAAAAGAAGAAGAAAGAAAAAACAACAACCTCAGTACTGGAAATAAAAGGAACAGATTCCTTGCACCATAAGCACTATTGTCCAAGGTCCTCTCTATGGCCCTTCTTAGCTTTGTAGAACTAGTAAGTTGTACGTAAGTTGTCAAACCATACTAACAGCACTCCTGGCACCATATCCACTACAATGGGCTGTAGTGGTTATGGTGCTTGTTGTTTTCCTTTAATACGGTGACTAAAACACTTCATATTATGCATCAAACATACATAGACAAAGTTCTTACCCTCACACTTCCTGTTGTGACCACAAATAGGTGAGTGGTTTTGCCCGACTGCCTGAAAGCCATTCCTGTAATAGGATCATTCCCTTCCTGTAGAATCTGAGTCTTACTATGTCGGTCCCGTGTTATATCGCCTTTGGTTAAGACCACACTGCCATCTGTGAAACCTAAGAGAAAAAACCAACAGCATCCGGTATGAACAAACATTCAGGTAACATTGATCAGTTTTATAAACTGATGTGAAAATTAAACAGATTGGAGAGTTTTCCCGTCATAAGGCATGCTAATACAGGTTGAAAAAGAGGCTTGCATGTTTGGAAAGCAGATACGGTGTTCTTTCTCATTCTTGAGATGGTCAGTAGTTTCGATAAAATATACGTGACCTTGACAGAATGTTAGAAGGTGACGAAGTGTGCAGTGAGGGAACAGACATAATTAAATTTTCTTGTTTGTTTTTGTGTTTTGTAAACAGACCCACCTTACCCCCCCAAAAAAAGACATCTTTATCCAACTTACTACTTGTGATTTAAGAGTTCCTGTTTAACAGTGTTAATTTGTGCAGAAGATTAGTGAGAGATCTGTAGAAAGCCAATTGTGTGACTTCACAGGAACTACCTGGGTTAATATATCAAAAATGTAGACAGAGCTAACTTCTAAACAGAGCCGATGCCATTCTGATGAGCCCAGGACTCTTTAGAGGCTAATTAGTACAGCAGACAGCAGATTTGGCTAATGATCCACAAGATATACAATCCCACATTATGATTAGAATGCCCTGCACATAAGAACTATTCTGGGGTCAGAGTCCTTTAAAACTGGTAAAAATGTAGAGATAGGCAGCATGGCCTGAGAGAAAAAGGGGGGTGGGAGAGAGTGGCAGTTGCATGTCACAGCTGCAAGCCCTCCATCAGCTCTGCCTGAGTGACATCCCTGCTCTAGCAATGAAAGGGACTAACATCACAAGAGGATGATTGGGCTGCAGGGAGAACTTGGCCTTGGTGCAGGATTACAGGTAAGGTTATTTCGTTTGATGGGAAGGAGCATCACCAAAAGGTTACAACAACCAAACAGTATTTTATTTAAAAAAATAAAATTTTTTGAGGGGTTGGAATAAGCCTTTAATATAAGTTGACTACCTGGGTATGCCCCATTTAGTAAATGGGGTCCAATATAAAATTCTCTCTCTTCGATGATGAATAATACTCAGGTTGCATATGTAAGCCTCTGCTATAAGCTATCCACCGGTGCCTATGGCCAGGTAGTATATACATATATATTTTTCCTTTTTTTTTTTCCTCCTATCTTAAGTAAAGGCATATGTAGTTTATATTTCTTACTATAATGCAAGTATGGAGGTTTATGGTTTTCCACCTTGTTGCTTACTTGTGTTTCCTTAGATTATTTCCCATTTAGGATGCTATTGGTGAGCATTCAGACCTGTTTTATACATTCACTGCTGGGGTTTTATAAGAGAATGCTGCTAATAGTTTTACTGACTGTCAGGTTGGCCTGAATACTGCCTGAACTCACAGTATGATAAATCTGTCACCCAGGAAAAAAAGCCAAGTCCACACCTGTATGCAGCATGTGCTCAAAAGCCTGATTTTATTGTTCCATGTCAGCTCCCTTACCCAAAGCCAAAATTTACTTTAATATGAATACACAAACCGATTCATTATCATGTTGAGTTCATAGTTGAGAAGTTTGGTGGAATGGGACATTGATACACCTTGTAATGCAAAAATTAATTGCCAAAAATGTAAAAACAAGGACCATACGTTATGTGGACATCATTTCCTGCACAGTCCCAAAACTAAGCTTTCAGACCAATATTTTCCTGTAGTCCTGCAACTCATATAAACCTTTGTAGTTTAAAAGCTCTAAGGATTCATTTTCCACTACCTCCCTCTTTTCTGTTTCCACTGAATTTGCATTCCCCAGTAAACTCCACTGAGCAGACAATAACAGACATTTAGGCATAGAAAAAATTAGCCTTTAGATAAGGTTCACACTCATGGGTAAATGTAATTGTGACTCATACTATAAAACAAGGTGAAAATTGATGCTAGTTACATCAGGCACGCGAGTACGTTTATATATATATATATACACACACACACACACACACACACACACACACACACACATATATACATACATACATACACACACACACACTCTCTCTCTCCATAACCAGTAGAGCATGCTGTAGTGGTAAAATGGTTGCGTCCCTATGAAAGTAAAAGTATTTGCAAAAGTTTTACAACATATCTAGAGCCAGTTTCAGCATGCACTGAGCTTCCATAAGCTTCCCTGAGCTAAGCCATATAGTGCAAGGCCAGCTAATTGGCTGAAGGTATCAGGCAAGTGCTTCTGACTCTCTGGAAGGAGGTGGATGGCACCTGGCAGAATCCAGGTAAGTTGTCAAAACACTTTCTTACTTACATTGGGAAGGCACAGGGGCACTTGCGGTTTTGCTTTCTCTTGTACAAGTGCATCCATTACTTTTCATAAATGAGAAGCAGTAAGTTGGTCAGCATGCCAGCTGTTATATGATTTTGGTTGCGATGTGGAATATCAGTTTAAGGATAACGGAGGATACATCATTGCACACTTACCAATGGCCATGAAGTTGAGGTTCTCATGGACGGTTATACAGGATACCACAGTAGGTTTATTGCCCGGAATAGCCGGGAAGATTCTAGTGCAAAGTGGGGTACTTCCATCCCTCTTTTCCAGGTTCCACACCTTTACCTGAGAGAATAGCATATGCATATTAAAAATACACCATGACATCTCAGATTGCAAATTTTCTCTTTGCATAATTTCGCACGAGGGAGCAAAACTAACTCAGGCACTTTTATTCACTGTGGGACTCGTTTGTTGCTGTTTTTTGTCTTGCACTTTCAGCAAAATTACAAAATAGGTGACATCTTGGCATATAATCTGTAAAGCAAAAATACCTGTAGTTAAAAAGTTACAATTGGAACTGTAAACATTTGTACCTCCAGTTCTTTTTAAAGCAACACTTAGAATCTTGCTTGCCTGAAGTTGCAATAGCACTATAATCTTCCCATAACCGATATCAGAAATATTACACCTCCGGTAACAAAATACAAGATTTCCTATTCAACACCTGAGAATCTCGTTAACAAAGGCATAGCATTTGTTTTCCTTATTTCCTTTAACTTAATACATTGTTTTATAATCTTTTCATTTCCACTTAATTTAAAGTTGTGGGTGTAAACAGCTCTGTTCTTCACACATGCACGTGTTGCTGTACCATTTTCCATACACAAAACAAAAAAACTTTAACTTTATTAAAAATAACAAAACATGAGGCCAGACTTACAAAAAGTAATTAGGTATATATTCATGCATAGAATAAGTCTTAATTTGCATTTATATGAAGGACAACTATAAAGTGGTGTGATATTCTGTTCATCTTCAGGAATGCTGATAAAAGAAATACAATTTCCATAAGGGATTTGTCATTCTAAAGACTGGCAAAGCATCATGGTAGTTGTAGTTTTATGACACCTGGGGATCTCCTGTATAGATATACCTGCTTTAAGTTCCACATAGATGGAATTTCATGTTTTTATACTCTCATTCCTGTTTCACACTTACAACTGGGTTGATTCCATCCTCATCTTCCCCAACTGACACCAGGATGCTGTGCTGCTTCAGCTGATGAAGGTGAGTGACACGCAGTTTGTAAGCCTGGAAGGATGTCAGCTGCAGAGAGCGTGGCAAGAACCAGATCTGCCCTGTCATATGTAATGCTCCGTTAAGGACCAATTTTGGAACAAAAGTTTACTGTGTATACATTATTAGTATGATAAAATTTATGGACAACATAAACCAGCAATACTCCCTTCAGAAGACCAAGATATCAGTTTTTCCCTTTCATTAAGGGACATAAGACTAAATCACATCTGAGAATCTTCTCTAATTTCTAAACTGATCTATGTCTCCACTTCTTTCACATTAGACTTGGGTCTGCAACAAAATAAATATAGGCAGTACACCGGGCTGATGAAATCGTCTGCAAGTGCATAGATTAAAAGATACACATCATCACTCATTTACATTTCAAATCCCGAAGACTTCCTGTACACATGGCATAGAGTAGACTACATGAAGCAGCTGCCTCCAAATGACACAGACAACATTACATCATTTCTAGAATGAAGGTGAATGGTAAGAGAGAGGACTTGCCAAACATGTATAGGGCTATTTTTACCAACTTAAAATTTTAGTAAATTAAATCCAAATGGTAACATAACTAAAATAGTGACAGTGAAGTAATTTTTGTCTTAATTTGTATTTAATTCAGTAATGCGATGTTTAATTAATAACCCTTTAAGATAGAATATTCAGATTGACAGTCACTAGAGTCAGTCTTCTTTCTGCAAGAGGAGTGGGGTCTTACAGAGAAAGTGAGATGAAATAAAGAAAATAAAAATGAGCAAAACTGAAATGGGGACAAAATTTACATTTGGATAGGGGTAGAGAGATGGAGGATGGAAAGCACAAACTGGGAGAATGGTAGACTGGAAAAAGCACTGTTGCTTGAATTGTGCAAAAGTTTGGGCGCGTGAAGGGTTATTTACAAAAGTGAATTTCAAATCAAAAGCAGTTGAAGTGAAAGCATAGCTAACTTGAAGATTTAAAATTTTCCTATTCTGTCTATTATGACCTTAAATTTGAAAGATTATTAAAAGCAGACATTACTCCCTCTAAAATGTATAGGTTCCATAGCAATGCCAAAAAGGGCAAAACACATGGTTGACAAGCCATGGGCACAATATAGAAATAAAGTACAGACAATAAACATTTGCAGAAGGAAACACCTTTAAGTTACTGAAACTGCACAATTATAGAACTATTACAATTTTGTGACAGGCCTTCAAACAGGAGGATAACCCCTTCCAGAACCCTCTTCGTTAATTGGGCTTTTGTTTTGATATTTTAGGGGCCAGTGAGTGGTGAAACTAAGGGGCCAAATTTTGATATATATTTATTTTTTAGTCCACAGGCATTTTATCCTCTATTATCCTACATTTCTATACAAAGAGTACAGATATTAATAATAATAACAATGTACACCAGTCTACACATCCCATTAAAACTCCAGGATATCTCCGAATAACAAGCTGCCCCGGCCGGAGTCGCACACACTCAGTCCAGGCGGCAAGCTGAGAAGTTGCTCATCTTCTCCCGGTAACCGGACCGGTTCCTTCTCAAAGAACACTAAACGCCTCCACTGCGGTAAGGTCGCCATCTTTCCTCCCTGTGGAGCCAGCAGGTCACATGACAAGAAAGGACAGTCACATGACCTTTTACAGCGCCGCTAAGAGAGTGGACCAATCCGCGCGTCAGTCGGTGGTCATGTGACAGCAGCAAAGCTGTCGGCGTAGAATGAGAACGTGGATGTTTCTGGCAGTATGGAGGTCCGCGTGTTATTACAGTGCACTTATAATAATATACTGACAGGTGTGGGTAGGCAAAAAATAAATTGGCAGGATCAAGTATGTTAGTAGATTTCGAATTAGGCAGTATTTATGTAGTTTCCAGGGGACTTGGATACTGTATATTTACTGTAATATATTCAATATATCATCCAATATTTATTGTATCCATTTTGAAGAATCACTTTAAGATCTGCTAACTCCTAAATGGCTTGAGACCAATTTTAAACACTCTCATTGAAGGGTTACTCCTACCACTATGACCTCTTCTGCTTTCTGTAGTGGTTATGGTGGTGTGAGTCTGGATATGCAGTGTTTCTGTTTGGCAATTGGGTGTGGGGGGGGCTGGTTACATCCCCAGCATATATGATTTAGGTAGTCTGGAACTTTGTTCTGGGATACCTAATGTCCATTCTGTGCATAAAAGCCATCTGTCATCGGAGTACACTGCACACTGCCAACAGATGTAAGCTCCCCTCTTACACTGACTGCAGCCCTCCCTATCACCATAGTTTATCTAAGGCACTTGGTAAAGTTAAAAGGGGAAGTTGCCATAGGGCATGTGGTAGCTGAGATGATATGAGAGGTTAGTAGTCAATGGAAGGCTGCTGCAGATCAAGGGATTCAAAGTTTCTGTAGACTCTAAGTGTGGCAGGTAAGGTTGGATGGGTGCGTGGAGGGATGGGGGGGAGAGAGTGAGGGAGCCATATGACACACAAAATGTCTTCCAGATCATCCACTGGCCTAGCCAGGGCCGGACTGGGAGAAAAATTCGGCCCGGGCATTTTTTTAACACAGCGGCCCACTAAAAAGGGGGCGGGGCAGAGGAGGTGTGTTTTGTCATCACCAATGGCAAACATGCCTCCTCTCAAAGTGAGCATGTTGGTTCAATGCTCTTCCAGGGCAGACCATGCGCAGAGCTCTGCTGAAGAGCTCTAGCATGAGAAAAAAGTCCTGTATTTGTTCTGCACAGTGCAAGCAAATTTAATAACATGCTTGCACTGTGTTTCCTTGCAACTTGTCTCTGGTGTCTCTATAAATGGATACCAGGAGACAAAAGGCCAGGAAAGAGTATTGTGCATGTGTTTGGAGCCTGCTTGTGGTATTGCGTGTGTGTAGAGTGAGCTGGTCGTGGTGTGGTATTGTGTAATAAGGTCGGTTTTAGTCGTGTTGTGTTTGTGGTGTAATGTGATGCATATGTGGCTCAGGGACCCCCTCCCGCCCGGCTCTGGAAAAGGGTTAAAACTTACCTTTTTCCAGCGCCGGGCGGGGAGCTCTCCTCCTCCGATCCGGCCTGTCGGCTGAATGCGCACGCGTGGCAAGAGCTGCGCGCGCATTCAGCCAGTCGCATAGGAAAGCATTTATAATGCTTTCCTATGGACGCTTGCGTGCTCTCACTGTGATTTTCACAGTGAAAAGCATGCAAGCGCCTCTAGCGGCTGTCAATGAGACAGCTGCTAGAGGCTTTGGGGGAAGGCTTAACCCATTGATAAACATAGCAGTTTCTCTGAAACTGCTATGTTTATAAAACAATAGGTTAACCCTAGAAGGACCTGGCACCAAGACCACTTCATTAAGCTGAAGTGGTCTGGGTGGCTAGAGTGGTCCTTTAAGAGTGTAGTGTGTGTGTGTGTGTGTGTATATATATATATATATATATATTTGGAAGTATGTGTGTGGTGCAGTGTGTTGGGGGGGTTCTGTGTGTTGGGGGGGTTCTGTGTGTATGTGAGGGTGCGGTGTGTGTGTGTGAGGGGTGCGGTGTGAGTGATGGGTGTGAGAGTGCCGTGTGTGAGGGTGCCGTGTGTGAGGGTGCAGTGTGAGGGTGCAGTGTGAGCGTGCTGTGTGAGAGAGTGCTCTGTGAGAGTGCTGTGAGAGTGATGGGTGTGAGGGTGCTGTGAGAGAGTGCTGTGTGTGTGAAAGTGCTGTGTGTGTGAGAGTGCTGTGAGAGTGCTGAGTGTGAGAGTGTTGTGTGAGAGAGTGCTGTGTGTGATGGGTGTGAGAGTGTTGTGTGTGATGGGTGAGAGAGTGCTGTGTGAGAGAGTGCTGTGTGTAATGTGTGAGAGAGTGCTGTGTGTGATGGGTGAGAGTGCTGTGTGAGAGAGTTCTGTGTGTGATGGGTGAGAGAGTGCTGTGTGTGATGGGTGTGAGAGTGCTGTGTGTGATGTGTGAGAGAGTGCTGTGTGTAATGTGTGAGAGAGTGCTGTGTGTGATGGGTGTGAGTGCTGTGTGAGAGAGTGCTGTGTGTGATGTGTGTGAGAGTGCTGTGTGTGATGGGTGTGAGAGTGCTGTGTGTGATGGGTGAGAGTGTTGTGTATGATGTGTGTGAGAGTGCTGAGTGTGCTGAGTGTGAGAGTGCTGTGTATGATGTGTGTGAGAGTGCTGTGTGTGATGTGTGTGTATGATGTGTGAGAGAGTGCTGTGTATGATGTGTGAGAGAGTGCTGTGTGTGATGGGTGTGAGAGTGCTGTGAGAGAGTGCAGTGAGTGTGATGGGTGTGAGGGTGCTGTGAGAGAGTGCTGTGTGTGATGGGTGAGAGTGTTGTGTGTGATGGGTGTGAGAGTGCTGTGTGTGATGGGTGTGAGAGTGCTGTATAAATGTTATTGTGTGTGGGGGGTAAATAAAAAAAATAAATAAAACAAAAAACAGTCATTATTCCCCCCCCCTCCCTTCTTACCTTTAGCCTGGGAGAGGGAGGGGGGGGGGACCGGCACGCTGGCACCTGGCAGGCGGGGTGGCGGGGTTCCCTGGTGGTCCTCGTGGGTGAGAACTCTCGCGAGATCCGGTCGTTGCTATGGCAACGCGCCGGATCTCGCGAGAGGAACCCGGCGGAGCTGCAAATTAGAGCTCCGCCGGGTCCTCTCTCCAGCCTGGCTGGCTCCCTCCCTCCCTCCCCGCCGGCGGCCGCATGTGGGCCGGTGAGGGAGAGCTTTGATCTCCCCACCGACCCGTCGTGGCAGACAGCGGGGCCGGCGCTGGGACAGTGCCGGCCCTGCAGGGGCCGCCCGGGGAGATCCTGTGATCTCCCCTGCCGGCCTCGGCCCCACGGCCACCGCGGCCCACTGGGCATTTGCCCGGTGTGCCCGATGGCCAGTCCGGGCCTGGGCCTAGCAGTGTTATCCTCTGTTGTGGAGATGGAGAAAAAGTGGTTAAATGTGCTCACAGTTCACGAAAAGTTGCATTTAAGGCATTATAAGTGCATTCATGAACTCAAAAGCAATGCTCAAGTGTACCAGTAAAGCAGCCTATATTCCTAGAGCTGATGGGATGATGCTCCTCCTATGTGAGCGGGGACATGTACAGTCACTCTCATGTGCCTACCTTTGATGATCCTTGGCACATTTACTGACTTTGTCATAGATAAAGGTAAATAAAGGGTTAAAACCTTTGCCCTAGTTAAGTCCTTCCACGTCTGAGAGGGTTAAAAGTTAAATTCTTCACTCCTGCTTCTGTCAGCAGTCTTGGCAGCTGAAACCCCTTCTCTTTCTCATGAAATGTTACTTTTTGTTAACCTTGATATTCTTAGATAAGACTCTCAAGTAAGTAATTCCGCTAGATGAGTCTTAAACATACTGCACCCACTAATTGTTGCGAAATGTCTTTTCTTTCTTCTTACCTGTTTTAACTTATGGATGTATTGAAAAATGAGACTTGGATTTAATAACACATATTAACCTGTAACCCACAGATGTCTGGACAAGTCTCCTTGATGGCTCCTTTGGTATGAGATGGCAAGAAAACCGAGGTGAAAATTTAATTAAAGTCCCACAGGTATAACTAGTATACCTGGATATACCTTGCCGAGAACTCTCACCTGTGGTGCCAAAAAACAATACACAAGATCCAGCGCACTCTCCTATCTACTAAACAGCAACTTCAATGTTGACAGATTTTATTAGTTTTTTCTAAACGTTTTTTTTTTTTTTTTTTAAACACCTAATCTAGGCAATAAATAATGGAGATTTAGTTACATTATATGATCATACATTGCATAAGCCTGCCACAATGTCAATGTACCCCATCTTTGGCAGGTCCTACTCTCACAGTCTAATGTCTACTCTTATGTGAATAACTCACTTACTTAGGGGAAAAAAAATCCATTTGAGGTTTTCTGCAGTACAAGGCTAAATAGGGACCTGAGATGAGGCACCTGTGACAGGGAGGGGTGCAAAACCAAGGAGTTGGCTAGACTCCCAAATATATTCATATATGAAACATGGGGGGGTGGTTGCACTCACCTGAACATGTGCTGCTGGGGGCCATATTATACAATAAATAATACACAAGATCCAGCGCACTCTCCTGTCAGAGTGTTTATATCGGCAGACATCTTGTGCTATGATAGAAATTAAAAGTGTATATTCTGAATCACTCTGAACAGACCAGACTCCATTTTGTTATTTCCAAGTTAACAAAAGACACAAGATTTCTATCTGTAAAACTAACCACTTTGCCAGAGCTAAAGGAATGCATAGTATATACAAACCAAGTGATAAGGAGAACGGGGGTTGGATAGACTGTCTAAAATGCTAATGGAATAGATCAATTCTAAACCCAGACATTTGTGACAGAGAAGATTAAATAATAAAATTTTACTTTCTATATGTACAAGACCCCATTGTAAGTTTAAGGTTAAACTTAGTTCACGATCTGCCATATCAGAAATTATAGCAGGAATCACAGACACTAAGTCTGGACAAAACTAAGAGAAAACCCTTTGAAGTGAAAGGAAACGTAAGTTATGGCACTATAAAGATAGGCCAAAATGACGTCAAAATAGCCACCAGGAAAAGTTAACTCTTTCCTGGATAGGTATGTTTAGTGGGACAAGACTGCCCTCTATAGATCAAATAACTAAATTGCGATCTGGAAGATAACCACACCCCCAGTGTTGCTATTGGTTTACCAACTAGTGAATTTTCCCTTTAAAAGTTAGGACAAAGGGAAGACAGGGGGTATGCAAAGAAGAAGGAAAAAGAGGAGAGAGGAATTGGAAGTTTGGGGACTCCAACTCGGACATGCAGAGAAACCCAGGACAACATCTGAGACTAACACTCTACTCTTAAAACTCTAACACTTAGAATTTTACTGACTTTCTAACCAACACCACCTTTCACCATAACTCATGCACCTACAGACATCCAAATAAGTTCCTGAGACTATCTACCAATCGGATGAAATATCTACTCAACTGGTAATTATACTGGTTTCATTTAATTAATTTAAATTAATTAAAATTTACTAATAGCATGATATATGACTGGATAAAGGTCACGAAATCTTAGTTAACTAAAGAATATATAGTCCATTCTGCAGGTGGAATTAAGAATAATTATATATTAATGTGATATTATCACGTGTTAGCATACCGCTGTTTTTATCCAGGTGTATTGATTTGCTCTAATATAAGATAAGATATCTTTTAGACAAATTAAATTCTGCTTATATAATATGGTAGATTCTCTTATTGGATGGTTCCAGGAAATGACTAATGAACTGGTTTAAATGTTATTTTATTAAAAATTACATAAGAATAGATCTTAATTACCTAGGAGGTCTAGCCAGCATTGAAAGGGTTATTCTAACTGTTAGCCAGGGTTTTATGGCCCTTCGCTGTGAAAAGCTTAGCTTTCTCTCTGTGAAAGATAGTCATAAATCGTCAAAAGTCTTGACAGAAAATGCTGTTTAGCCAATGAAACGTGTATACCCATTCCTTTGTATTGCATACCATTTTATACTGGATATTCATTGATTATTGTCACGCATGTTACATATTATTATTATTATTAATTAATTGGTTATTATAAATAAATCTATTTTTATAACATTGTGATATTATTTATATGAAATACTTTTCACTTAACACGATAACGATATTTGGGATCTGAGAATTGAATTAGTGGGCAATTCTCACTGTTTACTATTATTATCCCATAAATATCCCCATACTCCTATCTACTAAACAGCAATTGGCAGGCTTATGCAATGTATGATCATATAATGTAACTAAATCTCCATTATTTTTTGCCTAGATTAGGTGTTTTTTTTAAAAAAAAAAACCTTTAGAAAAAACTTTAAAAAAACTAATAAAATCTGTCAACATTGAAGTTGCTGTTTAGTAGATAGGAGAGTACGCTGGATCTTGTGTATTATTTACTGTGGTGCCAAAAGAGGGGAATTGTCATAGATAAAGTTAAAATTTCTATATCAAGGGGGCGGGGCCTGACTAGCAAGCTGGGCAGAGGTGTTCACTGATAGCTCCTGCCAGCACAAACTTTAAAGCAACTAAACCCACATAAAACAGTGGCAGAAGGTCTAGAAACTACCTTGACAAGCATCTTAAACGACAGGTATACAGAAGATCCCAAACTATTTACTCTTGACAGAGTATATTACCTTCTGGCCTTGCAGCCTATCAGGATTGCGGGCCCGACGGCTAGGAGAGGTGGCCGACCTCTTGCTTAAGACCTCGCATCTTAAGGAACAGCCACAGACACCCCGTTACCCCCCACCCCTCTGGACCGGCGGGGGTTATCCCTGTCCCCACTGGGCACACTACTAGCCTGCGAAGCTCAAAAGCGGCAGAGTCCCAGACCGCGTGGCGAATCAAAGATGGCCACCACACAGAGGCCTTCACAGCAGCAAGCAAACCCAGACAGCCTGGAATGGGCAAGAGGCTTCGAAGCCAAATTTGAAATGCTATGCCGAGATTTCTGGACACGCATAGCCAACAGATCCAGTACTCCCACCTCACCTACCCAACTCCACCACAGAAAGCAGAGGCCTGCCACGACAGCTCCGACCCGCTCGAACCGACAGCAAGGCAAAGTTACAAAAACACCTGCGGGGAAACCTGTCACTCTGTCAAAAGAGGGTATACAGAGGCGAGTACCTCAGACACTGCCGTGCCGCCGACAGCCAGGGCATTCCAGCAAGGTACAACAGGCATAGGAACGGCAAAAGAGGTCCTCACACCCAATGCTCACGACCTCATGTGGCTCCAGCCCAGCGTAATGCGGCGACACAGGCAGTGGAGAAACCCGCGCAAAGCCAGCAAACACCTAGACATCTCAGATGACCTACTTTACGATCTCGCAGCAGTTGCTCTGTGGGGCACACTGGAGGAGGCCGGGTCTGTGCTCACAAGCAGCAAGGTGGTCTATTACTTACTCGGCAACGCCGAACACGAGCTCCCAGAGACTCTGGCAAGGCAGATAATGAACACTCTTCTTGGTTGTCGGGACATTACTTGTCGGGCAGAGGCTGAACTGACAGCACACTGCTACCTATGAGCCACATATTTTATATATATATTTTATTATGCTTTTTCTTAAAGTCCATAGGTACGTGATACCTGCAAGTCTCACAGACCATGTTAATACATAGGCAAAATGGAGCTACTTCCAACTCAGAAGCCTGTTACCAGTACCCAGTGGCACAATAACAGTATTGTTTAGCATAACAACTCAGTATGTCTTTACTAGCTATTAGCCTTGTGCATTTCCTCATGCTCTACTTACCGTATTACCTTAATATGATGAGCAACATGCCTATGTATATGCAAAGCTCAGCCACTTTCCCTTAACAGTAATTCCAGACGTATACTGCTCAGCCTGTAATCTAAGTATACCATAAAAAAATTTTAAATGTGCGATATATGTGAATGCCATAACTATGTTTTGTATGACTTGTTATCAATCTGTGTACAGAAGCTGCCGTGGCTTACCGAACACTGTGTTATCTCTTTGCACACTAGAAATAAAGAATATAAATTAAAAAGAAAAAAAAATTATATCAACTTTACCCTAAAAATAAATATCTACAGTTAGGCCTGGAAATATTTGGCCACTGACACAATTTTCATTTTCTTTTTTTTTTTTTAAATATAATTTTTATTTTCGTTTTGAGGCAGTTCTACTTCGTTTGGACTCGCAGGTCCGTCACTTGGTAAGTGCAAAGAGTAAGTCAGCAGCGTTGTAAAGGTATATAACAGTGCGGGCTCGCAGGCTCCTTAAACAGTGTGGACTCGCAGGTCCCATCCGTTATGGAGTTTTATACGTTGTATGAAACAAACAGTTCAAGAACAAACAACTTATGATGAACACATTTTGTCAGCCTCCTAGCATGGACAGCTGGTTAGCAACAAAACACCTCCCCGTCCCCACGTGGTCCGTGGTGATTGTCTGTCGTCTCCCCTACTCTACTGAGGTCGTTGGGTACCTGCCTATGTGGAGTATGTCCTCTATGTGTGTCCTCCGGGTCACCCTTATCCGTGTGGTTCCAGGTGGACAATTTTCATTTTCTTTGCTTGGTACGGCACCACAATGGATATGAAATGAAACAACCAAAATGTAACTGAAGTGTAGACTTTCAGCTTTAATTCAGGAGGTTAAACAAAAATATTGTATGAAACGTTTAAGGATTGCAACCATTTTCATACACAGTCCTGTTATTTCAAAGGCTGAAATGTAATTTGACAAATTAACACAATCATTAAATGTTGATTTTTAATACTTTGTTGAGAATCCTTTGCAGGCAATGACAACTTGAAGTCTGGAACGCATGGACATCACCAAATGCTGTGTTTCCTCCTTTGCGATGCTTTGCCATGCCTTTACTGCAGCTGTCTTGAGTTGCTTGTTCATGGGTCTTTCTGCCTTATGTTTTGTCTTTAGCAAATGGAATGCATGCTCGATCGAATTGAGATCAGGTGATTGCAGAATGTGACAGACCGCCTGACACCCCCACTGGGTGCCTCCGCCAATCGTTCCTTCCTAGTCGACTTGAGTAACATACGCACCGCACCGGACACCATCAGCACCTTAGCCCCCCTAGCCGATGCAGCTTGGCTGGGGTCTCGCCGTCCCTTCCCACCCTGGACCTAACTCCTGGATCCAGCTCTCAGTGGGAAGGCCTCTCCTCCAATAGCGTATAGCTGTGAAGCTCTTACAAGAGCTAGTGGTCATAACCTGTAGAGGCTGGCTTAACCCCAGATGTGAACATAGCAGTTTCTCAGAAACTGCTATGTTTACATCAGGCAGGGTTAACCCTAGAGGGACCTAACACCCAGACCACTTCATTGAGCTGAAGTGGTCTGGGTGACTATAGTATCCCTTTAAGTTGGACTGGTTTAATGGTAGCCACACTGGGAAGGGGTACGCCCACAGGGACCTTGTGGGGGACTGATTTGCAACTTCACAGACCAATAACAATAAGGCACGACACTCCCATACACAGCACACAATCCCTCCCCTCTGCCTTGGAGATAATTGGATTAGTAACTGTACTAATTCTAATCCAATTATCTCCAAGCACAGAAAAAACATACTTTTTAAAAACACCTAAAAAGTACCCTAAAAACACAAAATTTTATCCCCTGTTAGCCCTTATCTGGGTGACCAACATATCCAAAAATCACCCAGATCAGTTTAGGGGTTCAGGAATTTCCTGTAAGTCATTTATTTGACCGACCGCAGGCATGGTCCCATGCCCAAACCAGTGAAGATCCAGTCACAATGCTTCCCCATAGGATTGGCTGACACTTACAAAGAGGCAGATCAGGGGCACAGCCAGCACAATTCAAACACAGCCCTGGCCAATCAGCATCTCCTCATAGAGATGAATTGAATCAATGAATCTCTATGAGGAAAGTTCAGTGTCTGCATGCAGAGGGAGGAGATACTGAATGTTTGGTTGCATTTTAGGCAGCCATGACCCAGGAAGGATCTCTAACAGCTATCTGAGGAGTGGCCAGTAAAGTTATCACTAGGCTGTAATGTAAACACTACAATTTCTCTGAAAAGACAGTGATTACAACAAAAAGCCTGAAGGTAATGATTCTACTCACCAGAACAAATTCAATAAGCTGTAGTTGTTTTGGTGACTATAGTGTCCCTTTAATTCCATTTGAAATGTTGGGAGGTTTGGAGTATGGTATCAAGTAATGCACACAACACTACTTTTCTCATAAAAATGTTATGTTATAGTTAAACCGATTGAGAAAGCCCAACCAGTGATAAGCAGGAGAAACCTCTATTCTACTGACATCTCAGAAATCAAGGTTCATCAGGCCTGGCAACATTTCTCCAATTTTTAAGCAATTTATTTATTTTTGTCCACTTTAACCCCTTAAGGACCAAACTTCTGGAATAAAAGGGAATCGTGACATGTCACACATGTCATGTGTCCTTAAGGAGTTAATTGCATCTTTGCATATCAGTCTTTTGTTTTCAGCTGAAAGAACTGGGACCTGGTGTGCACTTCTGACAATATAGTTTATTGACTTCAAGGTTCATTGCGTTGTGCTTTCATAGTCAGTGTAGTGTATGTAGCACTGTATTAAATATTAAAAAAAAGGTAAAAAAAGGTGCTAAACGATATTAATCTATGTGATGCAATTGTGAAAAAAATGAAAAGTTGTACAAAAACAAGCAGCACATATAAAATGCAATAGCCCATGACACTACACTTATAAAAAAATAAAAAAAAATATTTTAAGGTGTGCTGTGTCTTTACGACATAAAAGCTCTTAAAGTTGTGCCATTTCAATCAATAATTCTAAAATGCAATATATAAATTAAAAGTGCACTTAGAAAGCTCCTATACAGTACTAACAGTAATCTGTGCAAATAAGTTAAATAAAGTGCAACTTCCGATATTGTGCAACACTTCCAAAGTGCACTAAAAATCAAAACACAAAACACGAAATAAAAAAACTTTGCAGTGTGTCTTGTTCCAATTCACTTAATAAAATATAATACAAGGACATAAGAAAGAGAAATACAGATAGTGTAATACTGTAAAATAATATTTAAATGTAAATGAGTACACAGTGGAGCCCACTCTAACTGAGATCACTCTGTTGCATCCACTATGTAGGGCCAGGGTGGTCAAAGGTCGGATGGTAGCAGGTACTGTTTTACATTTTATTGAATGCAAAAATAAAATTTCAACATGCAAAGAAGATCAACTTAACATATACTCCTTCCCAATTATGATAGTGCAGTCCCTCTGTGAGACATCGCTGAACACAAATATGAGTGTTTTAGAGTAGTAAAACATATACCCGTATATACTCGAGTATAAGTCGACCCGAATATAAGTCGAGACCCCTAATTTTACCCCATAAAACTGGGAAAACTTATTGACTTGAGTATAAGACTAGGGTGGGAAATGCAGCAGCTACTGGTAAATTTCTAAATAAGATTAGATCCCCCAAAAATTATATTAATTGAATATTTACTTACAGTGTGTGTATATAATGAATGCAGTGTGTGTGTATATAATGCAGTGTGTGTGTGTGTGTGTTTATGAATGCAGTGTGTGTGTATGAATGCAGTGTGTGTATGTGATGCAGAGCCTTGGTGGGGGGTGGGCATTTTTTTTAATTATTATTATTATTATTTATTTATTTATTTATATTATTAATAATTTTTTATTTTAATATTATTAAAAATTTTATTTATATTTTTTTCGTCCCCCCTCCCTGCTTATTAGCTGGCCAGGGAGGGGGGCTGGCAGGAAGCTGTAACTTACCTTTCCTGCAGCTCCTGTCAGCTCCCTTCTCTCACCTCCGGTCAGCTCCCTTCTCCTCCACTGTAAGTGGCAACGCACTGACCCCGCACTGAATAATAGTTTATTTTGTGTGCACTTTCATGTATTATTAACCCACTTACTACCAGCCCGATCGGCTTGTCTGTACTTTTTGCACTTTTTGTGATTTTCTCACAAGATTACTAGCCCACTGGCTTGTCCGCATTTGGAATCCTAGTTTAGTGAGTAACCAAGTGAGATATACATATAGTCTAAATTCTCAGTCAATTTTCTGGTGACTCCCAGAGACTTACTCTGTGGGGGGTCACCTCATGGCATGATCACAGCATCTTATTGTCAGTATCTTTTTTGCCACATAGGTTTTATATTTAGTACTATATGTTGTAGTGAGCTTGCAGTTCAGCAACTAGATTTTTTCCCGATATTAATTCCACCTCTCTTTATAAATCCTGTCAGCCCTTAATTACACCTTGAGGACTGACCACGGGAGGCAGTGTATTGTAAGCCTCTTTGCTGGTACACTAGTCTTATAGTCTCAATGTCTGGCGGACCACACAGGTTAATAATCTGAATTGATGGTTTTGAGTATACTGTTGTATAATATTCTTTTTACGCCATATATCATCTGACTCTCATGTAACAAATCTACAGTTACACTACATTGTCCCAGATATTTCTTTTGATACACTGTTGCATCGGCTACCACTGTGCAAGAATTTACCCTTTCAGGGTAAAATCATAAGAGTTCAACTGAAAATTACAAGATTAAAGCAGTAACAAAACTAATAGGTTAGTTTAGTTGTTTTTCATGTGGTTTGGTTAGTCCATATCTTGGCCATAAATGTTTTAGGTGCCTACTGAGCCCCCATGCCACTCCACTGCAACTGGGGAACCCTCTGTTTCGAGAGTCCTATTCGGGATCCTGCAGCTGCAGGGATTGTGTGTCCTCGGCAGTCCGAGGCCTGTGCCTCTGTCTCGAGCCGGGATTCGCTGCCCTCGGGGGCCACCACAGCCTGTTGCACTGGGAGAGATAGTGTCGGCATTTGGAGGCCTTTCAGAAACTCTGTGTGGTCTTCGGAGGCCGACAGAATGTGCACTGCATCACTTCGTGGTACCACCAGGGTTCTCGATATCCTCCTTGGTCTCGCAGGATCCTAGTGATAGGTGTGAACTTGCGCCGGTCGAGGAGGACCGAGAAAGGTAAGTAATCATATATGGAGATCTTGCTGTTGGCAACCACCAGGCTTGGTTGTTGTCTGGATCGAGCCATAATGGTTGGTTTTACATAAATGTCTTGTGTGACAGCTATAATGTTCCATGGTGCGTCCACAGGGGCTGTTGGAGCCTTCCGGATTCTGAAAGCCGACACGAAGGGTGGCATTTCACTGTCTTTCTTAACCCCAAGTGCTTCCATTACTTCGTGGGCGAAGCTCAACAAGGCTTCTTGGCCTACCATTTCTGGAGCCCCGCGGATCCTGATAATCTTCCGGCGGTGTTGCCTTGCGTCTCCAGGGATGCCACTGTACGGTAGAGGTGCTGCACTTGTTGGGTAAGTGAATCCATTCTAGACCGTGTGTTGTCCAATTTTTGTTTACGCTACTCTTCCCTGGACTCAACAGCCCCTATGCGGCAATTCAGACCGCCGATCTCCGGCTGCACTCTTGCAAGGTCTGCTTTCCAGACCTCCCTCTGGTCCAGAAGGAGGTTTTTGATATCCCCTTTGGTGGAGGGGGATTTATTCGAATCCGAGTCGGTCCCCAGGTACACCTTTCCATGGGCATGAGATGCTTGGGCTCTCTCTTCATCTTGCGATTGTTCTGAGTCACTGGAGTCACGTGGTCTCTTAGACGCCATATTAGGTCAGGCATGCTACAGTTGTCTGTCGAAGGACAAACGGATGTCAGGAAGGTTGGCACTCTCTGTATGGGCAAATTTCTTATGCTCTTGCCCCATCTCTCTTTGGGGGGGAGAGGGTACCCAGGTCACAGAAAGTGATCAAATATCTTGCACTTTTGTGGCAAAAAGTAAGTTTTTTTGTAAATGGAGCAGGAGCACTACAGGAGTGCGACCGTTCAGTAGCTCAGCTAGCCACACCCCCTATATATAAATATTTTATGAAAACAAAAATATATGTATAAGAAGCATGGGTGCAGTTAATATGAAAGAGGTAAATTATGGTGGAACAGCGATGAGCCTATGATTCCTCCATGGAGAATCATTGTATTCTGTGGTTTTCTAAGGCTGACCGTGACATAATTGTGCATGCGTGTGAAGTCCACGGTATGAGAGTTGGGAAGTAAGATTCCCGGATCTCATACCCAGAGAGCATGGAGATGGGACTTGAAACCGCGTTTCCAAGCCGTCTAATTAGTTTCCTATAGGGTTTTACAGGGTAGGACAGGGGTGGCAGGACTGTAGGCATTATAACAAATTCTCTATGGCTGGTCGTGACGGCATTGCACATGCAAAAAGATGAAGTAGTTAAATTGCCTACAGTGTCTCTTTAAAGGAGAACTGTCACTTCTCTCAAAATGTCACCATTGAGTAAAACATTTAAACATTTATAACTTCTGCTAACCCCCTTTTTTATGTGATGCTGCTTTATTTTTAAATTGTATATTAAATATATAGTGATCTGTTAGAATCCTATTAACTCCAGGTACAGGCAGGGCACACAATGAAAATGACAAAAACACAATGAAAAACGTTGTTCCAGTTTCACCAAATTTGTTCACTGTTATAAATTGCAGCATGTATCATGATGTATGACAAGGCGCCAAAATGGAGCAGCCCAGTTCCACGATTATTATTATTTTAATATTTATATAGCGCCATCAGATTCTGTAGCGCTGTACAATGGGTGGACTAACAGATGTAATTGTAACCAGACAACTGGACGCACAGGAACAGATGGGGTGGAGGGGCCTGCTCAATGAGCTTACATTCTAGAGGGAGTGGGGTAGAGTGACACAAAGGGTAATAGTAAGGATTTGAAGTAGGTTGTTAGAAAATAATTCACTGAGGGCTTAGTGGGTCATTTTTGACAGTTGCAGGAGAGGAGTCATGGGGGACGGGGGATAAAAAAAACCTGCTAACAGTTTAATTGATATGCTTTCTTGAAGAAGTGAGTTTTCAATTATTTTTTTGAATGAGTGGAGAAAGGGTGAAAGTCTTACGGAGAAGGGAAGGGAGTTCCACAGAAGAGGTGCAGCCCTGGAAAAATCTTGGAGGCGAGCATCAGAGGTGGGAAAACGGACAGAGAATAGATGTAGGTCTTTGGCAGAGCGCAGGGGCCTCGACAGGACGTACTTGTGTATTAGGGAGGATGGGTAGGTTGGAGCAGCATTTTGTAAGCAAGCACCAGAATTTTAAATTGAGCCCTATATCTAACTGGAAGCCAATGCAGAGTCTGACAGAGCGGGGAGGCGTGGGAGGTGCGAGCGGACAGGAAAATGAGCCTCGCTGCCGCATTCATTATAGATTGCAGCAGTGCAATTTGGGAACATGTAAGACCACTGAGAAGGGGATTGCAGCAGTTCAAGGCGAGAGAGAACAACAGCATGGATCAGCACCTTAGCCGCATCTGTCGTTAAATAGGGGCGGATGCGCGCTATGTTTTTGAGATGGGAGCAACAGGATTTGGCTATTGATTGGACATGAGGGATGAAGGAGAGGTTGGAGTCAAAAAGAACACCCAGGCAGCGAGCCTTCGAGGTAGAGGTGATGGTAGCGCCGTTGACTTGGAGGGAGACAGACACGGGAGTAGCAACACTTGAGGGAGGAAAGACCAGAAGTTCTGTTTTGGACAGGTTGAGTTTAGGGAAGTGAGCAGCCATCCAGTTGGAAATCGCAGAGAGGCAGTCAGAGACACGAGTCAAGATGGGCGGAGAGAGATCAGGAGAGGACAGGTAGATTTGTGTATCATCTGCATAGAAATGATAATGGAAGCCAAAGGAGCTTATGAGTTTACCAATGGAGGCAGTGTAGATGGAGAACAGTAGGGGACCAAGGACAGAACCTTGGGGGACGTCAACAGAGAGTGGTTGGGGGAAAGAGGCACAGAAACACTGAAAGAGCGCTGGGAGAGGTAGGAGGAGCACAAAGAGATAGCAGTATCTCATAGACCAAAATTACAGAGAATGCAAAGAAGCTGTTGATGATCAACAGTGTTAATGGCAGAAGAAAGATCAAGGAGAATAAGGATAGAGTAATGGCCGCTCTCGAGGATCTTGGAGGCAAATGGCAGTAGCAAGATAGGGCGGTAGTTGGATGGGGAGTTGGGGTCAAGGTTGGGCTTTTTCAGAATGGGGGTTACAGTTGCATGTTTGAAGGGTGAGGGAAATGTGCCAGAGGAAAGGGAGAGACTGAAAATTTTAGTGAGAGGAAGAGCAAGAGAGGGAGACAGAGTGCAGATGAGATATAAGGGAATAGGATCGAGGGAACAGATGGTGGGGTGGGAGGATCGGAGCAGAGCAGAAACTTTTATATATGAGTTTTCACATTTAAAGCACCACAATAGGCACCCAGACCACTTCAGCTCAATGAAGTGGTCTGGTGCCAGGTCCTTCTATGGTTAACCCTGCCTGATGTAAACATAGCAGTTTCTGAGAAACTGGTATGTTTACATCTGGGGTTAAGCCAGCTTCTAGTGACTGTCTTCCGGACAGCCACTAGAGGCGCATCGACAATGATTGAGGCATATTATGCCTCAATCACGCAGAGCGTCCATAGGAAAGCATTGAAAAATGCGCCGGTGGTGTCAGACAAGGATGCTGACGTCGGCGGGGGAGGAGAGGTAAGGGAGCGTGGCGGGGGAAAAGGGTGAGTAGCTGAATGGGTTTTAACCCCTTCAGCAACGCGGGAAAGGGAACCTGAGGGTGGGGGCACCCTCAGGGTACTATAGTGTCCCTTTAATTTAATTTTTTTGACACAAAACATATCTTATAAAAAAAGGGTGAAAATTCCTGATACGTGACAGTTTATAAAGCCATATCTATTTGGAGCATTACATTTTATTATATTTATAACAAGACTGATATATCAGAAGTACTCTGTTGATAATCTGTTAAACCAACTCATTATCCAGATATATAAATTATTTCATGCCTTATATAACACTATATCAGGTATGGTGTGTGTGAAATGTCATGTGTGTTCAGTGGTGGGAGGGGGCTGACACGTCATGTAACAGTACACCTGCACAGCACACACTGTGCTCACATGTCAAGGTACCATTAAAAAAAACAACAGCACTGTTCCTGGCAGTCCTGCTGACGTCACATCGTCGTGTCCCAATGGTTAGCGCTCCAGCCTCCCTGGACGTGGACCAATTAGAGGTGGGTGCCGGGGATACCAGCTCGCTCCCTGATTGGCTGGAATTCCGCGCTTGGATGACAGCAAGCCCAGTGCCGGTAAACCGACCAATCAGCGGGCGCCGCGTTCCGGCCTGTGCGCGAGGTACCGCAGACAGCACAGAGGCGAGAGATAGCCCATAGAGCGCACCGGCCATTGCCCGGAGACAGGCAGGTGAGCAGCAAGCTGGGCAGGGCACACTCTGACCCACCGACACCGGTACCGGTACCAGAGACAGACAGGTACCAATATACCGGGTGGGGGAGGGAGGGTACTGGAATATTCCAGACTGGTAGAACACACTGCATTACCTCTTTATTAGCACACTCCCATTGATTCTCTATACAGAGCTCCTGGCACACCACGTGTCTCTCTCTCTCTCTCCCCCATCATATTCAGGGAGCTGTGTGGCTGCCTGAGCATCATAGGAGTCATAGTCCAAACCCACTGGCATGCCCAGGACCCTGTGTAACTTGGGGTGTGTGTACAGTGACATGTTCTAGCCGGCATGGTGGCCTGGATATCTGTAAATATATATATATATATATATATATATATATATATATATATATATATATAAATGTGTGTGTGTGTGTTAGCTGGCAGAGCAGGAAAAGTGCTGCCCAGCCATAGGCAGACATATGCAGCAAGGGGGAGAGCAGTGGAATAATGAAGCTGGATGCTAGAGGGCAGAACTCTTCATGGGCAGCCCATCAGCATGTATTGTAGCCTTAATGTGGGTGTAAGGGTTCCTGTGACATCTGGTAAGTGTATCAGGGTTATATGCTACAGTCTGGATTGTGAGAATTGCAAGGGTTCACAGGGCATTTCATATTTTAAGGTCAAAATAGCTGAACTGAACAACAATTCTCCCAGCCTGCTTTTGGTTTGGCTACCTTGATCTTAAATTTGAATTCTCACTAAAATAGGGTTATTTATTGAAGCTAGAATTGGCCGGAATTCACAGTGAATATTCATTGAGTCCAAGTTGCCAAATTAGAAAAACTTCTAAAAAGTGATATGTTTTTGTCTTTTTATTTTTTATTTTTTTTCTTTAAATCTAAAATTTGCTTTGAACCTCTAGCAATTGTCACTTTGTAAACCTGAGAGTGAATTTCAAAATTTAGGCCAAAAAAGCACAATTGAAGAAATTCCCTCCAAGTGAGCCATGTTGTCATTTCAGCTCTTTTGGCCTACAATCTGAAATTCACTTTAAATTCCTGACTGTTTGGTGATTTGGCCCTGTAGGTGTACACACCACTGGACATAATTTTAAGAAGTGGGGCACACTGATTTTGGGAGAGAAAGTGATGGACCTTATTTTGTGGGTGTATAGTTAAATTACCTTGAACCTGGTGAATGTATTGGCAATTAACTTTTCTTGGGTATTCTTTAAACTAATTTCGCATATATAGAATATTTAGTCTAAAGACACATAGTCTAAAGACACATGCTTCTATTGGAATGCAGTCTAAGTGAGGATGATGAGGTGTTTATTGGCATTGCATCAGTGATTTGCAATACCTTTTTGAAGCAGAGTGACCAAGTTATTTTCCCAAGTGCCAACAGTTAATTAAGTGGCCATATTATTAAATGGATAAGGTGATAAAATGAGCTTGAAGGGGACATGTTTATTAACACCTCTGCTGTATTCCATTCTGTCCCAAATGCAATTCTGTTCTAATCACATTTAAGATTTTTTTTTTTTGGTTGATTCACTGAACCAGGAATTGTGAAAAATATACAAATTGAAATAACAGAGCTGAAAAAATAATTGAGCTGTAGATTTTATTTTTCTTAGAACTAGGTTCCCTTGTCAGTTCTTGTTTAATGAATAACCCTGAGTGTATGGGGGATGGAGAGATGAAGGGTTTCTTACTAGTGCAAGTAATCATTTATACAACACTGTAGCATATGGTCAATTTATACAGAACTTTATTTTTTTTTTATTTTTTATTTCCCTCTCCTCTTTCAGCCAACATGCATTCAGCAGCGCGGCAAGAAAACCTCTTGAAGATGGGACCAGTTTGGATTTTTGGATTATTTTTAATCACTCTTTTACCTTCACAGACAGGTATGGTTCTGTCTTGCATCTCCTTTGCTTCCTCGTCAATCACTTGAAAGGTTACTCCAATAAAAAGTATTTTCAATACATAATGATATTGTGAGGTGGTCATGGTGCTTAGAATAACTTTCTAATTTTCTACTAGAGAAAATACAAATATCTATCTATATTTCTCTATCTATCTCATTTTATATAACCCTGTAGTGTCTGTTGATCCAAAGCATGCCAGAAAACTACCTCTGTTAAAGGGACATTGTAGGCACTCAGACCACTTCAGCTCATTGAAGTGGTCTGGGCGCTGTCTCCCTATTGCACTTCGTGCTGCAATGTTAAATATTGCAGTTCCAGAGAACTGCAATGTTTACATTGCAGCTTCTAAAACTGCCCTCTGTGGCTGTCTAGCAGACAGCCACTAGAGAGCTTCCAGAATCCAAACTGACTTTTGGTCCGTTATCTGACGCTGGACGTTCTTACGGTCCTCCAGCGTCAGATTTCATCCATAGTAAAGCATTGAATAAGGAAAGCATAAGAAATATCCATTTTCCATATGATTTTGCCGCTATTGCCCAGGCAGGACACGCAGGCTCTAAAATAAAATCTAATTATACACAGTACCTCCCTAACCCCTACTTCCATGCTATTTAAAAACAAAAAAAATCCCTCGGACTTCAAAATGCCCACAGAATCTGCTTATCCGTCAAGGGGACAAGATAGGCAGCTTTCATGTTTATTATTTTTGTCCTACTGGCTAATTGGTTGATGGACATGGATACTGTGGGGCACTGTCTTTTCTTATGCCGGGGAGTAAGTCCATGTTCCATTGAACGATTGAGCATGTCATCTGACACGTGAATCTAGGGACGCTAAGATATTCCAGTACTGTAAGTACTCTGCAACATACATTTTGCAATAACATGATGCTTACATTAACCCTTTAAACTGGATGGGTCTTATAGAGAGAGGAATTAAAGAACCCATTGCATTTAGAGAGAGTTTTTGTGTGGCTTGCAGAAGTGTTTTCATGCCAATAAAACCTTATTTGAAATAATTATAAGGAACTATTCGTTTAGATTGGCATTCCCAGCAATTTAGTTAAGGTGATTATTCACAGAAAACCCTTAGTGTATAGATGTCAAACCCATGGCGTCATAGATGCTTGTAAACTACCTCTCCCGTGTTGCTTAGCCAATTTAAAAGTTTCTGTGAGACACGTAGATGGTAGTGCATTCTCTGAAAGAGGAACTGTCACTGTCTATTGATCGTTCCTGTTTCAAAGGGGATTCTCCTTTTATTCATCATTTGTGTAACACTCACAAATCTCGAGTTTAAATAGACATATATTGAATAAACATCTCCTTAAAGGAGCATTCGTTTGCAAAAAAAGTTTTGTTTTGTTTTTTAAAACTATTTTGTAGATATACCCTAAAATACAGCATGCATATATTTTTTTGTTTGCATGTTTTCTTTGGGGGTAGGTTGAAAAAACAGGTTACAAAAGCTATCTGCAGCCTTTTTCAAGCACTTATTCTCATTGGGAAGCCTCAGTGCTGAAACTGCACATGAACAGTAGCACGTAATCACAGCTTTCCAAAGCTTCTCAATGAGCTGTAGTACAGCTCACGGAGTATGGGAGAAGGCAGGTATGCTCTAGCCCAGCATGTCTGCCACTTCTGTTAACTCCACTATCAGCCAGGGATGAGCTTTTAGAATCGGTTACAAAAGGTCAGACTCCAGACACACAAGTCACTTGAATAAACTGAAGTGCTTTATGTGTCAATAGCAGTGATGGCTAATTTTGACACCATAAATAGTTTCAGGACTACATTTCCCATGTCTAAAAGGTAGCTGAGCATCATGGGAAATGTAGTCCAGAAACTATTTATGGTGCCAAGGTTAGCCATCACTGGTCTAGAGTATTCCTTTATGCAATTATGAATATTGATTAACTTAATGTTATTTTATTTACTCTACCACATTGATATTGCTTTATGTTTTTTAAAATACTTTTTCCATAATAGGCTTTTTTTTTTTTTTTCTTTTTTTAGGCTCCGTGGCTGTTATGTCTGTTGATATGGGAAGTGAGTGGATGAAAGTGGCTATTGTAAAGCCTGGTGTTCCTATGGAAATAGTCTTAAACAAGTAAGAGATGTGGAATTTTAAACCAGCGTTGTTAGTAAATAAATTCTCCTACATCTGTGAGACTGATGTATACATATATTCTTCATCGGGCATGGCTTGTGTAGCTTTGCTTATACCAGAGATTGGGTGACCTAGCAACATCATCTACTGATTGGTACATTTTTTTTTTTTTCTTTTTTCTCAGTTATTAATCTGACTAGTTTAATGTATTATCTGGGTGCGTATTGGATTATTCACTAAACCGTGTTTTGTGGAGAATGAACAAGTGGATAAAAAATGTTACGGCAGGAATACCAATCTGGAATAGTAGCAGAGTTAGAGATTGTTTTCTAATTTGGGTATTTTGGGATACAAATGAATAGCAAAATGTCTTTTCTCCACAATGTCCTGTTTTATGTCCTATCATTGGAAAAACTGTGCATCCCAACATCCCTGTTGGGCCTAATAAAAAGCATTTTTCCTATTAATATTGTTATGTTTATATAATGTTAGTTTTCTTCACCTAGGCCTACCCCAATTCTGATGCCCAGTTCTTAGCCCAGACTCTTCTTTTTTCCAGACATTACACTAGATCAACCCCCTATTATTGTTTTGTTCATCCCTCTCTTTCTAAACTTTCCCACATGCTTACTCAGTCCTATTCCCTCAAACCTCCTCTCACTTATGTCAATCACCAACTCTACTTCTTTCACCCAGTCTTGTTTATTTCCCTCTGGCAACTAAAGATCTCCTATTTTTTTTATTTTTTTTTTTTTATTCTTTTTATTACATTTTTTCATGAAAATATTAATAGACAAAGACAACACCCATGGGAGGGAACCTTACAGAGAAAAAAAAAAATAAGGATTCCCATCCCCATTAAACATACATAAATACAATGTTCAATTTCAAATTTCATCAATAAGCTAAAGATCTCCTCTTACTCTACAGGTTTGTTCCATTTCCATATAACGTATCCCATCCCATCTGCATGTTCCTCATTCCCCGTCTTCCTTAATTTAATGTTCTCCCATTTCATTTGTTCCCATTCTATTTTTCATAGCTTCCTCTTTTAATTCACTGTACTTTTTCCTCTCCACATCTTTATTCTACCATACTCATCTTTCCAATTAAGGCTTCAATTTCATATTTTTGAAAAACGTTTTTAAAATATTTCAGATTTAAAAAAACCTGTGTGTGTATATATATATATTCTTTCATATACTTTTTTTTTTTAAATATTAAACCATTCAAAAAGCTTATCGAAATAGTCTTAAATCGAAACCTAAAATGCCCCATTACACGATCTCATCTTTCCTGTCCATTTATGATGCGACAAATCTGTTTGGTTTTTAAATGCGCTTATTTTGGACAGAATATCTTTTCTTTCTGTGAAAATTAAAATCAATTGAGGCATCTAAGAAAGGTGTTTGAGAATCATGCGTTTTGTTTGAAAACACTTTCACTATGTTAAATCTTAATTGCAAATTAGGTTTTACCACCACTGTTTCTCTGTGTACTTTAATTTGTTTGCCTGAATGCCAATTTATTTTTATGTGCTATTGTGTTTTTTTTAAGGGAGTCCCGAAGGAAAACCCCTGTCGCAATTGCCTTGAAGGAGAATGAACGTCTGTTTGGGGACAATGCACAGGGAATTGTAAGTTATTTTTATATCACAAATGCTTTATATAAAAAGCTCTAAGAAGTAGTAGTTGTGTGTGGTGTTTTTTTTGCTTATTTCCCTAGTTCTCCTTTACAGTTATTTTTTTTTTTTTTTTTTTTGTTTCTAAATGTCTTTTTTACAGGCTGTCAAAAATCCAAAAGTTACATTCCGTTACTTCCAAGATTTACTTGGGAAAAGGGCAGGCAACCCCCAGGTTGAGGCATTTAAAACCAGGTTCCCCGAATACAATCTGGTGGATGATGAACGTCGTGGAACAGTTCTCTTCAAGTTATCTGAGTGAGTTATTTAGGCAATGCCCCTCCGAATCGTATTAAAACAGGAGTAGGTAACGTTTGGCTCTCCAGGTGTTGTGGACTACATTGCACATAATGTGCTTACAGCCAAAATGTTGGCAAAGCATCAGGGGAGATGGAGTGCCAACGTTTGCCTAGCCCTGTATTGAAAGGACAATTCCAGCCTTATTCACTAAAGTGATAAGTGTTTGGATATGCATAGTGAACTTCATATTTTATGGCCAAAAGATAAAAAAAGGGGGGGGGGAGGGAGAAACCATTCCAAGTTGGCTACGCTTCCTGTTCAGCTATTTTGATCTAAAACTTAAAATTAAATTAACTTGGAATTTCTGACAATTTTCACTTTAGCAAATAACTCTGTAATGTGGTAAAGAGATAATGAGCGGAACCAAGACGTGATTGAAGTCTGTTCCTTCTGTTGCTCTGTGTTTGATTAGGAATTAAGCTATTCATCAAATGCCAAACTGTACTGCAGAGTTCTCACATTTTACTTCAAAGTAAAATGGGTCTTAATGTACAGTGAAACCAAATTACCACTGACTTTTATATTGGGCTTCAGTAGCTGAATTTGCTTTAGTGTCTACTTGCATTACGTCAAAAGGGGTTAGTCAGGAATCCTTATGTTCCTTGTCTCACAAATATCAATCTAACTCTTCCACCTGTGCCTTTTGTTTCCTTACATCTGCAGTGATTTAATGTATTCACCCGAGGAACTACTGGGAATGATGTTAAACTATTCCAGGTCTCTGTCAGAGGAATTTGCAGGTGAGTTGCAATCTTGCTTCTGTTCGCTACATTCTAGTATCAAAGACCCCAAAGTATGGTTCCTTTATTTAATTAAAAAAAAAAAAACCCTCAACTTACTTTACAATAAACACCTTGAACTAAAGTTTATTTTCAAAGATAGCAACAGAATAGCCTGTAGAAAATAGCAGTACAGAGGAAGGGTAAAAGAAAGCTTTGTGTTGTGCAGAAAATACAGTTAGTGTTGCTTTAAAATGTCAATGGGTCTGGCTGTTTTACGTACAATATGAGCTTGTAAATTATTATTATTGGTATTTAGCATCAGCATATTCCGTAGCGCTTAACAATATTATAAGAGAGGGAGGTTTAACAATAAATGAGACCATTATAAAAACTTACAAGAACAGTAGGTTGAAGAGGACCCTGCTCAAAGCAGCTTACAGTCTAGAGCAGTGGTTCCCAACCCAGTCATCGAGTACCCCCTAAGAGTCCAGAATTTAGGGATTACACAGTTGTGTAAGGTGTTGTTGCTTTTTTTCAAAAAAAAAGCAAAAACACACTAGACACAACAGGGTAATCCCTAAATCCTGGACTCTTAGGGGGTACTCGATGACTGGGTTGGGAACCCCTGGTCTCAACAGAACCCTCTAGATATGTATTGCAAGTGCTTGTCTGAGGGTTGTAGTTCCCATTTCATGATTATTCCAGATGTAATACATTTTAATTAGCTGAAGATAATGAATAACCGTATTGCATTTCTTGGTGGAAAAAGATTATCTCCTTAAAGATTTGACAAAAGTGAACTGGGAACACTGACTCAGATTTTTTTTTTAAGAACATCCACGGGAATTATGAAAGCAATTAGTCAAACATAGATTCTTCTCTATGGTCATAATGGGATAAGCCATACTCGCTAATATATGGATAGTATAAATAAAAAAAATAAAAAATGTTTACATTAAATTATGAAAAGTGTAACAATTTAAACATGTAAAAAATATATATATTTACTGTATACACATTTTTTTCTTAATTTACACTATCCATACATTAGTGAGTGTAGATTACCCCATTATGACCAATAGATAACAATCGGTTTGCCTCTGTATTTTATGTATAATGCAATTTAAATGTGTAATTATAACTGCACCTCATTGCTCTGTATTATGACCACTTTCACCAGCTGAATTCTTACGAGTTATTTTTCAGTCTTTGTACCTTCTCTTCACCACATCCTTCTTTCTCTGACCACATAATTTCCATGAAACATCACCAGTGTCCACACCCATCGTCACGTGATTACACTCTAATTCCAAGTAGCACTGTACTATAAGCTTTATTTTATTTAGTGCTAACAGGTGAACGTTACAGATTATAAACAATACTACCCCTTTCCTCACTTTGCCTCTGCAGAGCAGCCAGTGAAGGACTTAGTGATTACAGTGCCAGTCTTCTTCAACCAGGCAGAGCGTAGGGCTGTCCTTCGTGCCGCTCAGCTTGCTGGACTTAAGGTCCTCCAACTTATCAATGATAACACTGCAGTCGCTTTGAATTATGGAGTGTTTCGGAGGAAAGACATCAATGCCACAGCACAGGTTTGTGTTGGCATTCCCAAATGTTTTTCTACTTTGTTTTTATGTCTGTATTTTTTTTTTTCATTTTTTTGTGTTTTTTGCATGAGTTTCTAGACTTTCCTTTTGAACTCTTTACCTTTGATTTTACCCACTCTATTATTGGAAACATAATGGTACAATAGTAGATTCCATTGTTTGTCTTTACTAATCACATACCACCTTTACTATATTCTTTTACTTTTTTCTGTCTGTTTCCAATTCACCTGGTGATCAGATGTGATTAATGGATTTTATACGTGTGTGTTTGTGTCTATATATACATATATAATATATTTTTAACACCAGAGTTATACTTTCTACATACCTCTTATTGCAGAGTATCATGTTTTATGACATGGGGTCTAGGAGTACAGTCTGCACCATTGTGACTTACCAAACTATAAAGACAAAAGACTCTGGCACTCAACCACAGCTACAAATTCGTGGTGTCGGGTAAGAAGCCTAATTTTCATTGAGGCAATGCTTTCAGTATTGTTTAAAGAAAAACGTTTTTTTTCCCCACAGATTAGATATTCAATAGCTAGTGTAGGCACCAACTCTCCCTGCTTAGAATGACTTCTAAATGCAATGTATTAATCAGTTCCTTCCTATAATAGTGGGTGGATCTTATTTATGTATATGCTGGACTGTGATTTATGGATTAACAAACACCCTATAGGCAAGAACATTGGTTCCCAAACTAGTCCTCACGACCTAGCAACAGTACAGATTTTATCACCATTAGAAAAAAAAGGGTAATGCATAAATGCTGGATTGTTGGTGGGCTATGAGGACTGGTTTTGGAACCACTGGACTAGAATAAAAGACTTCTGATAAGAGGACAAAGAGGCTAATTTACTTGTTCAATAAGTGTCTTTTTAAAACCTCCTAATGCATAGGATGAGTGCAGAAACATTAACAAAAATATTTGGATACATCTCTGCCTAATTTGTCTTGTTAAAGGTAACACTCAGTTTGTAGACTTTAAATTTCACTTTTTAAAACAATGTTTTTTTTTTTTTTGTTTTTTTCTTCCTCAGGTTTGATCGCACACTTGGGGGACTGGAGATTGACTTACGTCTCCGGGACCATTTGGCCAAACTGTTTAATGAGCAGAAGAAGTCCAAGAAGGACGTGCGCGAGAATCAACGTGCAATGGCCAAGCTTCTCAAGGAGGCTAACCGTGTAAAGACCATTCTGAGTGCAAACAATGACCACATGGCACAGGTAGGCTATACTACACACACTTTATTTACACTGCTTTTGAGGATAAGCCTCCTAAAAGAATGTTTGCCGTTATTTACACTTGGCTTTGTTCACTGAATATTAAGATGGCAAAACCTCAGAGTAGCTTGGTGGTGAACATCAGGGACTTTTCTGTCAGGACATTGTTATTTATTACTTTCTGGGATACATTTTCCTTTGTAGATTGAAGGCTTAATGGATGACATTGACTTCAAAGCGAAGGTGACACGCCAAGAACTCGAGGAACTGTGTGCGGATATCTTTGCAAGAGTTTCTTCACCTGTTCAGCAAGCTCTGAGCAGTGCAGAAATGAACTTGGTGAGTGTCATGGAGTATATTGTTGCGTGGTCGATTTTTCTTGTAATTAAGTAGTCCAGTTGTTTGATATTTAATATAATTTGAAAAACTATTTGTACATTTATATATTTTGAAGTCTCTTCTCTTTCTAACCTCTTTGATCTGTTAATTTAATTATCAAGGTTATTCACAAAAGAGACTAGTCAGGAGTTCAAAGTAAATTCCAAATTTAAGGCCAAAGCAGCAGAACTGAAAGCATATTTTGACAAAATCCAACAATTCTCACTTTATTGTTTAGTTTCTCATCCTATATTTTAAATTGCTTAAACTATGAACAAACCACTTAGTTATCCATATTTTATTTGTTGTTTTTAGGATGAAATTGATCAGGTTATCTTGGTGGGTGGATCCACACGCGTCCCTAAAGTTCAGGAGCATCTTCTTAAGGCTGTTGGGAAGTAAGTAGAATATATATCAGATCTGTGTTTAATAATGTATTGACCTTCCAGCGACTTCACGTGGAAGGGGTTTTCAATCACTGTTTATCCCCACCATAACATTCTTTGTGCAAGGTTTGTGCAAGGATTCCATGTTTAAAATGGAACAATGAGGCAAAAATCCACAGATTACCTTGCAGCAGTAACATCACTGCAAATTTGAGATTTCTGTGGGAAAAGCAAGTCTATATATATAATCTCTCATCTTTATTTTAAAATGTTGCTAGCTCTCCTTATAAGCAAGGCTGCATTTGTTTCATCTGTGTCTTTCGTTAGCTTTCTATTGTTTTCTTGCCCTCTTGCAGAGAGGAACTGGGAAAGAACATCAATGCAGACGAAGCAGCCGCAATGGGGGCAGTGTATCAGGCAGCTGCTCTCAGTAAAGCCTTCAAAGTTAAACCTTTCATTGTGCGAGATGCTGCCATTTTCCCCATACAGGTGAGAAGCCTCAAAACACAAGTGTAACATGTTAAGAATGTGTTATTGGTTACAGATCCTTTTTCACCAAAGTAGATACCATTATAGCATACCCTGGAGTGAGACGTACAAATAGAATCCAATGTATCTATGATGCAATGTTTGGCTATAATCCGGTTGTATGTCAGTTGATATTGGTACATTATATGTGTATCCAAACAGGTGGAGTTTACAAGAGAAGTTGAAGAAGAGAATAACATTAAAACATTAAAGCACAACAAGCGGATTCTTTTCCAGAGACTAGCCCCTTATCCACAGCGCAAAGTCATCACTTTTAACCGCTATACTGATGATTTCGATTTCAACATTAACTATGGAGATCTCAGCTTCCTGGGACCAGAGGATCTTAAGTAAGTGTTCCTTATGTTGTCACTGAAAATAAACCAGACAAATTTGTACCGGAATCTAAACTTTTTGCTTGAAAACTATTCTTGACTTTTGTCTTTATTTCTCCCTATTAAAGGGTTTTTGGATCATTGAACCTCACCACAGTTAAGTTAAAAGGTGTTGGAGAAAGTTTTCAGAAGAGATCAGACTATGAGTCCAAAGGCATCAAAGCTCACTTTAACATGGATGAGAGTGGTTTGCTCAGCCTTGATAGAGTAAGTTGCTAATAAAGGTAAAACTGTAGGGGCTGGTTTACAATACTTTTAAATATAGCATATTGAACATGGTATGCAATATTTAGTCTAAAAAAAAAAAAAAGCACATTAGAGTTTCGATCATTTCTTAAAATTGGCTAAATTTGCTTAAAGGGATACTATAGTGCCAGGAATACAGCTCAATGAGCTGAAGTGGTTTGGATGCCTATAGTGTCCCTTGAAATTTTTCCATCATGTTGTTGCAGTTTGGCATTTAATGAATAACTTTGTGTGGTTATCAATCCAAATCTCCCAATATATGGAAAATGCAAATAAAACCATTATTTTTTTTTAGGCATATGGTTGGAAACCGTATTGCTTGTAGCATGTAATATGTTAGTTCTTTTTTGAGAAGCCTATGTTAATCCACTGTATCTTCCTCTACCAATATGCGTTTTCCTGTTTCTTAAGGTGGAAGCAGTGTTTGAAACATTTGTGGAGGAAAAGTCAGAGCAAGAGTCCACACTGACAAGTAAGTAATATACTCTGCATGCTTGTAGTATTTACAGCTGTGAGTTGGGAAATATGATCTGTACAAAGTCAGGATTAACGATGTAAAGACTGAGGCACAACAAACTAAATTTAATCTTACATTTTCATTTAATCTTAAGATTTATTAAAGGTGCACTCTAAGCTCCATAGCCACTACAGCCTATAATGTTAGCAGGCAGCTTGTGCTGTTCCTCACTTCTGAGTCAGATACAGGGGGGGGGTGTGTGGGTGTGTGGTTTTTTTTTTTAAATATATATTTTTGCACAAACCAAGGGTCACCTCGTTGTCTGTGGCCCGGCCCATTGCTTGCCAGAATTGCTTATGTGGAAGCCCTACTAGCAAGATTAATCTCATCCCTTTAATTCTAGTTTAAATTGCATACATATATGCTTTGTTTGCATCATTTAATGTATATCTCCACATTAGACTTTGGATTTGATTGGATTTGGATTTGATTGCTTTCCTTTGACACCATGTGAAATCAGGGAATCTCAACCAATCCTTGGTTCCCATTCTGTGTGATTTCCATTACATATTTGAGTGATGCATAGATCTATGGATTTTGATATGCATATAAACCAAATAGATTTGTTTGGAGGACTTAATTATTTTTATGTATTGTGGTTTTCGCTACCTAGTTTTTCAGGACAAGCTTAAAAGGGCAATCCTGAAAGCAATTTTTTTTAATTAGCCATAAATTGTGCTCTCATACACAGGCGAGATTAAGACTGAAGTGTAAACATCAGTATACAATCTCATCCAGTAGTGTGGTGGGTGCATCAACCTCTAGATACCCTACAGTTATTTCTTTCTCTCCACCTTGTGATGAATTTGTTTTATGCTACCCTATTCTTGACATAATATTTTTACCAGCTCAGATAATTCAAAAAATTCACAGATCTGAGGAAACCCCTCAGATGTGTAAATGATGACTGGAAATGAAATAAATGGATAATATCAACATACAAAAATAGTAAAAATGATTGTAAATATATTAGAAAAGAGTCAAAAAACAATACAAAGACCTCCACAGCTTAAATAGAAGCTCAACGTCAACGACGAAGGTGCACGCTAGTGGCACCGAAACGTGCGTCGGGTTTCTTCTTTCTTCCTCACTTCACAGGGCACACTGTCACATGTGCAAGGACCAACACTCTAAGTATGGTCCTGCACATTAGTACGCACTAATTGTTCTATCTTTTCTTTTCCTCCTGCATATTCTGTCTATACACTATGGGGAAGTGAATCCTAATATACCTGTTTTTTCCTCTAATATTACAGGCAGTCAAGATCAGTCCGTTAATTTTATTAATTTATTTCATTTTTTCGGACTGAATATCCTGTATTTAACGGGTATCTAGTTAAATGATATCAATCCCACATACAGCTATACGAATGACAAGCCTGCCGACCAGCATTTAACAGGGAATTTTCACCCCATAGAGTTTATAGGAATAACACAGCATAACTAACATAACGAGGCAGCAGCACATTTTTTTGTTGCTTCTTTGCTGAGCATTTGATATTTTGATACAAATGCTGTGTATAATTAGAATTGCTGTCTATGTTATTTGTATCCTTATGTATTTCAGACATTGACCAAAATATAACATTAAAGTCAGGAGTCTGATTTTGACACTAATTAACATAGACAACAGGGAGGTACAGCTATTTAAGCTGTGGAGGTCTTTGTATTGATTGTTTTTTGACTCTTTTCTAATATATTTACAATCATTTTTACTATTTTTGTATGTTGATATTATCTATTTATTCCATTTCCAGTCATCATTTACACATCTGAGGGGTTTCCTCAGATCTGTGAATTTTTTGAATATTCTAGGAGAAGGGGTTAAGCCCCATATGACACTGCTGGAGTGTCAATTAAGGTGTTTTTTCTGTGGAATTGGACAATTAGCCCTATCCATAGATTTTTTTTTTTTTTAAATACCAGCTCAGATAACACTTCATTATCAAATAAGAGAGAAATTTGACGATCTTCTCAATATAGATGGTGAATTTTTTTTGTTGGAAATTGTTTTTCCGCAATAAAATCATCCCCAATTTGGTATATTGGGTAGCAGGTCAATTTTATCTTTTATTTGATGCTGAGGATTGCAGAACCCTTTGCTTAATTCCTTTTCATTTATAACTTTTTCCTCTGCAAAGATACTCCACCAATTTTAATGTCTGTATGACGCAGGCCAGGGAAAACTTGGACTGCATTTGGAGACAGACCAAAAATATCAGAACCAAATTTCAAAGTACATTCCCTCAGCCTCTTTCTCTCTCATGTGACCTGTGTTAAAGGGACACTATTGTCACCAAAACACCTTTAGCTAAATGAAGCAGTTTTGGTGTATATAGATCATGCATCTGAAGTTTCACAGCTCACATGTCTGCCATTTAGGAGTTAAATAACTTTAGTTTCTGTTTATGTAGTGACTGACAGCCTGCATGAAAACAAAATGGTTTTATTTATTTTTAAATTCTTTATTTTTGATATGCACGTATAACATTCGCTTGACTGTAATGCCACAACAGCATTCTTAGGCAATATAAACCTACAGTTTTAACTGTTTATTTAGCATTTGGAAGGTACGCACATATTTTTTAGAACAATATTGATAAAACAGGCTGGGTACATGCCGGCTGTCTAAAATGAATTTGCAGTAATCGTTGTCGCTTTAGCTTCGGGCCTTAGTTATGATTACGCTTAAACAGGCTGTCTTACTAGTTTTGTCCTACAGTCGATTAGCAGTTAGGTCACCTATCACTAGGTAAGTCGCATTAATGTGATGGATTAATTGCGCTAATTCAAATCCTGCATTTGTAGTTGTAGTGAAACAATGATCACCCATTTTTTTGCAATTCTAACTAATGACCGTTATCTAAATGGGGCCAGTTCCCTGCGGGCCTGACTGAGCTCTGTGCGGCGGGGACAGCGGCCGTCCGCCCCGCTCGCCTCCGGAGTAGGCCTCAAAAGTGTCGGGTAGGATTCCTCCTCCCAGGGGACTGAAGCCTGTTGGGCCAGCCTCATCCTGGATCTAGGGCTCTCTGCCTACTGAGGGCCACCGTTGCAGAAAGTGTTTAGGAAGACTGTATGTCACATGCAGGGAGGTGTCAATAGGGCTGGAGAACCAGAGTTTTAACTCCTAAATGGCAGAGAATTGAGCAATGAGACTACAGGGGCACGACCAATACACCAAAGCTGCTTTATTAAGCTAGTGTTGTTTTGGAGACTATAGTATCCCTTTAAGTAAAAGCTATACATATTGTATAAGTGGGTAACAAGTAGTAATTTCTTACTCAAACTGCTTCAGCCACAAATTGTAATGCATCCAACAATCTCACATGCAAAATCCATATACTGTGCATCGTTTGTGCATAATATTTAATATGTGGAATTGAAAGAATTGATTATCGTCCTCTTCCCAAGATGAAATTTTTTACTGAAAGTGTGCATCAAATGCAGTGTCCCTTTTAAATCCTCATATCGCAGTTGTGATCCGTCAGGAATATGTGTAATCATTATAAACTTCTCCCTTTTTCATGCAGAACTTGGCAATACTATATCCAGTCTTTTTGGTGGAGGCAGCTCTACACAAGACAATCAAGACAATGTTACAGACAGTGTACAAGTAAGCGTTTTGGCACTTTCTGCCAATGTGTGCTTAAAAAATAAATAAAAAATAAATAAAAAGTTATGCTGGGCTATCAGATGCTACATTTTTACAGATGATTAGGTAATTCATTACTGATCATTACTACTGAATATGTATTTCTCAGGAAGATGAGGAGGGACCAAATGGGGCCACGAAGGACGAGGATCCAGTGTCAAGTGATCAGACAAGTGAGCAGAAGAATAGTGAAACCGAGAAAACTACTGCAGAGAGTGAGAAACAAGAAGAGAAGAAAGAAGGAGATAAAACAGAGTCTCAGGTAATTAAAATAATACTCTGTATATAAAAAATTATATTGTGAATGAATAACATGATTTGTGTATTGGAATAATGCTTCATAACCTTCTTCGTAGTTGGTGTACCGCATATCATTGTTCTTTGCATATTCCCAGAACTATTGCTGGGTAACTGAATTTTAAAAAGGAAGAAACCTAAACTGTTGCTAATTGGTCCCTTTTTATATAAGGTATATGCAAATTTGATTTATGTCAGAATTCTATGAGGGTTGTTTACAAATGGTAACTATGAGCCCTGCATGTATTTATTTGAAGGAACATTCCACTGTATGGAGGATAAAATAAAATCTGAATTTAAAAAATAAAAAAATATTCTTAATGAAAGTTGCTTGTTTGCTGTTAAAGGAAAAAAAATGTTTTTAAAAAAATATATAATTTTTTAATTTTTGTTTTTTTTAAATTTTGTTTCGTTTTTAAAGAAAAAAAATAAAAATAAAAATTTGGGGATGAATGGAGCCTGTTGCACATGTGAATTTTTGCAGCATCTTATGCTTCCAAAAAAAATAATGCGTGTATCTCCTCACTTCATTTACAAGGACATCTCAATCATGAAGTCTTGTCTTATGATTTGGTGAAAATACTCTGGTATTGCTTTCAGCTCTCCAGAATTTAAATGCTTGCAGACCTACGCTGTGATGAGACCATTAAATCCATTCTGAACACTTTTTTTTTTATTTTTTTAATTTTTTTTACACTAGAATGTCAAGGAAGATGAGGCTGATAAGGAATCGGAGGCTGGAAAAGCTGCTGAAGCAGATTCTAAGAAAACTGTGGTTCCCAAGAAGCAGAAACTGGTGGATGAAATTGGAGCAGATCAGACTCTGAATGATGTTCTAGATTTTCTTGAGGAAGAGATGAAAACAGCCACCAAGAAGTGAGTAGTTTAGTGTAAATGGCAATTAAGATAAAGGGAGGAGCAATTGCTCCTTGGTGTCCCTGTGATAGGTTTAAAAGTAAAGTAGAAAGTTACCCCTTCGTACAGCAATCCTTCAAGGGTTACCCCAAACCTTTTGGGGGGGACCTCTCCGGTATTACATGTCCAGTTGAGCACTATGGAGAAGGACCCCCCTGATGTTTGTGGTGCAATCTGCAAATCTATATTACTCACCTGGCATCTAGATCTTACGCAAACTCTCTGACATCACTGGGGCTTCACGCCTATTATTTATCCAGTTTGCTGGCTCAGAGCACCTACGCATTCTCCGGGGAGTAGAGGCTTTTTTTTTTTTTAAATAAATAAAATACGGAGGGAAACATTCTTTTCCATGCAGGCACTCTGCCCGCAGGGGAGAAGATTTCCACATCTGTCCACATGCAGTGCTTTCTGATGACAGACGCAAAATATTGACATGGGCTTCCAATGTCACATGTATGCCAGGGGCTAGTTTCACCCACAGAACAAGGGCTAATAAACTGTATATGCAATGTTTGAAGCAGAAACACATACTGATTCCTTTCACCATGACCACTTCAAACCACTGAAGTGACCATTCTGTTTTGATTAACCCCTTAATCTTATACAGCATGCCTTCCCTCAAAGTTATAAATATTTTGTATTCCTGAAGTAGAGAGACCACTTCATTGCTTGTTCAGTTCCTTATCCTATTTATTTTTTATCTGTCTAGGCTCCAAGACTTGACCGATCGAGACCTACAGAAGCATGAGCGAGAGAAGGCAGCTAACAGCCTGGAAGCATTTATATTTGAAACCCAGGTTACTAGTCAACCATATTAATAGGGTTTTAAAATCTATAGTAACTTTTTATTTTGGTATAATGCGTTTTGGGTGTCTACTTTCACCATCTTGAATCCGATGCATATATGGCAGGAACATCTGCTAAAAAGAAAATATTGTTTTATATGTTTTTACTACGAGGTTAATGCACATTTTATATATGTATGATGTAGACCTACCTAGCACTTACATACAGTTTTTGAGGAAAAACCTAAAATTGGAATTCCAGAGATTACGGAGTAGTTTCTTCCAGAGACGTGTCATAGCTGAGGGAATACACTCTGCCTGGTTTTACATAGGAACTGTCTCATGTATGACACTTACGCACTGTGCTGGAATGTTAAAAATTATACTATTGCATATTGGCTTTTTATATCATATGAGCGACTGTCAAGTCACAAATTTGTATACATTGCACATAACTGAATTCCTTTGCAATGTAAAGTACATGGGAAGATGTTGTTGCAAAGTGCTTCCAAAGTTAGTGTTCTATAAATTTGTTTCAGCTTCACCCTCACCTCAGCAACCACTTCAGTATTTTACTGGAGTAAGTAAAACCGTAAAGTCAGTCGTAGATTTGAATTTCTTAAATGGTTGCTGGTATAATCTACTTTTTAGACTAGTTCAAGGAATTGCTGAGCTTGTGGAGTTTCATGTTCATAAATGCCTGTGTCTGGCCTTATAGGACAAGCTCCGTCAAGACGAATTTGTCAAAGTTTCTACTGGGGACGAGAGAGAAGAGATCTCCAGTAAACTAAGCAAGGCATCCACTTGGCTTGAGGATGAAGGATATGCAGCCACCACCAAGGTAAAATCTCCTGTAGAACGTAATTAAAATGTCTTTCTTTCTTTTTTTTTCCCTGTAGTTTAGTTGTACTCAATAAGCTTACCTGCTCTTGTTAATGGAACACTCCACAGTGTACTGGTGCCCCCTTTGTATTTTAGCAAATCCTTATAGCATGATTTTATTTCTTACCTGGGGTTCACCAAAAATGGCTCCCTATCTACACTTCTTCAACAGTGCAGGGCTTAGCTTTTGGGCTGAGAAAGAACTGTCGACTGTCATTGAGTTAGCCCTCTACTGCTGGCCTTGGCTCAGAAGAGCTAAAGGAATCTCCTGTGTAGAAGCTTCCAGGTCTCCATCATACGTAGTGGAGGTAGGGAGTGCTCCCCGGCACACCTTATATTAGAAGCCAAGCGGTTTCAAAACGTTTTGATTACTTACAATGTGGGGTGTCAGGACACTCCTAGTACCACAACTTCTCTAGTGGTTACAGGTGTTTATAGGTGTAAGGTATGCGATCACTGATAGATTTTCACTAAAGGTGAATTGATTGAAAAACTTTTTTTTTTTTTTTTTTCATATTTTCGGCCAAACTGAAAAACATACCCGGCTTTGAGATTTTTTTTTTTTTTTCCAATTCTGGTGTTTTGATCTAAATTGGAAATTCACACGTTCATGAATACCCTTGTCATTGCTTGGAGAGTAACAGCATTTCTAAATTTTGGCAGTTTTTAGAAGTCTAATTTATTGGTGTATTTGTCAATGTTCCCTATCTTCTTGTAGGAACTGAAGGACAAGTTGATTGAGCTCCGAAAATCGTGCAAAGCCCTTTTCTTTAAGGTGGAAGAGAGGAGAAAATGGCCAGACAGACTATCGGCTCTGGACAGTTTGCTGAATCATTCCACCATCTTCCTAAAGTAAGGGGAACTTACACGTGAAGAGTATTCAAACATATAGCTACATGTAGTGGAAATCTGTAAAAGTGACCATTTAGTCCTGCATTAGAGTATAGTGAGTCAAACGTACTGTTCTGTAGGAGTCCGTGCTTGTGGCCGGTCTAATTACTGCCTGAGAATACAGCTCACTTTAGCATCATTTACTGAGCTTGCTTTGTGTTTGTATCAAACCATACACTACAGAGAAGCCTTTTACAAAAAAAACAAGTTGTTATATTTTAAGGTGGGGCAAAATAGGATTTGCGTAAGACGTAATCTTTCTAGTCTTGTATATCAAACTATGAGGGAGCTCTTTGGATCAAGAGATTTCAGGGTCTTCAATTACTATATAACTGACATCTCTTATTTGTTTTTCTTTATCCTATTTAAAGGAGTGCTCGTATGATCCCAGAAGATGATCAGATTTTTACAGATGTGGAGTTAAACACATTGGAAAAGTTGATCAATGATACCTGGGTAAGAAGAGATTTTGTGTGTGTGTATAAATGTATACAGGCATTACATTTTGTTTTATACACTTTGTTTTCCATAATTTTATCTACAGATTTGGAAGAATGAAACTCTTGCAGAGCAGGCCAAGCTACGACCCACGGAAAAACCAGTCCTGTTATCAAAGGACATTGAGATGAAGTTGGGTGCTCTGGACAGAGAAGTGCAGTACCTGTTAAATAAAGCAAAGTTCTCAAAGCCTAAACCCAAGAAGAAAAGCAATACCACAAAATCTGAGAATTCTGAAAAAAATTCCACAGAGGGTGAAGAGAAAGTCATTCCCCCAACGGAAGAGAACAAAGAAGGTGAGGGGATAAACATGTTGGCAAGAGTTTCTGTGGTTGCTTTTTGAAGTTGTCCAAACAATAATTCTAGCTGACAGAAACACGTGCATTCTAGACCATTAATGTGCTTCAAATCCCATTAACACGTGATAAAGCAGATATGACTCTTTCTTTACATTTGTATGTAACCCATCTAAAACACTGTTACTTTACCCATGGTTTCGTACCAAAAATGGTACCATGTGCCATTTTAGTTGGTCGACTTCTGTGGGAGCAGTATGTCCTATTATACAGCTATCGCTAGGATCAATTATTATAGCTGTACAACTTTCCCTCCAAGAACCACTGGGAAGAGCCCAATTAAGGTGCTTTGCAAAACATATGCTAATTTTAAATTCTATTACATGTGAAGAGAATGGGTTCAAGCTTATTCCATGTGCTCATGTGGCACTGCAAAGATTAATTGCACCATAACTACTACAATAAGCTATTGTAGCTTTTTCATTTTGAACACCGTTCTATCTGTTGATTGAGATTTTTTTTTTTTTTTTACTCCAATATATTTAGACAAACCTAAGGATGCAGAACCTGTGCAGGAACCACCAGCAGAAGAGAAGAGTGAAATTCCTGAACTAGGAGATTCAGAAGCAGGTAATCCAGGACATACAGAGGAGTTTTAAAGCTCTGGTCTAGTGTGAGGATGTGAGTATGTAAAGGATGTATGTGGTCGGTGTGTGTGGGAACTCTTGGTGCTAATGACTTGTTCTGTGCTGCATACAAATCTGCATCAATTTACGCATGTCATTATTAAATCACTATGCTATTATTTTTACGATCTATTCCTTCTCGTCTCCTATTACTCAGCTTCTGGCTCAAACTTTTTTTTTTTTTTTTCTGCAAGTGTTTCAGTGCCTTTTGATTTATCTAGATACTTTCGGCTTTATTCGCTAATGTGAGCAAGCAAAGTGAATTTCAAAGTTAAGGCCAAAGTAGTCGAACAAGAAGCATAGCTGACATAGAGAATGTTTCCAATTCAGGAATTTTGAAATTCACTGAATTCTCATTTTTATAACCCTGCCATTGTGGTGGTTTTTTTTTTTTTTTTTTTCGCTCTCAAGTTATGCCTGTTGAATTTTAAAATTGTCTATCAATATGTATTTTTATTTTTTTTGGTAAATTTCTTTTTATTCAAAGAAAATATTTTCTGTAAATTTTATCATGGAACGCAGGACACAATCATGTGAATAATGGAGTAAGCTACACCAGTCTCAAGTCAAACATTAAAGGACCACTATAGTTTTTCCTGGCACTATAGAGTCTTTAGGTGTTCCTCTCCCACTGGGCTGAAGGGGGAGGAAGGGGTTACATTCTTACCTTAGCCATCCTAAGTAATACACCGGTCCTGCGAGGTCTACGTCATCCGCCGAATGCGCATGTGCGGCAAGAGCCGCGCGCATTCAATCAGTCCATTACTCCAATCACAGTGAAAATCACAGTGAGAAGCGCCTCTAGCAGCTGTCAGTGAGACAGCCACTAGAGGCTGGATTAACCCTAATGTAAACATGGCAATTTCTCCGAAACTGCTAAATTTACAGCTGCAGGATTAACCCTAGATGGACCTGGCACCAAGACTATTTAATTGAGCTGAAGTGGTCTCGGTGCCTATAGTGGTCCTTGAACCCCTTAAGGACCAAACTTCTGGAATAAAAGGGAATCATGACATGTCACACATGTCATGTGTCCTTAAGGGGTTAAAGGGATTCTATAGTGCAAGGAATACAAATCTGTATTCCTAACATTATAGAGTCCTCTGGTTACCCCCCTGACCACCCCAGAAGCCAAAAGGTTAAAAAAACAAAAAAACAAGCTTGTTTACTTACCAGATTCCAGTGCTGAAATCCTTCGGTGCAGGATCCGCACCTCGGCCTCATTCGACAGAGGTTGGGGGACTAATTCTCCCCATAGGAAAGCAATGCTTTTCTGGGGTTTTACTGAAATTGGAGGTCCTCATACAGAGAAGATATAAAATGGCACTCAAAATAGATAAAATGCCAACTAAAAAACAAATAATAAACAATAAAAAAAAAAGTCCAGATGTATGAATGTACCTTGTCTTAAAAAAAAATAAATAAAAAAAAAATAGAAAACGAACTGTGAGGTGCAGCAAATGTAATAGTCCAGTCCTTTTTTTTTTTTTTTATATAGATTTCTCTTGGTGTCAGGAGATGGTTGGTTCGAACTAAAGAAGCTGCAATAAGTACCATATGAAGCTGCAATCTCCTGACACCAAGAGAAATCTATATAAAAAAAAATGACTGGACTATTACATTTGCTGCACCTCACGTACAATCATACATTTGGACTTTTTTTTATTTTTTTTATTTTTTTTTTAGTTTGATAGTTGGTATTTTATATATTTTTAGGCGCAACTTACCCTTGTTTTTACTTTCCTGTGTATCTTCTCTCTTTTGGGACTGTGAAGGAACCCCATAATCCAAGTTTGCTGCCTTTTTATTATACTGCTTTCTGTTTGGCCATTTAGCACTGATCCACCTGTTTGCCTATATAAAATGGGGCTTGCAGTTTCCAATTTAAAGGGTATAAGAAACGCAGGTCAGGGGATTCACTTAGGCCTGGAGCCAATATATGTTTTTAATACTCTACTCTATACTTAAGACATTATTGCCTTATTGTGTATTGAGTAAGTGCTGGTAATAGGCTACTTGTGCCTACATCATGGCCATGTATACTCCAGGGAAGACCTAGAAAAACACAAAAAAACACTGCAAAGTTGTGTACCATGCTGATATCAAAACTAAAAAGAAAAAAATTATAGTTCAGGTTTGATTAATGGAAATTGATAATCCCATATTGTTACTCATGAAATCCATCAGAGTATACTAGTTCTCATATAGCATTTAATGCAATTCAGTGTAGTTGGCAAACAGACTTCTCATTCTATGCACTTTCTAGAATAAGTTTGCTTTGTTTTTGTTAGAGCTATTTATCCTCTGCTGAGAAGTCACTACTATATAGTACACATGGGATGTGAGGAGTTACTTTTTATTTATTTTTTCCTCTTTGCTAGAAACAGATAAGCTTTGGCAGTCTTACAACAAGTGAGTGAAAGAAATATTTGATTGTTGCATTAAGTAGTGTATGCTTTGGATTACATCTCTCCAGTTGTACCTTACATTGTTCTTGACATATTTAAAGGAACACTATAGGGTCAGGAACACAAATGTGCATTCCTGACCCTATAGTGTTAAACCAACTATATAGGCCCCCTTTGTCTCCCTTAAGCGCACTCTATTTCCAGTGTGCGGAGCTGGCTCCACCTCCTTGGCTGATGTAATCAGAATTGATAATCTCAGCCAAGGAGGTGGGATGGGGCCTGAGCCAAACTCCACCCTGGCCAATCAGCAAATCTTCATAGAGATGCTTTGAATATCCGTGCATCTCTATGAGGAAAGTTCAGAGTATCCATGCAGAGCGTGGAGATGCTGAATGTGTGTTCTGGACACTGTGCAGCATTGTTCCTGGAAGCACCTCTAGTGGCTGTCTGACTGCCACTGAAGATGTCCCTAGGCAACAAATGTTAACACTGACTGACTGAAATAAAGATACTTACTACTCACCAGAAAAACTACAATAAGCTGTGGTTGTTCTGGTGACTATAGTGTCCTTTTAAACAAGGTGTGTTAGGGGAGATATAAAAAGCAGGAAGTTTGTATTTACTATGCTGGTCTGCTGTTTTTCCTCTTGGTGCATAGTTTGTAACCAAACCTCACTAGTTTACAGTTTTTCTTCTAAATTACTTTGTAAAAGCATTGCATTGGTCCTGCTTTATCTGTATATCCTGTTTTGAGCCTATATATTGTTTTTTTGTGATCTACAAGAGGGAAAAAAGGAACTTGTCAGTAAAATTGTGTTTTTGTTTTGTTTTTTTTCTCCAGATTCAACAACTAGTAAATCGTCAGAGCTCCCAGAAGAGAACCATAAAACTGAATTATAACCACCCTTCATATGCGTTGGCGATCATATTTATTAACATTACTTTTTTTGTAATGGACCCTGCTCATTTTATGCCAACGCGCTCCCGCCCAATTTTCTTTTCCCCCTACCCCTTTTCTTCCACTCCCAAAGAAAAACAAACTGCACCTGAGATGTACATTTCTGTCCTGACCAAAAAAGCAATTAGATTTCCCCCCCTCCCCTTTTCTCTGCAATACATAACGTTACCTTTTTAGACAGCATGCTGCGCTGAGGTCTGAATCGCACAACAGGATCTCATACGGTTATCTTCTTTTGAAAAGCCTGTTTGGATTCAGAGTAATTCAGGATTCCATTAACTGAATTTACGGTCTCATTGTGTTGCCTGGTTATTATTCCCCACCCAAAGAAGGTCACTAATATTTAACTTTTTTTGTTTGTTTAAATTACTCTGGCATAGGAAGTGTTAAATGCCTGTTATCTTGTCTTCTACATTGAAAGTTTGATCTAACATATGTCAGATTTTGTTTAAAGGAGTTTTGACAAACACTCCCGATTGCCCAATGAGAAAAGCTGTTCTAAAGTGTTATAGGTGAAATAAGTGACCTGTGTACATTTTAAATGTCTAATGAGCTCTTGCAAAATGCCAGAACACTTTTGTTTGCACTTCAGAATAAGCAGCATCTTGCTCATGAAATGATTAGAATGATTTCTCATATTTAACAGGAATTCTAATTTAAAAATAAAATAAGATTTTTCATATTAGACAAAAGTGAATATTTTTTTGCCTATCCCAAATGCCGTTCACTTTCCAAAACCAAAGAGCAGAGATTTTTGGTGGAATGTTTTTAACGATAGCAGGTTTAGCAAATTATCGATCGTTACTTGCGGTTATATAGCCGCTTCCTTGATATCTGCATCCAAAACATCTTCTGGCAACTATATGCTCTCTAAACTGGAATACATATTGGGTGGGAAGATCTGGATGGGATTTAATCTTTTTGCTTTTGGATAATGAAGTTTCACATTTAGTTTGCTTTAAAAATAATGCAACATTGTATTCTGTTACTACCCGTAAATTTAATTTAAAATGTTTATAATTTTTTTCACAAGAAAATGCTAACTCCAAGCACTTAATCGTTCTCCTTCACATCCATCTCTCAAACAGATATGGAGTGGAAGACATGGGGCAGTGGTCCTCTTTGGTTTATTTTTGTTTCAAGAAAGATTAATAAATGTTTTGTAATTAAAGTAAAAAGTAATTTTGAAAATGGAATCTCCGCCTGCAATGATCCCAACATAAGTGGTTGGTTTCATTCAATATGTGCTTAGTGTTTGATACAACTCTGTAGGGTTTGTTTGCTTTTTTTGTTTGTTTGTGTTAAGGAATCTTATAGGGAAAGGGGCACGTGAGGGCTATGATTAATAAGTTAAAGAGCACAAATTTAGCTCATAGATGTGAATTTACCTTAGCCTGCAATTGCCATCTATACTCTCTAAGCTCCATACAAAGAAATAATTTTTCATTGACAGGGCATCAATAGAAATATGCCCTCAAAATATAAAGGCACTGTTTGACAGAAACAAAAACAAAAAAAACCCCACAAAAATCAATTAGACCTTCTTTGTGTTTTTTGTTCAGTCCAATGTTATTAGGTTTTTGTTTTTGGCACTGCTTGATTCAGGGTTTATTAGAGTTTTGCCTGTCATCCAAACCTGTCTTATTGATATCACTGTTTGGGTCTGGGGGGGTATTCTAAGCAATTGAATGTCTGGTGCAATTGCAGACACTGTTTTTATTTTACAGACTATTAAGCAATTTGCAGTTTACTTGACCACTTCTAGAATTGTATTGTGTTCAATGTGTTTTTTTTTTTTGAAAATGAAATGCCTCATATAAGCCTTTGAAGTCAGATTGCTGCTCACATTATCTTCTTTTGTGTGCATTGTTTGAAATTGACCTTATTTGTGATACCACAGTCACAGGATGTCGTGAATTTATGCCTTCATGTTTTTCGTTATACAATGTTAAATATGGATCGGTTGACCTAATTAGGTCCCTAGTAAAATGTCGCAATATATGAATATTTTGATAATAACAAACAGTGGCTGAAAGCAGTGCGTTTGTTTAAAAAATAAAATAAAAAAATAAAAAGTTTAAAAAAAAAAGCTAAGCTGGTTGTAGACCCCCCAATGTCTTTGCTCTGCAATGCTTTCTTGACCTCACTGATAGCCAAATGGTGCTAATCCTTTTTACCTTTTAAAGGGATTAAATAGACTGGTATGATCATTTAGAGAGGCATCCTATCTAAAGTAGGATTTTCTACAGGGCCACAAAAGATTGGAGCAAAAATGCTGTGCTTTGTATCACTTTCTGACCTCTATGGTTCGTTCTGGGCTGTTCTGCTTCTGGTCTGTTGCAATTTAATTGATCATTCCTTGTCTGTGCAGTTTTACCATCATTTGTCAGAGTCCAGGAAAAAAAGTTAATAAAATGGTTTTATATTTCTGAAAATGTAGGTTATTGGTATTCTTTCATGTTTCTTGCCAGACATGCATTCACTACTTTTTTATTTATTTTTTTATTTTTAAAGGAAGTCTGTAATAAATTGAGTGTGTCAAATGATTAGGAAACCAATAGATGGGTAGATATATTTAGAATTTAACTTTTTATTACGTGTGACTGCCTTGATGTCTTTTGTGCAATGTGTGCTCATGCTAAAAAACACAAGCCCTGTTGCATAGGAAGAAGAGTCACTTACACATTGAAATGCTGTAACGGTAAACCACTGTAAATTCTAGATATTAGCTATAATTATGTCTGATGCATGGGGAAGAAGAGGCTTGAATCTAGAAAAACGGTGATGGCATTTACTTTTTTCCCCCTTTTTGTCAATCTGCATTCCATATTTTTTTAATCATCTGTCACACTATCATTAACATGTCTTGACAAGTAGAAATGAGCGCCTGTTAAGTGTGCTATGGACTCTTCTGGCTTCCAATGGCAAGTAACTTTTAAAGAGATGCTATAGTTACCAGAACCACTACAGTTTAATGTAGTTTTCTGAGGCATATAGCCTGTCCCTGCAGGATCAGCAGTGTTTACATTGCTGCCCAAGTCTAACCTCTAGTGGCTGTCCCTCAGTCTATAGAGGGGCTTCCTGGTAAAGGCCCTGCAATCTTTACATAGGTTATGTTCAGACTCTCTGCATTCTGCATTGATTCAATGCATCTTTATGAGGAGATTCTGATATGAGCAGCATGGTAATTTGCCGCGCATGGGCATTAGTCTCTCAATGCTTCAAGATTGGTGATCTCAAGGAGGTGGGACCGGTGCGGTGATGCCTGAAAGATAAGTAAAAATCTGCCCAGCAGTAAAATGCTGTTAGGATAGGATTAGCTTGTCCCGCATGGTACTTCTTGTAATGTTTGAAGGGACCCGCCTTGGTCAAGACTAGAGATGTCGCGAACTGTCCGCCGGCGAACAATAGCGTGTTCACGTTGGGCGAACATATCCGATTTCCGGTCCGCCCCCTATACGTCATCATTGAGTAAACTTTGACCTGGAACCTCACAGTCAGCAGACACTTCCTGGGAGGGAGGGTCTGCTGCTGATTGGGTGGAATGTGTCTGCTGGCTGTGAGGTTCCAGGTCAAAGTTTACTCAATGATGACATATAGGGGCCGGACTGGAAATCGGATATGTTCGCCCAACGCGAACACGCTATTGTTCGGCGGACAGTTTGAGATATCTCTAGTCAGGACTAGAGATGTCGCGAACGGTTCAACTCCGGTCAGCTGACACATCCCAGCCAATCTCCAGCAGACCCTCTCTCCCAGACCCTCCCACCTCCTGGACAGCATCCATGTTGAAGGCAGCTTCAACATGGATGCTGTCCAGGAGGTGGGAGGGTCTTGGAGGGAGGGTCTGTCGGAGATTGGCCGGGATGTGTCAGCTGACCGGAGTTCGCCACGAACGGTTCGCGACATCTCTAGTCAAGACTGTGAAAGGGTGTTCTATGATATTCCTATTTAGCCATTGCTTAATAACAGCAGAGAACATGTATCAAAATACACACTCTTAAAATAACAATTGTTGAATGATAGGATAGCACAGGTTTCTAGCCACTTCTTATTTTCTATAACCATTAACAAACTTGGTAGGGTTTCTGGATATGAATTAAAATGGATTAATGCCCCATAGCACAAATAAAATTTGGCTTAGCAGAATAGTAGAAGCAGATAACCAAAAAGCTGTGGAAGCTTTCGCAAATTCAATAGTATAAATAAGGGGGAGGATGTGGCACTTGGGTCTTCAGAATACCTATGCTACCCCATTAGGGTTGCATTGCCTGTACAACACTGCAAGAGTTAATTTCTAGGCCATGCTTGAACAGCCGTACGTGGCATGTAAGTAAAAAAAACTATTAAGAATTTATTTTAAAAATGTAAATAATACAACCAGGACTCAAAAGAAATTCTACTTGCCCCACAAACCATTTTGTGAGTGAAATTCTTCAGGCTTGTAATGCTGAGTAATGGTTAAAGCGGCACTGTCCCGTTTTTTTTTTTTTTTAACTCGCCTCCACTATCTCTAATTGACCCCCAAATGCCCCTAAGCCCCCCCCATATTACCTATTTTTCATCTTTTTCTGCCCCGATCTATATTCAGGGCGCCCCCATCTTTGTGGGGGTAGAGGAAGTCCCTGTGGGACACGTCATCTGCCCACACTACACAGACTGAGATTCCCGCCCATGCCCAGTGAAACACTTGGACATGAGAACGGGAATTTCATCCATTCATTCATCAGAAAGACGAATGAATGAATAGAAATGTCAGACGAACAAACAAACACTGAATATCAGTGTTCGTTTGTTCGTTCAGTTTATTACAAGGAGGGCGTTACCGGCACGCAGCTCCCTCCTTGTAATATGTAAAGATAGAAGCGGCGGGGAGCAGTGCTCCCCGCCACTTCATAAGCCCCCCAGATTCCCCCTCACTCTATGGGGGGTCAATATGACCCCCCATAATAGCATAAGGGAGACTAAAATCTCCCCAATGCATGTCCACTAAACTGAGCAGCCTGTGGCTGCTCACTGTTTTAAAGAAAAAAGAAAACTACGATCCGGCCCCCACCCATGCGTGGTGGGTAGGGGCCCTAAACAACAATCAGGGGGGGGACCTACTGTCCTCCCGTCCTGGCCCCCACCCCTGAGCGGTGGGTGGGGGCCCTATATAAGAATGGAGGGAGGGGGACCTACTGTCCCCACCCCTGAGTGGTGGGTGGGGGCCCTAAAAAACAATAAGGGGGGGGACACCTACTGTCCTGGCCCCCTCCCCTGAGTAGTGGGTGGGGGCCCTAAAAATAAAACCGGGCAGGGGAACCTACTGTCCTCCCGGCCCCCACCCCTGAGCGGTGGGTGGGTGCCCTAAAAAGGCAGGTAGGGGATAGTTTTATTTGGGGGTGATTAGGGGCTGCTCACTGTTTAATAGACTTGCCCCTATTAACGGTATAGCGAGTAGGGGCAGAATTTACTAATATTAAGTAATCTTTACTTAGTATTAGTAAATTTGGCTGAAAGACCAATTTAGGTCTTTCAGCATTTTAACAAACAAAGAAAAGGTGTATAAATGGTGCTATAAATCAAATAATAACGAATATCCCAGTGCCTCTCAAACTCCACAAGTGTTGGTTCACCCAAAACACTTACATCAAATATGGAGAAACAGTGAGAACTTGGTGCACACAATGGATATTTTTCTCCTTATTAAATCTGAAATAAATATAACAGAACCTTCATAGGGCAACAAATAAAAGAAAATTTTCAGATATATGTATAACAGGAAAAACTCACAATTTGGAGAGCCATATAAGTCTGCTCTCTACTAAAAAGGCAGGTGAGTAATCCCAAAATGACAAGTAGCCGCAGTGATGATGATCCCCCAGGGAAAGAGTTGCTTCAAATCCACCTGGACAGAATTTCAGGAACCCAAAGTAGCTCAAAAAGGCTGTCTTTATTACATATAAAATAAATAAAGGTATAGAAAACAGTAGCACAACGCGTTTCAGCATCTTAGTAGATCCCTGATACCGTGGGAATTAGGGAGTTAACTACTAAGCGGCTGCAACATGCAGCCACAGCACGAATAGGATCGGAGTTTCATTCATTCGAATGAAATTGCGATCCGAACAAAGTCCTGAATTGCATCCTAACACGAATGGAGAAACTGTTCTCATTCTGTTAGGATGCAATTCGGCAGTTTTGTCGGCGTTCTGTCTAAGTTACAGGACGTTCGGCAATACTGACAGGAAGCATCGTGGGAACAGGGAGGAAAGCTAAGGATCATGGGAAAATTGCTCTGACCAGCGGAAATGACGCACACTTTGCTCCTCCACTGGTCAAAGCTGGTCAAGCGGAGGAAACCTCCATAAGGCAAAGACTCCCTACTTTGTCTTATGATTTTAAAGAAAACTAAAGAAGAAAAAAACAGATCCTGAGAGAGGGGGAGAAGAGGAAGAGATTGAGGAAAGGTAAGTTCGGCATGACAGTGCCGCTTTAAGAAATGGTTAGTGTGTGACTTCACATTTTAAACCCATGCTAATATTTATCCAGGGTATATAATGCAAAGTCCTACTCTATTAGCCAGACATTAAAGAAACATAAACATGTATTCCTAATGCCACAGTGCTCTATTTGGATATCTGCCCCATCCATTATGTACAACAGATCTATTTTCCGCTCAATTTCATAGTGTTTCAGTTTTAAATAAGAATAGCGATCGATTTGTGTTGATTTTCATTTCAAGACTGCCTCTAGTTTTACAGGAAGCAGAGCATCTAGGACATGTGTATTTGCATCTGTGTGATGAACAATATCACACCAATCACATTTCCAGTCCACCAAGTCTATGGATATGAAAAGGCATTTGCCAGGGTGGACTGGGGTTCATGCAGCAAACAGACTTTGGGGGAGGTTTAACAAAGTGGTGGTACAAGACTGTCACCAATAGAATCTGGTCCCTGGTTGCATTTGTTTCCATGCAGATTGTACTAATTATTTAAAAAAAAAAAAAAAAAAAAAAATGTTGTGGATGACACAAACTATCACAGTAGAATTCCACCTTAGAGATTACATTGATATGACATAAGAAGAAAGGTTTGTGCATCGATTCATAATGGGTATTCCGCAAACCACTGCTTGCACAGAGATAATTTACAAGTGTTTTGCTACACATTCAACTCAAAATGTATATTTACCAATTTGACCTGTCAAATACCCCAAGTATACTGACCTGTACATCTTCTTGCGCAATATCCTTTTCCGTAAATACAGATCACCGTAATCGCTCCCTGGCAGTTTGGCACTCAGCAGTTTAGAGTGCAAGCTAAGAACATCTGGCAGCTGTGCTCTGACTCACTAGAGTGCTAGACCGTAAAGGAACCCTTACTGAGGTGTATACCTGCTGTAAGTACAAATGCCTTGCTGCCCTGTTAATTGCCTGGTGCAGCGCTAAAGGAATAAAACAAGTGGCCATGTCCTGGGCTTTTGGCGATTTTAATTATTGGTACTTATATAGTGCCAACTTATTCTGCAGCGCTTTACAATATGATTACTAGAAACTCCTCACAAGTACCCCATTCAAGTGGTGCCAAGGACACGCACCATACCTATCACGCTGGGATAATCTACGCTGAAACATCTTTACGGATTTGTAATCGGAGTGGTGCTATACTGACGTTTTATTGTGGAGAGTCATGCAGCATTATCTGTGTTTAATTTTGACTTATCCTAATTACTGTACAGTGACACAGAGGACACAGGAGCAAGTGGAAGCGCACCGTTGCATGACACCACAGGTTCTGCCATCTTGGTGTCACATTGCATTCTCAGAACATGTGCTATCTTCATGCTGATTGTCCCAGTATGACAATGGCTGGCTTCTTGTGCGTAGAAATTAATCTGCTGCAGGCCGGAAAGAAAAATCCATGAGAGATCCAAAAGTGGCCCTTGAATATTATAGGACAGCAGCACCTTTTCATGTACTGTCCTTTAATTTGAAGAAGTGATATGTGCCCAAGACATAAATGAAATAAAATGAAGGATCTAACAAACATCATACACCAGTAAAGTGATCTGATAACAGTGTGGGGGGCTTGCCAGCAGGGTCCTGTGCTTATCCCATAACTAGAATGATGACCCCCCCCTCCCCCCCGAGGCCATGTTTAAAGGACACATTGTTCCTGCAATGCATTCACTATACTATAATAACCAGGAGCAAGGTGAGACGTGACTGTCCTGCTGGTGGGAGGGACTTTGCTGTCCAAATTCCAGTTTAAACTGGATTTATTGACCAAAACCCCAACAATTAGCTAAAAAAAATAAATTAAAAAAATGGCAGTCCTACCCCCCTTGATTATTGCTTACTGCCCCCTCCTCCACATGCACTACACGTATACACACTGCAGGGACTCGGAGCCACCGCTAGAGGGCGCTCTGACAGAGGTTACCGCAAGGTAGATCAGCCTGCAGGGAGGGCCGGTCACCTTGGAGAGGGCGGGAGGCGAGGTTTCAGGCAGGTAAGGCTGGCTGCCGGTGTTCTTACTGGGCTGGGAGAGGGGGAGTAAGGCGGGGGACAGGCTGTTTGTCGCCCTGTTGACTCATACCGTGCTGGCTGTGCAGGGATTGCTAGAGATGGGTTTAGACGGACTGAGCATCATGGGAAATGTAGTCCAGAAAGCTTAATGCTTAATTGAGACATGAAAAGGAACTCTCGCCCAACCTCCCAAAACAAAATATATTTTCTCTCTTTAAATTGTTCTTTCCTTCAATCCCCTGCCCTGCATCTGCTCACAGAGCTGGTAGAGATGTAACATGGTGTATAACCAGTGACCATGTGAATGCAGCCTGTAAGCATTGTTGGCTGGCACAGCCTGTGTTGTACATGTTATTTTTCTAGTAAACCTTTACAGTTCCTGGGACCTTTATACAGATTACAATTTACTGCTGTCAACAGACAGGTGAGACAAAATGTTCTTTTCGTAGAAGTGACACCTCCCGTTCCATCGGTGCCTGCATCAGGCTCGGAAAAACGTCTTTTACCATTAGGTTGCTACTTGATGCGGAAAGCAAAAGACTTAAAATGATTTATTCCGGTACTGTTAAATTGATAAGTCATTGTTACGCTACTTGGGTGATTTGGCTTGGAACTCAACTGCAGCTTGTAATTACAATAGTGAAGAAACTGAGAATCTTTAAAGTATCAACACTGTAGCTTTAAGAAAAGAGAGAATTGCTGGTAACTTGATTCAACCGAAGTTTTAATAAGTGTTAAACTTAAATGAATTGCATTTAGGCAATAATCCAATAAGAAGAAGTGCAAGTAATCAACAACACAAAGTTCATTAATAAGTATTTCCTCAAAGATGCATTAAGTAACATTCTTTAGGTAAATGAGAATAATCTTTCAATAGTAACTTTAAGCAAGTAGCTGAGAATCTTTGCAAAGCAGGAACTGTTCATAGTTAATAAGCATGATGGGAGTTGTCCTCCATATAATTAGTAGCTTGAAGCACTGAGTGTATTTGCAAAGCAAGAAACAGTTCATTGTGATTAAGCATGATGGGAGTTGTCCTCCATATAATTAGTAGCTTGAAGCAGTGAAGATTTGAGTAAGCAAGCATTAGTTCATCATATTAAATGATATTGTAGACAAATAGCTGAAATATACTTAAGGTTAATGTGAGTAATCCTCCAATAGTTCAGAGGTATGGTCCACTTGTAAGGAAGTGAGTTTCTGCTCTCCAGTAATCCTCTATGGCACGAAGTATACTTTTCTTAGCCCAGAAGGATAGGACGACATCAGAGCTTGTAGAGCCGGCGTGTCCCAGGAGCCGGCGTGCATACTCGGAAGTAGGAACCACATTGCCAGAGCCTGTGGAGAGGTAAGTCTGGTGGACGTAGCTCCCAGTATCACCAAGCCCCCTCTCTCTGGCGCGGTCTCCCTAAATACCGTCAGAGCTACGTCAGAGGGGGGCGGGGTCCGGCTCCGCACAGCGGAGTGCCGAACCCGGAAGTATTACCGCATGACAGTCATAACCTAAATATGGAATTTATTCCCAAAACAATTTATTGGGTAAAACTCCTTTGTGCCTTCCTTTTCCTATATTCCATGGGTACTGTCTGCATGGGGAACACAGCCAGTAGTCATTGGGTCATGATTATTTTAAGTCAGATTATGGGTGAAATTCATCATATATACTTTTTTCAAAACTGATCATTGGAAAAAATTGAAGATGATGCTAGCTTTAGTGTACTAATAATCTTAATTTTTTTTTTATTAAGGACATAAGGAGATTGTTTTGCATATCTTTCTTTACTTAACTCTATAGCAGCAAAGAAACATAGAAAAAAAAACAAGAACCAATCAGAAACAATTAATGTATATAGGAGGCACAGTGACCCCAAGCACCTCCTCTTTCTTTATGCAACATCACAGGCAAAACATATAAAACAGAAAACATAAGTCAACATCCTGCAGAACGAGGATTCCAATCAAACTAGAACAGAAAACACGTCCCCAGAAACAAGTCAAACTGAAGAGAAAATGTGTACAAGGTTTAATCATATGGAAATAACCTTATGAAATAATGAAACAACGCCAGCGCTCAATGAATTTCAAGTATACATACATCATAGTACAATCTAAGCAATACTACATGGATAACTAAAACACACAAAATCAGCACACTAAAATACTAAAAACAAATTAGGAAGTCACAATAAATACACCCAACAAACAAATTACACCCCTCGTGACAACAAACAATAAAAAAACAAAAAAGGGAAGAAAAATACTCACCTCCTGTCATTACAAGAATTAAGATTATGAGTACACTATAGCTAGCATAATCTTCAATTTCACAACATGATAGGAGGCTTCATATTTTGTATTTTTAACGCTGTGAGAGAAGAGAAAAAGCGGCATAGAAGTGGACAGAAATTTAAAGTCTGAAAAATATATAATTTTGAGTCCAATCCGCCACACGTAAAATATCCGCAAACGCCCACCGTTAGAGCAGAATAAGACGCCGTCCGCTGAATGTAATGTGCACTGAATAGTGAGAGAAAGTTCAGGACTGAGGAAACGGACCATAAATGGATCCACACACCAATACGTTCATGAATTCCAACCAGATAGGTAACACTGTCTTGTACTGGGGCCCAGGAGTCCCAGATAAGGTCACTAGGAGCCTGTGATCGTGCACTGACTTGCCAGGAATCTCGGAATGAGTCCAAGCCACCAGTGAAAGCCGATCTTCTAGGAGCAATGGGTGAAGGTTCCCCTTCTGGTCCTGTGAGGAACATCTGGTATGACAAGGGGTATGGACAATTTCAGAAGATCTGGGAATCAAGGCTGGCTCTGCTACAGATAGCAACCAGGGTTATCATTACCTGTTGAAATAAACATGATAAAAGACCTTCAAGATTATCGCAAAGGGGGGAAAAGTGTAGGCTCTGTGGCCAAGTTTGAAGAAATGTATCAGCAGCTATGCACTTCAGATCTCATAGCCAGCTGAAGATGTCCAGATTTTGGTGATTGTTGCGAGAAGCAAAACGTTCCAAAGGGAAGAGGCACCTCCAGGATGTGAAGGCAGCTAACACCAGTGGGTCCAGCTTCCAGTCACTGTCTTCCCTTCAATGTCAAGACAATCAATCTTCCGTGAGGTTGGTCTCCCCCGGCAGATATTCCATCTTTAACAATATGTTGCAGGGTAGACAAAAATCTAAATCTCCTTTGTTAAATCTGACAGACCGTGGGAACAAGCGCCCCCGAGGTGATTGATATAACACAGTGCAGATTAATTGTCCGTCTGGAGCAGAATGCAACAGTTGCACCTCACCTTTGCAAAACTGGAGATGGCGAACGATCCTGCCAGGAGCTCCAAGCATTTGATGTGCATAAATAGCTCTTAAACCATCCACACGTCTCCTGTGGACAGACCTCCGTCAGTCATGCCTGAGCTCCAAAGTCTGGCATTGCCACATATGGCCCAGCTGTTTTTAGATCTGCATGCTGCCCAGCCACCACCGCAGTTCCATCTGCACCTTGTTTGTCATTGGGACCAGTGGGCCGTAAGTGGGATTCTTCCTGAAGAACTTGGCCTTCAGTCACCGCATAGCCCGGTAGTGTAATGGACCCTGGAAGATCACCTGAATTGAGTAAGACAACAGCATCATGATCTCTGCGAGCATGCAGAGTGGGATGAAGTTGTGATGGGGAACTCTGCAAAACTTCTTGGAAATAGATGAGACCTCCAAGGCACACAATGTTGAATCGATCTCAAAATCCAGGAACTGAACCAGATGACCAACACGGTTTCAGACCGATTCACTACCCAACCCAGAGATTCAAGAAGATTCATGATATATTGGGTATGGTCCCTCACTCCTGTCTGAACAGAAGATCAGGATGTCGTCCAGCTAAATTATGTAGCGGACCCTATTGGCCTGCAGATGGGCTACCATTAGCTTCAGAATGGTCGTCGCCGTCCTGCAGGTTGATCGTTGGTGGGCTAATAACCCATTTACCTCCGGCCCAGAACATATTGGTGAAGAAGCCTCCATCCCCCGAAGCAAATTTAGATGGCGCTCTTTAGCCGTAATTACTGGAGCTCCTGGTCAATAAGACGTAAAAGTTAGTGAGGCGAACACAGTAACCCGTGTAGATGGGATTTACAGGCCCCCTGGACAAATAGAAGAGTTAGTTGAGGAAACAGCTAAAATGACAATGAAGGGCGAAGTTATTATAATGGGTGACTTTAATCTTCCGGATGTGAACTGGAAAAACAAAACAGCTGCTTGTGCCAGGAGCACACATATTCTAAACTCTCTACTGGGATTATCTCTAAAACAAATCCTTGAGGAACGAACTCGTAAGGAAGCCAAACTAGATTTAGTGTTAACAAATGGAGCTTTAGTATCGGATATTACTGCAGGTGAATGTTTAGGATCCAGTGATCATCAGTCAGTGTGGTTTAATATAAGAACAGTGACTGAGTCACACCACACAAAAACAAAAGTTTTAGACTTTAGAAAAACAGACTTTTCTAAAATGAGAATATGCGTAAAGGAGTCCTTGTTAGACTGGAGCAGTTTAAACGGAGTCCAGGAGAAATGGGATTATTTAAGAATTGCACTACTGAAAGTAACAGAAAATTCCATTAGGCTTGTCAGGAAGAGCAGAAAAATTAAGAAACCACTGTGGTACTCCGCAGAAGTGGCCAAAATAGTAAAAAAACTAAAAGGGACACTATAGTCACCTGAACAACTACAGCTTAATGTAGTTGTTCAGGTGAGATCTATAGCTCCCTGTAGGCAATCTAATGTAAACACTGTATTTTCAGAGAAAATACAATGTTTACATTGATAGGAATACCTCCAGTGGCTGTCACTCAGACGGCCACCAGAGGGACTTCCTATCATGTAGGAAATGGAAGCGTCTTATTGCTCCCTGCTCGCTCCCGCCTATTTCGTCATTTTGACGAAATAGGGGGCGCGGCTTCACGAGGCTCCCGGCGCTGGAACCAGGTGAGTAAAAAGGGTTGGCTGGAGAGTCCCTTAAAAGTTAGCATTTAGTAATTATAAAAAAAAAAAAGTGTGAGGAAGACAGACAGATCTATAGAATTAGGCAGAAAGAAGCCAAGCAAGTTATAAGAGCCTCAATAGCACAGTCGGTGAAAAAGGGGGATAAAACATTTTTTTTAGATACATAAATGAGAAAAGGAAAGTAAAACAAGGATTAGTTAGATTAAAACCAAAAGAAGGAAGGTATGTAGAAGAGGATAAATGTCTAGCTGACTGCCTCAATTAATATTTTTGTTCGGTATTTACAGATGAAAATGAAGGAGAGGGACTTCAGTTAAGAAAAAGGACAAATGGGTCACTTGTTACATGTGAGTTTACAGAGGAAGAGGTTCTATTTCAACTGTCAAAAGTAAAGACAAATAAGTCGATGGGGCGTGATGCGATACACCCAAAGTTATTAAAAGAACTTAGTGGTGTACTAGCAAAACCATTAACAAATTTATTTAACCAATCATTGTTAACAAGAGTAGTCCCAGAAGATTGAAAATTAGCGAATGTTGTATCCATTCACAAGAAAGGTAGTAGGGAGGAGTCGGGCAACTATAGGCCAGTAAGCTTTACTTCAGTAGTTGGGAAAGTGATGTAAACCATGTTACAGGATAGGATTGTTGAACATCTAAAATCACATGGATTTCAAGATCAGAGACAACATGGGTTTACTTCAGGGAGATCATGCCAAACTAATCTTATTGATTTTTTTTTTTTTTTTTGATTGGGTAACTAAAATTATAGATCAGGGTGATATAGTAGACATTGCTTACCTAGATTTCAGTAAGGCTTTTGACACTGTTCCACATAGAAGGCTCATCAATAAACTGCAATCTTTAAGTTTGGATTCCAATATTGTTGAATGGGTAAGGCAGTGGCTAAATGACAGGCAACAGAGGGTTGTAGTCAACAGAGTATATTCAAAGCAAGGTCTTGTTACCAGTGGGGTACCTCAGGGATCTGTACTTGTACCCATTCTCTTTTTAATATTTTTATTAGTGATATTGCAGAAGGTAAGGTATGTCTAAAATTTGCAACAGGATTGATGTTCCAGGAGAGATAAGCCAAATGGCAAAAGATTTAGACAAATTAGAAAAATGGTCAGAGCTGTGGCAACTGACATTTAATGTGGATAAGTGCAAGATAATGCATCTTGGACGTAAAAACCCAAAGGCAGAGTATAGAATATGTTATACCCTACTAACCTCAACATCTGAGGAAAGGGATTTAGAAGTAATTATTTCAGATGACTTAAGGGCAGGAAGACAATGTAATAGAGCAGCAGGAAATGCTAGCAGAATGCTTGGTTGTATAGGGAGAGGTATTAGCAGTAGAAAGAGGGAAGTGCTCATGCCATTGTATAGAACACTGGTGAGTATTGTACGCAGTACTGGAGACCATATCTTCAGAAGGATATTGATAACTTTAGAACAAGTTCGGAGAAGGGCTACTAAAATGGTTCATGGATTGCAGGATAAAACTTACCAGGAAGGGGGGCGGGGCCAGGCAGCCGACCGAGGCAGACGTGCGAAGCCAGAGCTCCTCAGGAAAAAGCTTGATCCTGATCATAACCAGGGGTATTGACCCCCAATTTCCGACAACAACTTTGCCCTAACTACTTACCCACGGGAGGCAAGCAGGCTGAATGAGCCAAAGACAACAGGCTGTGTAATAACAGCACAGCCAGCGTCCAAGGCCTACAGCGTTGAGGTGGTGGGGACGGCCGCTCCTCCATCTCACTCGGCTCCTGCTCACCGCTGTGCCCTGATTCCCCCCCCCTCTGGACCGGTGGGGGATATCCCGGTCCCTACTGGTGGACTAACTCACTACAGTGGAACACAATTGTCAAGAGGAAACAGCGGCAGTAACTGAGCGCCCTATTCACTGTGACCAACTTTGCAAGATGGCCGCCGCAATATCCATGGCCTTCCACGAGGCGCGGATAGAAAAGGCCTTCGAGCGCTTCTGGTCCCAATTCTGGTCTCTAGTGGGCCAAAGAACAGTGAAGGAGGCGGAGGCAAGCCCACTCCTACAAGCCCAAGAAATACCCACAAGCCACAGCCTGCTATGCAGGGCCACGACACTGCCCCGGTAACAAGCAGGAGGAGTAGGAAGAAGCGACAAGTACCTCAATCATGGAGAATCCGCGCTGCCAAATCTCACCGCCTGCAGGGCTTAACTACTCGACCAGCGCAGGTCCTCTCAGGGGCCAGGGGACGAAAGGGAACCATACCAACGCAAGGAACTGCAATCAGGTGCCCGACTCTCCCTAGCGCACGACTCAGGGTAAGGCCTACTCCTGGAACTCACAGAAAGGCCACAACGGCCACTCTGCATCTCCCCACACAGAACACTCACTTGCAACATCCCGCAGGCCCAACCGGACTTCACACATGCCTCCTCCGCCCACGCACTGTTCGACTCTCACCCTGGCAAGAAGGTCAGATCGGTACATTGCAAGCCTGGAAGCGGACTGTTCAGGGGATAGGCTGAAGTTCGGGCGGAGTGGGACTCTGTGGGACTTGTAATATCAGACTGGCTACTTCCAATACTCCCACACTCACAGAGGGCAACCATCCACTCCGAGATAGATATCACCCCGAGGGCAGAATGTATTTTCTTTTTGTTTACCTTCTTAACGTATGTTATTCCTCACCAATTTGAGTGTGTGCAAGTCAAACCATCAGGCAAGGTTTACCTACCAGCTGATCATAAATCCTATAAACCTTAGATAGCCATATCAGTTTATTTGGCCCATGAAACTTACCACGTACCCCAGCTAATACCTATTAACAGGTGTAGACACTCTCACCGCCCATGCTGTAGCTTAGCCCTTTGATATACACTTTGGGCAATGCCTCACACTTGCCCGACCTTTAACTCAATGAGACATCGATTAACCCATCATCGCTACACTGATCTGGTGATGCAAACTAATGCCCCTACCCTGGGCACTACCAATACGACACTAGATAATTAAACCTAACATACTATTCACCACATCTTGCAAGCATAGCTCTGTATATCATTTTAAATTGCTGAGAACCATAAATGAACGCGTTGGCCTAGCCTGATAAAAATACATTTAAAAATGTGTCATAAGAAATGCCAGTTAGTTTTTTTATGCCTAATGCTGACGATGATATAGTCTGCCCTGCTTTGCCTGGTGGTATATTCCTTTACTTTACTTTTACACTTAATTTGGTTAAGCTTGGTACTTTACTATTTTCTAACATGTCAGTAAGTTAATCTGTATTTAAGCCTGTACTCATAACCTTACCTGACACACAAGACTAAAGCTCATAAAAGCGTAACTTAGCATACAAACTACAATTTAACATTTAAAAATGTGCCAATATCTCCATGTCACTAATGTACAAACGCTGTGTTTACATCTCCTAACTCCGCCATTGTGACATAGTAAATCTCAAGCAACGCTCACCCACTGTTTATATTTTCTCTTCCAAAACTAAAAATGTGCTGTATACTCATATACCACGTTATGTTTCAACTGTCTGTTATATTACTGCTTGTGACTGCTATTGTGGCTGCACATGCCTATTGTTATACCATGCACACCAAAAATAAATAATAAAAAAAAAAAAAAAAAACTTACCAGGAAAGGTTAAAGGATTTTGACATGTATAGCTTGGAAGAAAGACGAGACAGGGGGATATAATAGAAACATTTAAATACATAAAGGAAATCAACAAAGTAAAGGATGAGACTATATTTTAAAGAAGAAAAACTACCACAACAAGAGGACATAGTCTTAAATTAGAGGGGCAAAGGTTTACAAATAATTTCAGGAAGTATTACTTTACAGAGAGGGTAGTGGATGCATGGAATAGCCTTCCAGCTGAAGTGGAAGAGATTAACACTGTGAGGGAGTTTAAGCATGCGTGGGATAGGCATAAGGCTATCCTAGACTTAAGATAAGGAAAGGGACTAATTAAAAGTATTTCGAAAACTAGGCAGACTAGATGGGCCGAATGATTCTTATCTGCTGTCACATTCTATATTTCTATGTCAGCTGACACATAACAGGTCAGGGGTGGCTGCCACTGGACAGGGACGTCCTCAAATTCTATCACATATAGCCCTGGAGGCTTTCTTCATGGAAGATTGCGCCTTGTTCTGGGACACTTCCCGAAGAGCTTGCCTTGTGCCTGAGGGACAAGTTCTTTATCGCCTATGTGGAAGAGGCTGCTTTGCATTTCATCAAAGAGAGTGCTATATTGGTTACCAAGGAAACAGAAGCACCTTTGTGCCCACTCTTTAATGTTGTGTTCCCATTCGCGCACCATTCCCACATCAAATAACTGAACTTGAGAATAGGCATCATGTGCCAGACATCTGCGTGCTAGGGGCCCAACAGCAACCAGGAACTTGTCCTTTGCACCTTTTGAAATCTCTTTCAACCCCTTTATATGGGTCTCTGCCTCCACAGGCCATGAAAGACTACATAAGCTGATCAAATTCTGACGTCAGGGCAATGAAGGCCGCAGACATTCAGACCGCAAGGGGTTGTGGACCTTCTTCTCCAATGGCTTCCACAGCCACACGTGCATAAATTTAGAGAGGCTGGGCAGGCGATATCCAATCCCCAGAGCAAAGGTGACATATGTTGCAGCGGTTGAACATGCGTTGGCCTTAGTAGCTAGAATGACTTTCACGTTCACCTGGGAAGGCTTCTTCCGGACCATCCCCACCCTCCAGCACCTGGGACTCACGCAGGAAATTTTCTTTCACAAACCCGGAGTCCGACCTCATGGTGGAACCCCAAGTGTCATCATCCGATCCAGAGGCATCTGCTTGCCATTCATCAAGTATTGATAGTGACTGGGGTAGGTAATTGTCCTCGTCCCAGGAATGATCGTGTAGCAGGAGTGGAGCAGGTGGTGCCACCTGTAGCTTGCCACATTTGAGGGCTTTTTGCCTTGGATGATTTATACTGAGGTGTTTATGGGGCGTGAACTCTCTGTAGTAGGAGGTAGTCATCGTATTCAGCCCTATAGTGGGCACACTAGGTAATAGAGCTCACCGGGAAAACCTTGGAAAGCGCCTTTTCTACTGACGCAGCCGCTGCTGCATTGATCATGGCCTGGATATCTGCTGCAGTTTTTTGGGGAGTCCTACATATGGAATCACAATCACAGGCCACTGGGGCTCACCCAATGTATAAAGTACCACAAGGGCAATTTAATTTAGGCAGACAGACCACAGCAAAACCTATTAGGCACTAAGGGCAGTGGCTGGTGTGTGACCAGGTGATATTGGCAAAAGCATACAGATTTGCAGTATAAAATCAGGCACAGTAAGTACAGTCCGTAAATCAAAAGTGGTCAAACTATTGGGGCTCACCCAGTATAGGAGATAGCAACAGCAGACTCCCATCAGCAGCACAATTACATAAAGGCATAAGGGGGGCCACCCCATAAACCGGTAGGGCTTGGAGCACCTACCACGCAAGTAAAACCTCCAGGGACACTGACTATAAATTCGGTCCCCACACCCAGGCAGGTAGAATTAATTGTAAAAAGGTATAAACTTGTAGAATCCATGGAATGCTTCACAAATTTTGCATGTCATCCTTGCGCAGGGGCCATGCTAATCTTCTTTATATTGTTCCAATTTTATGATGTGCTGCTAAAGCGAGAACAGCAGGAGCAGTGATGCAGGCAGGCACTGTGTGAAGAAGCGGTCAGCCCCTAATCACGGCACTTGCTACCATGCGAGTATGCCAATATGGCTGCCTGGGACCTCGTGAAATGTGAGATCCAAGATGGCCACCGAAACCCACCAACGAGTACCGAAGAGTCAAGGACTGGCATGTGGCTCAGTAATAACACTGCCTAGCCCACCAGGAAGGGGGGAAACAAATAACACAACCCAGAGGGAAATAAATACACCAGAGCCCGCCGGAAACATCGGCTCATCGGAACATAAGTGAGAGTGTGTGGGGCAGGCTTAGCCTGTCAGTGATGAGGGGAAAAACAGTAATGGTGAATAAGGCACAGTGTGCAGACAGGACCTGCCAGAGAAAGGGGAAAACAGTAATGGGGCAGGGAGAGCCTGCCAGCAAACTGACAAAGAAAGCCCAGTGTGCTGACAGAGCCTGCCAGATAAAGGGTAAACCGTTATGGGGCAGGCAAAGCCTGCAAGGAAATTGACAAAGAAGGCCCAGTGTGCCAGTACAGGGACAAATAGTGCCTAGTCGTGTGCAGGCAAGAGAAAGTAGAAATAAAGAAATGGGGCAGCCAGGAATAGGGGAACAATTAAAACACAGTAGTGTAAAAAAGTAAAACAGGAAGAATAAAATAAGCATCAGTCGCAATCCAGCAAACTGACACAATAATACAATATAGAAAGACAGTGAAGAGAGCAGAAACTCTCACCTGTCCTTGTCATGGAGCAGTAAAGAAAGAGGAGGTGCTTTGGTTCACTGTGTCTCATGTATACATTACTTTTTTATGAATGGGTCTTGGTTTTTTTCTAGGTTTCTTTGCTGCTATGGAGTTTAGTAAAGAAAGTTTTTAGTAAAGAAAGATAAAATCAAATATGAAGCCTCCTGTTATGTTGTAAAATTAATTGTAACTAAATTTGTTGTATGCAAATTGCGACTGAATAATTTGGGAATGAAATGGCCCTAATATATAAAGTAAGCTATTAATGTGAACAGTGTTAAAGTAAAGCAGTCTGCAGTAACTAATGGCCTATTCCTTAACCATATACACATTCTGCCTTCACGCACAGCCAAATATTGCTATGCACAGGAGTGGATTAAAAGATTAAAGAGACACTATAGTCAACAGAACAACTACAGCTTTCGTACTTATTCTGCTGATTATTTCATTCAGGCTTTTTACAGTAAACACTGACTTTTCAGAGAAAAGGCAGGGTTTACATTACAGCCTAGGGATACCTTAGTGGCCACTACTCAGATGACTGCTAGAGGTGCTTCCTGGGGAAGTGCAGCACTAACATGAAGTGTTTCTGCCCTCTGCATGGAGACACTGAACTTTCTTCATAGAGATGCATCTGTATGAGGAGATGCTGATTGGCCAGGGTGGTGTTTGGCTCTGCCCCCTGCCTCACCTCCTTGGCAATTTCAGCCAATCCAATGCTTTTCTATGTGAAAGCATTGTGATTGGCTCAGATCATCACTTCTGATTATGTCAGCCAAGGATAATTGCAAATTAAATAAGGTAGGCACACGGAATATGAAATATATGCAAGCTCCCAAGTGGAGCTCTATGAAAATACGATATGGGGTGCTCACTCACATAAGGCTTTATCCCCAAAAGCCCAAATACATGTAAATAACAATAGAGAAAGGAACACACCCATCAATAATAATAATAAAACAATCTTTATTAAGTGGGTATACTCTATAAGAATATCACATAATATAAAGATCCAAAATATAGGATCATGTCACGCTATACAGCAATGATCAGAAAAATTCTGAATATATATGTATAAACGCCAAAAGCGTCTTATATGAATAACATAGTCTCAATATACAAAAATAAAGAAATAAAATACCAGTCTAATCCAACCCCACAAACATAGATATAAATATACAAAAGTATATAGCAATAAGCATACCAGACCTAGTGAGAAGCAAGGACAGAGTCAGTCACCAAAACACCCCCTACGTTTCGGCGAAAATGCCTTTATCAAGGGAGCATGTTGAGAGAAACTAAATCCTGTTCTTATATACCCAATATAAAACACAAACCTGGAAAACACCTGAAAAAAATGGGTGGCCACCCATGATGACTGGGATCCTCCCAACCATGATATACCTGTTCATGGTTGTCAAGGGAACCAGAAAGCCCTGACCCATATACATGTATACATATCAAAATGCAGATTTACAAGTAGAATACATAAACAAAAATACTTGATATAAAGATACAAAATCAACATGAAACATGCAGGCAAGATATTAAGTGTACATGTAGTGGACATATTAGTAGAAACATATTATAATATAAATAAGAATATGAATATTACATCAGTATTAATATAAAGATATAAAGATCAACTGTCCCAAGTGGTATGGCAGTTTGAAAAAATAAAAACATAAAAAAGAAACAATCAAAAGTAAATGTCACAAAATACCTGGTGCAGAGATTTGATCTACAAGCTTATACTGATACAAAGAGGAATAAAAATATAGACCGGAGGCGTGAGCAGCATCAGGCGCTTCAAAATCGCCAAACCCGGAAGTAAGCTAAATCTGGTGGAACGCACATGCGTTCCAATATAGAAATATGCCTGATCGCATGCTATGCGCAATCAGTCGGCACCTCGCGAAACCCCAAACCAGGAAGCGCTCCAGATACATGCTAGATCCCTTACCCTATATGCACTCTTAATCCTCTATACACACACAATCTCCTATACACACTCTGGGTTCTTTACACACTAGATCTCCTACACACACACACTGCACCACCTACACACACACACACACTACATTCCTTGTCAGCAAACACATACAACATTCTCTAAACACACCCTCTCTACAACCCCTACACACACTACATCACCTATACACACACACTACAGCCCGTATACACACACTCGCTAGATACCCTATAACACTATGCCCCCTATACACACTCTCTACAGCCCCTAGTCACACATATTACACCACAAACACAAATGAAATTGACCTATTTACACAATACCACACCACACTCTACACATACGCAATCCCACAATCAGGCTCCAAACATATGCACCATACACTTTCCTGGCCCTTTTGTCCTCTGGTATCCCACTTGTGGAGACACCAGAGACAATTTAAAAGCAAACACAGGGCAAGCATGTTATTATATTTGCTTGCGCTGCGCAGAACAAATACAGGGCCTTTTTCTAATGCCAGAGTTCTTCAGCGAGGCTCTGCGCATTGAACCAACATGCTCACTTTGAGAGGGGGCGTGCTTGTAATTAGTGATGACAAAACACACCCTCTCTGGCCCCGCCCCCTTCTTAGGGGGCCTCTTTGATTGAAAAATGCCCGGGCCTAATTTTTTTTCCCAGTCCGGCCCTGATGGTATGCCATCATGGGGGTAATTCTCATTCCTGGGCTATCATTCCTGGGTAACCAACCTGGCCTTTTTCAATGTAAAAATATTTGACATATATTTGACCCTATAATTTTCAAAAACGCTATAAAAACCTGTACATGGGTGGTACTGTTATACTCGGGATACTTTGCTGAACACAAATATTAGTGTTTCAAAACAGGAAAACGTATCACAACAATTATATCATCAGTAAAAGTGCTATTTGTGTGTGAAAAATGCAAAAAAAAGTCCCTTTCACTGACTATCATCACTGTGATATGTTTTACTGTTTTGAATCACTCATATTTATGTTCAGCGAAGTCTCCCGAGTAAAACAGTACCCCCCATGTACAGGTTTTAGGGTGTCATAGAAAGTTACAGGGTAAGATATGGTGCTAGCAAATTACATTCTCTGGACTTTCGGCCTGGGTTGGCAGGCAGGTCCCTCAAATTGCAATCAATAAAATTACTTAATTATGTAAAAATATTACATAAATACGCACGTTGAATTTAAATATATATGTATATTTATATATTTGAAGTCTACGTGTATATTTATATAATTATTTATGTAATTTTATATATGGACATATGTATATTTCGTATTATTTTTATTTATATATACATAAATATATATATAATTTCATTCTAAGTGTATTTTGATATATGAAAGAAACAGCAGTGGTTAGGAATGGAACAAGTCCATCCGCCAGGTTGTGATGGTTGAGAGATACAATGGGGCCTAACCCCTAGAAGTGCAAAGAGAAAATAGGACTAATGGGTTGCAGATTATAAACAATCTGCCTCCCAAAAAGACCTTGTATCCTTATGTGAAAAAAGGTACTCTGCAATTATAAAATATAAAAGTGGAGCGCAGAGAGCGAAAAACTCTTTATTAATCCCTCTTGGGGGAGAAACACACAGAGACTAAACAAACAAGTAATACAATTAGGATCTAATTGGATAGAATCGACTAGTCCAAAAATAATAGTAATATGGTCAGAAGAAATGCTATAAGTGTATGTGTGGCAGAATTGCCATAAATAGTAGCAAATAAATATGACCAAAAGGGGGGAAGATACATTAAATGTAGCAAACTGAAGATCTCTAAATGCAAAAGTAAATAAACTCTATAATTAGAACAAAGAGTATATCAAGTGCACAAAAAATAAGGTTACATCATGCTTTTGGGTGGAGCATTAAACACATTTAAAAAGAGGCTCCCTTCAGTCTGCAAATTGCTCTTGATAAAGGTGACTTGTTTCGCCGGAACGCGCGTTGGGCACTTTACTAAAGCGGATAATGATTTTAATTTAGGATTCTATTTTGTTTTCAGACTGTCCTATCATTTATTTATTTATGGTGGGATTAGATACTAGTCTATTACCAGCATGATATTAGGGACTCCTCCCCCCAAATCTCCTACAGCTGTTTAGGCAGTTTGCTTTAACATTTATATTGCTGGCTACTTAGACTGCAGGCTTTTTTCCTGCAATGTTGCAAACGTATTTTGGTAGATCTTTGTGCACATATTTTTTGTGCACTTGATATACTCTTTGTTCTAATTATAGAGTTTATTTACTTTTGTATTTAGAGATCTTCAGTTTGCTACATTTAAAGGACCACTATAGTGCCAGGAAAACATACTGCTTTTCCTGGCACTATAGTGCCCTGAGGGTGCCCCACCCTCAGGGACCCCCTCCCGCCCGGCTCTGGAAAGGGGAAAAGGGGTAAAACTTACCTTTTTCCAGCGGGCGGAGAGCTCTCTGCCTCTCCTCCTCCTCCGATCCTCCTGTGGAATGCGCACGCTACGTAAGCTGCCACACATTCAGTTGGTCACATAGAAAGCATTCATAATGCTTTCCTATGGATGCTTCTCACTGTGAAAATCACAGTGAGAAGCATAGCGCCTAGTGGCTGTCAATGAGACAGCCACTAGAGGATAGGGGAAGGCTTAACCCATTCATAAACATAGCAGTTTCTCTGAAACTGCTATGTTTATTAAAAAATGGGTTAACCCTAGAAGGACCAGGCACCCAGACCACTTCATTAAGCTGAAGTGGTCTGGGTGCCTAGAGTGGTCCTTTAATGTATCTTCCCCCCTTTTGGTCATATTTATTTGCTACTATTTATGGCAATTCTGCCACACATACACTTATAGCATTTCTTCTGACCATATTACTATTATTTTTGGACTAGTCGATTCTATCCAATTAGATCCTAATTTTATTACTTGTTTGTTTAATATCTGTGTGTTTCTCCCCCAAGAGGGATTATTAAAGAGTTTTTTGCTCTCTGCGCTCCACTTTTATATTTTATAATTGCAGAGTAGCTTTTTTCACATAAGGATACAAGGTCTTTTTGGGAGGCAGATTGTTTATAATCTGCAACCCATTAGTCCTATTTTCTCTTTGTATTTTGAGATATATATATCTCTATATCTATCAAAATACAGTTAGAATAAAATTTCATATAGATATATATTTTTTAATTTTTTTTATTTTTACATGGTTTTATTTAATTTAAATTACTTATTTGTATTTTATAATATATATATATATATCTATCACAATAGTTTCTGGCACTCATCTCATAGCAAAAGCATTAATTCAGCAATGACCAGGTGCCTCTCTGTGCAAAATATACAAATGGAAAAAATTGAGAGCACTCATTGGATTTAGTAGAAAAAAATATATTAAATCAAACCCATATAAATCAACGTTTCGACCGTCTAGCGGTCTTTATCAAGATGCTATGACATGTGAAAATCTCAAATATATACAATCTCATGTGTTAAACTTACCCAATCACCAAGTGCACCCTGTTTGTCCGGTCTGCTCTGTGAATAGAGCCGCAAACCGAGGACTGTCAAGCATACTAGCCGAAAAGTGACATAAAGCACAGCCACCAAGTGTTGCCTAGAAACGGCAAAGTTGTTTTAAAAAAGAAAAAAATCGGAGTAAAATTAAAAGCATGTATGGAGGAAAAAGAAATAAAGTCTGATTACATGGTCTTAAATGTATATGAGTGTGGAATGTTAAAGACAGCAGTATGAATGAAAATGAGTTAGCCAAAGGTTAACCAGAACAGGTTAATGTGTGTATGCATGCTGAATAAAGAGACGAAAAAAAACAAAAAAAAACTGTCAGTATGCTTGACAGTCCTCGGTTTGCGGCTCTATTCACAGAGCAGACCGGACAAACAGGGTGCACTTGGTGATTGGGTAAGTTTAACACATGAGATTGTATATATTTGAGATTTTCACATGTCATAGCATCTTGATAAAGACCGCTAGACGGTCGAAACGTTGATTTATATGCGTTTGATTTAATATATTTTTTTCTACTAAATCCAATGAGTGCTCTCAATTTGTTATATATATATATATATATATATATATATATATATATGTATATGTATATGTGTGTAATTTAATTATAAGTGTATTTTTATATTAATATATGTACATATTAATATAAAAATACACTTAGTATGACATATATACATCATATTTATATACACATATAAAAAATTTTTTTTCAATGTTTCGTATTTATTGGTTTTTACCATGGAAATGTAAACAGAGGGGTACAGAAATAAAAATGGGGTAAGGGTAAGCAGTTACACATAAGCAGACCACATTGCCGAGTACAAATACTTTTGGTACTTTCATACATGCTGCGTAAGACATATTGTATGGTTACATTGTTGTTCGAGCAATTTGTGAGTCAGCCTCCGAGCGCGGTCGTTGCTCTTAGTGAGGGTCGCAGCGAGACTCCCCCCGAGCCATGCAGGCCTCCGACTCAGCACGAGAGGGGGGGGGGTACCGCCGCGGCCGGTGCACTGCGCCAACCGCTAGGTCGCCCACCAGTCAGATTCATATCTACAACGCTGCCTGTGTGGGTAGCTGCCGGGAATGATTGAGGTGGGAGGGGGGGGTTTAACAACAAGGTGAGGGTGGGGGGGGGAGGTTGAGACGACTCTACACCTTGTTGGGTTTTGTGGTGGTCCGTTTAGTCACTTTTCTCCAGCTACCTCTGCTTATATGGGAATTCAATTTAGAGGGCTTCCCTGTATATCCTTTTTCTCGTACATCTGGGGTGGGTTGGTCCCTTATTTCTCTTTTTACTTCGCTAACCTAGATCGACACAGGCTTTTGTCTCATTGTCCAGACCAGTTAGACCAGATCAGGTTGTATCGTGCTAGGGTGCCCTGGATCGTATGCGCTATTTTCTCAAGGCGTTGCGTGAGATTTATCCTGTTAACTACCACTGTTATTTCCGGAGCTGAGGTTGATTTCCAGAGGGAAGCTATACAGTGTTTGGCTGCTAAGGTAACATGGGTGGTCAGCACCGCCTCCGGATGGGTCAGTGTTTTGGGAAGCATGTGTAGGAGGTAGGCCTCCAGAGTGAATGGTATCCTTTTCTGTATACTGCTTTGGAGTAACCTTTGTACCTGCCTCCAGAAAGTGTATAATACTGGACAGTGCCAGAAGATATGGCTCAAGGTACCCGTCTGTGCGCAGCAGCGCCAGCAAACCTGTTGTGCCCCTGGGTATATAAGTGCCAGCCTCCGTGGGGTGAGGTACCACCTCATCCAGAGTTTGTAGGCCGCCTCAATATGATCTAGGCAGTGTGTGGCTCGTTTCACTAGTGCCATCGCTGCGGACCATTTACTACTCTCTATTGTGCTATTGAGTTCGGATTCCCAGTGCATCATGTAGCTTAACTTATCAGTCTTGCCCATCTCTAGGAAATTTTGATAACATAGAGAGAGTGGTTTTGCTTGGGTCTTTCGTCTAAGGCACAGTGTGTCGAACGAGCCTGGCTCTCTGGTGTCGGGTGCTGCTTGTTTGATCCCCTGCATTATGTGCTTAATACGAAGGTAGGTGAAGAGTTCCCTACCCGGGAGGAGGAAGGTCCGCTGAAGTATTGGGAATTGTCTGATCTCATTGCCCTCCATTATTTGGGATACCCTCTCTATCCCCTGTGCTATCCACCCGTCTAGAACCAGATCTTGTGTAAGGTATTTCAGGCTAGTCATGGGGGCGTATAGTATCAGTGGTTGGGCTAGCAGTTTCGGGGCCCACCTGTGCCATGTGCAGAGAGAGTGTTTTGTGGTCACTAACCTGTTTGCATCGCGTGGATGCGATTTGGTCGGGACCCAAAGTAAGTCTAATAGTGCATGGGGCGTAGCGCTTGCCGTTTCTAATTGGTACCACAGGGGGCGGTTTGGGGTTATCAGCAATCTTGCTGTTTGGGATAGGTTCGTGGCTATGTAGTATTTGGAAATATTGGGTACACCCAGTCCCCCATTCCCCATAGCCAGGGTTGTGCTTGCCATAGAAACCCTAGGTGGTTTCTTCTTTCATATGTGGGCGTTTAACAGACGCTGGAACCGTTGTAGTAGCGCCTTTGGTATCTCAATGGGGAGGGCCCTGAAGAGGAATAATATTTGAGGGAGTATGATCATTTTTATGGAGTTTATGCGTCCCAGCCATGATGTGTTTTTTGCCCCCCAGCTCTCCAGCAACACCTCTGTTTTATTTAGCAAGGCGTCATGGTTGTGTCGGATTAAGTTACGTCTCGAGGGTGCCAATTTTGTGCTTAAGTAGGAGAGATTGTCTTTACGCCAGTCAAAGGGGTATTGAGCTCGCAGGGCGGCCAGGGTAGAGTGTGTCACGTTAAAGGGTAGTACCTGAGTTTTTGCCTCGTTGTTCTTGTAATAGGACACTTGGCCATAGTCATGGAGTAGGGCTAGGAGATGCTTCAGTGATTCTGTCGGATTAGTCAGGAATATTAGGATGTCGTCAGCAAAGGCGGCTATTTTTTGGGGACCTATTAGTGAGGGGATACCAGTGACGCGCTGTTCCTGTTTGATTGTGTGCATTAGCGGTTCTAGTGACATGATAAAGATAAGGGGCGACAGTGGGCATCCCTGTCTTGTGCCATTCGTCAGGGCAAAGCGTCGAGAGGCAAAACCGGAGCTCACAACCACGGCTGTCGGGGAGGAATATAATGATAGGAGGCCATTGAGAAATTTGTCGGGGAATCCAAACCTGCGGAGGACCTCCGTCATGTAGCCCCAGTGTAGCCGGTCGAAGGCCTTCTCCGCGTCAAGGGCCATTAGTAGCCCCTGTGTTCTGTGTACCGTCAGGAGTTCCATTATGTCTAGTGCATGTCTTGTGTTGTCCTCCACCTGGCATTCCGGGACAAAACCCGATTGTTCCGGGGAAACAAGTGTACCCAGGAGGGGGCGTATGCTATTGGCTAGGATTTTGGCAAAGAGCTTTGTGTCCGCGTTAAGCAGGGAGATAGGGCGGTAATTTGCGCAAACTTCGGTGGGCTTGCCCGGCTTGGGAATAGTAATTATGGTGGCCTCTAGCATTTCAGGGGGTATGGAACCTGACTCCAAGATGTTGTTGTACAGGGAGGTCATGTGGGGTAGGAGTTGGTCCTCAAAGGTCTTGTAGTAGTGAGCGGGAAAGCCGTCAGGCCCTGGGGCTCTATGTCGGGGGGTTTCTCTAAGTGCTTTTGAGATTTCCTCTGGAGTGGTTGCGCTAGTGAGTAGTGAGGCTTGGGCGCTGGAGAGCTGGGGGAGTTCCACTTTGTCTAAGTAGGCGGCTATCTCCATTGGGGTCGGCTGGTGTTGCAGAGGGTCCTCCGCTAGGTTATAGAGGGCACCGTAAAATGTCGCAAATTCATCCGCTATTAGCTTGGGGTTCGTCAGTTTCATCCCGGTATTAGCTACTAAGTATGGTATGCGCGTTTGAGCGTGTTTGTCTTTCAGTTGGGCGGCCAGCAGTTTCCCCGCCCTGTTCCCCTGTCTGTAATACTCGCTTTTGAGTTTGCGGAGAGCCCTCTCTACTCGCTGGAGTTGGTGAACTTCTAAGTCAGCTCTAATCTTATTAACAGCCAGTCTTGTCACGTCAGAGAGTGAGGTTTTGTGGAGGTCCTCTGCAAGTCTCAGGTCCCTAAGCTTTGCTCTGCTAGTTTCCTCTAGTTTGCGTTTGTGTCGCTCCAGCCCTAATCAGTGCTCCTCGTATCACGGCCTTATGGGCCAGCCACGTCGCGGCTACGGTTGTGTCTTGGGGTTTGTTGTCCGCAAAGTACCAATCAGATTGAAGGACACGACTTTTAAACCACAGCAAGCAGCGAATATACCACCGATTGAAAAAACTGTCAGAATACAGCGAAACGCGTCTCGGCCAGGAGGAAGGAGTTACCAGGGACTTTTTATATACTTTTTTATTCTTTTCATTATATAATTTAGTACACCCCTTTTTTTTTGTTTGTATTATATTTTAACCCCTTAAGTAATTCACTATGGTTTTCCTTATCTCAACAGCCCGTTCAGCGCTGTCTATGAGGGATGCATTGAGGCGCCACGTGCCTCGTCCTCTCACCGGATGTAAAGTGGTGAATGAGGACAGCAAAGGGGCATGGTCTGACCAGGTGATTGAGTCGATGGTGACCCTAGCCAAAGTGTCCAGGGACTTCTCGTCCACCAGGCACATGTCTAAGCGGGAATATTGGTCATGGACTTTCGAGTAGAAAGTATAGTCTCTGGTGGCCGGGTACAAGGAGCGCCACGTGTCGTGAAGGCCATGGGAGTGTGAGAGAGCTGAGAGCCTGTCACCAATGGATACATAGCGAGGGTGGGAGCCTGGGGTGCCTGTTCTGTCCAGGTCTGGGTCAAGTACACAGTTAAAGTCTCCGCAGACATAAGTTTGGCCCTGTTTTATCCTGTCCAGCGTTTTTAGGGATTTCCTGATAAAGTCATATTGGTTGGAGTTAGGGGCGTAAAGGTTTGCTAAGGTTACTGGGATATCGTTTAGCCTACCCACCAGAATCAGTAGCCTACCGTCAGCGGTTTTATGCTCTGTCGTGCACGTGAAGGCCCAATCCGAGTGGATTAAGATACTGACTCCCCTGGCTGAGAGGAATTTTGGAGGGTTTGTAGCCGAGAAGTGTGTCTCTTGTATGCAGGCTACTGAAGCATGCATGGCGCGGAGCTGGGAGAAGGCAAGTCTGCGTTTTTGCGGAGTGTTCAGGCCTCGGGCATTTAAGGACAGAACATTGAATTGGTGTTGGGAAGACATCAGCTGAGACCGGGGGGGGGCCTCGGTGCTTTCGAGGCGGCATTTACCAAACTGATTCATTGACAGAGGTAGTAATCTTTGGTGAAAGGGGGTAGCGTCCCCAGTCTCCCAGCGCCTCCGAGGGCCAGGGTGAGCGACATCTCTAATGGGGTACATATTCAAGGGTAGAGTGCAACACGGGGATAAAAAACAGTGAACATAACAAAAGTATATACAATTCAATAAGCGTAACAGCATTATGTGGAGACTGGTCCGCAGGTACACCTTCCCCCTTGCGTTGGGGAGAGGCAGCACCGCAGAGGGTTGTCTCGGCAGTGGGGGGGGCCTCTTTGGAGAGGGTCCCTGACCGGTGGTGGACTATATGGATAAAGGGAAGGAAAGGGTCTTATGTCGGGTATATTGTGGGCACTAGGCGGCACTCCCTGCGCCACCACAGCAAGTGTGGGAGCCACCGGTGTCTGCAGGGGTAAAGCTGGCAACCGTGGTAAGATGAGTCGTGCCACTAGGCATGTCATCCGGGTGCCTCGGGTTGTGTAGGGAGCAATTTGGTCGGGACATCCAGGAGCTAAGGCCAACCTTGTTGCCGGTGGGAGCTGCGTATAGCTAAGACTTTAAAGTGCAGCATATGGGGTAGCAGTGTGTCAGCTATGGGGGGGGGGTCCTGTGGGCCACCTCCTGTCACCTGTACTCACGTGAAGGTTCAGACTGCAAACACCGGTTAGGCTATCCCCCGAGGTAAAGAAAAAAGGGGGGTGAGTCCAGCTAAAGTCTCTACCACTACAGAGGCGGAGACGTCTTCACCGTGCAAGGCACCAGTCGACTTGGCAGCTTAGCCTGGACAGTCTGTTGCAGTGGGAAGGGCCGAGCAAGTCATTCACTTCTTCCTTTGGACTTTGGTCCACTCCTGGGCCACCTGTCCTGGGGATGCTGGGTGGTTGGGCGCCGCGCGGTCCGGGAAGAGTCCCCAGGCTTTCAGCTTGTGCATACCCTGGTCTGGGTCATCCAGCTTTGTTAGGGTTCCATTCCTCCAGATCAGCAATTTCGTGGGGAATCCCCATCGGTAGGGGATCTTGTGGTTCCGGAGGCATTTAGTGACATTTATAAAGTCTCTTCTTCTCGCCATCGTCATAGGGGACAAATCAGCAAACAGGGAGATCTTTTCATAGCTGGATGGAATTGCCGTAGATTTTCGTTGCGCCATGAGTATAGCGTCTTTGGCGCTGAAATAGTGTAGCCTCATGACAATGTCTCTCGGTATGTCTCGTGCTAGCGAAGCGGGCTTGGGTACCCGGTGCGCCCTATCTAAGCGCAGGTCTGCCAGTTCCAGGTTAGGCTGGATAGCTGTGAAAAGTTGTTGAAGATACCCTGGGATATCCAACCCTGCGACAGACTCCGGGACGCCGCGCACCCTGATGTTATTGCGGCGCGATCGGTCCTCTAGGTCCGCCAGTTTGGCTGTTAGGCGCGCTTGCTCTGACTCCATTAGGCGAATCTTTTCCAAGATGCCGTCATTAGCCTGGCATAAATCATCTGTTTTCTCCTCAAGGACATTTAGGCGGGTCCCCACCTCGTGCACCTCTCGGATGTCATTAACCGCCAGTTGTAAGTCCTCTTTCATGGAGGAGAGGAGCTCCTGCAGCATTGCCGCCATTTTTGCCTCCGAGAGAGAGAGATCCCCAGGGGGAGGCTGTAGTGCCTCTGAGTCGGATCCCTGATCTGAGGCAGGTGTTGGGGAGTGTGAGCCGCCGCCATCTTGCTCCGGCCGCGTTTTGTCTCTCCTACCTTGTCGGAAAAAATCTGACGCCCGCTGTGCTTTTGGGGGCGCCATTCGGCAGGGTAGGGTCCCCACAGGCTCGGGACTCAGTGGAGGGCAATCTTCCTTCCGATAGCCGGTTTATTTAGTTGGTTTAGTCTGGTCCGGTCTCGGAGCTCTCACTCCATGCGACTGCTCCGTGAGACCGGAAGTCCCGCCCCACACATATATAATTTTTTATTAACATTAACCTTTTTTTTTTTTTTTAATGATTTTACACTAGCAGGGAGACACATGGACACCTATTGTGACCATGTGATCACTCTGTTGAGCGATCACATGGCCACAGGGGTCCTAATCCGCCATGGGGAGACTGTCTGGGCTGCAGGCAGTCTCCCCACAACAGGAGCAACACCGATCGCCGCCGGGGGAATGACTGCGATCAGGTAAGTACATTGGACCGTTAGGACGGTTCAGGACCGTCACTGGTCGGCAGTGGAAAAATGCCGACGACGGTCCTGAACCTTCCTCAGTCCTGAAGGGGTTAAACAATCCATACCCTGCACAGACAATAGAGAAATAACTGTCTGATACAATACAACATGCATAATGATCAAGTAGACATGTCTTCCATCATGTAGATCCATAAAAGAGACAAAATTCAGGTGTATATTTCTGAGAGGAGTCCAATCATCGGAGGGCCGTCTGACAGAGAACAACCCAAAAAGGGAAACAAAACTGAAAAAATAAAAAATACAATCCATGTCAAGAATAGCAAATACAGACATTCACAGGCAAAGGTAAAAATAGAAGGAACTACAAAAAGCGGTCCCAATAAGACAAAAGAAAAACAAACAATGGACTTAGTCCAGAAATGTAAGCAACTTAACCAATTGCATATGACCATATTACCTGAAGGGATTAAAATCACAGTCTTCATTCAACCCATGCGGGAATAATGTATCCAATCGATAAATCCACCGTAGGGCCGCGCGTTTGAGCGAATCTGCAAGGGAACAAGGGAATCAATGAAATGTTTGGCAAAATAAAAATGCCGTTTCTTAGTGCGAATGGTACTTTTATGTTCGCCGATACGTACAGTTAGAGATCTAGACGTTTGGCCGATGTATCCCAGACCACAAGGACATTTGATGAAATAAATTACCTATTCTGTTTGGCAATTAAAAAACTCCTTGATGGCAAATGCTTTCCCTGTTCTGGGATGTGTAAACTCTGAACCCTTGATCACATTATTGCAGTTGGCACAATGGCCACATCGGTGCATACCCTTAATAGGCGCCAACCACGTAGTGGATGGTTTAGAGGATATTCTGGCCAATACCATACCAATTGCATGTTGAGACCCTAGTAGAATACTTGAGAGTTAAACGGATCCCTAGGGGCATGAGATTGGGCATTAGGCCCCCCTTTTGTCAGCATAAACCAAGGTTTGGGGAAAACTGGCAAAAGATTTTGAATAAATGTAGCCTGGATCTAATTACACTCACCATTGAGGGGATTGAAGAAGATTTGATTGAATTGAAGCAATAAATTAGTACTACCAAAAATAGAATATTGAGTACTGACAATCACGAATCCTTTATTAAACATTCAGGAGATTGACAGTATTTTGTCCAAACATAAGACAGACACCCTCAATAGAAAACTATCTAAAGTCAAACGTGACACGATAGATTATCTTGACAACAAAGTCTATAATTGGCAATTTCAGCGCCAGAGATTCAATGCACCCCAGGGTGAACGCTCTTTCTCTAGGCATTCTCCTGCCCAGTGGCGTACACATGACCCATGGGGCCCCGGTGCGAAAATTGACCCGTGGGTCCCCCCCGCGATTACTCAGCGCGGGTCGGGGCCGCAACACATGGCGGCGGGCACCTGGTCGCAGGGGTTGCAGGGCTGCGACCCCGCGACCGCGGTATGCACACACACTTAAAGGACCACTACAGACACCCAGATCACATCAGCTCAATGAAGTGGTCTGGGTGCCAGGTCCCTCTAGTTTTAACCCTGCAGCTGAAAACATAGCAGTTTCAGAGAAACAGCTATGTTTCACTGAGGGTTAATCCAGCCTCTGGTGGCTGTCTCATTGACAGCTGCTAGAGGAGCTTCCGCGATTCTCACTGTGAAAATCACAGTGAGAAGACACTGAATGTCCATAGGAAAGCATTGAGTAATGCTTTCCTATGGGCGTTTTAAATGCGCGTGCGCCTCTTGCCGCACATGTGCATTTCGGAGCTGAGTGGCGGACACTGGGGAGTCCGACGCTGGAGAAAGGTAAATGCTGAAGACACACACACACACTCTCACGAACAGACGCATACACACTAGCTAACAGACACACACATTTACTGACAGAGACACACTCAGCGACAGACATACATACACACTCACTTACAAAACATACACTTTCACAAACACACACTCACAGACATCAAACACACTCAGTAACAGACACACACAGTAACACACTCACTAGCAGACACACACCCAATAACACACTAACACACACACACTAACACACACTTTTTTTTTTTTAATTTAATTCTCCCAGCCTCCTTACCTTTTGGAGTGCTGGGGGGATTACCTGGGGTCCAGTGGTGCTGGGCTCCTGGGAGGGCTGGCTATCTGGGTGGCCGGCGCGCGAGGGAGCACTTTCCCCTGAGTGCTTCCTCTTCCGGCTCCGGTATCAGTGCGGTGCACGAGGGAGCTGAAGAGGAAGTACTGAGTGCTCCCTCGCATGCCGCCTGCCCGACCGGCCACTCGCCTGCCTGGTGTCAGCAGGGCCAGCCTTGGGGGGCCCTGGGGTGGTCGGCTCCTGGGCCCCCCAGGGGAAGAGGCTGGCCCAGTGGGAGGCCCCCTGGTGGGCCGGGCCCGGTCGCAGCCGCGACCCCTGCGACCCTGGTATGTACGCCACTGCTCCTACCAATAGTGACAGTGAGAATCCTCTATTGGATCAGCCAACACTAGTGATTTTTTAGAACAGCGACGCCCCAGAGGAGGAGGCACAAGACCAGGAGAGGCAAGAGACGACGCAGTAAACCATCCCCCTCGGAGATATCCACAGAGGGAGAGGAGACCATGGAGACGTTAATAGTGAATATTTCCAGGAGGGTGTTATCAGTAAGTGAGATCTCGGTGCTTAACAAGGGTCTGGGTTTTGTTCCTTTATTTGACGGTGACAAATTGGACTTGGATATTGAATTGTATGAATTTTTTCGTTCCTTACGTTTAAAAGTTTTCTTTGCAGGAGACAATTTATCCTCGCATGTACAAATCCAAGAGCCTGAGCATGAGGTTAATTGCGTGGATTTATCCAAATGTAAAAATAAAAGTAAATTCACTCCTCCCACCACCAATTCCACAGTTGAAACTTTTATTAAGTTATGCCAACTGGAGATCTCCAAGATCAGTTGGTCTAGGAGGGGTTCCTCCAATTTGACAGGAGATGAGTGGAGGGCCGTCGGTGCCCTGAGAATTGATGACTCCATCATTATCTGGGCTGAGGACAAGGGTGGAGCCATTGTCGTCATGGACATTGACAAATATAATGCTGAAGCCATGGCACAGCTGTCTAATTGGGTTCAATACGAGAAACTATCAAGGGACCCAACGAAAGAGTTTTATGACAGGATCGGGGTTATCACCCAAGAGGCCCTGAATCAGGGTTTAATCAACAAAAAGATCTTTGAGTTCCTTAATACATCACTTTTCTGTACCTGCTTCCCAAAATCCACAAGGATCTTTTGAATCCCCCTGGCAGGCCCATTGTGTCGGGTTGTGGTTCTTTGCTTCAGCCGCTGGCCCAATACATTGATGTTTATCTTCAAGTGCTAGTGGTACAGATGAGGTCATATATACGGGATACCAGTGATTTTTTGGGGGAAAATTGGATAACTTGGGTTCTTCCTGCAGAGATTCTCTCCTGTGTACGATGGACGTGTGCAGTTTGTACACGTCCATCCCCCACAGGGGAGGTATGGAAGCTACTGCACAGGCTTTGGGCAGACTTGAGCTGGATTCTAATTTGAGTGATTTTGTTTTACAGCTGCTGGAATTGGTGCTATCATGCAATTACTTTACCTTTGGGAATTACTTTTTTCTACAGATACAGGGGACGGCGATGGGGGCAAGCATGGCTCCTTCTTATGCCAACTTGTACATGGCTAAATTTGAGGAAGAATTCGTCTATCCGCATCCCTTATTCAAATCTGTGGAGGTTTGGTTTCGTTATATTGACGATGTGTTCTTTCTTTGGAATGGTTCAGAGGCTAATCTTCTATCTTTTAAAGCGGATTTGGATCTATATGTACCAAGCATGAAGTTTACTTTGGAACACGATGCCAGTAGCATTCATTTTTTGGATGTTCAGGTAAATAAAATTGATGATGGATTGTGCTTTGACCTTTTTCGAAAACCAACTGACAAAGTTGCATTTCTGCAGGCTAACTCCTTTCACCCAGCCAGTATGATTCGAAGCCTTCCTTTTAGCCAATTGTTACGTGTACGACGGATTGTATCCCAGGAAGCTAACTTCGATACTCAGGCTAGGAAGATGCTGGAAGATTTTTGTTCCCGGGGTTATAACAATACCTCCTTACAGGAAGCTTTGGCCAAAGCAAAAAATTCGGAGAGGACATCATTACTGAGGACTAAGAATAAGAACAAGAGAAACAAGTCCAATCGTATTCCATGTGTCACTACATATTCGACCAAATCTGATTTGGTCAAACACGTCATCAATAAGAACTGGTATGTTCTACAGAGTGACCCAGAGATTGCTGATCTCTTTAAGGAGAGACCACTCATGGCCTATAAAAGATCGAGGAATATTAAAAGCTTGGTATCGCCCTCCAGAGACAGAATATAGTCTAAACCATCCACTACGTGGTTGGCACCTATTAACGGTATGCACCGACGTGGCCATTGTTCCAACTGCAATAATGTGATCACGGGTTCAGAGTTTACACATCCCAGAACAGGGAAAGCATTTGCCATCAAGGAGTTTAATTGCCAAACAGACCAGGTCATTTATTTCATCAAATGTCCTTGTGGTCTGGGATACATCGGCCAAACGTCTAGATCTCTAACTGTATGTATCGGCAAACGTAAAAATACCATTCGCACTAAAAAACAGCATATTTCTTTTGCCAAACATTTCATTGACTCTGGTCATTCTGTGGCACAACTACGTTTTCAGGCTATAGAACATCAAGACTCCTCATTTTGGTTGTTCCCTTGCAGATTCGCTCAAACGCGCGGCACTACGGTGGATTTATCGATTGGATACATTATTCCCGCATGGGTTGAATGAAGACTGTGATTTTAATCCCTTCAGGTAATATGGTCATATGCAATTGGTTAAAGGGACACCGTAGGCACTGTATCTGCTTCATCTCATTAAACTGGTTATAGTGTCTGGAGTCCTCTGGTACCATCTTTTCTTTCAGCATTAAACCGTTTTTAAACTTTTAATGTTTTAATGCTAAACAAGAGTCCCCAGCAATCCATCCCCTCTGTGCTGCTTTGGCTAATAAGGAAGTATTAGCCTGAGCAGCAATAGGCAGCTGTGATTGGCTGAGAGTGTCAGCTGACTGCTTTTAGCCTGTCAGAGTTCCAACTGACTGTTGAATGGGTATGACAACAAGGAAGTGTGTAATCTCTGCCTTAGCTACACATACTGAAGGGGCCGGACTGTGGGTGGCCATAGACTCTTATTTTGTGGCATACTGCACGAACATGGTGCAACACTGAATGGAGGGACAGTGCCAGGGCACTCCAGGCACTATAACCAATTCAAAGAGATGAAATGCTTATAGTGACTACAGTGTCCCTTTAAGTTGCTTACATTTCTGGACTATTTCCATTGTTTGTTTTTCTTTTGTCTTATTGGGACCGCTTTTTATGGTTCCTTCTATTTTTACCTTTGCCTGTGAATGTCTGTATTTGCTATTCTTGACATTGATTTTATGTTTTTGTTTTCCTTTTTGGGTTGTTCACTGTCGGGCGGCCCTCCGATGATTGGACTCCTCTCAGAAATATACATCTGAATTTTGTCTCTTTTATGGATCTACATGATGGAAAACTTATGTCTACTTAATCATTATACATGTTGTATTGTATCTGACAGTTATTTCTCTATTGTCTGTGCAGGGTATGGATTGTTTAGTTTGGTTTAGATTTGTTTAGATTTTTTGTATACAGGGAGTGCAGAATTATTAGGCAAATGAGTATTTTGACCACATCATCCTCTTTATGCATGTTGTCTTACTCCAAGCTGTATAGGCTCGAAAGCCTACTACCAATTAAGCATATTAGGTGATGTGCATCTCTGTAATGAGAAGGTGTGTGGTCTAATGACATCAACACCCTATATCAGGTGTGCATAATTATTAGGCAACTTCCTTTCCTTTGGCAAAATGGGTCAAAAGAAGGACTTGACAGGCTCAGAAAAGTCAAAAATAGTGAGATATCTTGCAGAGGGATGCAGCACTCTTAAAATTGCAAAGCTTCTGAAGCGTGATCATCGAACAATCAAGCGTTTCATTCAAAATAGTCAACAGGGTCGCAAGAAGCGTGTGGAAAAACCAAGGCGCAAAATAACTGCCCATGAACTGAGAAAAGTCAAGCGTGCAGCTGCCACGATGCCACTTGCCACCAGTTTGGCCATATTTCAGAGCTGCAACATCACTGGAGTGCCCAAAAGCACAAGGTGTGCAATACTCAGAGACATGGCCAAGGTAAGAAAGGCTGAAAGACGACCACCACTGAACAAGACACACAAGCTGAAACGTCAAGACTGGGCCAAGAAATATCTCAAGACTGATTTTTCTAAGGTTTTATGGACTGATGAAATGAGAGTGAGTCTCGATGGGCCAGATGGATGGGCCCGTGGCTGGATTGGTAAAGGGCAGAGAGCTCCAGTCCGACTCAGACGCCAGCAAGGTGGAGGTGGAGTACTGGTTTGGGCTGGTATCATCAAAGATGAGCTTGTGGGGCCTTTTCGGGTTGAGGATGGAGTCAAGCTCAACTCCCAGTCCTACTGCCAGTTCCTGGAAGACACCTTCTTCAAGCAGTGGTACAGGAAGAAGTCTGCATCCTTCAAGAAAAACATGATTTTCATGCAGGACAATGCTCCATCACACGCGTCCAAGTACTCCACAGCGTGGCTGGCAAGAAAGGGTATAAAAGAAGAAAATCTAATGACATGGCCTCCTTGTTCACCTGATCTGAACCCCATTGAGAACCTGTGGTCCATCATCAAATGTGAGATTTACAAGGAGGGAAAACAGTACACCTCTCTGAACAGTGTCTGGGAGGCTGTGGTTGCTGCTGCACGCAATGTTGATGGTGAACAGATCAAAACACTGACAGAATCCATGGATGGCAGGCTTTTTGAGTGTCCTTGCAAAGAAAGGTGGCTATATTGGTCACTGATTTGTTTTTGTTTTGTTTTTGAATGTCAGAAATGTATATTTGTGAATGTTGAGATGTTATATTGGTTTCACTGGTAATAATAAATAATTGAAATGGGTATATATTTGTTTTTTGTTAAGTTGCCTAATAATTATGCACAGTAATAGTCACCTGCACACACAGATATCCCCCTAACATAGCTAAAACTAAAAACAAACTAAAACTACTTCCAAAAATATTCAGCTTTGATATTAATGAGTTTTTTGGGTTCATTGAGAACATGGTTGTTGTTCAATAATAAAATTAATCCTCAAAAATACAACTTGCCTAATAATTCTGCACGCCCTGTATTGATGACCCTCTGTCACTTTAAGATGATGGTACCTTATACCTGCAATTGTTTTGCATGGCTTGAGATGCTTTGACTTGATTAGCATGCATCCTTGACTTCATCTTTATGTGGACATTGTTTTACAAATGTTCATTTATTTTTTAATTTTATTCATTTATTTTTTCTTCTTTCCCCCTCCCCCTCTTTTTCAATATTAATTCATAATTTTTTTATTATTTTTTCCCGATTGCTTTTTTTCTACAGTATATATCTTTAATATCAGGCTGGCAGACTTGCTTTATTCTTATCTCCAGATTTGGAGCCAAGATAAATATACTTCTAGGCAGTGTCCCTGCTCCTTTTTGGAGCTATATTCGTTCATTAGTGACTAGTCTGCATGTTTTTTTGCCTATGCGTTCAACTTTGCGCTTCCTGGTTTGTGGTTTCGCAAGGTGCCAACTGATTGCGCATGCGAACAGGCATATTTCTATATTAGAACGCATGTGCGTTCCACCAGATTTAGCTTACTTCCGGGTTTGGCAATTTTGAAGCGCCTGATGCTGCTCACGCCTCCGGTCTATATTTTTATTCCTCTTTGTATCAGTATAAGCTTGTAGATCAAATCTCTGCACCAGGTATTTTGTGACATTTACTTTTTTTTTTTTTTTTTTTTTGTTGTGCAAAAGTTTGACAGACAAGCTCGCCATGCCACAACAGTAAATACAGACATTTCAAGAGGCGTAAGACTGTGGCATGTAGTAGTACTGCACATTTTTAAGATAAAGATAAACATAGTGATGCATATAGTGTTGCTTAACAAGAAAACAGTAGAATTGTTTGAGACATACTATATGGATTGACAATAACGTAGTCGAGTATAATACATCAAGATAAGGGAATACGCTAAACTGTAATTAGTTTGTCAGCAGTGTAGTCGCTGGGTACTATGGTTGGTGTTACGGCAGAAGGGAGGATGTCATTTAAATAGGCTGGTATGACCTCAGAGGTGCGCCGCCTAGGGCAGGAGCCCGCTTGTGCCAATCTAGCTGTATTATTACAGCAGGAATATTTGTATTTTCATAATGCAAGTTATATGTCAACATTGTGTAGATTCTAGCAAAAAGTCATGTTCGCCTACGCGGAGGCACAGTATGGTTGCAGATGATAACCATGTAACAGTTTAATAGTGCGTGTGTGTGCTTAGTTAACACGTTATAGCACAGTGAGTAACCGGCCGTGGTCTAATTCACTAGGTTTCTAAGTGAAGTTCGTTAGGGAGGCACATTACAGTGGTCCCCCACCTTTGTTGCATTGGGCCAGTCAATGGGATCTGCTGTGGGTGACCGAGGCAATCCGCCGACTGTGGTCGTCAGGGGTGCCCATACTTAGTTTAACCGCTTTTTAGCAGGTTCTTTTGTAGAGCCTTGTTAGGCCGTTACTGTGGGTGGTCGCGCCTATGCGTGAACAATAGACAATATAATTCGAGATTCTAGGCAGAGAAAATCAAGTTAAGCACCTTAAGGTAGTGACCCATATCGCCTATCGCTTGCCAGTTTCTGGTCATTAGCAGGAAGTCATATAACATGTACACATACTAGGCATTCTAAGTTAATGTACCCAGAGTAAACACACAGAGCACGAACAAACAAAGTAGCAGCATTTACCACCTGGCGCCTGCCATCGTAGAGAGTTAGTAGGAAGTCCTGTAACTTTTAAACATGCTAGACTTTCTGTGCATTCCAATATGTTAATCATAAAGGTATAAGGTTGATGTATCCCAAACCAGGATTTAAGTCTCATGCTTTCACGAGGCTATGCATCGGTTGTCTCTGTTTTTAGTCCCCTAGGCTTGCCTCAGGCAGGTGGGGGTCTCTCCGTGATTCAAATGGGGCGATGTTGTCCACATCCCATTGTGGTCTCCGAGGGCTGCCCCTTCTGGATTCCCTCTGTGTTGTGATGCCCTGCTGAGTCAGAAACAATTGGCCTTCCTCTGGTGAGTGTATTGTATGGGTTATCCCCTCCGCGGTGATCTGAAGGGAGCGTGGTGTGCCCCAGCGGTACGGGATCTTCTTCCGTCTCAGCACGCTGGTGATAGGGCGCATTGTTTGCCTCCATTGCATGGTGGGTTTTGAGAGGTCATTATAGAATGTCAGGTTGTGCCTCTCGAAGGCCAGGAATGGCAAATCCCTGACCGCTGCCATAATCGCCGTTTTGTCCAGGTGTGTGACAAGCTGTATAATGATATCGCTGGATGCCTGTTGGGGCTGTCTGCCCTGCCTGCGGATTCTGTATATGTTATCCACCAGGATGTTCTTAGCCTGTTTGTGGGGAAGTATTTGCTGGAGCAAGCGCCCCACGTATTGCGGCAGTTCAGTCTTGTCTATCGTAGTAGGGATACCCCTAATCTTGATATTCTTGCTGCGGCTGCGGTCTTCATATTCAGTTAGTTTTAGTGTCATTGTTGCTTGTGAGGCAGTTAGCCGTTTCTGCTCTGCGGCAAGTGTGGTTTGCTCGGCTTTGATGTGGGCCGATGTTTCCTCTGCGGCCTTGAGGTGCCCTGTAAGTGAGAGCATGTCCTCTCTCAGAATTGCAAGGTCCGCCTGGAACATCTTGCGGATGTCGCGGAGGAGTGATTTAATGTCTCCCTTCGTGGCCGGGGTGTTATTCTCCTCGTCCGAGGATTCCATATATAGGCCTCCAGCTTGTGGGATCTCGTCTAGGGCGTCCATGGAGGTTTCTTCCTCCTCCGATGAGGTCTCCACATGTGGGTCCGCCATCTTGGGCGCCACGCGCGGGAGGCTTCCCTGCATGTATTCCCCAATATTACGGGTTCCCGATGCCAGGGCTGCCTTGATCTTCTTGGCCCGTTTTCCCATTGCGTTGGTGGGGTGCTAGTCGGTGTTCCGGTGATTTTTCACCCGGTTAGCTGTTGTTTTTAGGCTTGTTGGTACGGAGCTACAGCTCTGCACGTCTGTTCGGTTTGCTTGCTTGTGACATTTACTTTTGATTGCTTCTTTTTTATGTTTTTATTTTTTTCAAACTGCCATACCACTTGGGACAGTTGATCTTTATATTAATACTGATGTAATATTCATATTCTTATCTATATTATATGTTTCTACTAATATGTCCACTACATGTACACTTAATATCTTGCCTGCATGTTTCATGTTGATTTTGTATCTTTATATCAAGTATTTTTGTTTATGTATTCTACTTGTGAATCTGCATTTTGATATGTATAAATGTATATGGGTCAGGGCTTTCTGGTTCCCTTGACAACCATGAACAGGTGTATCATGGTTGGGAGGATCCCAGTCATCATGGGTGGCCACCCATTTTTTTCAGGTGTTTTCCATGTTTGTGTTTTATTTTGGGTATATAAGAACAGGATTTAGTTTCTCTCAACATGCTCCCTTGATAAAGGCATTTTTGCCGAAACGTAGGGGGTGTTTTTGTGACTGACTCTGTCCCTGCTTCTCACTAGGTCTGGTATGCTTATTGCTATATACTTTTGTATATTTATATCTATGTTTGTGGGGTTGGATTAGACTGGTATTTTATTTCTTTATTTTTGTATATTGAGACTGTGTTATTCATATAAGACGCTTTTGGCGTTTATACATATATATTCAGAATTTTTCTGATCATTGCTGTATAGCGTGACATGATCCTATATTTTGGATCTTTATGTTATGTGATATTCTTATAGAGTATACCCACTTAATAAAGATTGTTTTATTATGTCAGCCAAGGAGGCAGAGCAAGCACTAGCAGACTGTAATAAAGGTAAGATTTTATTATATTTAAGGGGGCCAGGTGTGTTAGATGGTATTTTTAAAACTATAGGGTCAGGAATACATGTTTGTTTCCTATAGTGTTCCTCTAAAGTGTGTGGCTACATTACAATATGACAGATGTGCTTGAACATAATACACTGACTGTGGAAAATGATAAATTTAGAAATAAACACACCCTTTCATTTTGCTCTTTAAACTATTGAAAATGATAGGGGTGGGGGCTCAGCATAGAGTCAAGTGCTACTGTGAAGAGAGGCACACAAGGGCTTGGCTGGGAAAGTTTGTAGAGACACACTGGTTGTCTTTTGAGTCTGTGCATTTAAAGAGCTTTATAAAAGCACTTCTGAAAAATAGTAGGCTTCAAAATGTCAAATGTAATTTTTTGCAACACAATAATATGGCATGAATATGCCAGCAGTACAGATATAGCATCATTATTAATGTTGTGCGTCATTATAGTGAGGGCCACGGGTCAGTGATCTTTTTTCCACTTGAAAACCAGATGTCCTATCTGTAAAGGGGTGGAGTGCTGCCTTCATCTATCAGGGTTGTTCACTTAAGTGGGATTTCAAGTGAAAAAGACATTATAAATATGGTGCCATGAAACATAGTGAAACACCCTGTTTACTAGCACACGTTTTTGTTGCAATTTTGAGAAAAGCTGAGGCTCTCCCAGACAATGAATTCCCCCGCTTCTCTGCTGACACTTGGATAATGAGTAAGATTCACCTCTGTATTATCCAGGAAAAACTGGCCAACTTATGGCCACATTATCTGAGAGGCGGCAGAGGGGTGAGCTTTTGATTCCGGGGAGAGTCTCAGTTTTTGTCAAACCGATTCAATTTTATTTGTCAGAAAATGGGTGTAACAATTAATTTATAAAATAATTGATTTATAAATTAACTTTGTTACACCTTCCCAACTGTCAGACAGCCGGTCCTTTTGCTTCCTGGTACTTTAGCTTCATTAAGCTAACTTCAAGAAGGGTGCAATTGCTCAGAGTACCTGCCTGGCAAAGACTTCGAAAAGAGTTGTAATACAGAAGTCTGAGACTGAAATGGTAGTATTGTGGTGTATACTAGTAGTATTGTGGTGTATGTATTTTTTTTTTTATTAATTTTGATCTCCAATGTTTTACATTTTAATAATTTAGGGTTAAAGTTTTTTGCTCTTACTTTGTTTTTCTGTTCTCATTTTTTTTTATTCTGCAAGGGTGAATCATTACCCAAGCTTTTAAAGCTATATCTGTTTTCCAGATCTCCTTTATCTAAAAAAAGAAAAATACCTTTTATGTCAACAGGAAAACATAGATCCTAGTGTTCTATAGTGGAAAAACACACTATTTGCCTTTTTTTAAATATGAACAGATAATTTGTGAGGTCTATTCTCTATACAGTGATGGGTGGTGAATTACAAATGGAAACTGCCAAATTTAGGACAAATATTCAAATGGATATTTCTGTGTAAGGAATGTTCTGTACATGATAGTAAGTTCCCCAAAGCAACTTTTTTATTCAATGTAGTCCAGGGTATGGCAGATATATGCCAAGGTGGGGTAAACAAATTTGCAAACTCCACCCAACACACAGTTGACCTTGATGAATTCCATTTCATTGCGTGAGCCAGTTGGGCTGAGTTGTAATAAAGGACTAAGTCCGGTAAGCCCAAACTACCATCAATTTTCCACCGATAGAGAGTTTTCCCTGAAATGATTGCTTTCTTTTCTGACAAAATAAACCTAAATATGTGTAACCGCGGCTGGTTCCCTTATTTACCCCTATAATGTCTTAAAGCATAAAACTTAGTAGGGCTAACCATAAAGATATCTTAGCCATAATTTTACATAGTGTAAGAGATCCTCTATTTAACATATATAAATAATTGAGAATATAATATAAAATAAGGATTGTATTGGAAGCAATAGGTTTGTCTTTTAGAAATTTATTATATAAAAATATAAATATAGACATATAAAATCCATTATAGCAGAGTTTATAAGATTAAATTAAATGCTTGCAAATATCATTAATAGGTTAACCTACCCTTCTGAACGTGTCATCATGTCAGCCTCTCTGTCATTTTAAGATGGAGCAGCGTCTGTCTCCAAGTCTCTCTGTGTCTTAACATTTAAAAGTACACCTATTTATACCTTAGGTGTCTCTATTTTAGGGTTACCGTAGTACATATATGAAAAAGTAACACTTCTTTTACTTTATTCATTTTAGGACCTCCCTTAACTTGGCAAACATACAAGGCCATAACTAAAGGGTGTATACGTCATGGAAATTTTCCTGACTTAGTTCAAGATGGCATCTTAAAGTCTGGACATCCTTATCTACTTAGGGTTACCCCAGTATATTGTGTACTGAAAGAGTCGTAGCATAGCCTTGAAGCTTGTTTATGCAATATTGTTAATGTAATTCATCTGGGACAAAATGGCGCAAACATAGTATGCACTGAGGTTATTGCTTAAAGAAAGAGTTATGAAAAACAATGTGTTCCATTTCTAACACCTTGTCAGTTTGCAATATCTCTTAAAGACAAAGTACACAGTTTAAGAAATACAACATTTCATTCTAAAACTTGTAATATTTGCATTTGCCCATAACATATGGGTTTCTGAAGTCTTTGGCAGTGACACCTTTTTCATTGAATACACTCTGCTAATTAAAGAGATCTTATATGGTGTCCAGCAAGGTAAAATATCATGTAACAGAGAGGTGCGTGCTTAACATATAAGACAAATAGTTATCTTTAAAATTAAAAGAATCAACAGTAAATAAAATGTTATAAAGGACATCCCTGCCTTGTGCCATTCTGTAGTGATATTGCAGATGATAAAGCCCCTGAGTGAATGCCTGAGCTGTTGGACTTGTATAGAAACTCTAATTTTTTTTGCGATGTGAAAAATCCATTAAATTCATCACTCTTCGAATTGTATCAGGGGCTTCTCTGTTAATAATAAATCCTACCTGGTCACCGATGATAATGGAAGGGAGTAGGGGAACCAGTCTGTTCACTAAAATCCTTTGTAAAGATCTTCAAATTTAAATTGGTGTGAGGCACCGATCTGTAATTCTGACACATGGTATTGTCTTTGCCTTCTTCCGCCAGTATTTGGGGAATATTCCTCCATGCAGAACTTAAAGAGCCTATGTAATTGAGGTACTAGCAGCTGATAAAACTAATTTTATATATTTGCCACAAATCCATCTGCACCATTGTTCTAATTTTTTTTTTTTAAGTAGCAAAATATTTCATCTTCTGTTAGTAATGACATATTCGCATTGTTTGTTCCCAAGGTTGTGTGTTGTATAAGTGCAGGATAGGAGGAATCGCTTATTTAAGTCTCCTTTGATCTTCAGGGAATATATACCTAGGTTTTAGTTACATTTTGAAAGTAAAGATTTCGACAGCAAACTGTGTGAGATGTCTGATTACATATCACAGATCAGATCTTTAGTTGGCTATGGATGCTTCAGTAGTTCAGTACTTTCCTCTCTGCACAATGATTACTGCTTAAGGGAGATGGCTGTAATTGTATTGTTTATTCCGAATATTTTCCTTATGTGGCATGAACCTTGTCTCTTAATATGAGCATCCTATCCGCTTACATAAAGTTGGTTTGCTGCATTTGCCTTATCTCCCACATTTTCAGTCCACTATGAGAGCTCAGAACTATTGTTTAGTATATAAAAAACAGACATCTTCCTGCATCATAGAAAAAAAGATGATGACCAGTATTTTAAATTGCACTCTTCCTGCAGAAATCAAAGTAAATTAAAAAAAATAAAAAATAAAACACATCCCATATGGGAAGAAGGAACCAATTCGTTAATGATTACTCTCCTAGTAAAGACAATAACAGGATAAAACTATAAAAGAAAACAGGAACATATATTACATAGCGTGATATGTATAATAAAGATGCTTCATACCACATAAGTGGTTGAACTCACAATCTTCAGAGCTAGCAATATTAGCTCTATTTGATAGCAGTGTAAGTAAAGCTAGAGCAGACGTCTCAAGCCACGTATGGCTCACAGTGGAATACTGCATAAAATAAATGAGTGGTAAAAGCAGCCTGTAGGCTTCTGGAACCATAACCACTAGAGCATGCTGTAGTAAATATGCTTCTAGGAGACCCTGGGCACAATCCTCCAGTAATGTGTTTAACTGTTTAGAAAGGGCTTGAATTTGCCCCTTTAAAGAAACACTCTAGTGTCAGGAATACAAACATGTACTCCTGACACTATATTTTTAATACTGCTGTTATGGTGTCCAATCCCCCTTGCCCACTGTTAAAAAGGTGATTTTACTCTACTTTTTTTCCAACGCTGTGCCAGTCTCGCTGCAGCTGTCCCCCACCTTGCTCCGCCTCCGTGGCTGATATGTCAGATTTGACAGTCTCTGCCAATCCAATGCTTTCCCATAGAAAATAATTGGGAGGCAATGCATCTCTATGGGGAGTGTTCAGCGACTCCATGCAGAGAGCGTGGAGACGCTGAACATCAGTGCTGCACACTGCGTAGCACTGACCCAGGAAGCATCTCTAGTGGCCGTCTGAGTAACTGCTACTAGAGGTGTAACTAGCCAGTAGTAAAAAGGCAGCTTTTACATTGAGAATCCTGCAGGGACAGGCTATAGACACCAGAATAACCACATTAAGCTGTAGTGTTTTTGGTGACTATAGTGTCTCTTTAACTTTGTCCCATATCACGATCGATGGATTCGATAAAGTGCTATAGCAGCATGAAAATTGCAAGCGTTCTCATTCTGATAACTTGTAACTGTAACCTGTTTTGAATGAATGAATGAATAAAACATTTGCAATTCTATGTGCTGATTGTATCACCACTTAAAAAAAAATGTAAATACCAAAACTTGTGCTTTATACAATAAGGAATTAATCGCATTGCTCTATATATCCATTTGGTGTAATGAATGTATTAATTAGCAGGAGTACCTCTCACAGTTGCCCTTTGCTATTTGAGCAGAGCTGTCAGCCAGCCCCCTAGAGCCCTGAAGCTCAGCGTGTTTTAAATATAGTCCCAGGACAGTTACATTTAAAACTCTCCTATTACAGACAAGAAGGCTCTGTGAAGGAAGCAGACTGGAAGTGATTGCCTGGTTATGGTGAGTACAGTGAGCTAGGCATAGACTCAGTACCCCTATATCACTAGTCTGGTCTCACTACCAAGTGGTGTAGTGTGAGTACGATCTGTTTTAGTAACTTTTGCATATAATTCTTCTTGCCAGATTTAGAGGCATTATTTATAATTATTTCAAATGCTTGCAGCTGTAAGATATCAGCTTATGTACACACTTATTCTTATTTTCTTAATATATGTATGCTTACACATGTAATTATATAGGTATTAAATATGTAACTTTAGGTTTTTGAAAGTTTTTATTTTTTATTTTTTTATTACTGCATTAATATTGAATTGTAAAATGAGAAAAAAAGACATATCTTGGTTAATGAAGTTTGTTAGTTGCCTCTATCTCACACAGCATTAAGACTGTGGTGATTGAAAAGCATTCAGTACACTACATGCAGTATTGAGGGGGTCGCAATGACAGTTGCAGATCCGGTTCGACTCATCCAGGTAAACACTTAGATGGTCTAACCTGTGGCCTATGCCATTTTCTATGGAACTTTGCAGATCTGTTACCATCACACTTCAAAACACATCAATTGATTACATGTATAGAATTTCTTTCACACACGCACACAAAGAAACAAAACAGGAAAGACCAGTATTTTGTTTTTTCTCAAACTTTGCAAACTGTATGAAAGGTTTTAATAGAGACTATAAAACACTCACAGTCCACAGACTATCTTAAGCTTCACATACGGACAGCAAAGTATGCACTGCTGACACTGCAATTGAGTCTTATTCGCTTTACGACCTTTCCTCTCGGGTGAGCTGCTCAGATCTATATATACCGCTATAGGTTGGGGGCAAGAACCCTGGTCATGGCTAGTACCTAGTGTTTATGGGGAAATACAATGGGTGAAAAGGTTTTAGAGTGAGTGCGACAAGTACAATGTCCTCTGGAAACCTGGCCACACTCTAGTTAACTAACCACTATGCTTTCCACGTACAGCTTAGGGAACCTTATGTTCTAGATCACAATCGCAGACTCCTTACCTAACAATGCAAAGGGAGCTATAGTAAGGCTGTCTGTGTGCATTGCTTTTTACTCTCTGGACTATGTTTCGATAGAAACATTACAAGAAATCCTGTATTTAGCTGTATCTAAACAGCACCGTTAAATGACCTAGTTTTCTTTTATAAAATGATTGCTGTGGACTAAGCACATTCTTGTTTACACGCTTTTTGTTTTTCTCTTTGTACTGTTCTACTTTAGACTTTATTTAAGATGTAACAGTATTGGTAATGTTAAACCCACTAAACCATTCAGAAAATAAATAGGCTGACTGTGCCCAAGGCCAAGTACTTATTTGCTGTCACTGTGCGTATTTACTGTCACTGCACATTTCAGTAAAGATTTTTTTCCTGCATGTTGACTGTTCCAGGTTAATCATTCTCCCTCTAGTAATTGCACAGTCTTCCGGGGAGCAAACGTCTTGCTCAGCAGAAGCTCCAGGGAGAGTGTCAGAATCCTGCTCAGTCCAGTCCTATGCTCTCCACTCTGCACAAGTCAATTTAACACCAAAGTTGTTGTTGTTGTTCTCTAAGGGAAGCTGTTTGGGGAAAGTGGATTGTTTTGACTGTGTACACCTCTGACCTTTGGGGTTGTTTGAACACTGCAATACTTTCATGCCCCTGTAGATCTGCACTCAGTAATGTTCTAGAATCTCCTGTTTGGAGTTTGACAAGATGGCGGGCCAGGGCCAGGGCCAGGGTTATGGCTACTATCGGACAGTCATCTTCACTGCCATGTTTGTGGGCTACACCCTGTATTACTTCAACCGCAAGACCTTCTCTTTTGTCATGCCATCTGTGATGGAGGAAATAAAACTTGACAAGGATGACCTAGGTAAGTGAGCTTTTATCTTATATATGCTTTGTGTTTAGCTATCTGAATTGTCTGTGTGTAATTTAATTCTGTATATGTGTGTAAAGTGTACAGAAGTAAATGTGTAAGTGTTCTGTAAATACTTGGAGCTCATATCCAGGCAGCTGGGTATGTAGAAATTAGGAAGACAGAATCCATTGATTTTGGCACCAGGGATGGACTGATTGGGCCCCCGAACAAGATCAGATCCCGAGTACTTTGAAAACCAATAGACATGCAGTAACTAAATGGAAAATATAACTTTCATGTATTGTGTGTAATCCTTTGGTTGTGTATGTGATTTAAATGATATATATACTGCAGGTATGTGAAATCAATGCGTATTTATATATAATTTCAAATCCTTGTTCTATGTGTGAACGTAGGGGTGTGTGGTTAGTAAGGTTATTCGGTAAAGTGAGAATTGTGTGGAATTTAAAGTGAATTAAAAGTTTAATTTCAAATTAAAACTACACCCACCCCAGCCTCTATCCCTCCCTGTGCAACCACCACAGCTCATAAGCCGCCTGCACCTACCATAGCCCCTATGCCTTACAGTACCCAACTGAGCCTCTGTCCCTCCCGGCTCCCACTACAACCCACATTCCTTCCTACATCCACCCAAGCCTCTATCCCTCCCTGTATCCACCTCAGCCGCTATGCACGGACCACAGCCCTTAGGCCACCTCCACCGACCATAACCCTTGTGCCTTCCAACACCTACCTCTGCTGCTATCCCTCCCTGCGCCCACTACAGGCCCTATTTATTTCTCCACCTACTACAGCCCCTATCCCTCCCTGTGCCCACTACAGTCCCTATCCCTCCCTGCGACCATTACAGCCGCTCTACCCCCCCTGCAACTACAGCACAGTTTCCTCCCTGCACCCACTTCCGCCTCTATCCCTCCCTGTACCCACTGCAGCCCCTATCCCTCAGTGTGCCATCTACAGCCCTTCTGCCCACTGCGCCTATCGTACGTACACACATACTGCAGCCATTATGTCCCCCTTGCACAGTAGAGCCTCTATTATTCATACAAACACACACTACAGCTCCAATAACTTCCAGATGCCGACTACAAAATCTGTCCCACACACACAGCAACACAACCAGCCCTTTCCACTCAGATGCTGTAGTGCAAACAGAACCATCTACACACACCCATACACAAGGAGTCTCACTGTATACACACAATGCCACAAGCAGCATCCCCACACATGCAAAACCACATGCAGTCCCACTACACATACACATCACAACAACATCCACACCATTGCAATACTGCATACAGACTCCTCCCACACACACATTAAATTATTACGATCACTTAGATAGCACCAACATATTCTACAGCGCTGTACAATAGGTAAAACATGTCAAACAATTCATTCTAACACAATACGTTGACATACAGGAACACATCATCACTAGGAGCATCCCACACATGCAACCCCACAAGTTGCCTCCAAACACATTTTTGGTGGGGGGCACTGCTTGTGGTGTCATCAGCAAATACAGTGGAAGCATGTAATTACATTTGCATAAAACACTTTTATTAAAACACAGTTTTTTCTTGTATTAGCCCATTCAAAGAAAGTCTGGCCATGTTTGAGACCCTGAGGGCGTAGGAGTCATGCCTGTGTTGCTCTTACACAGCCATCCTGGGTGCTGGGCAGCGCGCACATAATATATGTGTGAGAGCTGCACAAAGAAGGGGAAGAAGAGTAGTAGTTGCCAAAAACACCTTGCACCAGGAGGGGGCTGTTGATCCCGCACTGTGAGCTGTCAGTCCGCCCCTTGTGTGAATGCAGTGTTCTACTTGAGAGTAAAAAAAAATGTGTAAATTCAGGGGTGTATTTGTACAGAATGTTGATGTGTGAATGCAATGGTATATGTGTGTGTATTGTCCGTGTGTATGAATATAGAAGTATATTTGTGTTCTTTGTGGAGAGAATGCAGGGGGTAAAATTTCATGTCCACCACAGGGCGCCATACTTAGAGCACGAATATGAGATCTGTCAAGAAAACAGAAACCTAGAAAATCCTAAAATTCTGCTCATGGCTCTAAGTGATTGTGTTGGGTATAGCTGGTTTGTGTAAATGTCTTTGTTTATGCCCATTGTATTTATGTACCTGCATATTTAATGATAAAGCAATGTAAATATTCTATCCACAGGTCTGATCACCAGCAGTCAGTCTGCAGCATATGCAATCAGTAAATTTATTAGTGGGGTCCTGTCCGATCAACTGAGTGCTCGCTGGCTGTTTTCAATTGGCTTATGCTTAGTGGGTCTGGTCAATGTGGCCTTCTCTTGGAGCTCCAGCGTGTCCATTTTTGCCATCCTTTGGTTTCTGAATGGTTTAGCACAGGGGCTGGGTTGGCCTCCATGTGGAAAAGTCCTGCGTAAGGTAAGCAGTGCTGTACATGTGTGTAAGAAATCATTTGCATCACACAATATAACCTGTATTTTTACAGGAAGAAATAAATAATTATATTAAAATGCTCGATTTTGGGTGGGTAGAAACAGCTGTGCAAGATTTGTTGTGCTTGGTAACTCTAATAAAAGCCTAACCTACATGGTTGAAATACGTGAGTTAAGCCACGGTATTGAATGCAGCTAGAGTAAGAGATCTAGTACTATACGAGGTATGTTCGGAAGAAGTGTAATTTGATAACATTTGAGGAATGTAATGTGAGCAGTGAAATTGCACAGTAGAAGCAAGTTAAAGCCAGTGTCAGAAGTCACACAAGCTTACTTTGTGAAGCTGAGCAATGTTAAAAAGTATGATGAAGGGAGCGAAGGCAGTAAAATGCACACTCTGTGTTTTTGCTAAAAAGCAGCATAAAAGCTCTTGATGCGTTAAAGGATTATGAATGTTAGTTAATTAATTGTAACATTGACAGCCACTAGAGGTGCTTACATAGAAATAGCCAAGTGAAACTCTGCTTTTTCAATCAGATGATCCATAGAGCATTTAGTCGCGCATGCACACTAGCTTTCAATACTTTTAAGTTGGAAATTATTGGATTGGCTGTGATCATCAAAAATGAGGTTGTCATTTTTAATTCATTATAATAAATTGAAGTTTTAAGTCCGGAGAACAGCCTTCCTCATTGGATTGTTTGTCTATTGGATCCTTGGTTTTGCGCCCGGCAGTGGTATACCTTAAATGTGAATGCTGGGGATATATATATATATCTCACTTTTTTCTATGCCCCTAAGACATAAGAAATACATTGTATACCTTTTTCTGCACATCTAGTGTCTATAATACTGAGAGCCATTTGAGGCACTAAAAGTGTGTCCTTCAAATAGTGTAGCTCATCTTATTGATGCAAGGCAGCATTTTGCTGCGGATGCGCATTAGCCGTCAAATACTTTCCTATGGGAAAACATTGGATTGGCTGAGATAATTAATCCCTTAATCTTCTCGATGCCAAAGAGGCGTAGCTGCACACCTGAGATAGATATACTAAGCTGCAAGGGAGGAAAAAAGAGAAGTAAAATCAAATTTTTCACCCTGGCAGCGTGGGCCCAGTAACCTAAACCGTAACTATGGCATTATACAGTTAGGAATACACTTTGTTTTCTTAACACTATAGTTCCTTTAAATACTGGACCGTTGGTGATCGATGAGGAATTGCTTGAAAATATAAATAATCCTCTATTTTTTTTACTTTTTTTTCCCCCTTTGTGTCTTTTAGTGGTTTGAGCCATCCCAGTTTGGAACATGGTGGGCAGTGCTTTCTACCAGCATGAATCTAGCAGGCAGTCTTGGTCCAATCATCGCCACCCTAATAGCTGCCAGTTACAGTTGGCGCAGCACCCTGTCACTCTCGGGATTTATCTGTGTGGGAATTTCTGTCCTCTGTCTCATTCTCATAAAGAATGAGCCCGCAGATGTGGGTTTGAAGAACATTGAACCAGGATCCAAGAAAGGGAAGAAGGGTGAGTAGTACAATAAGTCGTCTTAATATTTTAAATATGTCAGTAAACCATGTTAATTTTATAAAATAGATTTACCAATTTGTGTATTACAAATCCACGTTGTGCCTAAAAGTGCATATATTGTATCTAATTTTATTTATTTATTTTTTAAATAAATCTTTTATTATTTTCATTGAGTTATCCCAGCCCTTCAATTGAATCTAGTAACCCAGAAGTTGTATTGGCATGCTTGCCAAAAGTTCCACTTAACACAGACTTTCAAATAAACCGTTACATTGATTGTGTCTCGTAGAATTACATTGATTTATGGGGAAAATGGGTAAATGCGCTATAGATCGTTTTCTTATTAGGGGAATTACACACACACACACTTATACGTATACAAATACTTAAACATATATACTTGATTTAAAAAACAAAACAAAAACATTTATTTTTATTTTTTACAACAAACTTTGCACTTTTTTCTATCTTTGTCTTGGGCAGGGCTGGAGTGGAACCTCACATTTCGTGCACTGACTGCACAGGTACCAGCATCACTGTACTGATGCCGGGGCCGCAGGATCCTCCTTAGAAAGTACTTCTTTCCCTACAGCCATCACTAGTGACTTGCCTTTCTTCAGGCCTAGTTAAGATACTAAGACAAAGTAGTCCCTAGTCTTAATACATATTTATTTTGACTGAATTGGAATTTCAGTGAAACTCAGTGAAGTACTCACAATCTGTTTTTTGGGGGGTGACAGTGCCACTTTAAATAGTCCGTGCTTTGCTCTAAATATCATAATGCCCAGTTTGTCCTGCTTTATAATACATTTATATTAAGTTTTGAAGATTGATACAGGGTTGGTGTGTTTATTCCTCTTTTCACAACTCTTTTTAGCCTAAATGCAACTATTTGTTTGCTAGTTTATTATGCTGTATTGCGTTGTGAATAAGCCCTTTATCTTCTGAGATCATGGTGGTCAAGTTATAATGTGATATTTGAGTTCATTTCCCGGATCGTAGATGGTGAGAAATTGACAGAACTTATGAAGCCATCGTGTATTCCTTTTCCAGTTTACCTTCATTAGTTAAATGATACTATGAGGAATTACCTCAATAATTAAATTATTTACCTTAATTCAATAAGATATAACCTTGAGATAACACATTTTGCATGGATCTTTGTCAATACTATATTCAACAATGGCAGTTTTATAAACCGACTCCATTCAACCAATACAATGGTCTGTAACCATGTACACCTATTCCCATCTATTTCTGTTTCTTCTTAGGTTCCCCATCTGCAGATGAGACGACTCTGAAAGAGTTCCTGTTCTCGCCATACCTTTGGCTGCTGTGTGCTGGGTACCTTGTAGTATTTGGGGTGAAGACCTGCTGCACAGATTGGGGACAGCTCTTCTTGATTCAGGATAAAGGACAATCTGCACTAATTGGTGAGGTCACCACAAAGCATGTCTAAAGTGCAAAGCTTTTACACATTGCTAAAGATTAATTAACAAAATAATACAACTATAACACAGTTAAATAACTATGGCTAGCACCTGGAGTGTGTTCGATACAGGGACTACCAACTTTTCCTCTTTTCTAAAAGCTATACAAAGAGCTGGAATCAGACTTTCTTCAAAAGTACCATAATGTTTGTGTGCTTGTCTTCCATATATCCTACATTCCTGTGTCTGAAACAGGCAGCTCCTACATGAGTTCCCTGGAGCTTGGAGGTTTGGTGGGAAGTATCGCTGCCGGCTTACTTTCTGATCGGGCTGTAGCTAGAGTAAGTATTGATATATCAACATTCCCTTTGTTATGTGCTTGCTGACCTAATCTCGCACACATTCTCACTGTTTATCATCCAACTTCATTTCCCCCTTTCCGCTGTCTTCCTCTTCACTCTCATCTATATATTTATATCTAAACAACGCAAAAAAAGTTGCAATTTTAAGCTGCTTGCCAGATCACTTATTACTATATAAAAAAAAAACAAGCAAATAAAAAAAGCTTAGATTTCATCATCAGCTACATAAACTGTATATGCACCCTTCATGCATAAACCTTAAATATACAAAAATAATTAAACAGTGGAGATCTGTACATCTATTACAGTTATGTACATCTAACAACAGTGCCAAAAATGCAAAACAAAGTGCAACAACAATCTCAAACTTCAATAGTGTAAACAATTTCAATAATAAAAAGTTTCTGATTGTTGTTGCCCTTTATAAGTGTTCACATTGTTTTGCTTTTTTTGGCACTGTAGTTAGATCTACTTTTTTGGCCACTAGCGTCATATTCACTGTCCACTTCTTTCTAACTGTCACTCTCAATACTTCACTCCAATAGTACATTCCTTGTCTATACTTTCTGTGTAGCTCAGTCTATTTTCTTATAAATGATCCTTCAAACATCTCATTTCTCTACTGCTCTCCATGATTGTTTTTTTTCTTTAGATTAACTGTCTTTCTCTCATTCATTATTACTTTGATCATCCCTCTAGTCTAGTTCATGTCATGTTGTCCAGACCCAAATTCCCCTTTTTTCTTCTATTAGGAATTTTAAAGCGCTTTCAAATATGATTGCCCTCTAAAATCTCTATGGTCATCCTGCCTATCCCTGCATCATACACCTTCTGCCTCTCCACAATGTCTTTTTCATGTCTTCTGCCTCCTTTGTCTACAGTGATCTGTATCACTGATTAGTTTTATGCTCTTGGTCAACTCACATGATCACTGTTTTTGTTTTGTTTTTCCTCATTCTTTTCAACACTCCAAATAGATAGGGTTGAAGAACTATGGTAACCCTCGTCATGGGCTTCTCCTTTCTATGATGGCTGGAATGGCAGTTTCATTATATCTATTCCGGGTTACAGTCACACCAGGGTCATCCAAGGTAAGTCCACATGACTACTCCTTACAGGGATTTTATTGGAACATGTGATTGCTTTTGCTTAATCTTATTGACTGTGCAATGAAACAAACTGTGGGAGACTTATCAAAGTGTTATGGTCACTGAAGTGTTGCTTAGTTGAGAAAGTGGTGTAATCACAAATGGAATGATGCACCTCTGGTTCTATTCTATATTATTTGATATATCTTCTTCCCTTGTCTTTTATCACATACTTATTTCTATAATGAACTATTATTTTAATATTCTGCTTATTTACCTTTATATTGTCTGATCTTTCTCCTTGTCTTCTCTCAGGTTGAAGGCATCTGGTCTCTTGGTCTTCAACCTCTTGCTGAGATGTCTGGTTTCACTGAACAAGAGGTCTCTGACTTTACTTCTTCTCTCATACTGCTGTTTTCTGTCTTCACCTGTTAGAATGCTCGATAACTCATTTAGCATTAGTGATAGATCACCAAAAGTGAGAGAGGCAGAATTTGATGGGTGCATGTCTGTTTTGAGCTGTGTATGCAACTATGTCTCATTAGTGATAGATCACTCATGTTTTAGTTTTCATATTGACAAAATAAACCTAAAATACTTTTTTTTTTTTTTTCTTTTTTTTTTTAACATTAATGGAACACTATAGTGTCAGGAATACAAACATGTATTCCTAACACTATAGTGTTAAACTAACTATATAGAGCCCTGGCCCCCATTAGCTCTCATGGGAAAGGTGTTTAAAATGATGGGGTTTTTTCCACGCTGTGCTGATCTCGCCGCAGCTTGCCCATCCTGGCTCCGTCTCTATGGCTGAGATCAGCACTCTTGATAATGTCAGCCAATCCAATGCTTTCCCATAAGAAAGCAGTATGATGTTTTTGCGTATGCGTGGCAATACGCTGCACTGTGCCAATCAACATCTCCTCGTTGAATCAATGCATTTTTATGGGTAATGTTCAGCGCCTCCATGCAGAGTATGGAGATGCAGAATGTGCACATTGTGCAGTACTTAACTAAGAAGCACCTCGATGAGCCATCTGAGTGGCTGCCACTGGAGGTGTTCCTAGGCAGCAATGTAAACACATTTACAGTGCTCTGTCTGCAGGAACAGGCTATAGACAACAGAACCACTACATTAATCTGTAGCTGTTCTGGTGACAATAGTGCCCCTTTAAGCTTCGGGTTTAATTTCCTTCATATATGTGGCTTGTTAAAGGACCACTATAGTGCCAGGAAAACATACTCGTTTTCCTTGCACTATAGTGCCCTGAGGGTGCCCCCACCCTCAGGGTCCCCCTCCCACCCGGCTCTGGAAAGGGGAAAGGGGTTAAAACTTACCTTTTTCCAGCGCTGGGCGGGGAGCTCTCTGCCTCCGATCCTCCTTCTCTCCTCCCCGTCGTATGAAAAAATGGGTTAACCCTAGCTTGACCTGACACCCAGACCACTTCATTAAGCTGAAGTGGTCTGGGTGCCTAGAGTGGTCCTTTAAGCATTGTTTTTTTTTTTTTTTAAATAAACAATTCATCTATGGCTTGGAGCTCTTTCACACATTGCTGTTTTGCACAAATCCTTCTGTTATGCATCAACATGAATTCAAATGGACTCTGCGTTCAGAAGTGGCAAGGTTATTCATTAACCAAGATCTGCTGAATTCAGTTCAAAGTCTATTGTGAGCTGAGTGCAAATGAACTGTTTAGGGATTGATTCTGACAAAACTGACACCAATATAAAACACATGTTAAATAATCAAAGCACTGCGTGATTCCATGTTTTGCTGACCTGTCACTACCGAGTTGTCACCAAATGTAGGTAAGTTTACATTCCCAACATGGCTACTGAAACACCAGGTTTTGATCATAGAGTAAAATGTTTGAAAGTCCTTACACCAAGCATAAACCAAATTATCTTTGTTGTACTATAATAAAAATACCTGTGACATTGTTTTTATTAAAAAGTTAATTTCCGTATATTCCAGAAAATGTTGTTTGAACTAAAACCAAATTTGGGTCCAAATCCCCCTAAATTCATCGTTTTCTATCCAAGAATATTTCTCCAGAAGTAGACTTTTTGATACTTGTATATATGACGGAACTTCAACAGCAACAAAACCAACAGTAATGGGTCTTTAAACTACAAAAATATGTTTTGATTTTTTTCTAAATTCAATTTTCTGTTACATCATATGTTATCAGTAGGTCATGAATTCACCTAAAATGTGCTGGTGTAATTCTGCCACCTGATCACCGACCGTTATACTCACAGTGGTGCAGTAGACATTGCTTACCTAGATTTCAGTAAGGCTTTTGACACTGTTGCACATAGAAGGCTTATCAATAAACTGCAATCTTTAAGTTTAGATTCCAATATTGTTGAATAAGTAAGGCATTGGCTAAATGACAGGCAACAGAGGGTTGTAGTCAGTGGAGTATATTCGAAGCATGGGCTTGTCACCAGTGGGGTACCTCAGGGATCTGTACTTGGACCCATTCTTTTTAATATTTTTATTACTGATATTGTAGAAGGTCTTGATGGTAAGGTATGTCTTTTTGCTGATGATACGAAGATATGGAACAGGGTTGATGTTCCAGGAGGGATAAGCCAAATGGCAAATGATTTAGGTAAACTAGAAAAATGGTCAGAGTTGTGGCAACTGACATTTAATGTGGATAAGTGCAAGATATTGCATCAGGACGTAAAAACCCAAGGGCAGAGTACAGAATATTTGATAGCGTCCAAACCTCAACATCTGAGGAAAGGGATTTAGGGGTGATTATTTCTGATGACTTAAAGGTACGCAGACAATGTAATAGAGCAGCAGGAAATGCTAGCAGAATGCTTGGTTGTATAGGGAGAGGTATCCGCAGTAGAAAGAGGGAAGTTCTCATGCCATTGTACAGAACACTGGTGAGACCTCACTTGGAGTATTGTACGCAGTACTGGAGACCATATTTCCAGAAGGATATTGATACTTTAGAGAGAGTTCAGAGAAGGGCTTCTAAACTGGTTCATGGATTGCAGGATAATACTTACAAGGAAAGGTTAAAGGAACTTAACATGTATAGCTTGGAGGAAAGACGAGACAGGGGGGATATGATAGAAACATTTAAATACATAAAGGGAATCAACACAGTAAAGGAGGAGACCATATTTAAAAGAAGAAAAACTACCACAACAAGAGGACATAGTCTTAAATTAGAGGGGCAAATGTTTAAAAATAATATCAGGAAGTATTACTTTACTGAGAAGGTAGTGGATGCATGGAATATCCTTCCAGCTGAATTGGTAGAGGTTAACACAGTAAAGGAGTTTAAGCATGCGTGGGATAGGCATAAGGCTATCCTAACTATAACATAAGGCCAGGGACTAATGAAGGTATTTAAAAAATTGGGCAGACTAGATGGGCCGAATGGTTCTTATCTGCCATCACATTCTATGTTTCAGTAATGAGAATGTCCCACTTTCATTGTTTCAGAAATTAGCTGAAATGCCTATATTAACATTTTATTGAAAGATTTGCAGAACATTTGTAAATGGCATGTCAATTCAGTTTTATATGTTTTCAGTATCTGTAAAACTCAGATTTATACAAAGTACCAGATGTAGCAAAGGAAGTCTATAATGACCTCTATTTTGCACATCTAACCTACCGAACAAAATGTGCATCACAATTCATTATTAAACTTTTCTGCTTTGTCATTCCAGGTTTGGATCCTGATTCTAGGAGCAGTTTTTGGTTTCTGCTCATATGGGCCGATTTCTTTATTTGGCGTTATAGCCAATGAAAGTGCCCCTTCAAATTTCTGTGGAACATCTCATGCTATTGTAGCCCTTTCTGCCAACAGTAAGTGAAGTCTAAATACCAGCAAGTAGCCTTCAATGGTGTTCATAAGATACATTGTGGAGATTATACTTTGATTGTTGTATATACAAGAGTGTGACTTCTAGAGCTGATATGTCAAATTGTTGTACAAATATTGAGAAAGCTTAGTTCGGAATTAATGTGCTTGTATTGTTCCAGAACATGTTTGCATAGTGGATTCAATGCAGGTCATCCCTGGATCTAGACACACCCCTATACTGCCACCTTTCACCCGCCAAGGCTTCCTTGAAAAGTTCTGCGGCACCATTCTAAGAGTGAATCAGTTATCTGGGTCCTCTCCTGTCTTCCGCGCTCCCTCCATAGCCGGCGGCAGTATGAAATTGCCTGTGTGCCGGTGAGGGAGATCATTGATCTCCCTCACCGGCCCGTCATGGAATACTGCAGGGCTGGCGCTCGGAAAGAGGGGGCCCTGCATGGACCGGCCTGGGAGGTCCTGTGATCTCCCCTGCTGGCCTCGGCCCATGCCCATTGCACCCACGAGGCATTTGCCCAGTGTGTCCAATGGCCAGTCCGGGCCTGACCCTAAGTGCTGCCATGGCTGGAAAATATATATTATACATTCTGGGAAGGAAAGAACTCAGGAAAACATATCCACATAAACAACACATTTATTAATCACAAAATAATTATTGTGATTAGTAAATGTGTTGTTTATTTGGATAAGTTTTCCTGAGTGCTTTCCTTCACAGAATGTATAATATATATTTTCCAGAATGTGTGGGCTGTAGATTAAGCACAGAGGCTGAAGAATTGGTTAAACTGCAAGTGCAGGGTCGATAGACTTGTGTGTATGTTTATAGGAGTCTTTTGAAGCATTTGTATTACTGCCGTCAATCCAAAAGGAGGCAAAAAACCTAATTTTGAAACAATTTTTTTTTCTACTTTTATCACAATTTGGGGGGGGGAAATCAGAATGGCAGCCAGATATCTCATTTTATTAACTAAATATTACCTCATGTGCTAATCTGTGTATGCAAAAAAAAAAAAAAAAATGCTTCTAGAATTTTAAAAATCTGTACAGAATCTGGTAAAGCAACTTAGAGAACTGCACATCTTTGTTGTTCTTATAGTAAAGTACCTTCCTTTGCCATAGGAGAATTCCCTCTCTTGTTATATTATTAAATTGATGACCAGAGAGCTGTTTAAACTGGCCAGGGCTGAACAAGGACAAAAGTTTGGCCTGGGCATTTAAAGGCCAAACAGCACAATTGGTGGGGATCCAGTCTAGAGAGTGGGAGTGTCTTGCCATCAGCAATGACTAGCCCGGAAAGATAGGTGTTGTGGAGAAACCTTGTGTGGCTTCCTCCCCCACAACTTCTAATTATTCACTGGCTGATGTGTAAAAGAATTTTATTGCATAAGCATATAGCATCTCTTTTTGTATACGAGCAATTAATGGAGGATCTTTTCCATCTAAACAGATAATTATAAATTGTTGTACTATACACAGGTTTCAAAGTACAAATTAGACCAAGCTAATAACTCTTTATCTGTTCTTTCTGCAGTTGGAGGTTTCCTAGCTGGACTTCCATTCAGCACCATTGCCAAATACTATGGTTGGGACACTGCCTTTTGGGCAGCGGAGATCACATGTGCAGTAGTCACTGTACTCTTTTTCCTTTTGAGGAACATTAAGACAAAGATGGGGCGTCTTCCCAAGAAATCAGACTGAACTGTACTCGGTGAACCCGCCTCCTCTGTTATCCTGCGAGAGGAACATGAGAGGTCTGGAAATCAGGGGGAGAGAGATGTGGCGGGTTCAATAAGATTAACTTTTGTTTCGGTAAAATGTTGCAGGATTCCAATTCTGCAAATCGAATGATGTGGCCTTGTGTTCATATAATCTTACAAAAACGTTTCCCGTAACCCATCCTTAGTTGCCTTCCTAATAAAGAAACTGTTAACATCAAACTAAAATTTAGGAATAATAGGAAACCAATTAAGATTTAATTTTGAATAAGGATGGACTATTTTAATCTGCATCGTTCTTTGGGATATATGAATGATGTAGAATATGCCCCTTCAAATGTTCTATCAGGTTTAATAACTAGCCTAATCATTTTTTTAGCCTCCATCAAAGTTACAGATGTCACAAACCAAGGGAAACAACTTGATTTACAGCAAACAAAGAACCAAGTCTACTACCTGATTTACCTGGTGTTTAGTTCAGGACACAGTTAATCTAGGAAGAAGCTGAATAACAAGCAAGCATTGCACTAAGTCAGTCTGCAACTAAAACACAATAACTGGAAGACAAATCAAAGTCCCGTTTATCCCACAATGAATTTTGTGAAGTTCTCCATTTCAACGAAGGCATATTTTCCACTCTGATGTAAATCATCTGTTTACATTTATTGAATGATTAAATATATCTTGCAAACTGTTGTAGAAGAAAATAGCACTTCAGTTATGCAAACATCAATGTAAATATTGTCAGTAACGACGTAATGCTTGAGACTTGCTGCTAAGGAAACTGTGACTGGAAGACTAATCAGGATGACATACTTAGGCTGCCGAATTTAATACATTTCTTTTTATACTGATTTTCAGCTACCTCTGTAAAAAAAAATTTAAAAAAATGAAATGTCGATAGAGTTCCATAAGGTTTTCTTTATTTTTTCTCCACCAAGATTTCTCATTTCCTCCATTCTACATTTGAAATGCTATAACATCCTCAAGTACTGACCATGGTGGTCTTGTTCTTACAGTTTCAATGGAAAATACAAGACACAAAAGTGCTAATAGTACAAACTTTACTGTGAAGTGTTTGGGTGAGTTTTACCATCCTCGCCAATGTATGTTAAGAATTTAAAGAGGTGGATTAATTTCACACAGACTCGGCAGACTGTAACTTCTGTAACATCATAACCCTGTGCTAAAATAAAGAGTATTTTGATCTCATTGGTAGTAGGAAATGTATCACCCAATGTGAACTGAAATCCCTTATTCGCCCCAGTGTAAGTATAACAGGAATATTCGACCACAGGTAAGTTACAACTTTAATAATGTTAAAGGTACACTATAAGCACCAGAACTTGTCATGATAGGGATACCTACCATCCTCGCCCTAATAATAGTGGATGGCAATAAATTCAACTCCTGTGAGAAAAAAAAAAATCATACTTACCTTTAGAACTCTTCTTTCTTCTCAAATTGTCTTTTCTAAAAATTCATGCTAATTATCAGCTTTGAGATATATATAGGTGGCTGGAGTCTGCTCCATGGGAATGTGAAATAGAAAACAAAACTATATAGTGAACACTATGTAAAAAGCAAATGCTAGTAAATAGGATTGCTTATAAAACCCAGAGCAAAATATGATTTGCTCAATCCACAGGGCTTGGTTGGTGTTTCCTCAGAAGGAAATGGTATCCATAGGGCAATGAAAGTCCATATTTTAATAAAAAAACTAAACTATAGTCTATCTTTAATGTATGTGTGTGTGTGTATATATATATATATATATATATGTATGTATATATATATATATATACACACATACATACACACAAATTATCAAGATGAGCGCACTCAATGGATTTCAAACGTCATTAGTGTATTCAAATGTTGCCAATAAGGATCAACGTTCGACCTTGCGGTCTTTCTCAATATATATGAAACCAAGAGGGCTGCACACACCTGAACATGCATACATTGTAGGGGGCTGCTGGGTCCAATATATACAAAATACACAATCCAGCGCACTCACTTATTCATTAAACAATGATTTTATATCTCACAGTTTGTTATAGTTTTATTTAAAAACACCTCACCTACGCAAAAAATAATGGGGGTTTAGTTACATTATATAATCATATTACATAAACCTGCCACAACGTCAATGTACCCCATTCTTGGCAGGTCCTACTCTAGCAGCCTAATGCCTGCCCTTATGAGATTAATCCTCATTCCAGGATCCTATTTAGCCTTGACCTGCAGAGAGTCTCAGGAGAAAGTAGCTCCCAAGTAAGTGGATTGATCTCATAAGGGCAGGCATTAGGCTGCTAGAGTAGGACCGGCCATGAATGGGGTACATTGACGTTGTGGTCGGCTTATGCAATGTATGATCATATAATGTAACTAATCCCCCATTATTTTTGCCTAGATTAGGTGTTTTTAAAAAACTAATAAAATCTGTTGAAACATTGAAGTTGCTGTTTAGTGGATAGGTTAGTGTGCTGGATCTTGTGTTTGTTTTATTTATATATACACACACACACACATATATATATGTGTATGTATATATGTATGTGTATGTGTGTATATTATATATATATATATATATATGTGTGTATATTATATATATATATATATATATATATATATAAACACAAACATTTTTAAATTAATCTAGACAAGTGGAGGTTTTACTTCTCAAGCGTATTCGTTAAAGCAAGACTGTAGCTCTGAATAGGCTCTGTGTTCCAATCTTAAAATTTCATACTACTACACATAATGACATCCAAGGCCCAACTCACACCTCCTCCCCAAGTACATTTCTGTAAGATTGTTTTGCGGCTACCTCTATATCCCCAGATTGACCATTTGTTTTGTATTCAACTAATCAGAGGTCAATCTCACTCCGAGCATTCTGAAGGCAAGTTTTTTTTTTTGTTGTTGATATTTTACAAGAGTTTTATATTTGTCCCATCCAAACACTATTATTACGGTGAAGTGGGTAGGTAGGGCATTTTTATTGGTCCCCTCACTATTAGTACGCAAGATTTCAGTACTGTGAGCAGCTGCCAACTGTAACCCTCACCATTGGTACGCAAGATTTCAGTACTGTGAGCGGCTGCCAACTGTAACCCTCACCATTAGTACACAAGATTTCACTACTGTGAGCGGCTGCTAAAGGTAACTCCACATATGTGATTTTTGCTTTTTTTTTTTAAATCCATTTTGATGTATATAAATCAATTTTCCCAAAACGACCACATTGATGGAATTTGGTTTGTCCTAACCATGCTCAAGTGTACAGGCTATTCATCATTCCTGGAGGACATATGAAGGGAGAAATGGCCTCCGCTGCTTCTATTGCTGTTGTATAGTTTAAGTAAAATCAAATCATACATGGCAAAACAGGTTCCACAAGGGCTGAAAGACCACTCAATGAGGACTCTGTAGCATTGAACTTGATAAATGGTTGTAAAACACAAAACACAGTGGTTACCATGATCTGTCCTGCAGAAGGGAGCTTGTCACTGTATTTCCAATGTAACTTCCATTAGAAGATTATCACTTAATAAATATTTTTTGAAGGAACGGGTTGTGAACAGAATCTTTGTGGACACTGCTTGCTATAGTTTCCTTGCAATTACTCCACGTCTTTCCAGTCCAGATATTTAGGATAGTGATGTGGTCCTTGCAGAATACCTTCTTTTGGCTATGGCTTGAATGTCAAATTATCCAAAGGAGTGAGTTTTGGGAAGCTTTGTAGATTGCATATTTTATACTATTTATATTATCGTGTGATAATATAATGTGCAGCAGTTGTTGGTGTATTTTATTCCCCCTTGTTAATAATATTTTGTGCATTGCCATGGCTGGGAAAGAGGAATATGAATTTATATTTAGCGTTATTGTCCTTTTCTGGTAATAGGATGTAAAAGCAATGCATCGTAGGGCTTGGGTCACAAACTGGGGTATTATATACCAAAAATAATACTTAAAATAGTTTGACTTAATTCCTGTCCAGCTGGAGTGAAAGGAGGAGCTGCCGTGGTGCATTATAGAGAAGAGAACATTTTATATAATTTATGTCATATCTTCTTAACTTTCCAGCTTCTGCTGTTTCACACAGAACAATCACAGCAGTAGGCAAGATAGGTTTAGCAGCAGTTGGTCAGGTAACAGTAGACTCCCTACACATCTCTTGAAAAATATACACCAAAATTGCTTCATTAAGCTAAAGTTGACGTGGCACTGGATATAAGAGCAAAACGAAAGCAGAGAGCAAAATAAATTCCATTGTTAAGTGGACACAAGAAATTGTCAAAATTGAAATAAAATGTGGTTTTATCAGAATTATATACAAAAGTGAAATAAATGTTTAAATACAAAACAATTCTGCAATCTATTTGGAGGTAATATTACCACCCTACACATGCCACCACTGCGTTACATGAGATATAACTTATCAATTTTACAGTATGTACATACCAGGAACATGGCACATCTCTTACAGAAAGAGGCAGCCAAGGTATAAACAAATATAAACAGCTAAGGCCGATTGAATCTCCATAGTACTCTCCAACTGCAGACAAATGAAGAGGGGATGACGACGGGTTAAGAACTTGGTCCAAATGTTCCAGCTTTCTCTGCAACCTCCAGGGCAGACTTCAAGTTCTGGTCAAAGAGTTCACACCTAAAGGACAGACTTGGTTATTAATATTGCTTTTGCCTGTATTATCATACTTTTTATGTGGATACGCTTTCTCTGTCAATGCCTCAATTCATTATTGAAAAAAATAAATAAAAAAAAATCAAAGCTAAAAATCTACCCACCTGATTGGCATTTCCAGTGAATAAAATGGGTTCTTCAAAGCATAGTCTGAATAGAGTTCATATATCTTGCGCAGCAGAGAATCTATACCAGCCTGTCGTGGGTCTGACAGCACCATAAATTTAATACCTGGGGGAAGAGGGCAAGGTATTAATCTACAAAGCATTCAGCACTAGAGACTGTGACTGATCCATATGTTCTTGGAGAGATAAATACATAATACAGAACTAATACATAAATAATATTTTGTCTTAACCCAACCACAAACTGAACAGTGATGTTCAAATGGAAACCATGATTTTATTCACTGCTGAACGATGACATTGATGATGCACCCATCTGTCGTTACCAGTTCAGAGAATGTACCAATAAAAAGGTGTTTATGCTTCTTTCTGGAGGCAGAGTTCAGCAATGAAACCGGACAGGAACTGTCCAATCGTATGCGTTAACAATATTTATATCAAAATTACCTCATTTACAGCTTTGGCAAGAATCATTATTAACCCCATAAGGACACAGCTTCAGAAGCTGGACATACCCTTAAGGACACAAGCAATTTTTGCTGTTTGTGTTCAACTGCAATTTGCATCTCTCATTTATTGTACCGACACATATTATATACCGTTTTTTTAAAGACAATAAAAATTGCTTTAATTTGATGTGACATATACATATTCTCATTTATTACCAAAAACAAAAAGCGCAAAATAAGGGGGGGGGAGGGGGTAGAAAGGGGGACAAAAAAGGGGTGTTTTTTTCCCCAAGTTTTGCCAATAATAACTTGTGAATAATATGTCCAGCTTAGGAAAAGTAATTCAAAAATCAATTAATTTATGTGTCATGATTTACAAAATACATAATATGTATAGGATTTCAGTTTATTTTGAAAGTTACAGGTCACAAACTACAAGGTCTAAAATAAAATTTCAATGTGAAACAATTTTAGAAGTTGGTATGTTTGTCTTGGAAGTTTAATACCCATCACAGAAAACAAAATTGTCACACAAAAGTATATTTATATAGTAGACAACATAGGCTATTTACCTAAGGTTATTTTGACACTGTTTACGTAGCCATTATACCACCAATCTCTGCTAAATATTGGAGTAAAATTGTGTTTCTCTATTTTGGCATATACACATATAAGAAGGTTTTTGTAATGTGTATTTCGTAAAGCTGGTGTGTGCTATCCCTGTACAGAACCCCACATTGTGTTCAGCTACATCTGCTGAGTACACCGATACCCCAATTGTATACCTTTGCCACTATTCTGTGAAGCTACAATGCCATATAGGAGACCATGCTATTTCAGTTTCTATAGTTGGAATTTTCATAGCTGGTCATATGTCTGATATTGTGGCATTATAGCCATTTGACTGTTCAAATAACCCCACAAAGAAAGCAGACACTCCAGGGTATCTTATTAGGCATACATTATACCTTAACGTGCCACCATTTTATTTTAAATTTTGAGGTGTAAAACAAAAAAAAAAATTTTTTTTTTTTTTACATATATGTTGCATTTTCGCTGGGTATTTCGTACATTTGATATGTGCCACTGTCATAAATTCCCCCTAAGTATGCTCAGTTACCTCTTCTGAGTAAAATAATAAGCCCAATGTATGACCTAGACACTAATTTGTGAAGTTACAGTGCTGTAAGAGACGTGAAAAGTACAGGTTTTTAAGTGTGAATTTACATGTAGGGTTTTAATGGGTCTGTATTCTATTTTAAAATATGTTAGCAGGCTACATATTCCAACTACCCCAAAAAGGCATACTATTTCTTAAAGAAGACACCTGAGGGTACCGTATATACTCGAGTATAAGCCGACCCGAATATAAGCCGAGGCCCCTAATTTTACCCAAAAAAAACTGGGAAAACGTATTGACTCGAGTATAAGACTAGGGTGGGAAATGCAGCAGCTACTGGTAAATTTCTAAATAAAATTAGATCCTAAAAAAATTATATTAATTGAATATTTATTTACAGTGTGTGTATATGATGAATGCAGTGTGTGTATGAGTGCGCAGTGTGTGTGTATGAGTGCGCAGTGTGTGTGTATGAGTGCGCAGTGTGTGTGTATGAGTGCGCAGTGTGTGTGTATGGATGCAGTGTGTGTGATGCAGTGTGTGTTTGTGTGGCAGAGCCTTGGTGGGGGGGTGGGCATTTTTATAAAAAAAAAAAATATATATATTATTTTAATTTTTTTGTTATATTATTTTTTTTATTATTATTATTATTATTATTTATATTTGTATATTATTAATCTATTTATTTGTTGTCCCCCCTCCCTGCTTGATACATGGCAGGGAGGGGGGCTCTCCTTCCCTGGTGGTCCAGTGGCATTGGCAGTTCAGTGGGGGGAGGAGGGGAGCTGGCAGAGCTGTAACTTACCTCTCCTGCAGCTCCTGTCAGCTCTCTCCTCCTCCGCGCCGGTCCGTGCAGCTCTTCTCTCAGCTCACACTGTAAGTCTCGCGAGAGCCGCTCTATGACCCCGCGGCTCTCGCGAGACTTACACTGGGAGCTGACCGGACCGGCGCGGAGGAGGAGAGAGCTGCAGGAGAGGTAAGCGCTCGCTGCCAGCCCCCAGTCTGTATTATGGCAATGTAAATTGCCATAATACAGACAGTGACTCGAGTATAAGCCGAGTTGGGGTTTTTCAGCACAAAAAATGTGCTGAAAAACTCGGCTTATACGGTATTTCAAAAGGCAAATTTTGAACCTTAGCCTGAAATAATTTTTCTGCTAGCCTGTACCAAATGTAGTGGTAATAAGCATTTTTTATGCCTTTTTGACACACAATTAGTTTGTAATATATATTTTGAAAACCTTATGTGTGCTACAGCAGTATAATACATCATATGTTGCTCAGCTATGTCATCTGAGTACAGCAATACCTCCTGTACGTACCTTTACCAGGTATATGACAACGTTTAAGGGGCACATTTGAGACACAGCCATTTAAGTTTGAATTTTTACGCTGGGTCCAGGCCCTACTCTGGAATTTTTTTTTAATAGGTTGCGTTTTCCAATTACTTCACAAAGGCATGCCATTTCCTGAAGAAGAAACCCCAGGGTGTTTCAAAAGGCATACATTAAACTATAACATTAAACCATATCATTTTTTCGCTAGCCTGTACCAAGTGTAGAGGTAATATGCATTTTTTCCCTTTTTAAAACATTTTTCTTCAGCTTTTAACAACTTTTTTTTACTATTTTAAAACTTTAAGTTTTTTTTTTTTTTTTTTACTGCAGACGTGATCAAAGGGCAGGGAAAGGGTTACATTTTATTTGAAAGGGCTGAGGGGGGGTGGAATTTTATAATTAACAGTTTGTTTTTTACAGTAAGGGAGCCAGAGCGGGTTTCACTGCAGCACTTGTGATCGCTCTGACTCCCGGTTTACATCTGGGAGTCAGAGTGATCCCATGGGCTGAATCAGTGAAACTGTTGCTGTAGTGTGCCTCTAACACAGAGACACACTACAGGAACATTAACCCCATGATTGCGGCAATGTGGGGTTAATTTTATTATTGGAGAGAAATTTTCCATCCTGCATCCTTAAGGGTTTAAAGTACGATTGGCAAAATATGGCTAGTACTGTAAGAGTTGTGTGGCTAATTCTACTTTGTAATGCATTAGGTGTATAAAAATAAATAAATAAATAAAAATACTTACTATTCATGGCACAAATAGAATCCTACACATTTAAAGAACAGGTAAGGATAATGCATCTTTTGCATCACCACTTCCCTTAGACTGAAAGCGTTTGTTTATGGCCCTAAACACCACTTCTTGTACGTCACTGTATATTTTGCCACTTAATGCATAATTTCAAATATGTTTCAATTCTGATGGCGATTTCTTTTAATTTTTTTTCCTTTTTATAATTAATTTAGGAGCCAAGCATAAGCAATATGTTGACCTATCTTCTGAAATATATCAACCCTAATACACATCCAAATAAGCATAATACAGTATGTAGCTCATCTTCAGTTTTGGTCAAAGGTCACCGCCAGTACCATACCTTTCTACACGGCCTACGGTGCAGAGATCATGGCCCTCATTCTTACTTTATAACTGCAAAAATTTTCAAACTTCACAGCAGTCATAAGCACACTCTGCAGTGCGTAACAGCAAAAGAAGCCATGATCTCCTTGGACATACTAGTTATTGTAGGTCATGGGCACAAGGTACAAAGCTCCTGTATGGCTTCTGAGAAAGCCTGTACAGCAGTAACAAGTGTTAAACTACACACTAGGTTGTACGGAATATACCCAGCACTTTCCTTGGATATACAAATTGTAAATGGATGGTGGAATATAGCCAGAGCTTTCCTTAAATTTGGTACAAAGAGGTTTCTCCCACTGAACACACTGTGCAAAAATTATGTTTATCTTACACAGAAATCACATTCGCCAGTGGTACTTGAGGCCAATTTAGCCCCTGACTTCACTCAGGCTTTAGATCCAAAACAGGGTAACTATTCTTTATGTGGATTTGTTATAAAACCAAATACCTTCTGTGACCATTATTTTAAATATTATTTGTTGAATCAAATAAATGTATTCCAACTATAAAAAGGAAGCATTGTTTGGACTGATCAGCCAATTCACTGCTTCTCACATCGCAGAACCTGCGTGCAGAGCCGGCATCTCAAACTCTGTCCCCCCCAGATGCTGCTAAACTACAATTCCCATCATTCCTCTGGCCATCTATTAAATTGAAGAAATGATAGGAGTTGTAGGCCATCAACATCTGGGGTGTCAAAGTTTGAGATTCCTGCTGTAAAGACTTTGCGTTCCCTATCCACATGCTGTGTGCGCTGACATCAAATGCACAAATTCTGCATAACCAGCCTGGATCTCTGGTTCCAAGCTGACTGATGCCTGCTGTCATAGGTGGCAAATAAATTATAATAGTTCTTTATATACAGCATTTCAAGAAGAAATGCTGGACATACAGAGACTTACACCATAACCACTTAAACAAGCATAAGTTGTTATGGTGTTTGGAATATCCCTTTAATCTCAAATACCAGATTCCGGAACAAATAGTGAATAGACCGTGTGTTACCCCAAGTAATTAAATTATTTTCCTTCCCAGTTGGAGTCTGGATTGAGAATGAAGACATGTGTGTCAATGGTAAATTAAAGAGACACTCCTGGTACCAATACAACTTGAATTCACTTTAAAGATTTTGGCCTCATTATAATGCTGGATTTTTTGCATGCTTTATTCTTTAGAGATATATATATAAAAAAAAAAAAATAAAAAAAATTATGTTTGGCAAAATGCTGCACCATAAGCCTGCCTCCTTAACTAAGGCCCCTTAATCCAGAAATTACTTATCAAATGCATGCACACAGTCTCACAGTACTAAGTTAGTTGCTTTTATTTCACAACCTGACTGCAGACAAAAAATACAAACCGGTAGGGATATCCTAGCTATCTGCCTCCCCGAGTGTTCTCTTCTTCTAATGCTGGTTTTGTAGTTCAGATCATTTAGTAATATCGATGGTCGAGTTTATGTATGCATATATATGATAAGGAAGACTTTTTCTGGAGTAAGAGCATGCCAGCTTATGGTACAGCATTCTGCAAAACATTTTAATGCAAAAACGATATGATTTGAGCATGCAAAAAATAAAACATATTCAAGAGGCCAAAAACAAAATGCATTGGTCCCCAGAGTGTTCCTTTAACATATTGCAATTACCAAACTGAACCTGGAAGGAGATCTGAATATATTGTGTGTTTCACCAATCAGTATATTGTTATTCTCACCAGTCAGAGTTTGGAAGCAGTGCAGCTTGAATGTATCAGTTTCCAACATTTCTATACCAGAACTTCCAGGCTCAGGGGAGAGCTGAGATCCTATGGCAAATAATCTAGAACAAATAGTGGAATAAAAAATAAAAAAATTTAAAAAATAAAATAGTTAAGCAACTCTCATCTTTATGAATATTTATGTATAAATGCCACAGAAACTAATTAAGAATTATACCTTCACCCTAAGCACCATAACAACTTTACTTTATTGCAAACCGATGGTGCAGAGAGAACACACTGTTAGACACAGAGCAAAGGTGGAATCATGGATGCATCTAACAAGCTTGAAATTGTATTGACATCTATCCTGTGAAGCAGAAATTAACCCACCATCTGCACAGAAGATGCAGGTCTATACAACAAAGGTAAGTCATTACCAAATTACTCCAGTATTCACAATTTTAAACAATCCATACGTTAATAACGAGCACCCTCCCACAGCTCTGCAGGTGATATATATAACGGAGGTGGTTTGTGAAATACACTGCAGCTATAAAAGCCCCAATAGCTATTAATGAAGCAGCGGGAACTCTCAGTTTTGGGATGCCTGTGCCAATTTTGTCTAGCTTGTGAGTGTGGTACAGCTTGGACTCATCTCCTCCTCTGTCTGAGCCAATGCTGCGTGCACAGTGTCTCTGATGATCAGTACATTTCTACAGGGTTTTTTTTTTTTTTTTATGGAGGACCGAGTATTATAGAAATATATACACACACACACACACACACACATACACAGCGGCATTATATTCTTTGTGTAAAGTCGAGGTTTGCAGTAACTCACGAGTGGAACATAGAAGCCAGCATTAATTTCTCATTGGAAGAGAGACGAGGTCGGCCAAACCGGATAGACAGTGGGTAGTTGGCTGGATTATTGAGGAATTCAATAACTTCCTTCCCATCTGCTGTATTTCTGCCATTCACATCAATCCCATTGATTGAGAGCACCGCATGTCCAACTGGTGGGATACAAGAAAGAACAAAGACAACACAGAATAAATAAAAAAGGTGTACCAGGCAGATAAGAATGAACCCATACAGAAGTACTTTTCTTTACTTGCATAAAAGCATGCCCTAGTTGCTCTGTAGAATGTTCCCAGTGTTCAATCAATCAATAATTCACCTATTGACAATGGGAAGTTTCAATAAATAAGGAGAACCTCTGGTGCAAAAAAGGTACAAATATATGTGATAAAATACTTATGGTTTGTGTTGCTTATACTATAGTTTTCCTTTAATCACTTCAGTCAGTTAAAATGGTTATGATGCCTACAGTGCCCCTTTAAGCTGTATTGCTGCCATTATTTGATCTGGAAGCTTGGTACACTCAGATTCTGGCAGGTACTGAGGTACATGATGCTGCCTTAGGGACAACCATTGTAAGAAGCTGCTGTAGCGATCTCATGCTTGGGTTAGCCCATGGGAGGTTATTGATAGACTACCTTACATACTAGTATAACAGCAATAAGCTTTGCTTATCCTTGCATGTACCCAGTAAGAAGCATATTATGCATTTACCCAGTAAGAAGCATTTATGGTAAATCCATCAGTAGTAAGTAACATAATGTAAAGTGCTGCGGAATAAGATGGTGCTATATAAATACCAATAATTAGAATTCCCTGTATGTCACCTGTTCTTAATTTGCAATAGAAAAAATAAAGAGCAAGGAACTACTAATTTCTCTTTAAACATGGTATCTAAATGCATCATGCATATAAAACGGTTAATAACGTGTTATTTTATGCACCAGTCAATGTGCTGTAGTAGTTATGGTACCCTGCGTTTTCTGGCCTCTTGTCAATTCCACTGATGTTTGAACAGAAATCACAGGCCGACATGCTCAGCCATGAATTTTGTCCACAGAGAGAAAATAGATATATGTAAAACAGAACTTCTGCTTTAGATAAACCAGAAGGGGAGGCTGAATCCCATGCTTCCAGGAGACCAGAGAATGTGTCAAAAAAAAAAAAAAAAAAAAGTTCTGACCACTTACCCTCGGATAGCAGCAGTGGCCTGCTGACATAACCATTACATTGCTCTATAGTTCCTTTAACCCCTTAAAGACCAAACTTCTGGAATAAAAGGGAATCATGACACGTCACGTGTCCTTAAGGGGTTAAAGGAAAAATTGGCCATTTTGTAGTATTTCTGATTTAGGAACACTCATGTTCATGACGACAATTTTAAATTAAACTGTTGTTGTGACAGAACACTAGATCACACTTATTCCTATTAGCATGACAGCTGTTGATAAGAAGAACATTTTACCAGTTTAGACACTCACCAACAAAGCACCTCACGGAGTCTAATTTATGGAGAACCTATTTACAAAAGCATCTGCAATAACTTATCTATTCCATAGGTGGCTGAAAAGTATATCACCAGCTCTTGTAGGACTACAACTCCCAAGATGCTTTGCCAATAGGGCATCAATGGGGGGAGGGGGAAGTAATTCTTCAGTGTCTGTGGAAATACCCTTTTGACCACTCCACCAATTACCAAGCATTGTACACAGACAACACCAAAATACAAACAAACAAATCAGCACTAAATTACTGCAGTATAAAGAGAAGGTGTGAGTTTATAGGTGTATAATTATATGGGTATTAGGGTAGCCATTAGCAGGTCAGACTGTGTACAATTCAGGGGTCCTCAAACTCCTGCCCCCCAGATGTTGCTGAACTACAACTCCCATGATTCTCTGGCTATCTATGTAATTCAAAGAACCATGGGAGTTGTAGTTCAGCAATATCTGGGGGCCCGGTGTACATCAATAGCCGGGTCCCCCCCCCCACATTAAGGAACGCTCCATTCAGGATCTAACACACCAGCCCCCATTTCATCGCAGATCCCTGGGGCCCAGCAGCCTCACCTCGGATGCCATCACGCTGCCCGAATGACACCTGCACCCGATCATCGTGGACTTTCAGCACCAGGTCCAGCGGGTAACTGAAGGTTTTCTCAGTCTCGGAGCGAGGGATCTGGTTATCCAGCTGGTAGATCAGGCCGCCTGCCTTATTCACTACATACACACTGAAGATCGCCATCTTGGTGGAGCCTATTCTGTCAGCTGACTGGAGCCCAGCCTCCAGTGTCCTGTCATGGAGCTCTGACCAGAAAGCAAGGCCGCAGATGTCGCGGAGTTTACACGTCACAGTTACATGTTGCACTGCACTTTAAGGAATTTATTTTATTTATTTGTGAATCAGATTTTATCTGTGTTCTTTATGACAGTAAAGTAAAAACATTTCCAAGTAGGTAAAATGTATACAGAAGTAAACTGCACTCTCTATTATGTTATACACTCAAGTTGAAAACAATTTGAACAGAAAAGTAAAAATAAAAGTTAATGAATAAAAGTGGGAGGTAGAAAAATTAAATGTAACCAGATACAGGCACATCGAGCTGAATTTATGCATTGTAGACAATTATCTTAATGCCATAGCTGGACTGATATTATAAGGCGAAAAGTCTGCAGACCATAGTGTTGTTTTTGCACCCATGCTTAACCCCTTAAGGACTGGACTGTTTTTGCGATGTTGTACATTTGCGACCAGGCATATTTTTACACTTTTGTGGTGTTTGTGTTTGGCTGGAATTTTCCGCTTTCTCATTTACTGTTCCCATACAAATTATATATTGTTTTTTTCAGGACAAAAGGGGCTTTCTTAGGGGGGGCGGGGCCTGACTGCCAAGATGGCCAGACGTGTTCCAGCTCAGCTCCTGCACCACAGGGCTGAATACAAGCATTTCAAGCCCATAACTCATCACAAAACAGCATGGCCTCAGCCTCATCTTACCGCTGAGCAATCTAGGGGCACAAATATACAAGCAGCACACGGATCCAGCGCGAACTCCGCCCGTCTGGCTGCAAGGCCTAGCAAGAATGACGGCCTGAAGGTTGGAGGAGGCGGCCGATCCTCTGACCCGGACCGCATACTGCACCATGACAAGCTTGAAGCCCCGTCACCCCCCCTCTGGACCGGCGGGGGATATCCCGGTCCTCACTCGGGGAAACCTCCTCCCTGCACCGCTCAGATCTCCCAAACTGAGGGACAGCACGAGGAGACAAAGATGGCCGCCGAGCTCCAGACAGCGCATAACATGGAGGTGGCAGGCATCCAGAACTGGCGGGAAAATTTCGAGGCCAGGTTTGATCGCCTTGTCCAAGGGTTCTGGCACCGCATCGCTACCCGCAACTCACATGGGCCGCAGACCCAACACAACGGAGAGCCGAACCACGTCTCCTATTCTGGGCTGGGAGCCCACACGGAGGCAAAGCCAACCAGCCGCCCAGATACCTGGAGGGTCATCCCACAGGCCCACGACCCTGCCGAAAAGCAACGGAGGGTCCATGGACATGCGGCACGGGCTCCACATAAGGCCCGGGCTCAGGAGAGTGGAAGACACCGGCGTCTCGTGCCTATCGCTGCTCGCCGAAAGAGAGTCCGGCCCGGTACACAACACCCCTTGCGGGGACACAACGCTGACCGGCCGGTCGGAAAGCAAGCTCATCACTTCCGATGGCGCAGAATTCTCACTCACCTGCCGCTCCGATTGAGCTCCGCACACCACCAACCACAGAGGCTGAAAAACGCCAGACGCACGCGGCTACTCCAGACCGAGCTGAAGTATGGGAATCCTCAAGTTCGTAGGGAGGAGAAGCCAAGTTGTCCCAGACCATGGAAGGGTGAGCATGCCCTAACTCGACACGATCAAGTAGCGATCCCCAGCGGACTACCCTATGCCTATGCAACCCTTTATGCCAAGAACCCATGCTTCCCCACCTTGAGTATAGGCTGACACCTGGAATATACAGATCTGCCTGAACAAGAGGGCTTACGCACAACGGATTTCTTTTGATTGTTCCAATTTAGGAATTTGGCCACCCTACCAGCTGTCTGTCAGGATCTTATCTGGTGTGGAGTCCGACGTGCAGAGTTAGTTGCTCACCCTTGCAAATAATCACAGACCAAGGTGACTATGCAAGAAGCCACCTGGGCTGTGAGTCTGTGCAGAAATAGTGCTCCAAGTCGCAGTACAGGCAAGGATATCCAGAAGAGGAGTTGTGGAAAGCCAGAGGTCAGAGTAATCAAGGAAATAAGCCAAGGTCAGAAGTCAGATCAGTCTGAGAGAACACTGGATCAATATACGAACAACGGGAACCAAACAGTAGAACCAGAGTCAATGAACTGATGAAGTTCCCAGGGCGAGGCAGTGCGTATATATCCAGCTAATAATGATATGCTTCAGGTGTGCTAGTTAGACATGAGCAGCCACAAATAAAGTTCAGCCCCCCCAGTGCTGGAGATAAGACAAGGCTGGACATAGACTAAAACATGAATAGATGAGTGGTTCAGAGGAAAGAGAGCAGGACCAAAGCTGCAAGAGTCCAGAGTTCAAATCCCCCCTCCCCCCCCAATGCCACTAGGACAGCAAGCACACCTTGCCTTCCATACGTAATGATGGAGATTGTGACATTACCCCCTGCTTGAAGTCACTATTAGGCAGTGAACAGGAATTCTCTCTCGACTTAGATGAGATTTTTACAGTTTAATATTTCTCTCTAATCCCTAGTGTAAGGATGGGGTCATTATTTTTCTTTATTAAGCCATACTTGACAAGTCATGAAATTGTAGGTTTTTTCCCCAGGTAGGTATTGGTTGTGAGGAAGAGCATGTTGAAACTTCATTGGCGGTGCCTTCAGGAGGGTTAGCGTTCACATACCTCATAGCATCCTTTCATAAAGGCAGAGTTCTTTAATCAGCATGATAGTACCATCACTGGCTTTCACAAGTCCAGGGGCACCAAATGGATGTTTTGCAGTGTTCCGTTTTTCCTGTGGATTGGATGATAGAAGAAGTAGTCATAAGTTCTTGACATTCGCTCATAGCTTCATCCTCTGAACCCATGACATCTGAGGGGGGAGCATCGTAGTGCATCTCTACAGATTCTTCATCAAAATCATGAGAACTTAGTAAATCATCTGAGGGAGGACTGGCTGTGTGTTCTTGTGATAACACTGGGATCATTAGCCATCGCAGTCGGGCTACTCTTCTGCGTCACTGAACGTGGAAATGTACAACAGCATCCTTGACATTTTTCAGGCTGTGTTGCAGGGATGACAGGGTGAAGCTGAATGGTAACTACTCGTAGAGGCTTAGGCCGAAGTGGGCAAATAAAGCAGCGGGAGATAAAGTGCCCTCTTTCTCCACAATAGAAACAAAGGCCACAAGCTCTCCTCCGGTCTCTTTCTCTAGACGACAGTCTCATTCTAGTGCGAACGTAGTCGATCTCCATGGGTTCCTCCTTGTCCTCTGGTATATCTAGGCTTACTTGAGTAACGTCAGGGTGACAAGGTAGGTCCCTAAAGGTAGGTACGCGCTGCAACAGGCTGGGGTCGTTATACTCGTACATGTATTTCTTTTCTCTAGGTACCCGAGATCTGCGAGGACCTGAAGCAGGCTTGGGAATATCCTTCCTTGAAGTTAAGCACTGTGCATCCATCGCAGGCATAAATGACTCCCAGGTGTCCAAGACAGTACTTTTTTCCTGCAGCTTCTGGTATGCCCACACCCTAATCCGTCCGAAAAGTAGATTAATAGCGGTGCGGACTTTAATAAAGTTGGTGGCGTAGGTTCTAGGTTTCAAGGCAAACAGGAGCTCACAGTCCATCTTGAACATCGAGAAAGTGGAACGGGAACCGTCGAACCTATCAGGCATTATGACATAGGGTCCTGGAAATGCAGGTTCCAGGGTTGGGCGTACCGCCTCTTTTAAATTCTAACAAACCTCACTGCAAATCCATTATAGTCCGGGACAGGTTGGAAACTTGCTGAGCAAGGGAGGTGAGTAATTTGTATAACTCTGCGGACTCCATGGGTCAGTTAATTTATGTCAGGACCTTACCTGGTGTGGAGTCCGACGTGCAGAGTTATACGCTCCACCTTGCAAATAATCACAGACCAAGATGACAAGGCAAGAAGCCACCTGTGCTGTGAGTCTGTGCACGGGGGCTGTGCAGAAATAGTGCTCCAAGTCGCAGTACAGGCAAAGATATCCAGAAGAGGAGTTGTGGAAAGCCAAAGTCAGGGGAAGCCAGAGGTCAGAGTAATCAAGGAAATAAGCCAAGGTCGGAAGCCAGATCAGTCTGAGAGAACACTGGATCAATATACGAACAGGAACCAAACAGTAGAACCAGAGTCAATGAACTGACGAAGTTCCCAGGGCGAGGCAGTGCTTATATAGCCAGCTAATAATGATATGCTTCAGGTGTGCTAGATAGACATGAGCAGCCACAAATAAAGTTCAGTCCCCCAGTGCTGGAGATAAACATGAATAGATGAGTGGTTCAGAGGAAAGAGAGCAGGACCAAAGGAGCAAGAGTCCAGAGTTCAAATCCCACTGAAGCCATTACAAAGGTAAGCACACCTGGCCTTCCACATGTCACTATGGAGATCCACTGTCAAGCACACTGGACTGGCAGCCCCCACATCATTTGAAAAGCAGAGCATGGGCCAAATATCTACCTCTCCCTGACATCATAACATACATAGCCAAGTGGGAGTGTGACTTGGTCCCCTGATGAGCTGACAGACTGGGGAGGCATCTGAGCAGCAACCAGCACCCTAATGATTTGCATCACCTACTCCCACAAGGAACAGGCTTATAAGATGCTTTTTGACACCACTTCGATTGGCAAAAGCCAATGGCCAAACTGTTGGAAAATGTGCAGGGACACAGGCACATACCTCTACTGTTGGTGGCATTGCCAAGGATTAAGAACTACTGGCTTGAAGTTCAGTCAATGAATGCGACTGGTCTTGGGAAAACAATTCCCACTGGATCCCTGGGTGCTACTGCTATCTAAACCATCTGTCACTGCTACCAGTCATGAGAACAAACTGGCAGCACTTTTAGCCCTTGCTGCACGCAGGGCACTAGGGGAACTGTGGGCTGACAAACATCCCCTCTCTGACCAAACGTAAGGTCACAGAGACCTTAGAAATGGACAGATTGACAGCTCAAATCTATGACACTCGGAAGGTGTTCCATAAGACCCCTGGATTGCAAGCAGACTCTAACAAGCGTGCATTTAACCCACTCTGCCTGACTTAACACAAATCTGTACATGACCTCCAACTCTCTCCCTCCCCCCCCCTCCGGGGTACCCCTCCCAGAGACTCCTATGCCCCTATGTACACTATACCTTTCTACGAGCTCACACATCTCTGAACCTCACAGACAACCCAAATGTGACTGTGCCCAAGTGGCAATTGACAAGGTCCTTAGCAACGCCACACTCTCCTGTAAGAAGCTAGAGCCACCTAACTAATTATATGTCGATTTACAATGTCCAGCACATTCCACTCAAGACGCATAAGCAAGACTCACTAGCAACACAATAGGCAATTTTTCAGACCTCCTTAGGAGACAAGCGTAGCCTGATGGGCAACAGCAGCTGGCATTGTCTTTCTAAAACTCCTTTGAATACTTAAGGAATATGCTACTGAATGACATCCTAAGGTGAGACGTTAGAACTAAACAACATACCACTGCTGGACAGCATCAGACCAACTTAAAGTCTGCATCATAGTTCTCTAAAACAATGCATTTCCCTAACAGAATGGGAGAGCAGCAGGCTTCTAACTGCCACCAGACCCAGCCAGCCAAAAGGTAGGAACCTGACATGTATGTGTTTTTGTGTATCTGTATGTGTGTGTGGTGTTTGTGTGTATTTCTCTGTATGTGTGTGAGTCAGTGTATGTGTCTGTGTATCTGCATGTGTGTCAGTGTATGTATCTGTGTGTCCGTGTATGTGTGTCAGTGTAAGTATCCTTAAGTGTGTCGGTGTATGTATCTGTGTGTCAGGTATGTATCTGCGTGTCAGTGTGTGTGTCTATAAGTGTTTCAGGGTAAGTATCCTTAAGTGTCAGTGTATGTATCCATGTGTATGTGTATGTATCTATGTGTCTGTGTATCTGCATCTTTGACAGGGTATGTATCTGTGTGTCTCTGTATGTATCTGTGTTTCAGTATATGTGTCTGTGTGTCAGTGTATGTGTCTGTGTCTCTGTGTGTATCTGTATGTGTATCTGCATGTGTGTCAGTGTAGCTGTGTGTCGGGGTATGTATCTGTGTGTCAGTGTATCAGTTTATGTATCTGTATGTTTGTGTTTATGTGTCAGTGTGTATCTGTGTGTCTGTATGTATCCTTAAGTGTGTCAGTGTATGTAAATATGTGTCTGTGTATCTGCATGTGTGTCAGGGTGTGTATCTGTGTATAAGGGTGTGTATCTCTGTGTCAGTGTGTATATCTCTGTGTATCTGCAAGTGTGTGTCTGTGTTTCTGCATGTGTGCCTGTGTATCTGTGTGTCAGGGTATGTCAGTGTGTGTATCTGCGTGTCAGGATAAGTATCTGTGTGTGAGGATGTGTATCTGTGTGTCAGTGTCTGTATCTGTGTATCAGTGCATGTATCTGTATGTGTGTCAGGGTATGTATTCTTAAGTGTGTCAGTGTATGTATATATGTGTCTGTGTAACTGCTTGTCAGTATATGTATTTGTCTGTCAGTATGTGTATCTCTCTGTCAGAGTGTGTATCTGTGTGTCTGTGTGCTAGGGTGTGTATCTGTGTGTCAGGGTATGTGTCTGTATATGTGTCTGTGTAACTGTATGTGTGTCAGGGTGTGTATCTGTATATGCAGGTTTGTACTCCTAATTCTATAGTGTTCCTTCAACCATCCTGAGACTCTACACTAGAAACTAGCTCCAACACAATGTCTGTTACTTTGGCAATAAAAACAATAGTGGTTGCACAGTGAGCCCATGGGGCAGTTGTGGTGGCCCCCTGCAGATTAAGGGGCTAGGGACAGATGTCCTGTTTACTCAAAGAGGGCCGTGAGGCTCCACTATCTTTGTATACATTATCATTATATTTATCTTTCTCATTATAATTTAATATTGGTAAATTTCCCATGCGAAATTGATGCCACATCACCTTTTATTACTTTGAATTTGAAGACCCAATGAGTCTGTACCTCACAAGACCTTTTTTTATTATTATTACTATTATTTAAATGTAAATTCTGATATTTGATTCCTTTCAGAAAGACTAAAGTGTACTCTAAATGTCACGCCGTAGTTTAACCCCTTAAGGACCAAACTTCTGGAATAAAAAGGAATCATGACATTTCACACATGTCATGTGTCCTTAAGGGGTTAAACGTACCTTCAGGTACAGAAGCATTTTAAGCTGTGTTTGTGTTTACTTTTACTTATTAATTTTATCTGCTCCTTATCAGTTTTATGTTTGGAAGAACATGTTCACATTATCTGGATATAGAAATGTATAACAACCAGATTAACAATCAGAAAAGCCCTATATGCATTTTACAACTGCAACTACTTCATTTATTTTTATTTACTAAGTGACAACCATTTATACATTTCAATCAATCTGTGTGTGGTGGGAGTCTGTCACGTGATGGCCCCTGGAGCAAAGCATGCCGGGTCATGTAGTTCCCTGGAGCAGAGTTTGTAGTTCAGCTAAGCGGAAGAGCCCGCCTCGCACGGGGTTTCCTGGGCTGGGCACACGGGGTCTCTTCCTTTCTGTCCGACATCTTTGAAAGAGCAGCAGCATGGTGAGAGTCTGGGGACACCGAATAGCCCCGTGAGGGCACCGGGAGTGGGGAAGGGCCTGCTCTGGGCGCCGGGCGGGAAGCTCAGGCACGTGGGGCTCGATTTACGGCATGAGCGGACCTTTAAATCCCACGTGGAGGGATTTAAACCGGCAGCGATCTGGGCCTGGAGTGCCCGAGCTGTAACCCGGACTGAAGGGATATTGTATGGCCGGTATAGGCCCCCGGCAATGCTACCCTACATGGAGTGTCTGGGTGTTTATATAGCTCAGAGATATGGATTATTATTTATTAAAATTATATCACCTCTGGCTTTAGACATTCTAATCTACACGGTATTTACACAGTTCAGGTTATTATTCAGGAAAGTTTCAATAATCACTTTGGGAAAACTTGGCATTTTAATCGGCACTATGTGATGGTTTAGGCAATCAGTCCATGGAGAATGAGGAAAGAATATGGGTACATTGCTGTATCTATATAATGTGCGTGTAAATAAGCTAAACAAAAATAAAAAAATTAGTCCTTGTGAAGACTTACTGTACAAAAAGTACTGGCTGTGTGACCTGCCCTTTAAATTTGATAGTCACATAAAAACAAAATCCTAACTAAACTACTTAACTACGATTTATGAATGTGCTTATTAACACAAATGCACAACTGACCTGTATTGAAGGTTTAGCACTGGATGGTATAACGTTACTTGTAAATAGAAAATTATACCCTGTTCATTTTTTTTTTTTTGTAGAACATTACATATTTGCTAGGATTGTACAAAAAAATTTAAAAAAAAAAATCAGCCATGCATTTGCTCTTAGTTCTTGGAATTCTATTTAGCGATATGCATCATTCTATATTTTTAGTATTTTTCATTAAATCCCTTCAACCATTTACATTTATTTTGTATAAAAGCTTGACTTTTAGGCTGAGCCGCAGTGTACATAATGCCTATATCTCAATCCATTTGTTTGAGCTTTTAACCATCTGCATGGTTTTGCTTATTTTTATTTTATTTTCCCCTCAGAGGAACTAAGAGGGTTTTTATTGATCCTATTTGAAATGCTTCAAAAGTATTCTAATTTAATGTTACTGGGAACTTTTATTGTTTCATTTCAACATTTGTCAAGCTTATTAATACTGTATAACTTTATCCAGCCTCCTAAAGACGACAAGAAGAAGAAGGATGCGGGCAAGTCCGCCAAGAAGGACAAGGATCCCGTCAACAAGTCTGGGGGCAAGGCCAAGAAGAAGGTAAGTGTCACCATGATTAAAGAGGGAGATTGCAGCAGGATTTTTTCTTTTTAAATCATCTTATTTAAATTGACTTGATGTCTTCATATGGAATATTTTACTTACAAAATGTGGAAATGTCCTTTCTCAGGATTCAATAAATGTAATTTTGGATATTTGGATGTTATTTCTATAGTGTTGAATGCAGCACTGCAGTTAAGTTAAATTAGTAAAATTGGCGGCTGCTATTTCTTTAATCTGGGATTTTCATTGTTTACTACTATTGAGTGTCTCCTTTCTTCGTTTGAGTAGAAGTGGTCCAAGGGAAAAGTGAGGGACAAGCTGAACAATCTTGTGCTGTTTGACAAGGCTACATATGACAAGCTGTGCAAGGAAGTCCCAAACTACAAGCTCATCACACCTGCCGTGGTGTCTGAGAGGCTGAAGATCAGGGGTTCTCTCGCCAGGGCTGCCCTGCAGGAGCTGCTTAACAAAGGTATGTTTGGCAGAGTAATATCAATGGCCGGGTTGCATACGATCCGAGAGCACACCTACAAATTATTGAACTTTGCATAAATGTGGCCGAAATAAGCCTGTACTTAATGCCTCATCGGGCTTTTAACTAGCTGGGTAAAGATATTATGTTCTAATGTTCTACAAATATATATTGGCAGAAAATCTTAACTTTCTTTTGGTATGGGTCTTTTTAACCCCCTAAGGGCCAAACCTCTGGAATAAAAGGGAATCATGACATGTCATGTGTCCTTAAGAGGTTAAACTGGTGTCAGTAAGTTGAGCAATATCAGTCTGTTCATATGTTTAAACAGAAACTGGATGAATACGTGCAAAAGCATAATATTCATAGATCTAATTTATAAACTGTGAGGTAACAGCTTCTTGATCCAGTGAGTGACCTGCCATTCTGGGGAAGGAATTTTTATTTTCATCTTAGTTTGTAGCAAAATTGGGAGCAAATCAAACTGGGTTTTGTTTGCCTTCAACAGCAAAAACCTATGTGAGAGGCTGAACTTGATGGACATTTGTCTCTTTCCAGCTATGTAACAGATCATAATTAGAAAATTGGCAAAAGTTAAATGTACCATTCTTCGTTAAATATTGTGGAGCAGTTGAAAGTTAGACATGGGTCACATCTTAAGTATTCAACAGTGGAATTATTCTTTCATTAGGTCTTATCAAACTTGTGTCCAAGCATCGAGCCCAGGTTATCTACACAAGAAATACTAAAGGAGGAGATGCACCCGCAGCGCCTGAAGAAGCATAAGCAGGTGTGTTCAGGTTGAAGTGGGCAATTGGATAGGATATATAGATGTGTAAGCAAAACAAAATTATTTATGCTGTATGCCTTCCAGTAAGATCATCCAAAATTCTACCATCTTAATGTGTGTAATCAAATTCCTATATGCATTGCTGGAATCATGTGACACTTCTATGTATGTAGAAAAAATTGACGCATGAATGGTACTCACTAAACCGGGTTGGGGCAAGGTCAGTCAGAGTTGCAGAGTTTTCCCCACTCTGTCCGTATCAAAGCAATAAGTATAAAGATCCTTCGTTCGTGAAATCCCAAAACAGCAGTTCATTTGGAACCTACAAGCAACATTTTAGCCCAAACACAGGCTTTTCTCAAGCCTCAGATATATCAATAAAAAATACTCTTTTGGGATTTTGAGTGCAGGAACGTTTTGTATTGATGTGAAATGAAAATGGCATGAGGTACCAGAGTATGAAGTTAATACACATTTCAGGAAAACTTAATTTCTGTAGTGCTCTGGAACACTGTAGTTGAGTGCATGTTTCAGTCGTTTGGTATTACTGTTAATAAACATATCTTGCTCAATTCTAGAAAATATATTTGAAAGAACAGTTGCATGAAACTTCCTGTCTGTGCCTTTTCATAATTGAGTTGTAATGTTTTGGTGTCAATTGCAATGTATTAAAGAAACTACTTCCATGTGTTTGGTTCAGTAGTAATTTTTATGTGAAATTTGATTTTTCTCCAGGCATTTAAAGGGATTCTGTAGTGTTAGGAATACAGATCTGTATACCAAACACTAGTGCCCTCTGGACCCACCACCCAGCAGATAAAGGGTTAATAAAAACACTTTACTGACTCACCCAATTTCAGCGCCAATATCTCTCGGCACTGGGTCAGCGCTCAAACTCCAGTCATCCAGCGAGGGGGCCTAATGTGCATTTGCTGCTATCGCATTAGGCCCTCCCTATAGGAGAGCATTGACTCAATGCTTTCCTATGGGGGTTTCATTGACTCTGCCCACATGCAGTGCATGCAGCATCGCTTAAGGAACTCTAAGTTCCTTAGCATCCCAGAAGCGTCTCTAGTGGCTGTCTGATCGTCAGCCACTGGCGCAACAGGCAAAAAGTGGGACAGAGACACTGCACCTAGATCACGTCAATGAGACTTCTTGGACTTGTAGTTTAGCATGTGGCTTTCTATGTTAAGCTATTTAACTTAAACTCCCAGAGACATGTGCTATACCTATAAAGCATGTCTTATGAGAATTATGATAAAGATGAACTTCCTAGTCTGCTCTGATTAGAGGTGTAAGTATTGGGAAAAGCAGAAACCTTTTTGTTTTTATGTAGTTTTTATTTGATGATTGTGGTTATTTTGGTGTATTGCCCTGTCTACTACTGTTCATTATTGAGATATATAGGTATATATGCCAATTTTTAACTTTTTTTTTTTTTTTTGCAGGACTTGCCAGATATATGTACAAATAAACTGTTCTAAAATAAATCCATTGTGGAGTTTTTCTTGGGGCCAAATTATGGATGTTTGATATTTGCCAAAAAGATTGGCTGTGTACACACCTGATATTGCTAGAAAATGGCTTTCATCAATGTAAATAGTAAGTGTCTAGGTTATGTTGTCAATTTGAATAGATGTGACTTAGACTCTCTCGTGTTTGTTGGTTTAGTAAGATGGTCACTATACTAGTACTGTTTGAGTACGGTTTCAAGGATCCCTATAGGGTCAGGAACACAAACATGTACTCCTGACCCTATAGTGTTAACACCGCTATCTGGGCCCCTCATAAATATAGCAAAATCTTACTGTATTCAAGCATGAAGCTATAACTCTGCATGCTGTGAGTCTCCGAAAACCAAGCAATCGGCTGACATCATCAGAAGTGGTAGAGAAAAAGGGGTAGGGTCGCATTCAGCCCAGGGTGCTACTGAGTATGTGTCAGCAAAAAAAAACAAAGAATATATATACAAATAGAAAAATCTCAGGCACTTTATCAAGCTTGATAAAGACCTTTAACAGGTCGAAACAGTGCAATAAATCTGCCTGCATACAATTCACAGTGAGTGCCTGAGATTTTTCTATTTGTATCATCAGAAGTGGTAGCCTGATCCAATCACAATGCTTCCCCATAGGATTGGCTGAGACTGACAGAGGCAGATCAGGGGCAGAGCCAGCACAATTCAAACACAGCCCTGGCCAATCAGCATCTCCTAAAAGAGATGAATTAAATCAATGAATCTCTGAGGAATGTTCAGTGTCTGCATGCAGAGGGAGGAGATACTGACTGTTTGGATGCATTTTAGGCAGCCATGACCCAGGAAGGATCTCTAACAGCCATCTGAGGAGTTGCCAGTGAAGTTATCAATAGGCTGTAATGTAAACACTGCATTTTCTCTGAAAAGACCGTGTTTACAGCAAAAAGCCTGAAGGGAATGATTCTACTCACCAGAACACTTCCAATAAACTGTAGTGGTTCTGGTGACTAGTGTCCCTTTAAGGCTCACTGGTTTATTCACTAAAGTGAGAATTGTCAGAAATTTTAAGACTTTCAAATTTAAAGGTCAAAATAGCCGAATTTGAAATTTCTCCAAGTCGGATATGCTTTGTTTGCCTACTTTGGTTTACGATTGAAAATTCACTTTGAATTCCTGACTGGTGAACAGCCCTGTCAAAAACAAGTAAGGCACATTTCTATCCTTCTCTAAGCTGCTATGCTGACATTATACAAATATGTAAAGAAGCAAAAATCACTTTGTTCCTTAGCTGCAATATACAATGAACATTAAGGCAAGTCATTTAATCAATGGCAAAAGATTCCACTACCAGCAGTGGTTTAAATGTCTAATAATGCTATGCCTAGAGTTGTTTAGAGCATGCTACCGCAGCCCGGTGTGAATTGGCTCTAGTGATGCAAGCCAGCTAAAACTTGTTTGGTTGAGCGGAAATTACATTTTTGTCCCTTCTGTTTTACACTCTCCTTTGGCTAGACTGTCAGATTTGTCTACCATTTTTCAATTGCATACATTAACAAATACACTGGCTTTACAGGGAAGGGATCATTTCTGCAGCTGTAGGCTTCCTTTTTTTTTTTTTTATTTACAGAATGACTGACTTATTTATATAAAGTCCAAATAATTTAATTTGCAAGCTCTATATTTGACTGGGTAACTTTCTAAAACCACACAATCTGTACATAAGGGGTACTGTTCTACTCCTGACACATCACTGAACATAGTGTTTTAGAGCAGTAAAATGCAAAAAAATAAAGCATGAGCACTACCTTTGTGTAAAATAGACAAACCCCAGTAGTGATACGATCAATATAATGGTATAGTGCTGGCTATACTCTGTATATGTAAACCAACTTATTCTTTACATGTCATTTCCGCAAACTACACTGTATAGGCAATAATAAACGTGTATATAGTGTAGAAGATTACCTCTAATAAACATATGTATATATAAAAATATCTGTCTCAGATCCTAATGTTCGTAATGGGAGATATCCTTGGTCCTCCTTTATTTAATAGTTCAGTTGATAAGGCCCAAAATAAAAAAAACACAGAGGAATGATACAACTAGATAGTATGACCTTTTAAAAATATAAATCAGTTAAACACTTTAAAACCCGTATCTATCAAGCCTTCATATCAATACATTCATAACCTGAGAAGTACAGGGCAAGCAATCAGCCCAGACTTCAACAAACTTACAGATTTAATGCTGACAGTTTTTTTTCTTGTTCATTGCATCCGTATGCATTAAAATGTATATATTTTTTTTTTTTTTTAGTCAATCCTGTGTATATGGATATAGTGGCATTTGTCTAATATAGATGTGCAGAGTACCCGATGTTATAATTATCCGTACTTGGTATTTTCCGTTTGTGTCTTTGGCGTCTGTCCGTTATGCCGGGGAGCTGTAAAACGGGTGCTCATTAAGCCAAAATACCACGGAAACTACAGTTTTTGATCGCTCCTACTACATATAGTAGTCATCTAAGTTGAAAAAAGGCTAAAGTCCATCAAGTTCAACTGTGCGTGTGTTTACTAACAAAACCAACATTTTTATTTTTTTTTTTTAACATCCAGGGTACTCTTGCCCTTAAGAGCTAAATCAAACCAAAAAGTAAACAACCTGCTCCTTTATGCGAGACTAGATAGAGGTATTTCCTTTATAATAGTACTGGTCAGCTAAGCTAATGCCCAGCCAGTCACACAACAATAAACCGCACAAAGTGTCTTACCGCTCAGTTTCATACTCTTTCTGTTCTCCGCAGCCAGCTGAAAAACAGGAAATACCAAGCACCGATAGATTATAACATCGGGTACTTTGCACATCCATATTGCACAAATGCACCTATATCCATATACCAAGGATTGATTACAAAATATATGTATTTTAATGCATAAGGACGCAACTAACCAAAAAAAAAAAAAAGTTTGTTGAAGTCTGGGCTGATCGCCGTTAGAGTAAAGTTCGGGTTTGTGCCGAACATTACGATTGTTTGACCCCGAACCTGAGCCCGGATATTTCAGTAACAGTTCGGTGTTCGGCAATTTAATGGCGCGTTTTGAAAAGCTGCAGGGCAGCCAATCAACAAGCGTTTGACTTGTGTGCCTACTAATGGCATGGCTGTGATTGGCATGTGACCCAGCCTCTATATAAGCTAGTAGGGGCATGTCTAATAAACAGTCTTTTGAAACCGGGGCCCCCCTCCCGAGCCACCACTCGTGACATGCGAGTGGGGGCTTTTTTTTTTAATCTAAAGGGGGTACCTATTGCCCCCCGGCCCCCACCAATCTTTACTTCGTATTAGTAAATTTGGCTGAAAGACCAATTCAGGTCTTTTAGTAGATAGCTCTCTAATACCATGGGAATTAGGGAGTTATCTACTTATGCATTCCTGTCATTACATTGACTGGCCAAGTAACTTACATTTTATATGAATGTGTGTTACTTGATTGTTGTTCGTGTTGCAAATGCTTACAACTGAATCCTGGCTATGTTTGTATACTTTTTATTTAAAATTGTATACAGTGTAACCTCCTTCCACTGGGTAAGTATATTAGTACTTAGGCCAGGGGTAGGCAACCTACGGCACTCGAGGTGTCCTTGCACGGCCCTCAAGGCTGCTAGAGCCAAATAGGCTCTGACCTACCAGTAAAACTTCAGATATCTGCTAATACGAAGAGGTGGTGAAGGACCATCCTCAATTTATGCATTGCAGCACGTAGAGGCAGTGATCTCAGCACTTGTGAATGGGAATCCACATTGTAGTAGAGCAGCCTGCAGCTGCTGTTGCAGCTACGGTCCTTGACCTGGTCCCCACTGGAACCCAGGGAAGCCACCCACACGGCTAGATATACACAGAAATGCACAATAACCCTCCCCTCATACAAATAATACGAACAGCCCACAAACAAACATACACACAATCTGCACAAACGTAACCCGCTAACAACCCCACATGCAGCCTCTCACATGCAATACCCTAAACAGCCCCACACATACACACACTATCAAACACACAATGTGACATTTCCATTCACACACACAATTGCAGCCCTCAAACACAGCCCACATTCATAGGTCTCATACACAATACCATAAACTTCTAATGAATATATACAATATAATAGCTCATATACGCACAAATGCAACAATACAAAGCAATTACAGTAAAAACTAGAAAAGCTACAATTTCTGGGAAAATTGTGTGAAGTGTTCTTGCCTCCACCAGTAGTCTACAACTAGGGATTGAGCGATTATCGGTTTTGCCGATATTCCGTATTTTCGGCAATATCGGTATTGGCCACTTAAGATACCGATATTGGTAGAGTGAGAACTGCATTTTAACTTTTATTTATATAGCACATTTAATTGCAATATTGTTGCCCAAAGTGCTTCACAGTTACATTAAAACATACATTTATAAAAACATTAGCAGGTGTACAAAAGGCCCTGTCTATGATATCACTTGCTGCTCCAGCTTGGCACAGGTAGAGTATTTTGGCGGTTGCCATCTTCAAACGGTCGTATTTTAAAAACTATAAATCCTACAACGAAGAGCTTTATATTGTGAGAATCACAAGACCCAGACCTACATTTTGATGCATAGTATGTCTCTATTAACAATGAAGGCACAGTCGCAGTTTAGAAAGTGCTCTTCAAGTTTGAGCTGGCTAGAGAGGAGTTTCAATGAATGTCAATGGACGGCGTGAGTTGCAAACAAATGGTCATATTGTGAAAACTATCAGGACTATGGCTTAGCCGTGGACATGTTTAGTGGCAGCAGGGATAGCTGAACATTTTGATATAAGATTTGTGTATTTGGGCTTGAAAATGAGGGAGTGGTGGCAGTTTAGAAATCGTGTCTGGATTTTTCAGCTTTTGCCAGGTCCCACTCTAGTTTTGAACATTTTGACATTCATTCCTATGGGACCAATTTCGCCAAGAACAACGATATTCCGTGAACCATTCGGTGAAATGTTCCACAAGTAATAGCAATCCAATCGGGAGCAATCCGCACGTTTCGGTATATTACGGTCTCTGTAGTGTAAAAACTGTGGGAGGAGTTAGGGTGGTAAATTTGGCTATAATAAGAATAATAATATATATGAGAGATAACATTAAGTGGTCTTGCTATGCAAGAATACTTAACTCATGCAATAGAGGGCAACATACACACCTCAATTTAAAAAAATAGGACCGACACGCTAAGGGACAATCTTATATCGGCACAGTGCTGCTAAAAGGTTGCCTACCTCTGACTTAGGCAATACATTTTACTTCCTTTTGCATCCCTCTAGCCCTTTCCAGGACTTTTTTAGAGCCATTTTAGTGCTCAAAATTTGGGTCCCCATTGACTTCAATGGGGTTATGGGTCAAGTTCGAGTCCTGAACTCGAACTTTTTGCCGAAGTTTGGCCGAACCCGAACATCCAGGTGTACGATCAACTCTACATACTTCTCATCTTATGAATGTATTGATATGCAGGGTTGTTAGGTACATGTTTTAAAGTGTTTGATTTATTTTAATAAAAGCTCATACTATCTGGTTGTATCATTCATCTTTGTGCTTTTATTTTGGGTCTTATCAACTCAACACTAACTTTGGCCAGGGTTTGTGACTAAGTGGCTACTAAACAATACTGGGCATACGCCATTTTGAATGCATTTTCAAAAGTAATGCCATGATCAGGGTAATTCTTATTCCTGGTCTGCTAAAGGCACCATAGGCCCAGCAAATCCAAAAACTGTGCAGGCAGTGAGTGGGTCAGCGCGACCAACACTTAAACCCTGATCCATAGTATTAATAGTAGTCACCATGGAAAACAGCAGGCACATTGAATTGAGGACTGGCCGTTTATCAATTTTCACTTCTCAGGGATATATACACCCCAATATTGTATAGTTTCTGCCTCCCCCTAAAGCCAAATGCAGTTTTAAAGATATCCCCCTGCCAAGCTATTAAGGGCAGCTAAGCCAACAGAAGGCCCTTTCCTTTCATTTGCCAAAGAGCTCACTCACAGGCCCAGCAAACCTAAACAATGCCAGAAGAGACCTTGCCAGCCACTGGTTTGCACCCACATCCACTGGGTGCAGGCAGTGTGAATTTGTTTTCTGGGCTGTAGTCAAAGCAATGCTATGATAGCGAGTGCCTCAGCTCACAAGAGGTACTCATGGTCTGCACCTGGCAGGGGGGCGCGGAAGGGTAGAGGTTATTTTTATAGATTTGTTAAATAAGTAAAACCCCTATCCCACCCCAATACATACACTATACCCATAATGTAACTTCACTCCCTCTACAGTCCCTAGCCACTTGCAGTACATTATAAAACAGACCCCTTCATACACACACACACACTACACCTCAAACAGTACCTTCTATACATACACACACACATCCCCCTTATCTGCCTTGTTCCATTGTCTTCTGGCATTGCATTTAGGAAGACAGTAACCAGCAAATGCAGCGCATAGAATTTGTTTGAACTGTACAAAACACAGGTCATGTTTTTCCCATCTAAGAGCACATCAGCAGGATTATGTGCACAGCAGGCCCGGGAAGTAATCAAACTCATCATCAGCGATGCCTTCTCTCGGGTTACTCTGCCTTTAAACACCTGTTGCCAAATTTGTGTCCCAATCCAGCCTTTCTAATGAAGAGCTCTGTTAGTCATTGTGGCCAGGAAGACACTGTAATCCAGTTCTCAGAATTCATCAACAGTCCAAGGTTTGTCATTATCTGCCCTACTGGAACACATTTGGTAAATTTGTCTAAATCCTGGATGTCTTGAGTATGGAAATAAGTAACGGACACACTATGACATTGTCAAGAAAACATTACTTCAATCACATATGTAAGAATTTCAAATTTATGGTTTTAGATACAGTATGTACAAAAAATAAATAAAAACAAAACAGCAAATGCAGAGAGCAGATAATTTTCAGATACACAAGTGTATACAGAATTGCTTCTCTATGGCTCTTCATTCCTTTTTTTCCGTTTTGCAGCCACCTCTTCCACCTCACTTCTGTATTGGTGTCTGTAGGAAAGATTGAGATTTTTGGACTCCGTGCAATAATGAAATAGCAAAAATAATTTCTTAAAGAACAGGTTCCTTTACTTTTTACAATGTGTTAAAGACCAGGTCAGTTTTCTATAGACTAACAGACTAACTCACTGCTGCTTTCAAAGTGAGTACTACACTTAGCCCTTTAAATGCCACCATAGCACAAATGCGCTGCAACGGTAGATTTAAATTTGCTTTTGCTCCTACAGAAAGGGGAAAAACTGAGGTAGAATGGATGGCCAAAAAAAAAAAAAAAAAAGCTTAGGTCACAAATGTGTTGCAGCTCAAAAAAGCCTTGGTCCTTAAAAGATTAAGATCTCTGTAATGCTAAGCACTATTTTTGATTATGGTCAAGTTGTTTTGGAGCAAGACAAAAACTTGCAGGATTGAATGATATAAAAAAAAAATTTTTTTTTTTTTTTTTTTAAAGGCATGCAACAGTGGTTGTAATAGTAAACGCTTTAGGAAAAGAGACATTTGTTGAGCTGGAGAAGTCATAGTTGGTGCAGAATGTAGATCCACATTCTAACGCATATATCTTACATAAGGAACCATCTCTGACCATGCTCGACAAGTACATTAAGCTACACCACATTTGCTTAGTTTCATTTTATCATACCAACTCACCCCTTACTTCAAATGGTAATTTTTTTTCCCCCCTCCCTTTTTCAAAAATGTACCTTTCCTTGCATAACAGAATTGATTGCACCAACTACTCGTATAGGTCCGCATTCTACTGCCAAAACAGCTAGGATGCATTGAGGCAGGGTCTCTACAAGACCTCTGAATGTGCCCTGTGGTACCTGGCACCAAGACATTTCTTTTTCCAGCACATCCCTCAGATTCTCAATCAGATTGAGAACTGAGAGGCCATGGCAACATCTTGAACTCTACCATGTTTCTCAAACCATTTCTGAACATTTTTTTGCAGTGTTGATTATCCTGCTGAATGAACAGTACCATCAGGGAAAACCATTGCCATCAAGGGGTGTACGTTGTCGGTGTTCAAGAAACATCCACATGAATGCCAGGACCCAAGGTTTCCTAAAGCACAGCATGGTCTCTGCTGGTCTGCTTTCCTCCCAAGTAAATAACGCACCTGCATCCAGCCATCCAACTAATCTAAAAGAACGTGATTCACCAGACCAGTCAACATTCTTCCATTGCTCCATGGTCCACTTCCAACACCCACGTCCCCATTGAAAGTGCATTTTCGTTGGTGGACAGGGGGTCATCACGGGCACTCTGACCAGTCTGTGGCTACACAGCCCCATATGCAGCAACCTGTGATGCACTGTGTAATGACACCTTTCTATCGTGACCTTAAGGTTTTGAGCAATCTGAGCTAAAGTAGCTTTTTTGTGTTCAGACCAGGTGGGCTAGCCTTCACTCCCAACTTGCATCAATAAGCCTTGGAAGCCCATACACTCTTACCAAAAACAGTGCTTTCTGAAAACATTAATTTTTGGGTTGGTAGAACTAGTGTGAACAATATGCAGAATCCCTGTACAGAGCAGGATAGTGCAGGGCCATTCGCAGTTTAGTGAATAACCCTGTGAGTAAATCAAAACGAGCAAGGAACTTGGCCATGAAGCAGGCAATACCAACATGTGATGCTTGCATTGCTTCCATACGTACCGAGACTGCCACCTTCTTCCACTATTCCACACTCTGCCAAAGGAAGGAAGCCAACCCTCATCTGTGGGAGTGCTGTGGTCAAAGTTTGCTCCTACTCTGTTTGGAGGAAGTTTTTTCAGATTCATCTTCTCCTCTGTGGGGGGAAAATAATGAAACTTAGAGAAGTCCAGCAACAGCAATTCAGTTTAAAGTGACTTACAGACATCTAGAAAACATCTCAATGAAGATATCTAGGTGCAGTGTCCCAGTCTTTTTAACCCTGTAACTGAAAACATTGAGGTTTTTCACAAAAAATATATAAAGTAAAAAGTGGTGCAGAGCAATTCACAGTGCAAATATTAGAATTAAAACAACTGTGCCATTCATCATTTGCAGCAACCAAATTAAAAACCCTGGTAAACAATTCCCAATTACTAATAGTACAAAAATATAGTGCGCAATTAAAAATATGTGCTCTTGGATTTTTAAAACTGAAAAATTCCACTCAATAAAAATACAAACAAGTGTAAAATCAATATACCTCATGCACAATGACAGCACACATTCTTAATTCCTTTACTTTCCTAAACACTTTACCCAGTCATCTTCTGGGATTTTTAGTCCTACAGAGATTTTTATTTGGTTTAAGATGGTCTTAATATACTGCACTAGATCTGTCTCTTAAGTTTGTTTAATACAGACCCTCTGGACACACATTATGAATTCTTATGCAATTATAAATGAAAATTATTTGGCACATATACACAAGGGTATTTGCACTAATTCTGTTTATTTGAAACTATATTACATATGTTCTTCGCGGTTTTGCACAGTTGAGGATTAAGAATTTGTGTTCTCATTGTGCCTGAGGTATCAATATACCGGTCTGTATAATTTTTAATAAGAGGTATTTAAAACACTGAAGAGCACATAATTCAATAGATTACGCACCAATTCTTTGTACGGAAAGGAATCTATTTTTTTTTTTTAGGAAGGTTTAATTGCAAGGTTAACATTCGTCTAGTGGCTATCTTCCTGACAGCTACTTAGAGGTACTTCAGCAGCTATTACAGAGTTAAACTTATATATAGCATTTTGTTGCACATGAGCACTAGCCTCTCAATGCTTTCCTATGTAGTAGCATTGGCTGAGGTCTTCAGTCTTTATGATCTCAGCCAGGAAGGTGGATTGGCAGCAAGGAAACCAGCATGCCTTGGGATGTAATGCAAGTAAAATCTTACCTTTTTAACCCTTGTAAGTAGGTTAATACACCAATTACAGCTTGGTAGAGTAAATTAGTATAGGGTCTCCAGGGAGGCATTGTTGCACACCATGCCAAATAAATTAAATAGTATATTGTAGGGTTGTGTGTTCCCCAATGACTTACTATGTTTCAGGAAATCTGCATGTGATGGCCCAATTTCTTTCTGTTCTTTTGACTCATTTGCATCTGGTATCATCCAGGGGGGAATAGCACCTGTAAGCGTAAAGATCCAAGAAAATGGTAATTTGCCTAGAGGAGTGTATCAATCCTATTTTGTAAAACAATACTATAACGGGTAACTCCAAACAAGAACTTACAGAAGCAGATGTTTGAAAATTCACTGATTAGGCTTCTAAAGAAGCCTTTTAGCATATACATATAGAGGTCTGCTTACCTGTATGTACATTTCCTACTGAAGACGTCACCTGGGGAGCAAAAATAACCAATGGATAAATAAAAAAAGTCGATAAATAAATAATATATATATATATATATATATAACCAAAACCAACTCCATTCACTATATTTTACGTATTCGATAGCTAGTTGGCAGCTGTTCCATTACAAACCCTAGAGGGGGTTTTAAATGTATCCAAAAACTCATTTGTACACAAGTTAGCAGTCTAGTCTCCAAAGCAGTAAGAGATAAAATCCCTAAGCACAAAACTTGAAAAATATCACACTGAGCACCAGTTAGCATACAACACTACAGCATATAACAAACACTGTCTGCTCCCACGGAAACCCCAATAAGACTGCATGCTGGGTTATTAAATTTTATACAGACTGGTGCCTTTCTGGGATTTACAATTTGTTTAGCATCTTTAATGAGTTTTACGCATGTCATCATGCTACAAAAATTTGTACGAAGTTAGAGCTAAAAGAGCTAACTTGCATATTTTCTAAAAATAAATACGTATATAAAATCAATAAAGATAAAAAAAAAAGTATTACGACAAAATCAGAGTTTCTCTTAAATAAATAAATACGGTTACCAGGTGACCAATATATGTCAGAGGTGTTCTTGTTGAATTGGAAGCCATGAAATGGATTCCACTAGGACCAGGCTCTTCTGAATCCAGATCTACAGTTTCCCTAGTTCAAAAAAATAAATAAAACATTTTTGGACTGTGCAGCACAGAATGTTAAGAGCGCACACGAAGTTCCTTAGTTTGCAGCATCTACCTTTTCTATTCCATTTTTTCCACTTTGTTGATTCCCAATAGAAGATAGGCAAGCATGACCAGTTGTGTTACTCTGAGCCCATACCGTAGGCTATTGAAAATTAAGCAATACTTTATGAATAATTCCATTTTGATTTGTTATTTCTAAATAAATTAAAATATACATAGTTCTGGCCATATGGCTAGTCAATATCCCATTGTACAGCGCTACAGAACTTGCTGGCGCTATATAAATAATAAACAAATGGATTCACTTAAAATGACACTGCATCCTTACTATGCTCATAAAAACAGGTGGAATTTCATTTAAATTCCAATGAAGCCAAACAACAAGACAAAGTTAGGACTACTTATGTTATGGTAAAGCCTCAAACTGACAAAACAGCAGAGCTTACGCGGTTTTGCTCAGTAATTCCCCCAGCCATTGCTAACAACAACTTTTGGAAGAAGGCATTGTCTTAGAGTCTTCACACATCAGTATTGTACTCTTGATGAAGCGCCAGGAGTGGAAGACTGCATGGGACAGCATCTGGGAAGTATAAATAACCCATGTCTCCACACCCTGAGAGGCAGTTTTACCATCGGAGGACTAAAAAAATAAAAATAAAATAATATTCAGAGATCCCAGAAGGTGACAGAAACATTTAATGAAGTTTTGGTGTACATACCCGGTTCCTTTTCTCTGGCAATGTAAATCATTGTGGCTTTAGAGAAACCACAATGCTTACATCGGCCAGATAACACAATTCTAGTTGCAGTCATAACAGCAGCAATGGAGAGGCACTTGCATGAAAACCTTTGAGAATTAATTCCAAGTAACAACTATGTTCAATGCTTCTCTAGGAAAAGCATTTGATCGGCAAAGCATGGAAACAGGTCCCCAATGTTGATCTCAGAACAGGCAGAGCAGACAATGATTGGAGACGGTCTAGGCCTAAGATTACATGTAAATTAAACAGCATTTCTTCTAATTTTGAAAGTGGAGGTGCATAATATAAATGCATAAAAGGAACACACTAAAGTTAGAAATATAAAAAACAAATATTAATTTAGAATATTTCCATATACTCAATGTATAGCAAGCATACTTTGAATTGCCACAATCTAGCAGTTATTCAGTGAGAAGGCATGAGCTTTGGGACTGCATCACGATATTCATATAAAACAAACTAAATGTTGCGGAAAGCATGCAATGTCAGCAACCGATCAGATATAGCAGTGTATAATAAAACAGTAATAATTTAGACTTGACACTACATTTCTGTTATTTGGCAGAATACTTGTGTACAGGCAGTCTCATACTCAATATTTAGTGTTGGTAGTGGTCATTACACATAATTAATGAGTTGGGGTGCATACACAATCACTGGCATTACGTGCAGCTGACATCTTTCAGGAATGAGAAACACCATCCATATATATATTTAAGTATATATATATTTTTTTAATTCTAAGCACAATACAGCAAAATTAGGAAATTTTAAATCGCACATACGCTCATATCAAATTCCCCAATTAGATGCCTGACAGTTATACAAGTGTGCCGCAGTTATTAGTGTGTTTTATACTGCACTCTTCATCTCATTACACACTTCAACAACATTTACTCTGCTGGGTAAAATGAGAAACTCACTAGCAGCCCTCCTGCCCAGTCCTCTACCCCCCTTACCAGGAAACAACAAAGCAGGCTGTAATTGTTATGAACCTTTTAAATCTCATCTTTGAAACATTGGATCAGGACCACCACAGTCCTGCTCTCTGTACCTATTGCTTCCATGCATTCACTTTAGTCTCCATTGAATATTCAAATAACAATGTGACATCACAAATGTTTACCATAAAAGATGCTCTTTAACAAGTTATGTGTATGGAGTAAGAAATATACAAAGGAAGAGGGGTTTGAACCAGTATAACAAGAGGGGGGGAAGTACACATATAGTAAAAAAAATAAAATAAAAAAAAAATAAAAAAAAAAGGTAAACTGCAAATTCTAGAGATTCTTAAGATTCTTTACATGCATCAAAATACGTATTAAAAGGAACACTAGAAATTAATTTTTATGCCATATAAGATCTAGAACAGAAGTGATATTAGCACAGTGTTATCCCACCCAGAGTTAAGCTTTTTTTTTTTTTTTTAAGTTACAAAAAAAGGTTTATATCCCTCACACGAAGGGAAATCTGTATATTTAGTAACTGTCTGAAAAGTTTCAGTGTAGGAGTGTGCCTAGATGTGTTGCATTCTCACATGCCTGTGTTAGCTTGATTGTATTATAGGTTTGTTTATTTTGCAGTTATAGTGACAGAAAGCATTAAAGTCTCCTTACCTGTACACAACGCCTTCTTGGTTGCTCCAGGACACTTTTCTCTCTTCTCCAGAATGGCATGCTACAGGCTAGGTGTGATTCAGGAAGTATTAACACTTTATCAAGTTTTTAAAGTTCCCATATTTACACTTTTCTATTGTCACTGGGTTAGGAATGTAATTTGGTTATGTTATAGTTTGAATCTTTTAGGAAGAATTATTCTATGTAGTAGAAGAAGTAAACAGATAATGAAGAAAAAAAAAAAAAAAAGGCAGAAAATATGAAAAGGAATGTTTCTGATAGGGTAGTGGATGCATGAAATAGCCTTCCAGTTGAAGTGGTAGAGGTTAACACAGTAAACAAGTTTAAGCATGCGTGGGATAGGCTATCCTAACTATAAGATAAGCCGGGGACTAATGGAAGTATTTCGAAAATTGGGCAGACTAGATGGGCCGAATTGTTCTTATCTGCTGCTACATTCTAAGTTTCTATGTTTTAAAACATTGGTGGGAATATGGAGTTTATATTGTGTATGTAGATTCATTTGTGAATAAATTACATTTTTTGTGGGTTTAAAACAGGATCAAAGTAGTGTTAATCTGATTTCTCCAATGCTGTGCAGGTCTCTGAGGTACAATGGATTAGCATTTGGGGTATTAGATGCAGTCTGTACTGCAAGTCAAATGGTGAATTATTACTCTCTCCCCAGAATGCAGTAGTTGCCAAATTAAACATCAAGAGGTTAGCCAAAACACAATTCTAAATATGGGCTTCGTTGGAAAAGACACCCATTCAGTAGAACTGTGGTGATGGATGATACAGTAATGGATTATTGTGCAGAAAATAACATTATGGTGAGAGCACTCAATACATGCAAATACAATAATTTACCAGAACTTGTTTGATTGAAATATCTAAAAACATAAAACATAGGGTAATATTGTTTAAAATATGTGCAAATGTTTTCATGTGACTGGTTAAACTCACATATTTCTGAGTCACTTAAAAAGCTGACTCAGACTTAGGGCTTGTATGGAGATGAGAATTTTTCAATTCTGGACGTCCTGTATCAATCCCAATGAATCCGCACTGGAAGCACTTCTTTAAAATCACTCCAAAAGGCAGGATCCAATACAATCTAATTTTATTGTTAAAAAAAATAACTACATATAATAGATACAAGTAAAATGTCCTTATAATATACCACGACGCGTTTCGGCAGTATCAGCCTTTCTCAAGTGCTTCCAGTGCGGATTCATTGGGATTGATACAGGACGTCCAGAATTGAAAAATTCTCATCTCCATACAAGCCCTAAGTCTGAGTCAGCTTTTTAAGTGACTCAGAAATATGTGAGTTTAACCAGTCACATGAAAACATTTGCACATATTTTAAACAATATTACCCTATGTTTTTGTGTTTTATGTTTTTAGATATTTCAATCAAACAAGTTCTGGTAAAATATTGTATTTGCATGTATTGAGTGCTCTCACCATAATTTTATTTTCTGCACTATATTGAGTTTTGGTGTGTTGGAGTGATTCACACTATGTGATAGTAGCACCACATTTATACTCTGTTTCCCTTATAACCCCACTTTTTTGTATAGTAATGGATTATTGCATATAAACTGTATTGCACGTAGCAAATGCAAAGCCACTAGTTTGCCAGGGGACACAGTATGCTATGTGTGAAAAATGCAGTTATTTTAAAAAGTGTATTATAAACCAATTTATAAACTGCTGTATCAGACTACTACATGCATCTTTTCTTACAACAGATTTCTGTACCGCCATCAAGTGCAAAAACATACAGATATATAAATACACACATATATACACACACACAAAAAAAAACCTGGCCTGCATCATGTGGTACATGACCAGAAACCATTTGGTATGGATACTGTTTGATGGAGATCTGGAAACAAACCTCTAGAGCACTGTGAAGCATTTCCAGACGGTTCTGTTCTGCCTCTCGGATCTGTGCAGCAAGCTGATGGAGAAAAGGTAGAAATAAGCAAGTGTGCAAAGCATCAAATCACTCTAATACATTCAACACTAACACACACACACCTCTTTCATAAGATGATCTTCTGTTTCCTCATAGTTTTCCAAAGCCTTGATGACGGATGACTTGAACCTACCATAGAGAGGCAGTAAATTACCTTGTTTATGAGCAAAATAAATAAAATTGACGACTCACAGTCTACAGTTGCAGAAGATTTAGTATTATTCCATAGTTTAGGATCATATAGTGACACAAAATGGAGATATGAGAAATATTCTATTTAAGAAACAAAATTATATTAACAATGTAAGCCTGGTCTGTCCTACTCTTGTGCTCAAACTACCAGATTGCAACCTGCCATAAAACTATGGTAAATGTAGTTAAAAATAAGCCAAAGCGCCAAGGTTGGACATTTCTGATCAGCAAAAAGTAGAAGGTTCTTGTAATTTGTCAATTGACAGAATGTTTTGGCTGAACACCAATGAGGGTACAATATTAGTTATTTGTTGAATGGAATATCTCTACTAATTGTTCTTGGATTATCAATTGCCTACATCAGTTGGAATACCCAACAGACAGCTGTTTGGCTATTTATTTATTGTATACATTTTTAATGCTGTTAAGTCATTCTACATTCCATTTGATATTACCAGGGCCTCATGAGAGTGCTAGTGAACAATAAATGATGGCTACAATTAGGCTATCACAGACACTAACCTTTCATACTCTTCTGGTGTAAGAGTAAACTGTGGCTTCAACTTCACATCTGCTTGTTGTGTCCACCAGAATTTGTTCACAGCTTTCCGGTGTTCTGGACTGTAAGAAACAAAAATAAATTTTCATTTCATTCTGTCTAGACAAATACATTTGTCTCTGGTGCGGTTTGCACATTTCTTTTAGGAGGGTTACTCCAAACACATGACCATCTCAGAGTAAGTCCATCTCTGGCAGCGCATTAGCTAGCCAACATAACACAGAAGCTCTTGTTCATTGCTGGCTAATGATGTGCCAGTGACGATGCAGGAGGTGGAATTACACCTCAGAGGCAAAGGGATTAACGTGAGTATGTGCATCATTACATAGCAAGATGCTGCACACACAGACTCTATGCACCATGACCACTTAAGTTCACACACGTGGTCACGGTGCTTGGAGTAACCGTTTTAGGTAATACTGTAGTTGAACCTCTGTAAAACATATTCAACTCTACATCAGACAACATGCTGCAGAGACAAGTGCTACTGTTGGTAAATAATGATGCCTTGTATACCTGTGCATATGTTCCAAAAGACTGCCATACAATACAGTTATGCCCCCATCGCTTGTATGTTTCTGCACTTCCTCCTCACAGCAATGGCACCAGAATTTCTTCTCATGCTCCAGAGCATCAAACTTTACAACAGACGCAGTTTTTATCATCTTCCGGGCAGCGGCCACCTAAAAAAAAAAAAAAAGGTAGTCAAAAGGAAAGAATGACATACAAGCCACGGCATAGGTCTGCAATCTTTGGTATTTTGTCCTTGTTTTTATAAACTGACCAATGTTTGGAAAATAAATAAAAATAGTATTTCTAAAACTGAAATTGAGCTGTCAAAAATTATCTAAATGTAGATATACATACTCACCCACTGCTTAATATAACGTATTCACTATGATGTAAGCTTTAGCCTGTTTAAATTTAAAGATGTTCCTACATTGTCTAAGCCTGTTTAAACACCACCAAGTTATTGAGTCTGACTGACAAGCTTCATAATCATTTAACATATAAAATGTGCACGTATTAACATATACCCTATTGTTACCATTATTACTTGAAAAGCATGAGGAATGCCGTTGGGGTACCGCATGCTCATTGTTATACCTCTATGCACTACAAAAATAAAGAATTTTAAAAATATATAGTATTTCTAGAGACAAACATATTATTGAGTTTCTATTACAGATGCTGAGCTATTCTGCCATGTGATAATTCTTTTTTTGGAAGCAAGATAAATCAATATCAGTGACAATCATTACTATATTACTGATTGCCGTTTGCAGTGAGTGTCCCTGATGATATTATATGTTGTGATTACCAGGACAGCCTCCCTGTAACCTGCACATGGGACATTAATCACAATTAAACATTGAGCGGACATACCTTGGCCCCAAATGCCTTTAGGATGGCAGCCAGCCGTTCTCGGTGTCCCTTTTCGTAAACATGTTTCCTTCTACCGGAGAAGACAGTCCGTTGGCAAACATTGCACCGATACACCGCCATCTCGCTGCCAGCACCGCCGTCTGTGTGATCCTGTCTGGGAGGACAACCTAAATCTACTTCCGTAAACAGACGGCGTGTGACGTAATGACGCACGCGGTTCCCCACCCCCCTGTGGCCAGTTGTGCGAATTACATCCATGGCATTGGGTGATAGTGGAAGATATAGCGTGTATGGGTGGCGAGAGGCATTCTGGGAATTACCACTAGTGAAAGTGTGATAAGTGAAGTTAGTGAAACTTTTATAGGTGAAGGGTTGTGAATGTGTGTGAATGCATGTTAGGGCTGCAGTGAGCCATTAGTTTATGGAGTTCATGAAGCCACAGGAAGGGAGAGATACAACCAGAGGAGGAACTAATTTTATAAGGGCCCTGGTGCTAGACATTTTTTTTTTGCCCCCACCTAGTGCAAGGGTGGACAAATGGTAGATCTCCATCAGCAGTACAACGTCCACAATGCTGTGCCAGCTGGGAATCTACCATTTACCCATCCTTGCAGGTTTGTATTTGTGAACGGTGTTTGTGCGTTTGAATGTAAGCAATTTTTTGTATAGAGTGTGTGTGTGCATGTAGCGGTGTAATTGTATTGGTGTGTAGCGTTTGCGTTTAAATGCAGGGGTGTGTTTGTATGTAGTGTTGGATTTTAAATGCAGGTTTGCATTTGTCTGTAGTATTGATGTTTGAGTGAACTGGTGTGTTTGTATATGGTTTTGGAGTTAGAATGCAGGGGTGTGTTTGTATGTAATGTGTTTGATTTCAGGGATGTGTTTGCATGTTGTCTTGGTGTTTGATTAATGAAATGTATACACTTCCACTTACATACACAGATATACACACATGTATAAACACTGACAGATACACTTACTGACACATACACACACCTTGACATACAGCTACAGATACATACACACGGGCATACAGATACACTCACTGACACATATGCACAAACTGAAACACACTGATATATACACACACTGACATATATATAGGCACACTCAAATTGACACACAGATACACACACACACACACTGCAACACACATAGATACATACACCTTAATTTTTATATTTGCCGCCTCCTTCCTGTTTACATACCTTTTGTGTGCAGGAGTGTGGCTTGCTAGAAGTGAGCAACTCTCTACTTGCTTCTCTCCGACTGCTGCCGCCTCCTCCCTTCCTCCAGTGTGGCACTCTCTATATGTAAATAGGGAGGAAGTTACCAGCACCGACTTCCTTTCAGGCTGCCAACGTGAGAGGAGCGTGGTCGCAATGTTATAGTGCCGCAGCCTCCGACCAGGCCCCTTTTAGCAGTGCATGGGCAACTCAAAGGGCCCTCCCTACGTGCGGGAGCTGGTACAGCTGCACTGGCCGTAGTTCCACCGCTGCATATAACTTTTGTCTTAATAGTTCTTAATACCAGAACACCTGTGTACATTTTATACTGCTTCACCAATGAAATGTGTATAAATGTGCTTTGAGTGAATCACTTCCTTCAGAAATATTATTAATCTGTGCTGGCTTCTTTTTATTTGAAAAATAAAATATTGATTAGGGCTATTCATTTAACTATTGACTGAAGAAAATTAAAGAAATAATTTTAAATTAGAGGCTAAAATAGTCCAGCTGTGCCCATAGCTGAGATGGAGAATAGTTCCACAGCAGATATTTTCGCCCCAGTTTTTGGAATTTAAATGTATTTTCATACTTTGACATTAGCAATGTCAATTTTATGCTTCTTTGGACATTGTTCATTGGATGAGAATGTCAGCTAATGACTGTAGCCATGGAATAATGTCCAGAGTTATCATTAGTTGGTAAGCTGATGGAGACATACAAACTACCTCCTTAGCATGGCGCTACAGATAAATAAACAAAAAAAAACACTGATGGCCAGGTATGTGTCAAACCATTCATACATAGTTTCACACCTTACTTTGAGATGGTTCCAGGGGACTTGTGGCACCATAACCACTTCAATGAGCAGTGGATAGTATGGGGTGCATTTAAAGTGAAACTGTGCAGGAGAAATATACCTGAAATCACTCCCATATACATTGAATACATCATATTTCACAAAGATACATTATGTATTAAATGTAAAATATAGAGATTTACTGACATCTTTTTAATCCAGCACTGTCATCTTTGAGGTTTGTGGGTGTTACTCTTCATGTTACGCCATCATCTGCTCCGCCTCCAGTCTACTTTTTTGCACTGCTTGGGGACACTTCCACTTCTTCCAGACTTCTTAGTGATGCTGGATAGGAGTGGCGTCACGTCACTCTGTTCTTAAATCCACTTATCGGGCGCTAGATGCTGTGGGAAGTCTTGTCTGCTCTCCCTGGTACGTCAATGCCTCTGCATTGTGTTTCTGCCAAGGCGTTGACTAACAACTGCGAGAAAACCCTATTTCTAAATAGGTTTCTTCTCCCAGTCCATACATTTTCTAGCCAAACTGCTAACACAATTATAGATGAAATGTTTTTTTGTAAATCTTGTTTATTGAATCAAAAAGGTCAGCAAGAAATAGGCTCGCTAGTCAGCAGAGGTACAAAGTTAACAATATAAGTCATAAAAAGGAAACAAGCGTGAATGCAATATAACAACGGCATAACAATTCACGTTAGAATCGTAAACTCCTATGACTGGTCAGTATATAAGTCCTGTGTTCCCTTTCCGTGTTTGGAAAGATGTAAGTGAGCTTTGCCCTAGAGTGATGTATCAGTGTATGTGAGTATGTGTGCGTGTGTACTCGTAGAATACAGCAATTCTTGGTGTTAACACAGCGAGAGGACGGGGCCTATCAGCCTCAGATATGATCCGAAGTGTCTAATAATAAATTGTCACCATATAAGGTATAGAGTAGGCTACCTAGTAGCTTATCAGAGTGGAGAGGACCCACAGGTCCTGTTAATAACTCCATATTAGCTCTAGCGAGTGGAGAAAGAGTGGTGAAGTGCGTAATCCTTTCCGTCACGGTGTCATGACTGTAACCTTTTCTGTTCCCTGGGGTGTGTGTTTGAGAGGCTTCTACCTATTTTAGGGTGCTTTGGTGCCCCTTTCCCCATAAATCATTATCTGAGCGCTTATCACTCCGGGGTCCGGAGTGCCCCGCTCACTGCTTACTTGTGCATATACATGCTATATGTAGCCTAATTCATGTTCAAGGCGCCTACCCCTTCTCCATGACAGGTACTTATAGCAGAGCTCGAGTATTGTACACGATTCACTACCCCCACCCTCATCCTGTGTTTAGCTAGTGCGTGTTGTCGTCATTGTTCTGCCGGTAGTAAGTGTCCCTATTATGTCTACTTATGGTGAGCGTATGTCAATCTTATTGTCGTGGGGTCAATGTGGTGAGTTAGGTCTCATCCAGCCTGTCAAGCAGCCAGAATTATAGATGAAATGTTATGCTCATTCAAAAGAGCATACATAAAAAAAGGACTACATGTATGCTTTAAACAGACACAATAGAGTATCTTTACAAAATTGGCAATGTTGGCAAACTGTGAGTGGTATTTATTCACTTAACTGACTACTCCACATATGTGTATCCTACATACTGCACAATAGCACTTTTTATGAAATGTGTAAAACAAAGTGAAATGTGTACAAGAAAACATGTATATCAGGAATCCCTAGTTACACCCAATGTATCTGGGGGTAGATCTGTATAAATGAGATAGCAATCTATTTCAGTGGAATGTAGTTATACAAAGTCTGCTAGAATGTTGGAATATAAACTACGCAATGTTCTCAATGCACAAATATAGCTCATGGAAGAAACTTAAGCCATTAAAGCCAAACCAGTCACCATCTCCATACCTTTGCAATAAGATTAAGCACATAAAACTGTTTGATATTGTATTTTATCACTGATTATGTTGATTAATAAATTTGTAAATAAATGTTTTAAAATGTTAACACAAGTGCTTTGCAGGGTAGTAATAATATGTATGCAATTGCAAATATCCTAAAGTGTTTTAAAATAAGCAAATAGCAGTATGACTGTAATTAATCACAATATTAAGAATTAGCAATTAAAATGGTAAAAGGCAAAACCATAAACCATATAATAAAAAAACAAATTACAAAAGTTCTTATGCGCTATCCCAAATTCCTGTGCACATTTAAATAACTAGAGGTTTTTTAGTATCACTCCAACGTTAAATGATGTGTAAGCTCACCTGCCATGTCATGGCAAATCCTCTTAGGTGAGTCCTACACTAACAATTCACCTTGCTGTCTTCAGCTATAAGGTAAAATCTCTCATTGTGGAGTAGTGGGAGTTTGAGTCCAGGGCTTAATTTTGTATATCTGTGTAAACTATATAATGCTCATCCCCTTATTTGCCCCTCCTTCTTACTTACATATTTCTGAGACTTACACAGTTGTCCTGGGTCCTTTAGCAATTGTATTTATTTTAAATTGTTTATTAGTAATTGGAACCTTTCACTAGAACCTTTTTCAGAGAAAACATAATCGCCCATATCTATCTGACTGTGTGTCTTAAATATTTTTAATCATGTAGTGAACCCATTGGTAATTTTATTAAAGGACCACTATAGGCACCCAGACCACTTCAGCTTAATGAAGTGGTCTGGGAGCCGGGTCAATCATAAACTACTATGTTTACTTTAGGGTTAATCCAGCCTCTAGTGGCTGTCTCACTGACAGCTGCTAGAGATGCTTCTGTGCTTCTCACTGTGATTTTCACAGTGAGAAGACGCCAGCGTCCATAGGAAAGCATTGAGTAATGCTTTCCTATGGACTTGCTGAATGCGCATGCAGCTCTTGCCGCGCATGCGCATTCAGCCAAAGAGGGAGAAGAGTCCCCAGCGCCGAGGGAGTCTGGCGCTGGAGAAAGGTGAGTGTTTAACCCCCTTCCTCCAACTTCAGCCCGGCGGGAGTGGGACCCTGAGGGTGGGGGCACCCTCAGGGCACTAGAGTGCCAGGAAAACGAGTTTGTTTTCCTGGCAGTATAGTGGTTCTTTTAACAGAAACCTACCATCATACTCAATTTACATATCATTATTATTTATAAAGCGCCAACAAATTCTGCAGTGCTGTACAATAGGAAATATATATACAAACAAAAATTTTTCTTTCAAACTGCCCATGTGAATTGTGCTTTCCTTAATTTTCCTCATCCTTCAAACATACAACTGTAACCCCGATTCTGAAAAAGTCCAGCCTTGACCCCAATTCCCCATCAAACTACTGCCCTATCTCGCTACTGCCATTTGCCTTCAAGATCCTCAAGAGAGTTGTGTACACCACATTGACTGACTTTCTCGAATCCATCTCTCTGCTTGACCCCCTTTAGTCTTGATTCTGCGCTGGTCATACTATTGAAATGGCTGTGACTGTTGCGGCTCCCGGTCCGCCGCATGGCGCAGCCGTGCCCGACTGGCACGGCCTCACCGACATCACGAGCTTACCTGCTCGTCGGCGAGCCGGGAGCTGCTCCTCCGCCTCCTCTGGGCATCGCGCCCAAATCAAAGATGGTGCCGACCACTCGGTCGCGTCCATCTCAAGCTCCGCCCCTCAAATTTATGCATACGTGCGCGTGACGTCACAACGTCAACGCACGCGCACCTTCTGGGGTCAGAGGTCACCCTCTGACCAATCAGAGCCCAGAGAGGGATATTTAAATCCCTAATTCACTCCAGTTCCTTGCCCTGTCGTGGTTTCCTGTTCCTGGTTTCCGAGACTGTGTTTATCTTTGTGTATCTGACTTCCTGGTTCCCTGGTTATTCCGAATTCTGGTTCCCCTGACTTGGCTTGTTTAAACGGTATTTGAGTATGTCTGGCTTCCTTGACATCAGCTTTCCTGTTGACCATTCTCTATCTCTAGCGTATTAGTCCGGCCATTCTAAGGTCCGGTTTACGCTCTGTCCTTTTATTTTCCTTTTCTTTTGTATGTATATGTTTACATAGTTTCTGCGTGTTGGACCACACTAGCAGCCGTGACATTACGACAAGGCCATGGATCCTGCAGAACTATGCAAACATATGATTGCCTGTGAGAGTAGGGTGGAGGATATGGACCACAGGTTAGATCAGTTTGCCCAAGCATTCCAGACCCTGCTCCAGAGAACTGCCTATCTGGAGGCACCTTCTGTACCACCTGTGGCTCCACCACCTGTAGTAGCACCTGTGGCACACAAACCACCGTCCATAACCCTTTCACCTCCATCTCGTTTTGGAGGCGATTCTAAGGAATTTAGAGGTTTTTTAAACCAAATTGAATACCACTTCGAAGCTTCCCCTGGTTCATTCCCTACAGATAGATCGAAAATTAACCAATTAACGGGTAAGGCTTTAACCTGGGCTAATCCCTTATGGGAGACTGGAAATCCAGTAGCCCATGATTACAATGTATTTCTATCAGCATTTAAAGCTACTTTTGAGCCAAAAGGGAGAGAAAAGAATGCTGCCAGAGCACTAATGAGAATGAAACAAGGCAACCGCTCTGTAGCTGATTACGCCATAGAGTTCAGGACATTGGCGTCTGAGGTTGACTGGACAAATAGTGGTTTGGTGGCTGCCTTCTCCGAAGGTTTAGCGGAGAATATACAAGACGAGACCGCAGCCAGAGATCTTCCGGTTAACCTTAATGACTTTATTTCCTACATGATAGACATTGACAACAGGCTCAGAGAAAGATAGAAAAACAAACAACGTACTAGACGTTCTAACCTATCCATAGCCCCTCGTTTCTCTAACCCAGTGGTAATTAGCCATGCTCCACCTCCAGAACCTGAACCCATGCAACTGGGCATTGCTAAACTCACTGAGGCAGAGAGACAACACAGACGCAACGAGGGGTTGTGTTTGTATAGTGGCAAAAGGGGACATCAAAGATTTTCATGTCCGGTTCGGCCGGAAAACTTGCGCACCTAAGGCACGTTCGGGGACCGACCTTAGGTGTGATGTATATGTCCCCTAAATTGACTAAGAACAGTTTCCTTATAAGAGTTACTTTGTCTTGTAAGAAAACTGCTGTACAGTGTGAGGGTATGATTGACTCTGGGGCAGCGGAGTTATTTTCTAGACAAGGAATTCTCTGCTAAATATCTCCTGCCCTTAAGGCAGAAAGATAGACCCATAGCAGTAGAGGCTATCGATGGGAGACCCCTGACCCAGCCTCTCATCACGCACGAAACCCTGCCGATCACTGTTTCAGTGGATATTCTACACTCTGAGGAAATGATTTTTCAAATCATATCTTCTCCTACATGTCCGATAATACTCGGTTTCCCTTGGCTCCAGAAACACAATCCACGTATAGATTGGGTTGAAGGAGAAATCGTAAGTTGGGGTGAGAGATGCAGAGGTGTTTGTTTAAAGCAGGTGCCACAACCAATTGGTACCATCAATATACCTATAGCGCCTCCATTAACCACAGAAATCCCCCCGCAGTATTTGGGCTTACAGGAGGTATTCAACAAAGTTCACTCGGAGGTATTACCACCACATAGACCCTACGACTGTGCCATAAACTTGTTACCAGGCACTATGCCTCCTAAAGGAGGAGTATATGCACTATCTCCCCAAGAAAATCTTTGTTTAGAAGAGAACATAAAGGATGCTCTCAGAAAGGGTCACATACATAGATCCTCTTCACCTGCTGGGGCTGGGTTCTTCTTCATTTCTAAAAAAGGAGACCTACGTCCTTTTATAGGCTATAGGGGTTTGAATAGAATAACAATAAAAAACGCCTATCCCATTCCCCTTATTTCTGAGTTATTCGACAGGTTGAAAGGAGCCCGAGTCTTCACTAAGCTCGACCTCAGAAGTGCATACAACCTAGTCAGAATTAAGGAAGGGCATGAGTGGAAGACCACGTTTAATACAAGAATGGAACATTACAAATACCTAGTTATGCTGTTTGGATTATGCAATGCTCCAGCGGTATTTCAAGATTTCATTAACAATGTCCTTAGAGAGTATCTCCACATGTTCGTTTTAGTGTATCTAGACGACATTCTCATTTATTCCCCAGACCTAGAGACACATCACGAACATGTAAGAATAGTACTAAAAACCCTGTTAAAGAACGGCCTCTACTGTAAGCTGGAGAACTGCCAGTTTGACCAGACCGAGATACAGTTTCTCGGATATGTTATATCTCCGTCTGGTTTCAAAATGGACCCACGCAAGTTGGAAGCCGTCTTACAATGGCCGTTACCCAAAGGCCTTAAAGCTACACAACGCTTTATAGGTTTTGCGAATTATTACCGCAAATTCATTAAAGGTTTTTCCTCTGTAATCACTCCTATTACCAATCTAACCAAAAAAGGAGCAAATTGCAATTCATAGCCCAAGGAAGCAAAAGAGGCATTTAACCAATTCAAATCTTTATTTGCCTCAGCACCTGTCCTGACACATCCCGATCCAACAAAACCATTTATTCTAGAAGTAGATGCGTCAGAAACAGGAGTAGGAGCCATTCTGTCTCAAAGAGAACATCCTGATGCGCCTTTACATCCCTGTGGGTTTTCTCTCAAAAACTAACACCTGCAGAGAGAAATTATGACAAAACTAACACCTGCAGAGAGAAATTATGACATTGGGAATAGGGAATTATTGGCCATTGTACTTGCCCTTAAAGAATGGAGGCATCTCTTAAAAGGTTCCAAAGAGCCACTTCTGATTTTTACTGATCATAAGAATTTGGCTTATATTGGGGACGCTAAGAGATTGTCCTCTCTTCAGGCTAGATGGTTCCTCTCCTGATTCAATTTTGTAATTACCTATAGGCCCGGGACCCAGAACACCAAGGCAGATGCACTGTCTAGGCAATTTGAGACAGATGAGATTCCTGAACAAGAGGTATTCCCTATCATACCTCCAGAATGCCTTGTTGCTACTACAGTTTCCGAAGTGTCTTCTCCACTCTTCTGTGCTATAATAGCAGATCAAACTCAGGCACCCGTGGAGAGACCTCCGGATAAACTGTACGTTTCACCACCATTAAGGAAAAGGGTACTTGGTTTTGTGACGAAGTGCCCTTCGCCACTTGTGCATGGAGAGGACTGCTTGCCCGCCTCTTGCCCTGTGACTATGGCCCCTGGGATGTATTGCCCTTTAAAGACATGATTTGGACATAATGGATTTGTGTTGTGCTGCTGCTGGCCCTTTAAGAACCATCTGGGGACATACTGTGGAGTTACTGGGTGGCCACCATTTCCTGTATCAGAAGCACATGGTGAGAACAATGGATGGCGGCCATTTTAACTCACAGACACTGTTTGGACTTTTCAACACGGTGCCATCTCGCCAGTATTTGGTGCACAGAGACATCGTGCAGTGGTTTTGGACTATACAGCAGGGGACACATTATACAGTGATTGTTTTTCATTTAGCCTGTATATGTTCTGCAGAATCTGCATTAAACTGTATTTTCCAAAGTACTGAACGGATCTGGGTGAATTTTGGATATGTGGTTCACCCAGATCCCCCGGTTCCAAGGATATACTTTTTATGGGGTTATTGCATGTTTTGGGGTCCCTGTGTGTTTTATGAAACTGTATTATTTCTGGCCAGCAGATAATTGAGCTTTGTGTATTGTAGAAACTCAATTATCTAGCCTGGCCCAGAGGAGGAGTTTTGTGTTGCATAAATTGTGAGTTCTGTGTGCCAGTAAATCAGTCTTGTTCCAGCATTAAGCCTTGGCTCATGTTTGGGGGATTGGAGAAATACACTCTGGGGATTGCTATAATCACTATACTCCCCAGGGTATGATCACTAAGTTCTGCTAAGAGCTTGTTCCTGCTCTCTGGGGAAAGAGAGGTTCACCCACTGGAAGCTGGATCCTGGCCTTGGGTCCAGGGTGGGTGGAGACAGCAGAGACCCCGGCGCAGTTGCATCGCTGGAAGTGGGGTCTGCAGTGCTGATGGTGTCGGTTGGAGTGCTTGGAGTCCTCGGCAAGCGCTAGGAGCATCGATTGGCGGAGGTACTCAGTCGGAGTGCCAGCGTTCCGTCACAGGTTTATTCCATGAAAATCTGACAGCAGGTCATCCTGGAGTCCATAAAACTCTCTCTGCTATCTCCAGGAGGTTCTGGTGGCATACACTTAGGAACGGCATCAAAGAATATGTAGGGGCATGTCAAATATGTGCTGTTTCTAAAGCCTCTCACAAATCACCTCCTGGATTGTTACAACCACTGCCTATACCTAATGCGCCAGGGACCCATTTAGCTATGGATTTCATAGTGGATCTGCCTAGCTCTAATGGATCTAACACAATCCTTATGGTCATAGATAGATTCTCAAAAATGGCACATTTTGTACCTCTTAAAAAATTACCATCTGCTCAAGATCTTGTACAAATATTTTTGAAAGAGATCTTTCGGTTACATGGAGTGCCTAAAAACATAGTATCTGACAAATGAACCCAATTTATTTCTAGGTTCTGGCGTGCCTTTTGTAAGCAATTGGTTATAGAACTTTCATTTTCCTCAGCATATCACCCTCAGACTAATGGCGCAGCAGAGAGGGCCAATCAGTCCTTAGAATCTTATTTACGTTGTTTTATCGATGCCAATAAGTCTAACTGGTACGAACTCTAATCATAGTACATTTTTTGTAAATCAGGGTTATCACCCCACTGTTTTCAGACACGGATATTCCTGCCTTGAACACTTGTTTAGATTCCATTCATGACACTTGGGATTCCGTTCATACAGCACTACAGAAGGCATCAAAACGTGCTAAAATCCAAGCTGACAAGAGACGGGGTACCAATCCTGTCTATCTACCAGGAGACAAGGTGTTGTTATCCACACGGCATATCAAACTTAAGGTTCCTTCCATGAAATTTGCCCCTCGGTACATAGGTCCTTTTCGGGTCCTCCGCCGTATCAACCCTGTGACTTATTCCTTGGCACTCCCTGCCCACATGAGAACTGCCAATTCATTTCATGTATCCTTGCTCAAGCCTCTTACTTGCAATCGATACACTAGAGTTACTGCTCCTCCTCCGCCCTTGGTACTGGGTGACCAGGAGGAGTACGAGGTTCCTTCTATATTGGACTCCAAAATCTCCAGGGGTATTTTGTCTTATCTTGTTGACTGGAAAGGATATGGTCCAGAGGAACATTGTTGGGTTCCTGCTGACCGGGTTCATGCTCCCCGTCTTGTCCGGTCGCTTCACAACCGCTTCCCTCATAAGCCGGCTCCTTCCCGCCCGGTGAGCGGTCTTCGAGTGGGGGATACTGTTGCGGCTCACGGTCGCCGCATGGCGCAGCCGTGCCGGACCGGCATGGCCTAGCTGACATCACAAGCTTACCTGCTCATCGGCGATCCGGGAGCCGCTCCTCCGCCTCCTCTGGGTGTCACGCCTAAATCAAAGATGGCACTGACCACGCGGTCGCCTCCATCTCAAGCTCCGTCCCTCAAATTTATGCGACCATGCGCGTGACGTCACGATGTCAACACACGCGCACATTCTGGGGTCAGAGGTCACCCTCTCACCAATCAGAGCCCAGAGAGGGATATTCAAATCCCTAATTCCAGTTCCTTGCCCTGTCGTGGTTTCCTATTCCTGGTTTCCGAGAGTGCGTTTATCTTTGTGTATCTGACTTCCTGGTATCCTGATCTTGGCTTTTCCCTGGTTATTCCGAATTTTGGTTTCCCTGACTTGGCTTGTTTAAACTGTATTTGAGTATTTCTGGCTTCCTTGACCTTTGCTTTCCCTTTGACCATTCTCTATTTCTAGCGTATTAGTTCGGCCATTCTAAGGTCCAGTTTACGCTCTGTCCTTTTATTTTCCTTTTCTTTTGTATGTATATGTTTACATAGTTTCTGCGTGTTGGACCACACTAGCAGCGGTGACAGTGACCAAAGTATCCAACGATTTAATTGCTGCTAAATCTCGCGGCCATTATCTTAATTCTCCTTGATCTTTCTGCTGCCTTTGACCCTTAATGAGAGCAAAAAACAGGGCGCAAGAGAATACTGAGAACAGGCAGCAGCTGAAATAGCCTGCCCTTCGGTGGGTCCCCGCTCAGTTCTCAAGCTGGTTTTAGCTCATCTTGTGCCATTACAGAGAGAGCATCTCTGAAACATATCAGACTGGTCCCACCCATACGGGCAGTCCAGATCCAAAATGCCAGCAAGTTCCCTCTGCACGAGAGACACAGCAACCCCAGACGATCGTTTCAGCCTTGTTAGGCATCATCAGTGAGGCATAGCTGATATCTCTCTAGGCACCGTGAGCAAGGGGTCCACGTCTGGATTACCCTTTAAACTTATGGAGAGCAAAAAACTTTGCATTCTCCGTAATTTTGATCCACGGGATATTGCTCTCTCCTGGTGCTCCTCCTACCTCTCCCAGCGCTCTTTCAGTGTTTCTTTCTCTGACTCTGCCTCTTCCCCCCAACTAGTCTCTGTTGGCGTTCCCCAAGGTTCTGTGCTTGGTTCCCTACTGTTCTCTATCTACACTGCCTCTCTTGGTAAACTCAACAGCTCATTTGGCTTCCGTTATCATTTCTATGCAGATGATACACAAATCTACCTGTCCTCTCCTGATCTCTCTCTGCCAATCTTGACTCGTGTCTCTGACTGCCTCTCTGCGATTTCTAACTGGATGGCTGCTCACTTCCTTAAACTCAACCTGTCCAAAACAGAACTTATGGTTTTTCCTCCCTCAAGTGTTGCTACTCCCGTGTCTGTCTCTTTCCAAGTCAATGGCGCTACCATCACCTCTACCTCGCAGGCTCGCTGCCTGGGTATACTATTTTACTCCAACCTCTCTTTCACTCCTCGTGTCCAATCAGTCGCCAACTCCTGTCGCTTCCATCTCAAAAACATAGCGCGCATCGGCCCCTATTTAACCCCGTTCGGTTCAGCATTTCCGAAATTCGGGACTTCGGCATTTCCGAAATTCGGGACTTCGGCATTTCGGTTCGGCACTTTGGCACTTCGACACTTCGGGTAAGTGTAGAGTTAGGGTTAGTGTAGAGTTAGGGCTGGGATAGGATAGGGTTAGGAGTAGGGTAAGGGTAGGGTTAGGGGTAGGTTAGGGTTAGAGGTAGAGGTACCCCTACCTTAACTCTACTCCTAATCCTACCTTAACCCTACCCTCACCCTATTTATAACCCTACCTTAACCATAACCCTACCCTAACCATAACCCTACTCCTAATCCAACCCTACTCCCAACCCTACTCCTAACCCTAACCCTACTCCTAACCCAACCTTAACCCTACTCCTAACCTAACCCTACTCCTAACGCTACCCCTACCACTTTTGCCACTTTTCAGAAGTCCGAAGCACTTCGGCACTTCTGAAATTCGGCAATTCGGTTCGGTTCAGCACTTAGGCAATTCGGTTCTGTTCAGCACTTCAGAAATTTGGCACTTCGGAAATTCGGCACTTTGGACATTCGGAAGCATCCGAATGTCCGAATGTTCGAAATTCATCCGAAATTCCATTCGGACCGAACCGAATTGCAAATGTCTGTGGGTCATATCTTTAGCTACAGAACTTAAACACTCACACAAAAATGAGTACCTTTAAATTAAATGGGTCGTATTTTTACTTTATTTAAAAATACATTGTGAAGACAGAATATTAGTTAAATGAGTCTGGCTTTACTGAAAGGCAGAGCAAGAGCAGAAAAGTCTCAAATTGTGCACTCTAGTCTAGACCAACTAACTGGAGATATCATATATTGACATATTTATACATTATGTCACTGCTAGTCCTTGGATGTCTAATTTCAGTAATAACACACAGTAACATGAGTCAGTGGCAAAATCTAACACAAATCCATTGATTGTATATAAAAAAAAAACACAATACAAAAATGTAACAAAATATTTAAATCAACAGTAAAGCACAAAACAAATAGTTGAACATGGGACTGGGTAATCTACTGTTGAAAAAACCCATGCATTGACACAATTGATTATGCCGTGCTCGTGAATACCCAATTAATCACCCTCTGGGTAAACTGTGTTCTAGAGAGTAAATGTGGTAATAGATCCATATGATATATTGATAACACAACCAAGTCCTTTCATGTGTTTATTTCTTTAAGCCCCCTTTCATCACAAGAGCAACAATAAGGAGAACAACTAGCAGGACCATTGCAATGGATAATAGGACCGTGATCACCACCATTCCACCACTTCGAGCAAAGGTAACACTGGGCGAAGCACTGTCTGTGAATAGAGCAAAAGAATTAAATGAATGTGAGGTGTTAGTTTCCATATTTGTACTATATAAGATTATTGGTTTGGGACGTGGCAGTCAGGATTTATTTATAAAATCATTATGTGACAAGGTGAGAACTCTACATCATAACAGGTGGTACACCTCTTATTGAGGACCTCCAGTGTCAGATTATTCCCCATAACAAAATCACTGAATAATGCTTTCCTATGGGGAAATCCTAATGTGAGCGCGGCCATTGCCACGCATGTGCATTAGGTCTCCCTCGCCTGGTGACGTCGACAGGGAAGGAGCGTGGTCAGAGCCTAACCCAGGGACAGCGGTGCTGGATTCAGGTAAGTGACTGAAGGTTTTTTTTTTAGGATTCTCTAGTGCCAGGAAAATGGTTTTATTTTATAGAATCCCTTTAAGGCATAAGGTAAGCTCCACTCCCATTGTCAAGATAGTGGAGCTTGTCTTAAGCTCCACCCTTTATCAAGATTGTCAAGCATATGAAAAATACGTAAGACAAAGTAGTACCTAGTTTGTGATATGTTTTAAAGAGAAATAGATCAGAAATGAAGAAAATAATAGATTTTGAAAGAGGAAAACATTAAAAAAAAAATAGAAGAAAGACAAGTTTAAGGTGACAGAGTCACTTTAAACAAACAGTGCTTACCAGAATTCGTTGTGAAGGATATATTTGTGAATAATGTATTTTCAACAATATAGAAGGCCCTAAAAAAAGAGATTGAAATGAATCATATGACACTCTGGTAAACAAAACAGCTTTATATATGTAGGCATTTGAGGCAAGGAAAAACTAGGGTAGCACTGTGACTATAGCTACATATGAGAGAATGCACACACTGTTTTATATTCAGCACTTTACTGCAGAATTGCTTCAGTTTGTTTGATAAATATGTTTGTACTGTATGTGTGCTTATTACAATTAAATTACATTGTTGCAATGATTACAGTTTTTCTTTAAATGGTCACTATAGCACCCAGACCACTTCATCTGATCAGGTTCACTGCACACAGACTACTTCATCTAACTGAAGTGGTCTATGTGCGGTGAATCTGTATGAGAAGTTTTCTGAGAATTCAGTACTGATTCAATGCTTTAATGTGCGGCGAACTCCGCGCATTAGGTCCCGCCATCGCAGTCATGCCACAGGAGAAACAGAACTAGCCAGCACTTAGATAGATTCGGTGCTGGAATTAAGGTAACTAAAAAAGGTTATTTAACCCTTTACTTGTCAGATGGTGTGGGGCACCTAATAAGTTAGGGACAAGGACCAGTGGTGTATCCTGGTTTTGTGCTGCCCTAGGCAGGACAAAACTCAAGCATCCCAGCCAACCCCCTCAACCGCCTTCTAAATACACACACACATACATTCACTGACAGATACGCATACACTCGCTAACAGAAACACACACACACTAACAGACACACACTCACAGGCAAACACACTCACACAGTCAGACACACACACACTCACTGACACACAGTCAGACACACACATACACACTAACAGACAAACACAGTCAGACACACACTCACTAGCAGACACACACTAACAAACACACACACATTAACAGACACACACTCACTGACACACACACTCACAGGCAAATACACACACACACACACTAACAGACACACACACTCACTGACAGTCAGACACACACATACACACTAACAGACACACACACTCACAGGCAAACACTCACTGACAGTCAGACACACACATACACACTAACAGACACACACACTCACAGGCAAACACTCACTGACACACAGTTAGACACACACATACACACTAACAGACACAGTCAGACACACTAACAGACACACACTAACAAACACAGTCAGACACACTAACAGACACACACTAACAGACACAGTCAGACACACACACACATTAACATTTTTTTTTAATTTTATTTACCCCCCCCCCCACCTCCTTACCTTTGGGAGTGCTGGGGGGGAAGGGGGTTCATTACCTCCCTGGTGGTCCAGTGGTTGCCGGCTGGGCTGGGCAGGCGGCTGGCGAGGGAGCTCTTCCCCTGAGCGGTCTGCTCAGCTCCCACGCACGCCGCAGAGTGAGGCTGGGAGCCGGAAGATGACGTCATCTTCCGGCTCCCAGCCTCACTTTGCGGCACGCGAGGGAGCTGAGCAGACCGCTCAGGGGAAGAGCTCCCTCGCCAGCCGCCTGCCCAGCCCAGCCGGCAACCACTAGGGCAGCACAAAACCAGGATACACCACTGGCTATACTGTTCCTTTAATGTTGATGAATTTAAATCAGTAAGCGGTACAAAGAAGACATAGCCACAGTGTGTTTTTCAGCCCATATATATATGTATTTTACTAAGGTGTGGTGTGTTTTTTTTTTGAGTATTTGTATAACATTTTTATTTTTTATTATCATTATTATTATCCATTTTTACGTGACAGAGGTGATGATACATTAAAAATATATAGACTAGACTAGAGCACATACAGTCATGTCTTAAGGAAGAGAGCGCTACCTACACATAGTTGGTACTTGGAAGCAGACTTTTAACCTGGTAACCCACATTAACTGTCTGTACGTTACCGGACGCAGCGCTATTTATCACAACAAGATCACGTTTCAGACGGCACTGTGGCACTGTGAAATTGATATCTGTAAATAGAGAACGATAATGTGGTGAGGTATAGCTGATAAAATTAGTTTTTCTAAAAAAAAGTGAAAGTAAAATTGAATGATTGGGTACACAAGTGCATATCTGGGTTAACATTTGCTTCACATTACAAAACAATAATGAAGAAAAATGTCTCATGGACCTTCCTCTTTGTTTGTGAACCATGTTTTATGCTTCAGTGATATGAATTCCTCTGCCAGAGCTCAAATATGCTCCTCTGGGTCTCTGCAGATTGGCTGTGAATTGGCACAATGGGTCTGCACTCCTCCTTCTCCTCTAACTTCATCCGACAGGGGGACCTAATGCACATGCGCAGAAAGCACCGAAGCACTTTGGGCCCTTCCCATAGGAAAGTATTAAAGTATTTAGTATAATGCTTTCTTATGGGGATTTCACTGATGCACTGACGCTAGACTGTGTTTTTAACGCTATCGGGTCATGAATACATGTTTGCGTTCCTGACGCTATAGTGTTCCTTTAAGCATTTGTGGTCTTCAATTATTGTTATACTAAAACATCAGTCGTCATTAAATTATCCTTAAACACCCCAGACTCCTAAAGCACTTCAGTGTGTGTGAAGAGTGTGTCCTCTTTTTCGTTATTTTACAAAGAGTGCAGATTTCAATAGAAATTGTCACTGCATAAATTAACGTTGTTGCATCCCCAGGCTTTCAGTCAGGCAACCGGTCCTGTTTTTGTTTTTTAGCTCAGTGGAGCTAAAGTCAAAAGGCAGAAAGGCTGGGCTGGGTTAGAAGAGCATGGCTTGCAAAGGTTTCAAACAAGAGATGTGCAGTTTATGTAAGTTGTTTTTTGAATTAATGTTAAAGGGACAATATAGTCACCAGAACAACTACAGCTTATTGAATTTGTTCTGGTGAGTAGAATCATTACCTTCAAGCTTTTTGCTATAAACACTGTCTTTTCAGGGAAAATGCAGTGTTTACATTACAGCCTAGTGATAACTTCACTGGCCACTCCTCAGATGGCTGTTAGAGATCCTTCCTAGGTCATGGCTGCCTAAAATTCATCCAAACATTCAGTGTCTCCTCCCTCTGCATGCAGACACTGAACTTTCCTCATAGAGATTCATTGATTCAATTCATCTCAAATGAGGAGATACTGATTGGCCAGGGCTGTGTTGAATCATGCTGGCTCTGCCCCTGATCTGCCTCTTTGTCAGTCTCAGCCAGTCCTATGGGAAAGCATTGTGATTGGATCATGCTACCACTTCTGATGATGTCAGCAGACTGCTTGTTTTTCTGAGTCTAACAGCATATAGAGTTACAGCTTCTGGCTTGAATACAGTAAGATTTTTACTATATTTATGGAGGCATGAGGGGTCCAGGGGGGCTAGATGGTGGTTTTAACACTATAGGGTCAGGAATATATGTTTGTGTTCCTGACCGTATAGTGATCCTTTAAACCAAGAGGTTGGTTAGAGCTTATTAGATCAAAGGCACATTAAAGGAAAATCAATTTTGTAGAATGTCAAAACATTATGTAACAACAGGCTACTGGGGCTGCAGGGCTGCAGTTCCATTGTCCTTTTTATGAGAAGAACAGAGCTTGTTGTTTAGGAATATCTAACTCTGATTGGCACTGTGTCAGTATCTATGCAATGCATATAAAGTGTTGCCATACTGGTTAAAACGGTGTTGTTGCTGGTGGTGATTACTTTCAGATTTGCTGATTTCCCGGAATATGTGCATCCTGGCAAAGCAATGATTGCAGATCTTGCATATACATTAGCAAGGACATCAGATGACAGAGTTGTGTTTTGAGCCTCTGCAAGAGAAAGATGAAAAGTTTGATTAATAATGCAGGTTTATTTTGTAGCATTAGTAGCAAATACATACTACAGATAGCCTGGAGGTCTGGCAGTTCTGTTACCGGAAGGTATATGAAACTGTGCTTGCTCCAGGAATCTACTGAGAGCAGACCAGACAAGTTACACGCACGCCCAATTTTTTTCTTGGTCCTTAGACAGTCCGACTTTGTCACTCAGTGTCAGGAAGACTGACGGAAAGTGAAAGCTTGTTTAACTATATAAATTCAGGGCATTGTAAGACCATACATGAGTGCTAGAGCAGCACTTGGTATATAGGCAGCCTGTGATCCTGACGTTCATGCACATCGGGATGATGTTGCCCCATTGTGGAAGAGAATACTGTCCATGATTTTGATTGTGTCATGGGCATGCCCACCAACTGGAATACATCACCCACACACATCAGACCTGCCAATGTTGTGTTCTGTGAGAGCCCAAGTTTTTGCCAAATTAGTCATTGCTCCCTCCATTACAGTCATACATGCTTATTCACTAACATGAGAATTCAAAGTGAATTAAAAGTGAAGTGGGTACGGGGGCTGTAGAGATGTTTGTGTTTCGCCTAAGGCCTCACAAAGTCTAGAGCTGCCACAGCTCCAGGTCACTACTGGCACCATAACCGTTACAATGAACTCTGTGCTTATGGTTGTCTTAATTATTTCAGTTGTCTTAATTATTTAGAAAGATTTTTAGTGTTTTGATTTATTTTCATTTAAAAACCACAGAATTTAAACCTCTAAATCAGTGATTCTCAAACCAGTCCTCATGGCCCACCAACAGTCCAGGATTTATGTATTTTTCCTGTTTTATTCCAATGGAGATAGTTTAGCAATTGTGGCCTAAAATTTGCAATTCCCTGGTCAAATCTCTACATTTCAATTTAATTGGGAAATCACATTTATTAAAGTATGGCCAGAGCCATTTTCACTTCCAAAATACCTTCCTCGCGAGCTTAAGCCCAAAATGGGAATTCATATCAAAAAGTTATAAACAGTCTATAATTTATTATAATTTAGTATGTGCTAGAAAAATGAATAGTCTTACTAGTACAGCAAACAAATTAATGCAAATTCAAATCTTTCTGTCAACATGTATTCTCAGAACTTTCGTTATAAAAGGCTACCCCAATAAACATTTATTCAATGTACAACCAACATGCATTTCGTCTTTATATTTTGTTTTTCTTTTCATGTAGAACGTCTCACAGGTATAGCAGGGACAGCTAATTTATTGCTTCATGCGTCTCAGACAACAGCAACCTAAATGCTGCAACAAGTATGCAATTTTTAAAGTTATGCCAACTTCAGCAAACTATAATAAGTGAATAAACTGCTATTAAGAGATATTGTCACAGTTAGAATCCTAGAACAATAAGATATTTCTAGCAGGCTTGTTTACTGAAGTGTGAATAAATGGATAATGCGAAAATTTTCACCCAATTTTAAACCAAAATAGTTTAATTGTAAAAATCTCTGTCGTTTGGCCTAAATTTGACATTTAAATTCCTGAGATTTTCAGTGAACAAACATTTAAATCATTATTCTTAAAGGTCTACTTATATACTGAGCACAAGTAGCGACATAATCCACATCTGGTATGTAAGCACATTGCGGAGGTAAATTGATTTGTCTGAGAACGCACTTAAATTGTCAGTGAGACACCCGCAAGTTTATGAATGCACCATTGGATGGCTGCTAGAGAGGGACCCATTTAGTTTACTATGAGTTAAGGCTGCGGAGTGCTGGAGAAAAGCCAACGTGACAATAACTGGAATTTTGCACAATAATCATGTTCTCTATTTCAAGCTCTCGAATATACTCTGTAAAGTCTCACAGCACATGCAGATTTGTCATGCAAATACATAGGGTTTAAATACCTCATTTAAAACCTAGAAAACAAGCGTAGGGGTAATTCTTATTGGGAAAGGGGTCCCAAATCAAAGCTGCCATCTTGAATTTCAAGGTAAAAATACAAATGTGCAAGGTATGTACTATAACTCAGCTAGACTGACCCCTCTGGATAAATTAAAACATCATTAACACAGTGTTGCGTGATTTAAAGTCTCACTCTTTAGTATACCTAATTATTTTTTAAAGGTTTTCAGAACGTGCAGGATTGAAAAGAGTAACAGGAAGAAAAGGATCCCAAATTCTTTCCCCAGGCTTACCCACAAATGTGAAGATGAAAAACAGCGTGCTCACAATTCCAAAAAGCTGCATGGTGGCAATGTTGTGTGACTACCAGAACCTCTGACTGCGTATACAATGTCTGAGACTCACAGACACCTGTTCAACACCTAGCCAATCACAGAGCAGGAATGTGGTCATTCAGGAAATATTCCTCACCCACCCTATTGTACACACCCTGTCCCCTCACCCTTTCCCCCTAAATGAAACTCCCATCTTTTGTATCCCAACATGTACCTTTGTACTTCAAGTGACCCATCACACTAAGAACGCCCCCATCTTCTGGCACACAATAAAAGTTAAATACACATACTCCTTTCCAAAAATATTTATTATAATTGAAAGACATTGGTTTTATTTTTGTTTAGTTTTTTATTGCCGCTGAACTCTTTTATACACAAATGCATGCCAAAATTTCTGATCTACAAGAAACCAATGGACATTGGGATAGAAAAGATAAAGAACTGGGGGGTGTGGACACTTCTCAATTATCATAGCTTAAAGAACATTCTTATACAGGCATGCTTTTCACTTCTAAATTGCACTTTAAAAATCCACATATAAATTTGATCGCTTCTTCTCTAGTTGTGTGTATGTCTGCCTGTTTGGGTGGTTTCCTTGGGGTCAAGTGGGGACCAGGCTGGCCAGGTGTAGGTGAATGGCAGGGACTGTGGTGGTTTTCTGCAGGGTGCTCTCCTCCAGTGTGACTTCCCCATTAAAAATCCTCTGTTTGGGTCTGTCAAACATGCCATGTGCAGACCCCTGCACTAGGCATTGTCATAATGCAGTTCTCATCACTGCAAAAAAAGTAATTGGGCATGCAATTATATACTCCAGAGCACTGCACATTGGCCTCTATGTCTAAATATTAAAGGGACACCGTAGGCACTATAACAACCTCATCTTATTGTATTCAAGGATTCTCTATTGAAGAATCACAAGTGCAGTGTGGCGAGCGTGGAACATGCACCAACGTTCCCAAATGCTCCTCTATGAGGAGCATTGGATTGGCCTGTCATCCTAAAAGCACACCTTCAAGATGACACAACCCAATAATGGGCACCAGGATTGTAGTATTAGGAATACAGTGTTTAATATATATATTTTCTTCACTCTTAGACCTTACTGGTTATAGAGGTCATACTACAATGAAGACATTTTGTTATATGCAACTACCGTATATACTTGTGTATAAGTCGATCTCATGTATAAGTCGAGTGCAGTTTTGTGACCAACAATTGTGAAATATGCTATGCCTCATGGATAAGTCGAGGGTAAAACTTGGGGCTATGAAATTCTGTGATTTTTATAATTATATACACACACAATCATACAAACACACACTCTGCATTATATATACACACACTCATACAAACACACACACACTCATACAAACACACACTCTGCATGACACACACACTCTGCATTATATACACACACACACACTCATACAAACACACACTCTGCATTATATACACACTCTGTGTATATAATGCAGAGTGTGTGTTTGTGTAGTGTGTGTGAACTGGGTGGGGGGGCATTTTTATTATTTTAATTTTTTTTATTTTAATATTTTTTTATTATTTTTTTTTTTTTTGTCCCCCCCTCCCTGCTTGTTAACTGGTCAGGGAGGGGGGCTATCTTAATCCCTGGTGGTCCAGTGGCATGGGCTGTGAAGTGGGGGGGGGCTAGCAGGAAGCATTTACTTACCTTTCCTGCAGCTCCTGTCAACTCCCTTCTCCTCCGTTCCGGTCAGCTCCACTGTAAGTCTCGCGGTCTGGTTGCCGCGTGGATCATTGCCATGGCTCTGACGGCCGCGGCTCTCTAAGTTGCCATAATACAGACAGTGACTCGAGTATAAGTCGAGTGGGGGTTTTTAAGCACAAAAAATGTGCTGAAAAACTAGACTTATACTCGAGTATATACTGTATAACAATAGTGCAGCAAGTCTTGAGACGCTCCAGTCTGGACCAGCTCTTGTTGGAGGGTGCAACAGGGGGCTACCCATTGTTCAAACAAAATTGGGAGAGAATTCTAGACACGATCTTCTGCAATGATCAGTGGAGAAAAATTCTTATATTTAATTCTTCCTATTATGTCTAAATAAATTTTAAAAAATAGATGCTTGCAATATCATAACAGAATGGATAGATTTTCCTACAATGGATTATGGATCCACATTAATTTATGAATGCAAACACCAACATGTGTGTTTTTGTTGGGGTATATCTTTATCTATACATTTTTAGTAATTGATTAACCACAAATGAAGAGTCATTGAGCGTTTTTTTAATAAGCACTAAAATACATTATCAGTGTTCTAAAGGCCATTTTGTAGAGTAGACAATTATTGGACTAAAGAGGAAAATCGACCTCATTGTGATCCACGGACAGTAAAAAGTAAGATCTGTGACTGTTGATGAGCTACCACTCCCATGATCTTCAGCCAGTCTGATAACTACATAGCAATAAGTTTATTCTGTTCTAGAGTTTGTACTGATTTTGGGACTCTGATTTGTCTGAACCCCCATTCATCTGTTCTCTGTCTTGCTAGGAATGTGACTCCACTGGTTCCAACAGCCACATTCTCACGTCATTTATGGCAAAAGCACATTCACAATTCAAATACTTGTAATACCACAGAGCAGAAAGCTTGGGTCAACAAAGGATGAGTTATATTTAAAAACATAGAAAAAAAATAGAAAGAAATGTCTGCAGAGGAACACAACAAACAATAGATACAATGTGTAAATCAAACCAGTTGTACGACCCACCCTGCTCTGCATTTGCAAAGCACTATTATAAATGAGTATTTTACCAGAATTAGCAATTTTCCAAGTCTAGATATAATTATTAACCACCTTGACTGCAGTTATCATTGGCAAATGTTCTGTATATTCTATTTGTGTGTTTGGTTTCAAACAAATAGCGAGATATTAAAAATGTGGACGGTCGTCAAGTTGTTTAAGTTTCCAAATTCCAAATCACCATACGACCAAATCACAAAACAAGGAATGAGCTAGCTGTTCCGATTGTTTCATGATTCAGAGTACTATCTGTAGAACAAACACAAAATTGATCAATGGGAAAAAAAAGATGATTGATTTTTAAGGGACATGACATCCATTAAATGTTGATTTAATTCACAGATCACGTGAGAAGTAACCAATAAAGGGAAAAAAGGCAGTAAAAACAAATCTATATTTATATATTATATATTTTATTAACCTATTGTTCATGTAACATTTTGTAATTGTCTTATTTAATGTTACATTTCCCCTTTATCATAATGTAAAGCGCCCATGGAATAAATTGGCGCTATGTAAATGCCAATAATTATAATATTGACCAGATGATATTAATATAGATATTTACTGCTCCTCATTTTTTATAGTTTTATATAGTTTTTATATTATGTATATATTTCGCAGTACATCAATTGTCTCATTATCGCACTACTTTGATTTTTTCACAATTTGTATTTTATTGGAGATCATACACAAAGTATACATCATTTTCAATTTTATGATAGTTATACGACGAATATAGATAAGGAACGAATAAAGCAAATATAACGACATAACTCCAATCTGCAGCATTATTATAGGATTAACTAGAACAGGGGTTTACAGTAGACAACTGAGACCTGCTGATTAAGCTCCCCAGCGCCCTGTGTCTCCGGCAGTAAATTCCTCTGGGCTGCAGCCTCCGCTGATGGCATGGCCGGCAACCCCAGTCTCTGTAGGAGTATCCCTGAGTCCCTGGAGGCGGACAAGGTGAGCATCATGTCTCTCTGGGGGACTATCAGAGAGCTGTCAATTCCCCTAAAGTACTAGAGTGAGTGATCCCACGGCATCTTTGTAACCGGGAACAACTAGCGCTTTGGGAGGTGAACAAGGGTCATCATGGGCACTCTGACAGGTCTGCGGCTACACAGCAAACTGCGAGGCACTGTGTGTTATGACACCTTTCTATCATGGCCAGAATTAATTTTTCAGCTATTTGAGCTACAGTAGCTCTTGATCTGTTTGATCAAACCAGACAAAACTATCCATCGCTGCCCACATGTATCATTTAGACCTTGATGCCAGTTCACCAGTTGTCCCTCCTTGCACCACTTTTGGTTGGTACTGCATACTGGGAACACCCCACAAGACTTGCTGTTTGGAGATGCTCTGACCCAGTCTTCTAGCCATCACTATTTGGCCCTTGTCAAAGCCACTCAAATCTTTTCGCTTGACCATTTGTTCTGCCTCCAACACATGTAATTAAAAAACTTGACAGGTGCCATTGTACCAATATACTCAATTTTATTCACTTTACCTGTCAGTGGTTTTAATGTTGTAAATGAGCAGTGTATTGTGCTTTGAGGCTGTGGGAGAGAGATAAAAGGGGTTGGATGGGGAGAGTTAAAAAAATCTGGGGGGGGGGGGCAGAAAAGGAAATGGAGCTGTGGAGAGATGTAGAGCTGAGCACGGACAGGCAGAGGGGTGAGGTTAATAGGATCACAAATGTGTGTTTGCATTGGTTTGTGTGTGTGTATATTTGAGTATGTGTGCCTGTGAAGACTGTGTATATGAATGTGTGTGAATATATGTGTTTGTGTGTTTACATATGAATCCATGTATATCAATGTGTGTGTGTGTGTGTGTATCCATGTATATGTGTATATGAAAAATATAACCAGAAAAAAACACAGCGGTCCGCACACATGGTTAAATCCAAACATTCCACACATTTAAAAAAGGTAATGAAAAAGTAGCACATTTTGGAAAAAGTAATAGAAATAAATATACATGGCATCACACTGTAACTGTCCTTGTGTATGCTAAGGAAGTTCCAATATCATATGTACTAAATTGTATCAAATGTATAAAATATACAGCATCCAAAGAAAAAAAAAAACACTGTTCAGGGGAGAGACCACCTAAGAAGACCACCAGAAAAAGATAAGTGATGCCCTGGGTGCGTTTCGCACCCCACCTGGTGCTTTCTGCTTTTATGTTTGTATATGAATGAAAGTATGTGTGAATATTTGAATATGACTGTCTATGTATATTAATGTGTATGTGCATATCATGTCCCTAATAATAAGAGGTTGAGGGAACCATAGTGAGAATGTACAAAAAAAAAGTTAAAAACACTCAGCAGCATTAGGATTAATT